TTATTATTATAATTATTCTCCTTACTATCTAATAATAAACTATTCTAAAAATAAAGTGTTAATAAACCTAAAACCTTATTAAAAGGCTACCTAAAAGACAAACTTATAAAGGTAGTAGAGGATTAATCTTTAGTATAGTATATAGCATAATAATAGCGTTAAGCTAAGGCTTTAACTATTTATTATATAGCGTAATCTTAATAGCACTAAGAGTTCTATATTACTTAATAAAGGTTAAATTAGTAACCTATTATTATAAAGTAAAGTAAAGTAAAGTAAAATACTAAAGTAACCTAAAATAAAATTAAAATATAAAAAATAATAGCTAACTAAGGTGTTATAAGTAAAAGATTATTAAATTAAGATAGTTATAAAAGTAAAAGATATAAGAATACTTAGTAATAATAATATAAATAAACTAAATTAGAAGAAAAAGTAAGAAAAAAAAACTTAGACCTTAGTAAGTAACTAAGGTTTAAGTATATACAGACTAAGGCTAGGAATTCCCTAGGGACTAGGCCTATATTAGCCTAAGAAACGCTACAGAAAGGATCTAGAAACCCTACTTACTTAACTTAAAACGCTACATAAGGACAAGTGGCTTAGGAGGGGGCGTAATTATTATAAGATAATAACTACTTAACTAAAAGGCGCTACCTAAGACTAGGTGGTAACAGCTGCCTAACTATCTTAAGGTTAGTATAGTGTTTTAGGGAGTAGGGTGTATTTAGCTAGTAATAGCCTTATAAATTACAAGAGAATAGTTCTCTAAGATTTAGCTTCTGTGTAATATAAGACCTATAATTACTAATACTTCTTTATAATTGTAATAGTCTATTATAAGATATAAGCTATTTACTTTAAATAAAAAAGGTAACTATATAAAAAGTAATAAAGATAAAGAATTAAGCACTACGTTTTATATATTAATAACGTTCTTTAACTTATCTACTATTAATAGGCCTACTCTCTTTTTATTACTATATAACTAATCTATAACCTATTTTCTTATAAAGGATAACTCCTTATATAAGAATCTATATAATAATAAGCTACCTAACGTAGACGTCTTTACCCTTAATAAGTAATATTTATTTATCTTATTTTATAGTATTATACCTAACTTTAGTGTAGCTAAATATTTAATAGCTAGATATAAGCAGTATCTTACTTTTTACTACTAAATAAAAGGAAATCTAGCTATAAATAAGTTATAAGTAGGTAAAGTAAAAATCCGCTTTAGTAGTAGTAACTACTTTAAATTATAAGGGGTAATTAATATACTAACCCCCTTTAGTATACTAACCTTTTATATAATACTATTAAATACCCTATTTCTACTTTACCTTATAGATATAGATTAGTATAGTATTAAATTTAATAACCTTACTAATAAGCTAATTTAAGGTAACACTATTATACTTACTATCTATAAATAGGGCTATATATAGATACTACTTAATTAATATAAGTAAAGTATTACCTACTACTATCTTATAGATAATAAGTTATAGTAAATTTATTATTACTTTAGCTACTTATTAGTCTAAAGGCTTTATTACGTCCTCTAATAATCTAGTAATAAAGTTAAGATTATAGCCTTAAAGAAATTAACTAAGGTCTACTACTACTACTAGGTAAATATAAAGGCGCCTAGTTACTTTAAATTTACTTTATATAATAATAAATATAACTTTAACTATAAGATTATTATTAATATTATCTACTTTAATAGTAACTACCTAACCTTATATATAATTAATACTATAATATTCTTTTAAGTAGCCTATTTACTTAAAAATATTACTATAGAGTATATATAAGAGGCACTTTAGATATACTAAATTAATATCTACCTTAGCCTACCTAACTAGATTATTACTAATACTAGCCTAAACTTTTATACTAGTAAATTTAAGTAGTTAGTAAGGTTACTTTATATTAATATTAAAGAATTACTAATTAAAGCCTATAACAGTATTAGTAAGGTTAAAAAATACTATACGCCCCTCTAATATATATATAATATCCTTTATAATAAGGGCTATACACCTAAGGTTACCTTTTAGCTAGCTATTAAAGTAATTAATAATATAGCTAGCCTAAATAGCCTAGTACCTACACTACTAGTCTTTAGCGCCTACCTATAAATCTCTAACTTATTACTACTTTTACTAACCCTACTTAAAAAGGCTAAAGTAGTAAGAAAAGTAATAAAGGCTATTTACTAGATCTATATAAAAAGGTAAGTTAATAAGGTAGTAACTATATATAATAGCCTAGATACTACTATAACAGTAGCCCTTCTACTTTAATTTATAGTCTGTATTTAGTATAAGAAAAAAGGCTAGTAAGGCCTTTTTTACCTTATTACTAGTAATAGGACTACTTATACTATTAACCTCCCTTAAGGCCTATAAACTTTTTATTTAACTATTATTAAACTATACCTTAAAAATACTTATAATAAGTAATAATAGTTACTCTTAAAGGTAGGTAGGTAGAGTAATAAGGAGAGTAATAATAATAGTATAGTAGCCTTATTACCTACTAACGTCCTTATACTTACTAAAGAAATATATAATAGTATTACTATTACTATATACCTATAGCTAAAATAAAAAGCTAGCTGCCTATAGAGGTATATTAATTTTTTTAATAAAACTAGCTTTACTATTAGGCCTACTACCTTTTTTACTACTATAAGTATAGTATACGTCTTAATAAAAGAAGAAGCTAACTAACTATTATTAATTAAGCTATAGAAAAAAGGTATTATTACTACCTTAAGAAAGCCTTTTAAGTAAGTAACTACTACTAAGATTAAAGGGCTAATTACTTATAAGGTATTTTACTTTATTTAATATAATAAGAATAAGCATACTAAAGTATAAATATTTAAATTATAGATTATTAATAAGGTAAAAAGCTAGAATAAAAAACTATATAAGAAATCCTACCTTATTATCTAAAGATATACTAATAATAGTAAAAAAGTAATTCTTACTTAGTTACTTATAATTTAGTAAGCTAGCTAGCGCCTTATTCTTACTTTTACTTTATCCTTTATTTATAATAATAATAATTTCTTACTTTAGTTATATAATATTACCTAGGCGTATATATAGTTAACTACCTTATTAAATTATATAATTCTTATACGCCTTCTATTATAAATATAGGACCTCTATCTAAAAGGCACTATTATATAAGTAGTAAAGCTATTATATAGTATTATAGAGGCAGGCACTTACTAGTAAGTAATATATAGTTATTACTATAGAGAAAAGCTTTAAATAAAGACTTTAACCTTTAATCTATACCTACTAATTACTAATATAGAGAGCCTAGACTTTAGGATTATTAGTATACAGACTAATAATACTATTACCCTTTTAAATAAATCCTTCTCTACCTATAAGGCTAATAAGCTTACTAAGGCTATATTTACTACTAAGGAGAAGTAAATCCTTATTATTAATAACTTACTTACCTTTAATAGTAGTATAGTATCTCTAACTACTAAGGGAAAGCTCCTTTTATAGTAAAAAGGCTAAAGTAAAAGACTTTAACCTATTAATAAAGAATCTCTATAAGCACTTAAGTAGTACGTTAAGTAATAAGCCTATAGTATATATATTATATTAGTCTACTAGCCTAAAGCATACTTTAACTACTTTATTATAGTATAATACTAATTACTTAATATAAATAAGATTAAAGCACTTAACTATTATATTATATAATAAATAAATAACCTTAACTATAGTTTATTATTTTACTTACTTAACCTTAAATCTATAAAGCTTTTTATTTTTATAAATAAATTATTTATAAATAATAAGGACTTTACTTTATAGCTAGGATTTATTATTATTCTTACTAATAAGGCACTTATAAGTACTACTATAAATAATAAATTTACTATAACTAGTAATATTATTTACTTTAGCTTAATAAAGTATAAGTAAGTTACCTAAAGTGTACTAGCCTCTAAGATCTATAGTATAGTTACTAGTACTAATATTACTTATACACTTAGTATAACTATTATAATAATTACTAACTACCTTAAGCTACTATATATACTAATAATCCTCTATACTAACTTATACTTACTTTATAAGTACCTTATTAAGCTTAAGACTATAAAAAAGAAAAAGCTTATAATTAATATTATAGCCCTCTAGTAGTTATATAAGTAATATAAGGTCTATAAGGTATAATAAATATAAGGTAATAATAATCCTACTAATAGATTTACTAAATTATTACCTAATAAGGCGCTAGAATAACTAGTTAGAAATAAGATAGTTTAAATTAGTATAAAAAGATAAGTTTCTTAAGCTATATAATAGATTATATAAATAAAAAGTATTAAATACTTTTAGGCTTTTAATTTTATTACGTTTTTAAGCTTTTTAGCTACTAGGTAGTATTTAGGCTATTTATAGTAATTTTCCTTTACTTTAGAAAGTTACTAGTGTTAGGATATTTAACTATTTAATAGTAGAGCTAATTTATAGTTACGTGATTTACTATTACGTGACTTACCTCAGCAGCTCACTTACACCACCACAAATATCCGCAGCAACAACTTCTTCTTCTTTTTTAATTCATCTTAACAAGCAACTAGTAGTCAATCAAACTATTACTGCTTTACAATCGCGATCCCTGTGATACCAACAGCTTGTTTTAGGATCGACCGGTAATTAAAGAGAAGCTTTGTTTCCGCCCCTGTCAAGTTGTTGAGAAAGTCCGTCGTGCATTTAGCATTACCACAATTATATCTAGATAGATACCAGGGCCTGAGGTACTCCGTACAGCATTCACTCACTGTATTATGTATGGTCGAGTACCTGTGACAAACAACGAGGATGAAGGAAGTTAGATAACTTAAGAGCAGCGTATCCATATCTGCACCAAGATACGTGTGTAAAATATTCGCTTCTATGAAACTTTCCGTCCCAAGTGTCTAGGTATAACATCCTGCCCGTCACTCAATCCGATCTCATAAACGTCATCTGCGTATAGGAGCTTGTGATATTGACCAGCCTCCCGTCCTCGATGGTGAAGACGTACTCGTCAACCGCCTCCTGGGCGTCGAAGCCCATCCACACATGCGAGTTATCAAACAAACCCCCGGCGCCGCCCTCGGAGCGAGACCGCGGTTTCAGCTTCACAGGGTAGGTAACCATGCGGAAGGCCGTGCTGAACGTTCCCCTGCTGCCGTACAGCGCGGAAAGGGACCGGGAGTTAGAATACAAGCTGGTGGGGAACAGCCGCAGCGCCGACGCCCCAGCGGTCCCGTCCTCGCCGTCGATAGAGGCAGACTCGACGCCCAGGCCCGCGCCTTCCGCGTCGACGCCCAGGGTCATGTTGCTCCCCGCGGACGCCGCGACGAACGTACCGGCCAGGTTCAGCCTGGCGTTGTCGGCGGCGGCGGCCTCGGCGGCGGGGATGAAGAGCTCGCCAACCGCGTAGCGGATTGGCCAGCGGGCGGGGGTGGCGGTGCTGCCGGCTACAAGGATGGAGTACTCGATGCCGTGGTCCAGGGAGAGGGCAAAGATGCACGTGTAGTCGGAGTTGCCGCCCGCCTTGGTGTACAGGTCCGAGATGCGCGTGCGGTTCGAGCCGGCCGACGTCGGGATCGCGAGGCGGGCGATCTCCCATGGCGCACCAGCCAGTTCCACAAAAGATCCCGTACCGCTAAGAGGCTTCATCCACCGCGAGGTGTTGGTGCCGGAGAGGAGTTCCAAGTTCAGGATAGACAGCCCGAGCGCACGGAGGTCGGCCGTGTTCGAGTAGATGCCGCCCGAGGATGCGGTGACGGGGAAGTCCACGCCAAAGAGAGAGGATTCCGTGTAAAGTGCACGGTTAATCGAATTCGTATTCGTGCTGTTGGGCGCGGCCGCGGTCGTCCCGTCAAGACCGAGGGGCTCAAGAATGATGGACTGGAGGGCGTTTGCGTAGGTCTGTCCTGTGAGACGTGCAAGCACCTGTCCAAGAAGAGAGTATCCTCCATCGGAGTAGACGGCGGTCCGGTATGGGGAGATGACAGGGCGCTTTCGGCTCATATAGTCAAAGAGATCTGAGCCAGCGAGTCAGCCATGTAGCTTAGGAGACACGAAGTCACTTTGCTTACCCTCAGGGGACACGGTCTGAAGCTCCTCCAAGGTCATGTCTGGACTGGCAAGTCCTGGATCCCTTCCCTTGTTAGCATGGGATCTGTAAACCATTGACTGAAAATGGGAACCAACTATCCACTCCACCAGATCCGGCTTGGTGAGATGCCAGCGCTCCGACGGTGATGCCGTCCCAGCGGATTCGGCCGAAGGAATTGTCAGATGAGTTTCCCAGAAGCTCCGGGATGTACTTCATCACAGGGTGATCCAGGACTTCAACGCCGGCCTTGACGAGGATCGTAGGCCGTGAATAGCTTGCTCACACTGCCAATGCGTCCAATGGTGCCATCGTTGAGCTCGCCGGATGTTAGCCCGGCCTTTCCGTCCTCGCCAACGTGGTAGTAGCTATATAGGGACTTGTTCGTTGCGGCGGTAAAGACGTCGACGGCGAAGACGAGGTCGGTCTTGTTGAGCTGGCCGCTCTCGAAGAGGGCTTCTATCACCCTGGGGAAGGACTCTGTAGCATTCCAGATGTGCTGGGAATCTGTGGGATCAAAGTTGGAGAGGAATGATGGGCCGAGAAGAGGGACCTCTTCTGTCGGGACGTTGGCAGCAGCGGCAGCGGCAACGGCCGCGGAAGCCAAGAGGCTGAGAACGAAGGTGCGAAGCATTGGGGACGGAATATCTGGGTGATTGTCGAATATTGGAGGTATAATAGAGGAGACAGGCGAGTGTGGTGAAGCAATTTGTGATGAATTGGAGGCTTTGACGCTGTCACTTAAGTATTGCTGGATGATCCATCGTCGGAACGTGATGTTTGGCAGCAGGACGTCATTGTTTGACCTGCGCCTTGCTTTACACTACGCTTGTGTATTGTGCCTCTGACTTGATAGTGTAGGCTCATAGCTGCCGGGCGCCCGCCAAGCGGTTGAGGCTGACAAGGATGGTGAGCCTACCATCTAGAGGGAGATGACCTGGGGAATGTTCCTAAAAAGGAAGTGAGTATTGAGTCTTGCCAGTGGCACTTAGCCACGTTAGGGCTTACTGCCAAGCCTGTCCATCCTGAATGGGGAAAATACATGTCAACCGCTTGGATCAATTTGGTATCTTGTGCTGTGGGCGAGCAACGCGTTTCTCTTGCGAAGTCTCGGGTGGTGGTGAGTTCAGTCGGTCCTTGTCAGTATCTGAAGCTTTTAATAGAAACAGCTTCCAGCATCATAAACACACAATGCTTACGTTCCGAATATTCTAGGCAACTGACATGTCTTATCTGGCGACATTAAGTAGGTGGGAGAACCGCTCGACGGTTTCGGTGTCTCGGTGCCCTGTGAATAACCAATGATGTCGGGGCCTTGTTCTATTACCTTGTCATTTGTAGCTACTACATCGTCAGCTTCCCCGGCATCATTAGAGCGAGAGTAAGTGGCCAGGTTATACCAATGTGCATAACTGCGGATGGCTTATAAAAGTTAGATGGCAGGATTAGGCCATAGCTTAAGTCGCCAAACTACAATAAGGCTTGTAGGTCATCCTATTTATTCAGATCAAGCTGAATTGTATCTGTAAAGCAATTTCATAGACCCGGTGGAGGGGCTTAGACTCTATGTACAGATGTATGTCACATATGTAGGCTTGAAGGCAATGGTGCGGTGTTCCTCGAGGAGGAACATTGTTGATCAAAACAAGGCGTATAAGGGGGTCGTTCGGCAGCAGTAATTGGAGTAGAGTAAGGAAAGCCACAACCTGGTAGAAGAGAAGTAAGTACCTTGCGCCGGAAATTCAGAAATGCTTCTTACAAATGGTGATCAAAAATTTGTCTAAAATTTGTCTTATCCTAATCTCCTGTTCTGGTCGTGGCAATTCTAGGGAATGGGTTGTACCAAACTATCGCCAAGAAGATTGATGGCTTAATAAGCAAAATATATTAAGTAACAGACAGAGATAGATCACACTTAAGGGGTAAATAACATCTTGAGCTTTGCGAAGGATCAGTAAGAGCAGGTGAGAACTATAGGAATGAATCAATCAACTAAACTTAGACTCTACCCCTCTTAGTCAACTTTACTTATACTAATAATAACCTAACCTTAGACAACGTCAGTAAATACTACTAAATAATCTAGCTTAGCAGCATAATACTTGACAGTAGGACGTTAATATTTAACCTACGCCTTGCTTTAAAGTATTCGTATACATTATGTCTCTAATTTGCTTTGCTTATAGCTAATATGCCAGGCGTCTGCTAAGCGGTTAAGGCAGACAAGGATGGCGAGGCTAATATGTAAAAAGAGATGACCTAGGGAAATTGCCTAAAGAGGAAACTGTAAGTCCCGAAATCATAGCTGTTAAGGCTTACTCTAAACCTGTCTATTCCGAATGAAGAAAATATACGCTAACCTCTAGGGTCGAATCGGCCAGTTGCTACGAACTCGATAGTAGATATAAAAGTATTATAATCACTATAGCCTTAAGTCACAGCCTAGCAACGACTCTGTTGTCGCTAACGTTTAAGCGCCCCCTAGCCACACTGTTGTCGAGTTAATTCGCGCTAAAGTCTAATTTGGCAACTTATCTCTGTAATTCGGTATTTGTTGCTGTGTAAAGGGATTAAGATGTCGCACAGGCTAGAGGTCTGTGTATCAAGTTATACGTATTGTGATACTTCTGTATTAGAATGAGACCGCTTATGGCGGGCTAGAGCGATAGAAACGACATGAAATGTACTTTAATTAATGTTACATAGAAATGATACCGAGCTTGACAGTATGCTGGATTGTACTGCTTGGTGCGTGCCTTGTCGTCCATGGACGCTTGTGGTCCATATGGGTGATACGGCCCGGGCAGCAGGTGGGCCATGTGAATAGCCGCCTGCCCGGTATTAGTATCTACTCCACCCTTGCCCCACGAAGTGGGCAGCCAGCACATAATGCTGTTATCTAGATCAACCAAGTAACAATAACAACAACCACTAACTTCCTACTTTTGTTTATTATCACCAAAGCAGGTGATATGCCTACCCTTACGAATAATACCAAAGTATACATCCTTAGGAGTCTGTTGGTATCAGAGCCTATTCGCTCCGATGCGCGCCAAATCTCCGGTGCATTTGAGGTCAGATTTGTGTGAAGAAAAGAAGCCATTGAGAGTGCTGGGCTTGCAAAGAGTCGCCAGTCTGGACAGAGAAAGGAGGTGAGCCACGTGGCCGTAATATATATGGCTTCGGTTCTCTGGCTGGCCCAGCCTCCGTGAATATACGGCACCACAAGTTCCAACATAGTCTTTGTCACAGAGGTCGTGGGTTTGAATGACTGTCTTGGCAAATCCTCCCGCTATGGAGAAGACAGGGAAGCCTAGCGGGTCCATATCGTTGTAGCCAGCATAGACGCCGGGAAGCCTTGGGAGGGGCAAGGATATGCCAGGCACTAGTCTGACCATGGAAACAACCCCATTGGCCTGTTGGTTAACACTACGAAGTGCAAATGCTTCGTACGCCACCTACAGCTGTGCCGCTGCAGGGTGATCACAGAGCAGAGATTTTTGCATGCGGCCAAGCCGGACACTCCCCCCAAGAATGTTTCCTCTGTCGTGGAAGAATTAGCTTAGCTCTACCCTTGGAACCTTCAACCAGGGTACATCTTCTACCGCCTGTTGCCTAGATTGTGGTCTGGCGCTACATACGAAGGAGACGGGGATTGCTGATATATCCGGTCTAGCCATAAGCAGAAAAAAATGTATCGATGTTGGTTACTGCAAGTGCCATACCACTCTCATTCTTATTTTTCTTCATTTAACCGGATAGGCCCGCCCCGGCGCTGCCCAGCGGCTATGCCGGGGTAAAAGTGGCTGATTCGGTAACGCACATCTGACCTCCGGCGTTGAGTGTCAGCCGAAGGTAACGTAACACGCATTCTTCAAGTGTTTGAACTTCAACATGTTCTGTGAGCGCTGCGCCAACGATTAAGCATCGCAACAATAGTATCATTGGAACCGGCTGACGATTAAACATCCCATGTGCGTTTTTCGCGGTGGTGGTAGACTTTTTACATTTCCTGACACTAAGATTCCTCATACAGTGTCGTTACTGTCTTTACCAAGGCCGCCACCTCAAACGTCGTCAGCGTGGTGGACCGACCCCATTCGTCGCCTTTTACGCTGACATCGCACCCCCTAAAGAGCATTTCCAATCCTGATTGAAAATAAAAAGTTTACAAGGAGATTCTATAACTTAACTTGAAGTATTTTTAGGGCAAAAAAGAAAAGGAAGTAAATACAAGTCACAATCATTCTCAAACAAAGTCATGGGAACGTGTATCTCATCCACTTCTTCATTCCACTTCCAACGTGCCAAGCCTGGTATATTGGAGGAGCATTGAATCCATGAAATCTCGGCTGTACCATTAATAGAAAGATCTGACTGTGAGGGTAGATCCTTTCTGGCTCCAGGTGTATTGTCCCTGTAAGGACAGCGACCTAGTGGTGAAGTGCCACTCAGTAATTCCCCTGGTAACGAACATATCGTCGAGTGTTGTTCGTCATAACTATCGAAGCATTGTGAGGTTTGATATCGATGATTGGGGGTCTATCAGGATAGTTTAGCACACTCGTCGTATCAGCCATCGAGATGCCAAGAAGTCGCCACTTACCCTACGCAGATGTAGCCTGTAGTGACATTAAAGGTGCCGCATTGAATGTACAGTTTTGGGTTCCACTCTGCTAAGCTCTTCTGCGTTGCGCCATATACCTCAAGCAACGACTCACACGAGTCTTCGGGCTTCAATGGGTGTACTTTGCATCTGGTTGGCAGGCATAAGTCCTGGCCGGCTTCGAGACCACCGCACCAACCATCGAGCTCGTCATTGGCTTCCGTGAGTCCCCTGCTCGGTACTTGTTGAGCGGCGGCGATGCTTTCGCACGTATCTCCTTCCTGGACGCGGTATGTTGTGGCACATTCCGACGACATGCGTTGCGCAGACCAGTCTTGTGGGACTATGGTAGGGGACACGGAGGAGGTGGACGTTTGACTGGAGGCGTATGGCGACGGGCTTGTGTAGGCGTAGCCCTTGACGCTGCAGCTGGAGATGGCTGTCTTGAACTCGTCGGCCCGGGCCTCGGTGTGGCCGATGGGCGAGTTAACCTCCAGCTGCATGGGCCCGAGAATACAGTCGTCGCATTCGCTCGGCTTCGAATCTGTATCGTTGCGCCACTCACCAAGGACGTGGTCGCACGCATTTCCAGTCTCCCTGTCGACCGTTAAACTACCATTGCTGTTGCGAGGAAGGGAATGAACGCTCACCTATGTTTGTAGCATGAGATGTCATAAACATAAATGTAACGGTCCACGATATAAGTGGCTACGAACAGCGTCAGTGGTGTAACATACGAGCGATGTCTGAGGAGTTACCAACCAGGGTATAGCACTAAGTTGTGGTCGAAGACATCCTTTTTGGGATCACAGTCGTTCCGAATCTTGGCATGTAAGTCTGAAAGTGAGTTTCTGCCGCTTTTGGTACATATCTCTTCAATCCCAGCGGCGTCGAGAAGGTCGACTCGAGGAGATCTAGTAAGGTCAGTAGTGCATAGTGGACAAGATGCTACTCGAGTCTTAGGCGGCCTACTCAGACCTGACATGACTCATCAGCAAGGTAGAGCAATCCAAGACGGTATTTAGTGCTTCGAGACACTTTGGAGTCATTCCGAACGACTCGTAGGAAGCAGATCGGAGTGGGAACTGCTGGGCCTGACTGAGCGGCAACGCAGCCAAGCCGGCCACTGTACGAACTATCTTCCACATAGAGAGTTGATTGTGAAAACGGCGAGAACACGAGGGAAGCTTGATTCCTCAAGTTTGTGAAGGTTGAAGGAGGGGAAAGAACCCCGAAAAGTCTGGCCAACTTGGATCGGGCAAGGAAAGGACACCAGAGTGTTAATGACAAGGAGCCTGGACAAATCGACGTTGAGGGTAAGGCCCGCTCTTCACATCAGATTTCAGGTGGGCCGGGCCTACCCTCCAAGTTCTGAACGTGGCTCGATTCATTTACGACAAGGTCTATCGCTACCGGATCACCCGAAATGATGCGTCAGTCATCAATTGGGTGTTCTGTTGGTTGTTGTCCATACAAGATGTTTTCTGCATCTGTTGGTCAGTCAAGCTGCAAGGTACAGGTGGATGAGAGCACGGATCCGGATAAGCCTCCACTGGCTGGCTTCCGACGGGTAGGGGTCGTGCCCAGAACATCAACAGTCTAGTCCTTGTATAACGTTAAGCGCGACTCTCTCCCTTTTATGTTCTATCTTCAAGGCGGTTTCCTCTGAATAGCGGACTAGATCACGGCACAAAAGCGCCGTTTGCCAAGATGCAAACCCAGTCCATCAAATTCATTGACGCAGGGAGTGATACCTTGTTCCAACCGCGACCCTCAGTCTTGCCAATGCAGCCCTGCCAAAAAAAAAAGTCGAGACCACTAGTGTATTTGCCCATCACGGATGTGCCATCAGGCCTCGCTGCTGTCGGCCGATCGAGGCCCGACTCAATCTGTCCGGACTCGTCCCTTTCTAGTTTCCAGAGTTATGGGGAAAGCGGATGCTAATGTTGATGCTTGCAGACTCAGGGTCTCAGGGTTCCAGGGGTCATCATGAAAGAAAGAAGTCAGAAATGAAGGGAAGCGAGCCAGTCGACGAGCGCCAGGAGCGTTGATCGATTGAAGTTGATAAACGATAGGGCACCCTGTGTTCTTCGTGCTTGTAGCTGGGCCATATGATCTCGTTCGCTGTCATTTCCTAGCAGAAAGCTCGCTCTTCCCCGTCGAAGCCGCTTCTTCCAGACTTGCGATGAAACTATTACTTCTTTTTCTGTCAGTCCTGTTATGGGCAAATCAAGCTCTGGGAAGGGCTGTTTTTGCCCACTTCATGGTGAGCTGGCCGTAACCTCGCCGGAAAATCAGCTCTGGAGCAGTGTATCACTGACATTTCCTTACCTTGCAGGTTGGCAATACGGAACACTATTCAGCATCTGACTGGGTCGAGGACATCAAATTGGCTCAAGAGGCCCATATCGATGCCTTCGCCCTCAACATGGCCAGGGGCGAGCGGATGAATGCCAAAGCTATCGCAGATGCCTTCTCAAACGCTGAGGCACTGGGTTTCAAGCTCTTCTTTTCTTTCGACTACGCTGGACGTGGCCCCTTCTCCAAAGACGAGGTAGTCTCATGGATCAAAAAGTACGCCCCCATCAGTGCTTACTTCCGGCACCAAGGAAAACCCTTTGTCTCGACTTTTGAAGGCCCTGATCAGGCTGAAGATTGGCACGACATCAAGGCTGCAACTGGCTGCTTTTTTGTACCGGATTGGTCGTCTTTAGGCGCTGGTCCTGCTGTACGAGCAGCTGGTGGTGTGGCAGGTGGCCTCTTCAGCTGGGCCGGCTGGCCATGGGGAGCTCAGGACATGGAGACCTATGTCGATGCCTCGTATGTTGAGGCTCTAAATGGCAAGCCATATATGATGCCTGTATCCCCATGGTTCTATACCAATCTTCCTGGATATAACAAGAATTGGATGTGGCGTGGCGATCACCTATGGTTTAACCGTTGGATCCAGGTTAACACCCTTATGCCTGAATTCGTTGAGATCATTTCATGGAACGATTACGGAGAAAGCCATCACATCGGACCAATTCGGGACCACGCTCTTGTTGCTTTCGATAAAGATTCAGGCAAGGCCCCTTACATGTACTCACTCGATCATCATGGCTGGCGAGTTCTACTACCGTTTGCTATTGATCGAAACAAGAACAGCAAGGCAGTTGTCACATACGAGGGAGTTTCTTTCTGGTACCGCCCTACTCCTAAGCGAGCTTGCGACACGGGTGGAACAACGGGCAACACTATTTCACAACTGCAGATGGAGTTCCAGCCTTACGATATCATCGACGACTCAGTATTCTTCACTGTCCTCGCCACCGAATCAGTAAAGGTCACTGTGTCTATCGGAGGCGCTGAGTCCCAGGGCATACTACGGGATTTCCCTGACGGCGGCGTTGGCCTGTACCACGGAAGTGCACCCTTTAACGGCCGAACGGGCAATGTTAAGATTGCAGTATGGCGCAAGGATATCCTTCTTGCTGAGAAGTCCGGCCCTGCAATCAACAATGATTGTCATAACGGTATAGAAGACTTTGACGCATGGGCTGGGGGTGGTTTGACCTCCAAGGCCTCAAGACCGGTTAACCCCATCTCTTGAGGAATCTGCATCAGAGGTACTGGTGCAAACGACTTTGACGTTCTTTGCCGCGCCACATGCGGCTGGGGATACTGTCCCAAGTCAGCATGCGTCTGCAGAGCTACAGGCTTCCAGGTCAAGCTGCCGCCAGAAATCCTTGGCGAAGTATTTCCAGCTGAGGGCTTGAACTCTAACTACATCGGGCTCTGCAATTTTGCTTGTCTTTACGGGGCTTGCTTCTCTAAGATTATTACTATAGGTAAAAAAGCTATTACCTACTAAATAAAGATATAATAAATAATTCTAGATCAGGCACTGGTGAAGGAGACTGGGCAGTCCTTTGCAACTTCGCTTGTCTCCACAGCTTCTGTCCGATTGCCAGATGCAAGTGTACAAGCCAGGGCTCTCTTGACCTACTAAGCCCGACTCAAGAGACCAAGGCTATAAGCCGCATTGGTAAGGATTATGGTCTTTGCGCTTTCAGCTGCGCGAGGGGCTTATGTCCCAAGGACGCCTATGACTCCGGCGGAGGTGAATCGCAAGAGCAAACCAACCCTCCAGTGGGCCAAATTGAGATGACTCACCTCGATAAGGACTGCTACATGTTCCCCGAGTGCGTTGACCTCGATAATCCGCAAGCATCCAGCTGCCGCGACAGCCATACACGTGTCTCATTTGACAGAGGTTCTTGTCCAAAGGGCTATGTAAGTTGTGTTCTGCGTACCAAAGTATGTGTGGTTTTCCTTTTACTAATCAGTATTTTTTCAGGGTCGTCCCATTTGTTGCAAGAATACCGCTTTCCCCATGCAATGCACCTGGAGAGGTGGTGGGCTTGACTGCAACGGGCAATGCCACATGGGAGAAGTCACTCTCTTCGAATCTAAGAGGGGAGGCGACCCTGGAGAGAGCGACGACAGCGCATGTAACCGTGGACATAAAGTCTTTTGTTGTGGACTTAAGACTTTCAAAGAAATGACCAGTCAATGCCGCTGGACTAAATGGTCAGTGTACCTGGCCGGAAATCTTGCATGTGTTTCCCAAAGCTGACGTACTGGATTGGAGCTCTGAAAAATGTACGGACGATGAAGATGAAGTTGCGCGAGCAGCAGAGTTAAGAGGGGAGTGTGGGCTCGGCACGAGGGTAAATCGTTACTGCTGCAAGAACAAGCCGCCCCCCCTCTCAAACTGCCATTGGGTCGGCGAGGGCAACTGTGCAGACAACCACTGCAACAATAAGGAGGTCACCTTGATTTTAGATCAGGGTGGCTTAGACGGTACCCTTTGCAATTGTAAGTCCCAAGGATCACGTCCCTACGTTTTACACTAACATTGGGCTTTGATAAGGGTGGAGGAAGAAGATTCTCTGCTGCACGCCAGAAGAGGGCGTCTTTAGTAACGGACACTGCCCCGCGCCGCATTGTACGACACAGACAGACAATTGCGCTCCTGATGAATAGGGTACAGATGACACCGAAGACGAATGTAACGATGATGAATGCAAACACGACGAGCTTCGCAGAGATGTGATGGCTATGTCCCAAGACCTTTCTATAGCTAGTCTAGCCTTCCAGGAAAGATCACTCCTCGAGGCAAGGAAGGAAAAAAGACGGCCATTCAGCATGAATCTCATCGACCTCATCTCAGGCATTGTCTATACGCTCGAGATCCTAGCTAGAAGGTATCCTGGGTCAGGTTCTCTCAACGAACAAAGTGGGGCCTCAGACAACGTATTCCAGTAAGCATTATGCCTCTCGCACACCATTTAGGGATACTCTATAGTCTGTTTATTCTAACACATCTACTCTATTAGGCAGGAACCTAGTTGCAGAAAAACCAGCATTCTTGTAACTAAACGCAATAAAACCGCATCAAAAGCGCAAATAGGGAAATAGCTCGACGCAGAACACAACCTAGATGTAAGCATCTCACTATTATGTCCCTTCTAAGTCAAAAGGTAGTAAGAACTTGACTAACAGGCAGGAAACACCTTCAATTCATGCCCGAATTCTTGAGATCTATAGCCACCAGCAATCTCCCAGGGGGGAGAAAGTCCCTCTTAGGTAAAATAGATAGTAGGGTTATCATGAAATATTAGACCCAAAAGTTCCCTAAAGGCACCTTCCCAAGGTCAGGCAAAAGCTTAGCCATCCTAACACCAAAAGATTCCTTAATAGAACAGTTCGGCTCTATAGGGGACCAAAAACCCTCGCTTCTTTGTAAAAAGAAACTAAACAGCATAAAAAGGATTATCTTTAATGGTAGCACTTTTCTAGTCGCAAATGACTTAATACAAGACTGGCAAAGACGTGCAGTAACAAGTAATGCAACTGCACAGGACAGCTATTTTGAGGGGATAACAATAGTAAAGTCTCCCTAGAGTACTGCTTTTACACGCCAGCACAAGCCCGGTATTAATGTATATTTGTAGGCAATTGCAGTGTAGAACTTTTCAAATCACCCTAGCGTTTTACCAACAATCCAGGATAACCAACAGAACCTTTCTAATGCAGCTCGTTTGCTTGGGGCGTTTATCATAGAGTTTGCAATCTTAGAAGCTCTCATGATGCAGTTCAATAGTGCTTAGTACGACAGCGCGGCCAAAAGAACCCGTACTTAGGTGACCAGTATGTTGGACAGTCTGTAAGACAAGCTTGCTCCCCTTATACTCACCGGCCTGGCACCGCCAAACACAAATGCGATTTTCCGTTTAATAGCAGAAGTAAGAAGCCGTATTAAGGACATAAAGGTGCCGCCACGCAAAAAGAAGCCGTAGGTCTAATAGCGTAGAACAAACAAGTACATATAATTACGATATTGGCTTTCTATCTTGCTTTCTAACAACTAATCAGTCTTATTACAGAATCTCATTTAGCACCTGTTTTTCTAGCAGGCAGGCATCGTCATTAGGTTCCGAGGGTAAATAGACGGTGGGCGTTAATAGGACATATAGTCGTCTAAGCGCCGCTGGTAAAGGTCGTCGTATATGCCCCCCACGTAAAAGGCGTTGCAGTATATCCACCCAACATACCTGCAATCGCTACCATCGACAAGAGGGTAGCCGCGTTCATATTCGTCCTCTTCATCGTCACCATCTTCGTCCTCATCCTCATCCTCATCCTCATTCTCTTCCTCATTCTCTTCCTCATTCTCTTCCTCATTCTCTTCCTCATTCTCTTCCTCATTCTCTTCCTCATTCTCTTCCTCATTCTCTTCCTCATTCTCTTCCTCATCCTCCTTGTTCTTAAACCCGCCCTCATCATCATCACTAGTGCCATCTGGTGTCCAGGTTCAATTAATAATGGCGAAAACCACTGGTAGTAGGAGTTCTAGAAACAGCGCTGTGCCGTCATTTGCCTCTTAGAACTAGGCGACAGTGTTGAGGCACTCTTTATCAACATATATACAGTATTGAAAGCAGGGTAACTGGATAGGGAGTCGGTTTGTTAAAAGGCTAACTGGAAGCTTAGGGACATTCTGCTCTAAGACCCATTGGTTAAACCGCCTCCTAATGTCAGGCCGGGAGGCGTTATCAAGGGTAGGACAGTCCTTAATAACAACCCAATCAAGGTACTACTCCAGCAGCTCAGCGCGTCAATTCTCAGCAAGGTAATTGTAATAAAATTCCTTAAGCTGCGCAAGGTAGCAGCTCCAGAGCTCATCATCATCGTACGTGCAGCAGTAGATGACAAAGCCCCATTTGTAGATGCCAGTGCTAATTATGTTAAGGCAGGTGTCTCAGTAGACCTCTAGACGGTAAGGGCTAAGGTCAGTAGGAAACTCTGCAAGCGTGCGGGCCCGTAGCTGTCTGTCTCCATATTTTGTAAGTCGGAAGAAAGGATCGTGCGGGTGAGAAAAGCAACTTGGAAGACGGTATACATCTCACCTGACGTACCCCCCTGGCTGACCTGACCTAGGCCCACCTAAAAATGTAGATTAATCCTGTATTAATCCAGGATCAATCCATAACTCTAACCCTTACACCCTTCTATCTAACACTAAAAGAATAAACATATACCATACGCTAAACTAACCACTAACCCTAACTACTGACCCTAACTACAAACCCTAACCTATTTCTATGAATTTTAGAATAATTAATTATACCTTACCTGACGTACCCTCCTTCTTAATAGGGTTAGGGTTAGAGTGGGCCTAGGTCAGGTCAGCCAGGGGGGGGTAGGTCAGGTCAGCTGCATCCTGCTTGGAAGATAAGTGCGTGCTTTATACTGAGAGACAAGTAACAGTACCAAGGTACCTGGATAGGCACCCACGCACCTTACACTAAGTCCAGTGGGAGTTCAAAAGTATCTGAACGCACCAATTTTTAAAAAACTAGGTTACAGGGGCTTACAATAGGGTTTACAGAAGGCTTAGGTAGCTAAAGTATCTTTACTTCTACTAAGCTCTTTATATCTTTACATAAGTATGTAGAAATAAAAAGATATATTAATATATTATATCAATTAAATTTATAAATTAATGAATGTTATTAAAAGGAAATTTTACTGCCTAGGATTAAGCGGTATGGTGCTCTAAATACTATGAGTTTAGTAGACTTGGGGTGGTGAATTTTTCAAGTTCGGATACTTTTGACTTGTCACTGTACCGGGACAGGGCCGTAAGGGGTTAGAGCTTGGATGCAGGTAAGGTACGGATAAGGTAGGGAGCAGTACGGATATTGGGGGTTAGAAAACGGTTCGTCCTAATTTCTGGTGGCTGGGTGCCCCTGTTGGTATCGCCCGTTTTAACGCATGTGACAATCAATGCAACTAAAGAGAGTTTACATGGCATAGAGGTAGCAAGACGAGTACCCACATCGAATTGTTGCGGCAAGTTTTTCCTAAGCGTTAGCTACCTATATAATTCTAGAAAATGATCCAACCCGATGCATAGGATGATAACTAAGATTGCCGTCATAAACTGCGTTCAAAGGGATGGTTCGGTCTCAACGCTTTTCCCCGCATGGCGCGGGGTAGGGATCGGAGGGCACCGTAGGGAGGAAGGCAAACACCATACCTTCTGCTTTTCCTTCATGCAACAGATGCGATATCACCGGTAAACATTTGCAATGTTGAGATTCATTGAAATTTCAGCCCTGTTATTCTGCGGGAGTGCCTTGGTGGCTGGATTTGATGCCGACAGCCATCAAAAACCACTTGTATCTCGGACCTGTCTCCCGGCGGTGGAACATGCTGCGAACAACAATGCCGTCAACAGCTTTCCGGATTGCAGCCGAGACCCTCTTTGCTCGAACGATGTATGCGACGAGACCCTCTCTCCAAAAGAGCGCGCCGCAGCGCTGGTAGCCGAGCTCACGATCTGGGAGAAGCTGGATAACCTTGTAAACGAGGCGCCTGGCGTTCCGCGACTCGCCATTCCGCCGTATGAGTGGTGGTCTGAGGGCCTTCACGGAGTCGCGTCGTCCCCGGGTACCAAGTTTGCCAAGAGCGGCAACTTCAGCTACGCAACTTCGTTCCCGCAACCGATTGTCTTGGGCTCGGCTTTCGATGACGACTTAGTCAAAGCTATCGGGGAAGTGGTCAGCAAGGAGGCGAGGGCGTTCAGCAACCGCGGCAGGTCCGGCCTCGATCTCTACGTAAGCTCGATCTCTCGCCACATTGAACCTGAAGTGCGGGATGATATGCTAACTGAGCCCGAGTCCCCGAACATCAATGCGTTCAAGGATCCTCGTTGGGGTCGTGGTCAGGAGACTCCCGGCGAGGACCCCTTCCACCTACAGAACTACGTCGCAGCTATGCTCACAGGACTCGAAGGAGGCGATCCTTCCAAAAAGCTAATAGCAACATGCAAGCACTACGCAGCTAATGACTTTGAAAATTACAAAGGTGTCGACCGTGCCGGCTTCGACGCAAACATCACCACCCAGGACTTATCTGAGTACTATCTTCCGCCCTTCAAAACCTGTGCAGTTGACAAGAAGGTCGGGTCGTTCATGTGTAGCTACAACGCCATCAACGGAGAACCCCTCTGCGCAAACCCTTACCTTCTGGAGGATATCCTTCGTCAGCATTGGGGCTGGAACGGGGATGGGCAATATGTGTCAACGGACTGCGATTGTGTCGCTCTGATGGTGTCGCATCATCATTATGCTCCGGACCTTGGACACGCGGCGGCCTGGGCGATGAAAGCCGGCACCGATTTGGAATGCAACGCATTTCCTGGTTCGGAAGCCCTGCAACTTGCTTGGAACCAGTCCCTCATTTCCGAAAAGGAGGTCGACAAATCTCTCACGAGAATGTATACAGCGCTCGTATCCGTTGGCCAATTCGATTCGGCTCGAGGGCAGCCGCTGCGCTCGCTGTCGTGGGACGACGTGAACACGAAGGAGGCGCAGAAGCTTGCATACCAGGCAGTCATCGAAGGCGCTGTGCTCTTGAAAAATGACGGGATACTACCCTTGTCAGCAGCTTGGCGTGAAAAGAAGTATGCACTCATCGGTCCCTGGATAAATGCAACGACGCAGATGCAGGGTAACTACTTCGGTCCTGCACCGTACTTGATCTCACTCTACCAGGCCGCAAAGGAATTCGGGTTGGACTTCACCTACTCTTTGGGCTCCAGGATCAACAGCACCGATGATTCGTTCAAACAAGCGCTCGACTCGGCTCACGCTGCTGCTCTGATCGTTTTCGCAGGCGGCGTCGACAACACACTGGAAGCCGAGACTCGCGACCGCAAGACATTAGCTTGGCCTGAGTCTCAGCTTGATCTTCTTCGCGCCGTGTCCGCACTTGGGAAGCCTGTCATCGTGCTTCAATTCGGTGGAGGGCAGGTTGACGATACCGAGCTCCTTGCCAACCACTCTATCAATGCGCTTCTGTGGGGTGGATACCCTGGCCAGTCAGGAGGAAAGGCCGTCATTGATCTCCTATTCGGTCGTGCCGCGCCTGCTGGTCGACTCTCGGTTACGCAATACCCTGCGTCTTACAACGAAGACGTCCCATCAACGGATATGAACCTCCGACCCGGTCCAGGAAACTCGGGGTTAGGGCGCACTTATATGTGGTACAACGGTGACGCAGTTGTGCCCTATGGGTTTGGTTTGCACTACACGACATTCGATGCCAAGTTGAAAGCGAGGCAGGCGTCAGCTCTTATCAAAACGGAGGAAGTCTCTTCCCTTTTGAGCAACGACTATGTCTCGGGAACCTTGGTGTGGCAGCAGATACTGACGAAACCTGTCGTCAGCGTCTTGATTACAGTATCAAATACAGGAAACGTGGCCTCGGATTACGTGGCATTGTTGTTTTTGAGATCCAACGCTGGCCCAACCCCTCAGCCGACAAAGACACTTGCAGGGTATCACCGCTTCAGAAACATACAACCCGGAGACAGGTCTGAAAGAGAGGTTTCAATTACAATTGAACGTCTGGTCAGAGTTGATGAGCTGGGAAATCGGGTGCTACACCCCGGATCTTATGAACTGTTTGTGGATTTGGACGAAAAGTCAACACATAAATTCAAGGTCGGAGGCCCTTCGGTGATAGTTGAAGAGTTTCCGCAGCCTAGGGATCGGGATTAAGATTGATCTGAGTCAGACCTGTCAAAAGCGTATGTGAAACCTATGGAGGGTCTAGGTAGAGCATACATGCCCATGGCCTGGCCTGGTGGTCTTTTTGGGCCTGATCTGTCGGTGTGACTGAATATGGGATGAATTGGATAACCACTTGGACAGGCGACAAGTCTGGCCATCTTAGCATCAAACCAGAATGGAGCACCTGACGTTACTGAACGTTGATTAGTAACACGTATGAAATGATTTCCGTCTCTCATACTAACTTCTATGTGAATAAGCGACCCATACCGGCCCAATTAGAATGAATAGAGGAGGCCGGACAGAGTTTATTCCAAACTCGAAACCACCTCATAACAGGAAATTATCATGGCTGGTGATGTAAGGGAACCATGCGAACTAGGTTATATTATAGTTCAGTTGGACAACCGCCGATGGAAACCAGGGTTCGCATTTCACCCACATTGTTCCTCGCGTACTAGTAGAGCCTTTAATCTATCGATGTCAAAGTATGTTCACATCAAGGATTAATAGAAATTAATACATAAACACCAACTTGGCAGATGGGTTTCATCTATGGTTTTCGTACTATGAAGGGGTGTGATCTCTGGCAAGACATGACCGAACGATGGAGTGCATTTCCGTCTAAAACACACTTTCTTGCATGTAAGTGATCTGTGCTTCCCGATAGTCATCCCGTGCAAGATATCTCAAGGTAGTGTAATTGGCATCAAATACCAGGTTATGCGGCTGCCCAGGCGTGTATAGTGGCCAAGTGGCGCCGTTCATTCTCTGGTCATCGAAAACATTCGGATCGTTGTTGTGAATGAAAGCAACCCACATGCTGCTCATGAGGCCAGCCAGCTCGATATAAGGCTGGGGTTTCCCCTCAAATGGGTTGGTGGCGTAACCAAGCCCCCGGACGTTGTTGAACACGAATGCGACCTCCTGAAAGTGCGTAGCGCCATAGATAGGCTCGATGCCGTTTACATAGACATCCCACATGTACGAGTACACTGGCAATCCGGCCCCGGCATAGGATCTTGCAAGGAGCCGTCTACCGCTATGTTGTTGGTAGTCTCCTGCAACCGCCGCTACGCGTTTCCATTGAGAACCAAAGGGGGCGAGCTCCCCAGAAGGACGACCTGGGTACGGTGCGGGGATGCCAACATTCGGGTCGTCTACATACAACTCCGAGATGGCGTCAATCTGAATAGTATTAACCTTAAAACTGCTTGCGAGCCATGTTTCAAACTCTTCCGTAGTGTTGATACCCTGCTTTGAGTACGCGGTACCTTCGTCAAAATTGTTCCCAAGAAGAAGCGGAACGGAGGCAAATTTGCCTTGTCGCAGCAGGGTCGACGCTTGAGCCGTGATGAAGTCGCCGTCCACGACAGCGCTAATCCCGGGAGCAGTGACACCTAAGGGGTTTGAGCCGTTGAAGATCCCATTGAGAGTTTGCCATGGCAGTGCTTGCAGGCAGCTTATCCGCGCAGCCGAACCGCCGTCGGCGCATCCCGTCTTCCGTAAGAGAGCATTGAAGTAAGGCTGCCAAGCATCCGCATTGACGAATCTGGCGACTGGGCTGCCACTTTCGAGGATGGCGCTTCGGAACAGGTTGTCATGCTTACCGTCATAGGCAATGAGCTGCATTCCAATGGATCGTGCCCCAGCGGACTCGCCCCAGACAGTCACCTTGTCAGCACTGCCGCCGAAAGGAAATATGTTTTCTTGAATCCATCGCAATGCTAAGCGTTGGTCTTTGAATCCGATGTTGCCTGCCTTGCTATCTTGCAGTTCTCGACTGAAGAGAAACCCCCAATATGAGAGACGATAGTTGATGGAAGCTGCGATTATGGGCTTGTTCTCCTGGACGGACTGGTCGACAATGTAGCTGAGGTTGTATCTAGGGTCGCGAGAACCGCCGTTAACATAGCTCTGAGGTGACCAAAGTCAGCGATACTTGGTTGTTCCGTCGGAAAGTCCTCAATACCTACACCACCGTGAATCCAAAGTCCGACGGGAAGATCGTCTCCTGGCTTCGTTCCGGCTGGGCGGACAATGTTGATCGTCAAGCAGTCCTCTGAAACCGGATTTCCGAGATTCGAGGTATCGGAGCCGTATCCAATGCACATCCAGCCATACTCAGTGGCAGACACCGGTTCTTCAAATGACTCGTTGAGCGGTTGAGGGGGTGCGTAGCGGAGGGACCCGATAGGAGGCTGCGCATATGGGATACCTAGAAAGAAGTCCTGCGCATAGTGTTTGTTCCGCACGCCTACGAAGGTTCCGTTTGTGAGGCGCACGGAAGGGGGCGAAACGTTATCCTGTTGGTCTACTGGTGTGAGACACTCCGATGGGTCCGAGCCCAAGAGAAGCATCAGAAGGAGTTTAAACACATGTGGTCTCATTCTGGGCGGTTTCAACACAGCCGAAGGATTCTCACTGCCTCTAGATGTCGAAAGGAAAGGATAGAGTGGCTAGCAACGGCGTGTATCACCTCGATCACCTAGCTAGACAGGATTCGATTCTGGGATGATTATATCACGTCCTCCACAATACCCATGAAAAGTCCCTCTGGCCATATGACCAGAGACTACGGCTATACAATTCCGCTGGAGTGAAGGCTACTAGCCAGTTTGGATACAATGCGCCTGCTCTTCTCGGCACCATAGGCCAACCCTGACGGATCATTTTACCCGCTGATGTCACCATATGACAATGCCCATTGAGACCTCAGGGCCCATGGTGACATTTTTCTAGTGTATCTGGGATGTGCATGGATCGTGCAGTTCTGAGAGGAAGGGCCGGCATCGCTCGCACCAGAGTTCCCCTATACGAGTTCTTTGTTTCCCGTGTTTCTTACGTGTCAAGGAATACCAGGCGACTCACCTCTTTTTCCGGCTTAGCAATCCGTGACTATTGGACTCCCAGGCCGCTGCTAACCCCTTGTCGGTTGGCGTTTATGTAAAGCCAGGATTTTACCCCGCTCGATATGTAAACAGGTGTTCGGGTCCGGCACTTGACCAACTGCGGTATACCCCAGCATGCAGCTGATTGTGCGGGGGAGGGCCACCAAGTTGATATTTTTACTGGGTTAGTCGTCCGACGGGTCGGAGAAAAAAGAACTCATCGGATTCCCGTTGAAGGAACGTGCCGTTAGTTGGACTGCTACGGATACTTTAGTTAACGTTGTACTTCTTCATTTTGTATTTAAAAAGGATGGAAGATCGCCATGGATATACATGCCCAGAGACCACGCCACCTCAATCAACACATGATGGCTGTTGTCAGACCAAATGAGAATCCCTGAACTTTCTGGTCAGAAACGGTAAATGTATATCTCGACATTACAAAAAGGAACAAACACTGTGTTAGACCTAGTTCAGGACACGTATTCTCTCTTGGACTACCGCGAAATATTAGCAAATATCTGGGGCGTAAACTTGGAACCGCAATCTTGCGCTTTCTTCGCTGGTAAAATTTCGGGTTTCAGCGGAAGGAATGTTGGGCTGCCAGAAAGTCGAAAAGGCTAAAGGTTGGAGGTTCTATATGAACGGCGTATTTATCTACCGTATCCACTCGCGAGATTGAGAAAACGCTAATCGGTAAGGGGTCTGACAGCCGCTGAGAAGAGCTTAGTGTGCTGGCAGAAACAGGGCTAGTTAGTTGGCTGATGGGTTGGGGGAGTGAGCTATGACAGAGTCTAGGCAGACTGGTTGGCTGGCTGGCTGGTGATGGAGGGCAAGTAGGTTAACCGCCTTCTCAAGAAAGCTTAGCGTGCAAATGACTGCGCTAACTACATACAGCTAGCCAGTTGCTCCTAACAGCTAGCTCGCAATTTAGCGTTTTCTCAATCCGGCGAGTGGATACGGTAGCGCTACCCACCACGGGCTGCCTGAGCGTACCTACACATACAGAGTACGTGCTGCTTTCGGTGGAGGACATAGCGTAATAGTAACAGGTTCATCCCCCAGAACGTGGATGGACTCATCCAGATTCCCGCTTGAGAGCAGAAGCTTTGATTCCCCCCAGGATCCTCCTTGTCTGGATGGCCACTAGCCAAATGGGCCCGGTGCATTATTAAGTAGACACGCACCTTCCAGTAGTCTTGGTTCGAGGCTTCCCCACTGATATTCTATGTTCTCCATTGATCCTTCGCGGCAGAGCTCTGCCGCGCTCGACTGCATTTCGCAGCATCTCGTGGGGTTCGGTATGTCCCGCGACGTCGACAATGACCGACAACGACAGAGTAACTCGGCTTCTGGCGTCTACTTGGACATTGCTCGGAACAAGCGCCTTACTGCTTGTCCTCCGAATCTATTGCAAGATCTGGCGTGGGCGGGGTTTATGGTGGGATGATCACTTATTAATGGCTGCTTGGGTACGTTGACCAACCATAGTTGTCCTGCATCTTTCGTCAAGAATAGTCATACTGATTCTTACTGTCATCTATAAAGACAAGCCTAGCGATTTCCATATCCATCAACACCTACATCATTTCTCTAGGATTTGGGCGTCACCTGTCGACGATTGGCGATCAAGATAGACGGACGATCAACCTTTTTACGATTCTTGTCGCAACCTTCGGCATCCTTGCCACAACATTGAGCAAATCATCATTCGCTCTAATGCTGTACCGACTCGTCCTCAAGGAATGGCTGAAATACTTTTTAATATTTATTATTGTATCCATCAACATATCGTTGAACCTGGTGTGGATGTTCGGCTTTGCTAAATGCACACCGCTGGCAAAAGTCTGGGACCCTAGCGTTCCTGGGAAGTGCTGGGACAAGACGCGCCTCGTCAAATACCAAGTCTTTTCTTCTTGTAAGTCTGTATGAAAACGCCCTGGGAGACCCCAAAGCGCAATTGTTTACAAAACGGTTGCAGATTATTCTGCCATACTGGATTTCGTTTTGGCATTTCTTCCCTGGCCGATCCTTATGGGGGCGACAATGGGACGGCGCGAGAGATTTGGTGTCGCCGTGGCAATGAGCATAGGGGCAATGTATGCGTACTTCGAGTTGCCTGAAGACTCATTGCTGATTCTTGACCAGTGCTGGGGCTTGCGGTATCGTGAAGGCGGTGCTGGTGGTATCGATGACCAGTGCGGACATCACGTACGACCGAGTCGACCTGACCATTTGGACCCTCACGGAGCCCGCGGCATCCATAATGGCGATATCGATACCTGTGTTGTCAGCATACAATCGCCATCCCACCCTCTTATTCCAGGGACTAACCCTTTTGCACAGGAGGATGCTATACCGCGAGCTAAAGTCCAGTCAGCGGAGCTACCCACCAAACACGTCACAATCTCAGTCGAATAGGCTCGAAGCAAGAAGGTCCAAGAGAAACTATAACGAAGGTGGCAATAGTTTCGGCATCGACTCTGTCAATGTCATGCCGGTTGCTAGGATACAGGAATCTCAGGGGGGGTCGCAGGAGCAAGAATGTAAGTCCAACCCTCGTGCCGAATTGGAAACGGGGTGTTTGAGGGAAAATCATGAGACCTTGCCATGCAGAAGTCGGAGAAACTCCATAGAGCTTGATTTCCTGAATCCAAAATCTGTTTAATGCTGCTTTTCACTGTCCAGTACGCTGTTCTAATTCTGCCAAAGGCTCATGGTTTGGTGATCGCACGAATATAACAACAAAGGACACCAGCATATAGATACTACATGCTCCTTGCTGTGCTCTTGAGAACTGAAGGAGCCGGAACACTGAATGAGTAACTTCTACGTCATGCTCTAATGGTCAAGATCACCCTATGAGAACGATTTGCTGGTTTCTCGGCTAAGCGCAATCCAACATACTGCATTGAGCTATATGCTGGAACGAACGTCAAATTAACACCTATTTGATACGCGATAGATGAGACCGCGGTATGCTCTTGCGATACGCTGCTCAAGGTAACGAGGCGCCAGTAGGCTTCAACTCCTTCATCGTCTCCTCTACTAGTCTTTCCCCAAGCTCTCGCCCTTCTTCCGTGTACCAAATTGGTGGGAATCTAATATCGTTAGCAGGCATCTTGGCCGAGACTTGGCGGCTAAACGATATACTTACGGCTTAATTGTCCATTCGCTGATGAAACTTCCGTGGCTCTCGACGCCTTGGACCAAAACCGCGTCGAGGTACACAGAAGCACCAACATCGAGCGGTCTCGCTATGAAGTACTGAACAACGCCAAAGATCTTCTGTAGTAGATAGGGGTGTTTGTCACCAAAGGCTGTGCCTTTAGTCAAACCGGGATTCGATACGTTGATCAGGACATCGCTCGGGTCGACAAGCTCGGCGAGCTTAGCAACGAAAAACATGAGCAGCAGCTTCGACCTCATGTACGCGTGCTGAACCCCGAATTCCTTGGGGTCATCACACTGCGGCAGTACCGGGTTCGTTGTCTTCAGTGAGGTCATGTACGCCGAATCGGACCCCACGATGCTGAGCACGGGCGGTCTAGAGGCGCCGGGGATCTTCTTAGACTTGAGGATGGGAACGAGAAGCAGAGACAGATACACCGTCGAGAGATAGTTGACCTGAAATGTACTCTCGTGGCCGGTGCCCGCAACGGGTGTGTATGAAGTCATCATCAGCCCGGCGTTGAGGATGACGATCTCAAGGCGCGACAAGGATGCACACCGGTCGGTGAATTGGCGGATGGATTCGTACGATTCCATGTCAAGAACCCAGACGGACACCTGGGAGTCGGGGAAGTCTTTGCGCAGCTGGCTCGCTGCTGCGTCGCCTTTGGCCTGGGAACGCACGCCCATGACCAGATGGGAGAGCCCGAGTTCCAGCAGCTGCCGGGAGGCCGACAGACCGAGGCCTACATTGCTTCCCGTGACGATGGCGGTTTGGTCTGTGAGACGCAAGTCGGAGGGTAAAGGCGTGGGCGCCACGCGTTGCCGACGCAAGAAGCCTGGAATTGTGGTCTCGGATGCAGCATCGGCCTGAAGTTTTGCCGACATGATTGCTTTTGTGTAGGTGGTAGTGAAGATCAACCAGTTTAACAGTAAACCTTAGTAAACCTGATCCGATGGTGGGGGGGCACAGTCCGTTTTTATACACTGGATGGCATGATCGTTATCATATTCAGCAAGCTGCAGCTCTCCAATTCTCCAAGATTCCATACATGATTGCATACGGTCGGCCGAAGGCGGCGGACGGATAACGTTGTCTTGTTAATACACACCACCCCTGAGTGAGTGCAAGTCCTTCAACACTGGAACATGGATTTCTGTCCAGGTCCACAAATAAAGTCAGAATCTGGCGTAGTCTATAGTGAAACGGATGTGGTAACTGGTCAATATCCCTGCCTGAATAGTACTCCAGGTTCCAGTGATGGCTTCCTGTCTCAAAGACGACGCAATTCATTGCAGCCTGCCAACATTGTCTTACTGTAGGCAGTCAGCAAATTGGACTTTGCGCTAGTTGGCAAGGGCTAAAGTGGCCGCTGTAAGTGAGTTGGTGTGACGGCAGAAACAGGGACCAGGCGCCGGGCAAAGCAGGGGTTAGTCGTGTACGTCAGCAGCTACCTACCGGTACCTAGTTAATAGGCAAGGACCAGCAAAATAACCATGTTCTAGCCATTTTACGGACATTTCCCTAGATTTCCCATGGCCGGAGTCAGACCGCCTTCTATCATGGGGTTAGCGCGGTTCTAATCCTTTAGCCTCTTATCTACACTACGGTAAGACAATGTTGGCAGGCTGCAATGAATGGCGTCGTCCCCTGAGGGAGTACATGCCGCAGCTCTCCAAATTTCAGCTCGGCCACGTTATGTTATGAATCCGTCACCGATAAGCGAGTGCGGATAGCTTGGCTGGGCAACTGGCGGAACAGGGATTGTATAAGTTCAGCCGCGGACGGCCGGCTGCCAACATTGCCTTATCTATCCATCACCCATTAGTCCATGGGTCAACACGGACTAATTGCACCTTGGCACCACGTGCGGTCGGGCCGTTTGCTTCCTAGTAAGCCATAGTAATTCAACCAGCGTCCATATGAAGAACCCAATCATCGTGACTATAAGCTGTATTATCAACGAACCACCACATGGGCCCGTACTACCTAGTTCGGCCAAGCACATAGATGTATAGGGCACGGTGGCAGAGTCAGGGGATGGATTCAGTCTCATATCCAACTAGAAACATCATTCTAATGGGATAAGAAAAGGCCTCATCAAGGTAAACGGAGTCAAATGTGTGGTTGGCAGAAGAGGATCAGGTACAAAGCCATTAAGACGAGAATTAGTATTTGTTAACGACCGCGCCGTCGGGCAACCCAAGAAACGTAATCGGGAGCTTGTAGCCGGTTTGAATGTAAGACCTGGTCCTCGAAGTACCATTTAAAAAAAGCGCCGGCTTGAAAATCATATCCGCTATACTCTGTGCTATTTCTATTAGGAAGTGACACCCTGGTTAGTCAGTTCTCCGGCTCCCATTGTGCGTGAGCAGTTCAAGTGCAGCTCTTTGTAAGCGCTTGGATTGCAAGTCCCCCTCCTGACCCTGATCGAGAAATGACCATTCCAGATAGCGATATCGTTTGCCGATTCCGCCACATTATATTTCTTGCGGTCCTGTTCTCCGAATGCGGGACCGGCGGCCATGTCGCGAGACTGCGTCGTCGGCTAGTTGCTGTCCACGCGACGGGCGATATAGGACGCGACACCCGACACGCAGACGTTGGCGGCGTTCGTAGCGAGGTTCTTGCAGTCGGCGTCGGTGTACAGCTCAACTACAGCGGTAAAAATAAAAAAACCCCGAGTCAGTCACGTACGTCCACAGAGCGCATCGTTCCGGCCGGATGGGGTAGTGGGTAAGGGGCGGCTAACAGTTAAAGAGCGGGGTCAAGCCACTGGCCGAGAACTTCTCGTAGGTGTGGTTGTCGACGGCCGCAGGGATGGGCTGGCACTGATCGAGGAAGTCGGTCGGGACGGCGAGGGACTTGCCGGTGCCCTCGTAGGGGATCGGGGTGCCGGTGCAGTCGGAGGCCGGGTCGTAGAACATCTTGATGGTGCCCATGACGGGGGACGCGGAGGCGGCGGCGGCGAGGGCCAGGAGGCCGGCGATGGCGGTCGTGCAGTGCATCTCGGGGTTGGTTTCCGGCTGTGAATTTCGGCCGAGTTTACTGGAGACTGGGGATTTGGCTCCGAGAACGCAGGGAAAGCTCGCCCTTTTATTAAGGGATTTTTACGGCTTACGCCCCCTTTGCGGTGCCCTGAATTGTTTAAGTGGAACTGGTTCATACAGCTGGCACTACTTAATGCTGCAGTAATATACGGCTCTTGGTTTGAGATGGGGCTTCTGCCGTCCCAAGCCTTGGAACAATGGCCGAGCCCTCGTATCCTTTACTCTGTATTTCGGTTGGCTCTAAACGGAACAATCCCCACACTCGCCGAGCCTCCCGTGCTGGTTCATCGAGTCAGTGATGGTCCTCCCCGCAATTACAGCACTCAAGACAGGGGTGATGCTGCCAGCTGCTCTTGGAATCACAGCACGACGCCAGAGATCATTCTCGCTAGAAGCTCGTGGATCTTCCCTATTGCAACATGAAGGTCGTCCTGCAGCCCTGAATAGTATACACTACTATCGTCTCCGCAGGTCTTGCGAGCATAATACGATGGATATAGCAGCCCCGTTTTGATCAAAGCATTCCGTTTCTTGATGCCAGACAAATCAAACCACTGTGGAATCGTTTATGGCGACGGCAAGGGAAGCATGGAGAGAACCACAACTTTCATGGGGGTCCATATCTTCCGTCGTCAGTCTGACGTCCAAACATCCACTGATATACGTATCCAATACGGTCCCTCCTGATATCTCACAGACGTCTAAACAGCACATCCGCGTCCTCTCATCACGCATTTGCTATCGTCTATGACTAATTCATCTCACCTTCAACCTCTGCCTGCTGAAGAAAGGAACGAATGCATACAATTGGCCAATTGGTCCAGGCACCAACCTGCGCCAAGGCTTGTTCTGCCTGGGTTGACTAAGCGCTTGCTGATATAAGCGGCCTGCGAATCTGGGAGGGCCGGAAGTGGTCTGAGCTTTGAAGGTCAGGATAACATACAAATACCACGGGGTGGTCGACAGCAAATACAACAAGATCAGGATATCTCTGCAGAGTTATTGTTTTTGCTTTGGACTACTGACACACCAAAGAAGACACGTGTAAGCCCCGGCTGCTTCGAAATGGTGACGGCACTACCCTCTCGCGCTAAAGTAAGTAGAACCTGATGATCGTTCGAACATTGCCAGCTGACTTACACCGTTCCGAGCAGCAGCCTGCGCGACAGCAACCAGACCCCAAACCCAACCCGGCCTCCGGCAAAAACAAGAGAGAAAACCCGTTGCGGCCCAAGAGACCGACGCAGGTACTCGATGTCGCCGTATGGGGCAGCGGCGAGAACTGCGAGCTCGGCCTCGGCCCCCGCGTCACCGAGGCCCCCAAGCCCCGCCTCGCGGACAGGTTCCTGTCCGCCGACACCGTCGGCGTCGTGCAGGTCTCGGCGGGCGGCATGCACTGCGCGGCCTTGACCCGCGACGGCAAGGTCCTGACGTGGGGCGTTAATGATGACGGGGCGTTGGGCCGGGTGAGGTTGCCGGATACGCCCGAAGAAGGCGCCGAGGATCTATTGGATCCCTTTGAGAGCACGCCTGGCCAGGTGCCCCTCGATGACGATGTCGAGGTCGTGCAGGTTGCAGCGACCAACAGCGCGTGTTTCGCCTTGACTGCTGAAGGGACGGTCTACGGCTGGGGAAGCTTTGCAGGGGGAGACGGCAACTTTGGCTTCCTCCACGAGAAGCCCCCCAAGACCACAGAGCAACTGCCTGTGCGCATACCAGGCCTCGAGAATGTCATGGAGATGGCCGGCGGTGCGAACCACATCCTAGCCCTGACCAACGACGGCAACGTCTTTGCTTGGGGCTCGGGGGAACAGAACGAGCTGGGTAGGCGCGTCTTAGAGCGTCGCCGCTTCGAGACCCTGATTCCACAACGCGTAGGCCTGCCCAAGAACAAAACGGCCCAGATCTTTGCGGGCTCGTACCACAGCTTTGCCATCGATGTCGACGGCAAGGTCTGGGCTTTCGGGCTGAACAACTTTGGCCAATGCGGCATCCCAACCCGAGAGATTACCGGGTTCACGACCATCATATCGCCAACCATCGTAAAGAGCTTGAGCGATTACGAAATTCGCCATATCGCATGCGGACTTCATCATTCTATTGCTTGCACAAAGAGTGGACAAGTCCTGGTGTGGGGTCGGTGTGACGACGGCCAGATGAGTATCAGTCTTGATGCGGTGGCGAAAGAGCACATCATTTTTGACTCCCGGGGACGTCCTAGAGTCCTGAACGTGCCGACCGAGGTGCCGATACCTGGTAAGTTATCTCACACATCCAGATTCAGCCCCTTCCCCGAGCTGATCAGACTTCAGACCGTCAAGCCGTGTTCGTTGCGGCCGGGATCGACAACTGCTTCGTCGTCGCCAACGAGTTGTATGCATGGGGATTCTCTGCCAGTTACAACACCGGTCTGAAGACCATTGAGACAGTCAAGTCCCCGACCGCGGTGCCATGTCGACTGACGGCAACGTTCGTTGATGCCGGGGGCCAGTTTGGCATCGCGTGTGGACGCAGCCTATGAACCTTGCGAGCCCTGCCTTCACACGATCAGGAAGTTGAGGTTGGAAGCCTTGAGCTTCTGGACCCAGGTCCGTTCCGTCTGGGTGTGAGGGTCCACGGATTCCTCGAGGTTCCAAATGGTTTGAAGCATGTCTATGGCGGTCATGATGAAGCCCCAAGGGGTCGAAATCATGAGCCTTCTCAGGCGGTCGAGGATCCATTTCCGTCTTTCGGGGTCCGAAGTCCCCGCGCCGGCAATGAACGTTGGCAAACAGGTGGCCTTGAAGTTAGGGTCCTCATCGTTAATGCAGGAGAGGTGGTAAAACAATTGGCTGGCCAGCTCCTCGCGGTCGACGGGCACAAGTATGGATGCCGACGGAAGAGCATGGAGTATGTACAGGCAGGCGGCAAGGCGATGGGCCGAGCCGGCGTGAATGCGGCTCTCTACCGGGATGTTTCTGAAATATGAGATGGTCCGTGGCTCATACGCCCAGTCGTGGACGTCGAAGGACAGGGCCTGCTGCAGGATTTGTGCGGCGCCCTGCGCTACGTCTGCCGCCGAATCCAGATCTTCTGTGCTGCGGTTCGACAGTTGGGACGCTGTCAGAAGGATCTGCAGGATATCGGGCGGACAACAGAAGTAGCTGTTTGCGGCAGCCTTGCCCAAGACGGATGAAACCTGTGCGGAGTGGTAGTACGACTTGGCGGCCGGCGTTGATGCGTTGAAGGCGGAAGCCAAGATGTAGTAGCTGCGGAGGAGGAATCAGCTTAGATAATCCATTACCCCATCAGGAGGAGACATATCAACCCACATGAAACAATCCGACATGACATAGTCCCGTAGTACAGAGTCCGCAGTTCCGACGGGGGACAAATAAGACATGATTCGCCCAGCACCCTCGAGATGGGGCTTCCAGCCGTCCCTTCCACTCTCCATCAGCTCAACGTTGACGAAGAAGAGCACCGAGGACAGCACTACGTCTCCACCGATGCCGTCAATGTCTTGCAGTGCAGAGGACAAGAGCCGTAGCGCCTTGTGCTTGGCAACCAGGGAATCGGTTAAGGCTTGCCGGGCGTTTTGGTCCGACTCTGGGTCCGACGACAGCGCGCGGGAGAGATTGGACATGTGGGCCGCGGAGGCGGCCACAATGATGTGCTGCAGCAGGGGATGAGCCTTGGTCAGCGGGATGAGAGAGCGGAAGGGGTTCCGATCGGGTAGGTCCCAGGAGACGAGATCCCTGCAGACGCGCGTGGTGACTATGGAGAGAAGAGAGAAGCCGAGTTAGCCATTCCGGTGTCTTTCCCAAAAGGTTGGGATCGAAAAGCAGGGAGGGGTTTTACAATAGGAGAGGTAGTGTCGGTAGTGATGCTCCACACCCTGGAAGAGAGGGTCGACGAGGGTCCAGGGAGCCGACTGGGTCTCGATCCCGGCGGGCCGGACGTCAGAGACAACAAGAGCAGTGGAACCGTCTTCGGCAGAAGTGGGAGATTCATGTTGATGGTAGTGGTGGTGGTCCGGCACGGAGGTAGATGCGGAGGGAGGTACGGAGGGGGATGCGGAGATGGATGAGGGCTCGAGCGTGGAGGCCCGAGACGAGGTAGTGGCGGTGGTGGCCGTGTCAGCCGAGAAGGTGATGGTAGTCTTGCCCGCGAGCTTTCCGCGGCTCGCGACGCCCTCAGTCCAGCGAAAGAGCTTCCCGTAGCCCAGACACTCGTGGCCGCCGGTTGTGCACTTGTGGCAATGGGGATAGGAGCGGTCACAGCGCAAGCGGCGGCGGCGGCAGTTGTGGCACGGCTTGGTCGGGGCGTCGAGCACGTCGATGCGGGCCATAGCTGCAAGGCGGCGCAAGCAAGGTCTGGATGGCGTGTGACAGCGGTGGCATGAAGCAAAGTAAAGTGCAGAGTCAGATGGATCTCGGTACAGTACAGGCAGGCAGGAGGCTGCGATGCGTCCTGCGCGATGAGTGAGGTGTTGGTACGGCAGTAGATGGCGGTTAGGATGGCGCAGATGCTTCCTGGATTGAGAAGTGAATTATCAAGATATGCATGACCAAGACGTCTTGAGATTGGCCGCGAGCGGGGGTGGGATGCTGCGGGTGGGTGGGTGTTGATGGATGTCGGAATGCGAGATAACGTATCCGTAGATGGACGGCCGTGTAGGCGTGCTGCGTGCGTCACGTCGGGAAACGAGAACGGGTAAGAAGACGGATTGATTGAGCGAACCATTCATCAGGTTCGGGAATAATTGTTTGGATTGAGCAGTCCGAACGCCAGAGCGAAGAGAGGGAACGAGGGCGAGACATTGAGACGGTTGGTTGGTTCGGCAGACGGCGAAGGAAGCTTCCATCAAACATGACAACCAGACCACCCACCCAGCCGGAATACATTTCTAGCTCTACGGCGGAGCCCGCTTCCGTGACCAGTCGATAAGCGTCGATAAGAAATAAAGCTAGTCCTGATAGGGCAGCCAAGAGACACAGAGTGCATATCCGCCCCACCTATTCTGTTCCCAGCGCACCCTGCTAGCTAAGTTCGCGCTGAAGAGCCTCCACCGGCTAATTTCCGACCAATGAATCATCACCAAAGACATGGGTTGATGTGTCAGCAGGGTATGTGGGAGGAACAAGTTCCCTGTCCTCGCCGAGTTTCGTTTCGTAAGAGGATTCCCAGGAAATCTCTACGTTGCGGAATCTCATCATTCAACGCGTCATTCTGCCGTGGGTTATCGTCACTCCATATCCAGCATGCCTCACAGAAGGCGTATTTATTCACTACCAGTAGCGCGTATCCCGTCGGCTTTTTGGGGGGGGGAGTGATTGGTGCTTCATCAGCATCTCGAGTAGACACTCTCGACTTGACTAGCTCTCCACGGGCCCGACGTCTACGTCCTAGCAGATGCATCGGACACCTTACATAGGTATAGACAGACCTCCGCCTGACATTGACTTTTGTCACAGGAAAGCTAGTGACCAACGTTATTCGCATCATCGCCCAGAAAGGAAGCCGAGACGCACACCATGCTTCCTCTCCCCTCACCCACCCGCTGCCGCCCTGCAAGCCTCATGAGGCTCTCCGTCGTGCCATCCCGGCTCGTGTGTCAACATTTACGTGTGTATTGCTTGTTGCTGGTTTGCCTACCTGACGACGAGCCAAGAAGGTTGGTCGGTTCTAGCCGTATTCAAGCAAAATCTTGACACGCCCATTCTCCACACTAGATGCCACCCCCCCGGTGCTTAGAAATTCTCTTCTACAAAGAACCCCATGTTCTCTTTGTGTCATCATCTTAATGTGTGACTCTTTATGTGGATTGTTCTTCTGGGCATTATTTAGATACTACATGGACTCATTACGCCCCGCATGATCTCGACCTGTTACTTACTGTCTGTCTGCTTCCATCTTGGTCATATACTGGGTTTATATAATCCAAAGGTTATATTGTCCCATAGCCAAGGAGACACCATTGTCGACCAACATACCCGCCCCATCGACCTTGTTATCCTGTAGAAACAGCCGCAGACAAAGCCAGCACCGATGGTCCGGCACGACACCGAGCGGGATGCTGGGCCAGACGGCCAGACCACCGAGTTCGACGTCGAGTTCCTCGGTCGCCAGCGCCCGGCCGTCTTCAAGTCGCAGTGGGCCGAGCTGGGCTTCTGCTTCTCCCTGCTGGGATCCATGCTCATGGCGGTACGTCCCCACGGCGCTCCCCTAGCTTACAACATATACTGAACGCATCTTCTCACAGGAGTACTTCGTCAGCGGCTTCCACATCATCTTGCCGCCGCTCGCCTCGGAGCTTGACATCCCCGCCGCGTCCCAGACGTGGCCGTCGAGCGTCTTCTCCCTCGTCACCGGCGCCTTCCTGCTGCCGCTCGGCCGTCTCGGCGACATGTACGGCGGCTACCTGACCTTCAACATCGGCCTCGCCTGGTTCCTGGTCTGGTGCCTCGTCGCCGGCTTCAGCACAAACTACCTCATGCTCATCTTCTGCCGCGCCCTCCAGGGCCTCGGCTCCGCCGCTTACTTGCCCGCCGGCATCATGCTCCTCGGCAAGATCTACCGCCCGGGCCCGCGAAAGAACCTCGTCTTTGCGCTGTACGGCGCCTTCGCCCCCATCGGCTTCTTCTTCGGTATCCTCGTCGGCGGCCTCTCGGGCCAGTTCCTCAGCTGGCGTTGGTACTTCTGGCTCGGCAGCATCGTCCTCGGCGCCGTCACCGCCGTGTCCTTCCTGACCATCCCGTTTGACTGCCGCGACAAGCGCCGCGAGATCCGCATGGACTGGTGGGGCGTCGCCACCATCGTTCCCGGCCTCCTGCTCGTCGTCTACGCCATCACCGACAGCTCCCACGCGCCGAACGGGTGGGCGAGCCCGCAGATCCTCGTCACCCTGCTCCTCGGCGTCGCCTTCCTCGGCGCCGCCTGGTACGTCGAGAGCCGCGTCGCCGCGGAGCCCCTGCTGCCCGGCGACTTGTTCGACCCCAAGTCGATGAAGACCCTGGTGGCCGCCCTCTTCTTCGCCTACGGCACTTTCGGCCTCTTCCTCTTCTACTCGAGCTTCTACATCGAGACTGTCCTGCACGTGTCGCCGCTGCTGACGGCAGTGTGGTACCTGCCCCTCATCGTCGGCGGCTTCATCATCGGCACCGTCGGCGGCTTCACGCTGCACCTGTTGCCCGGCCGCGTCCTGCTCGCCATCTCGGGCGTCGGCAACGTCCTGAGCGTGCTGCTCTTCGCCATCACCCCCGAAAACCCAAGCTACTGGGCCTACATCTTCCCCGCCATGGTCTGCGGCACGATCGGCATCGACATCACCTACACGGTCAGCAACGTCTTCATCACGACCAACCTGCCCGCCCACAGGCAGGGCCTCGCGGGCGCCCTCATCAACAGCCTCCTGTTTCTGGGCATCAGCTTCTTCCTCGGCATCGGCGACGTCGTCGTCGGGGCAACGCGCCACCTCGGCACGCGCGAGAGCTACCACGCCGCCTTCTGGCTGGCCACCGGCGTCGCAGGCGTGGGCTTGCTGCTCTACGCCTTCGTCCGCATCGGGTCCGCAAAGAGCGACCTCACGGTGGAAGAGCGCGAGCAGCTCAACGCAGAAGCTCGACGACAAGGACAGGCAGTGCCGGATTCCGAGAAGAGCACGCACGGCGGCGGCGGCGCCCAGGACACGTCGGCAACGGCGACTGACACCGAGATGGAAAAGTCAAAGCCATCAGCACCGGAGGGACAGGTCCGGGGGAGATGAATGACCGGTGCATTGTGAGGTACACGAAGCAACTAGAGGATGTGCATGGCCGGCAAAAAAGACGGTTCCTCGTTGCGACGGCGTCACAGTTCGTGACTGGCTGGATGTCTGGAGGGTGACAATGACCGGCATCGCAAGGGGCACCCAGAGTCGCAGCGCAGGGGTGGGAACTTTTGCACATCAGAAAGCCTCGAAAGTTCCATCGAGGGCATTTGCAAAACCGAAGCGCGCGCACACACACACACACACGCACAAGACGTGATGAAGGGGTTTGGGACGAGGAGCTCTAGCCCGCGAATCGCGCGGCTCCAAGGCTGTCTATAGCCTCAGCTCGAATTCTTTCCATGCAGCGGACCCGCGAGGGCTCGGTGACCCCTTCACCGGCGGTTGCACTGCACTGCGCTCGGCGATGGCCAGGGAACATCTCTGGCTCTCTCACCGGCCCCGGGTTTCCCCAATCATACCATGCACGGGGCGGGAACGACTGATTCACCACCACCTCGTATGGATGAAGAGGGCGGCCGAGGTGGAAACTTTCCGAGAGCAGGAAGTTGATCGGAACAGTGATGGGGCGCTTCCGTTACCGGCAGTGCAGTAAGTAGTTAATGAAATAGACTGGTCGCAGGGTTGATAGATGGGACTGGCGCGGCGCATGAAAACATAAATGACTGTTTGGAGACAAGGAAAAGGAGCTGCATGGCAGAAGAGGGGCCGCGTCCCATCAGCCGATAATTGAACATCCAATCCATCATATCATCGTATGCACAATCTCTCGTCTGTTTCACTATCCAATATTCTGTGGTCGACGCCATCACCCAAGACCCGGCTCATAGCTGAGCGACCCTGGGGAGTGACCGCCTTGGCCATTCATCCCAGTCGGCGGGTGGGAACATTCGTAGTGGTCAGTAGGCTTTGAGTTACATCTATCCCGAGCGGCAGGAACGGGTATAAGAGACGCTCCCGACATATGGACACCGATCAGGGGGGCAAGTTCGGATGCGCGCCGAAAGACGCCTACCCCGTCCCAGGGCCGGGTGATGCAGCGCCAAAGAGTTCGAGCTTCGAGCGCCAAGGCGTCAAGGCAGGCGTCGCCAACTGCATGGTATCAAGATAACGAGGCCCTGGTAGCCAGTGCGACGGCAGGAATATTGCCTCGGTGGCCGGCGCTGAGAAGGGCAAGGGAGTGAGATATGGCACAACTGCTGATACCAAGAATTCCAAACATCAAGACGCGCGCGCACGCACGCCCTAGGGCTCAAGATGTCAAGATTTGCATGAAAGAAAGAAAGTCGTGCAATACACGAGCCGTCTTCATCGAGTTCCAACTCCCTTGTCATTCGCCTCGTCAGGCGTCGTTGGTAAAGATGAAGTCAAGACTGACTGCTGTGCCGCCCCCCTTCGACGCCAAGTCGCCCCGAAAGGGGTCCAAGGCTCCAGCTTCGTCCAGTGCGCCCAAGATCGGGTGACCGGATGGAAGTTCCCCCCCAGCTAAGACAGAGAGAGAAGCGGTCGGTTCGGGGAATAGAGTTGCTGCCAAGGCCCAGCACCGAGCCAGCCATGGTGCTGAGCAGACACCCCCGACAGGACAGATTAGACAACGGAGAGCCAAACTCCGGACAACGCTGACTGACGGACGATCAGATTAAGCCTCGAGGACTGCCGAGTAGTGTGCGCCGAACTCGACCGGGCGCCACCCTAGGCCATGCAGGTTGACGGGTGGTCCCCTTTCTCCCGCAGTTAAGCGTGAAAGCTTGCCTGTCCAGCCCAAAGGTGAAAAAAAAAGGGGGAAAGGGAAAAGTAACCTCGTTTCCCCCCTCTTACAGCACAGGCTAAAATGCGTTCCTGCTCGCGAGGTCTGTCTGCGATCCCAGCACAGCATATCTCATCCATCCCCACACGCCAACGCCACGATCCAGTTCGTGGATCCTGTCTTTTCCGGCCGGCCGGCACCCTGATGCGAGGGACTTTGGAAGGGGAGAGAGAGCCAGAGAGGAAGTAACATGGCCACGGGGGGCTTTCTTCCTTGCCATGAGTTGAGCCAATAATATACCGAGAGAAAAACACGCGAGGCACATCCCTCGCCGTCCCCCCCGTAGCTCTACCCGGACATTGGAATCTACAACGTGATATAACGCCATACCCACGATGGATCCACCATTCCCCCGTCCGGCCCCACGAGCACAACATCCCCATTCTTCCCAAGGAGCCTTGCTACCTAGGTATTCCCCGTACGAGAAGTCCAAGTCACTCCCGGCGCCTCTGCTTTTTTCGTCCGGCAGTTTGCTGGGCCATGCGGCATTTGGGAGGGGAGCCCCGCAAATCTATATGTTCGATGAGGAAAAGATTTCCTCTCCATAGTTTCCCCCCTTTTTTGTCGTTCGGATGATGATGACAACGCCAAGAGATACTGACCCTTAGATAGCCATCCATAATTCATCTGGCTCCGCGCCCTCCTCCACATGAACCACCAGTGTGCAGATACTCTTACGAACACTTACGCATCTTGTAAACCATGAGCAACACCTCCACTTCAAATACTGGGCCTCTAAAGCCCGAGTCCTCCCCTCACCTTTGCCGCCCATCTGGTGAGGCCCCCGACATCTCAGTCCTGGCTCTACCAACGCGTCTTGCTCTTCGTATTGTATCCGTACGAAGCACTGCAACCCCCTCGCGCCCATCGTAAATCACTCCCCTGACTTCATTTCGCTATCCTCCCGCTCGCGACCCACCAGCTCCCCTGTCAGTTTTCAAACGCACGACAAGCCGCTGCAGGCTGGGCTGTATTGATCACCCTTGGCGGAAAGCACTCCAGCAAACACACGACTCCCTATTCGTGCGATTTCCACTCACGAGTTCGCGCGCCCGCGAGAGGGACGAACGTGATTCCTTTTCGGGCAGGCTTGAACCAGGGACCAGGGGGATCAAGGGTCAGGGTTCTGGCGCGACTCGTCGATCCCTTCTGGACCCAGAGCGCGCCGCTCGCGGAAACGGAATCCCGGCATCTGTTTAGATTAATTACCTTGGCTGCTTGAGCCACAACCGAACCACGCTGGAGATTCAAGCCCAGAAAGCGCTCGTCGTCCGGAGCCTCTCCGTTCAGATACATAACAAAGTCCCCTTGCCCTATGGCCCCTCTTTCCCTTACCTTTTGTTGATTCCCCATGCCGCTTTCGCTTCTTCCATATTTTCCCGCTCGTCGCCACGTCGCATTGCATCCTCTCGCTGGGCGTAAATCGTCATCACATTCCTTTTTTTCTTTCTTTTAATTGAATAAAAAAACCACTCTCCTTTACAGCGAAAGAAGAAGAAGAAAAAGCTCGTCAAGATGAAGTTCAGCGTCGCCTCCTCCCTCGCCGTTCTGGCCGCCGTGGCCAACGCCACGCCGACCCCCACCGTCGTTGACGGCGCCGTCCTCGACCCCCGCGCCGTCGAGAAGCGCGCGACCTTCACGGACGCCTGCGACGTCGGCTACGGCGCCGGCACTACAGGCGGCGCCGGCGGTGCCACCACCACCGTCTCCACCGTCGCCCAGTTCACCGCCGCCGTCGCCTCCGAGGACCCGGCCGTCATCGTCGTCCAGGGCGCCATCACCGGCGCCGCCAAGGCCCGTGTGGCCTCCAACAAGACCGTCATCGGCCTCCCCGGCTCTTCCCTCACCGGCGTCGGCCTCTACGTCAACAAGGTCGAGAACGTCATCCTCCGCAACCTCAAGATCGCAAAGGTCGAGGCCGACAACGGCGATGCCATCGGCATCCAGGCCTCCTCCCGCGTCTGGGTCGACCACTGCGACCTCTCGTCTGACCGCGACAACGGCAAGGACTTTTACGACGGCCTCCTCGACATCACCCACGCCGCCATGGCCGTCACCGTCTCCAACACGTACCTCCACGACCACTACAAGACCTCCCTCATCGGCCACTCCGACTCCAACGCGGCCGAGGACACGGGCAAGCTCTTCGTCACCTACGCCAACAACTACTGGAAGAACCTGGGCTCCCGCACCCCCTCGGTCCGCTTCGGCAACGTCCACATCTTCAACAACTACGAGGAAGATGTCGACACCTCCGGCGTCAACACCCGCATGGGCGCCCAGGTTCTCATCGAGTCTTCCGTCTTCTCCTCCGTGGAGCGCGCCATCACCTCCCTCGACTCGAAGGAGACCGGCTACGCCACCTGCTCCGACGTCGACCTCGGCGGCTCCACCAACGATGCCCCCAAGGGCAACTTCACCAAGCCCGCCTACTCCTACACCGTGCTCGGCGCTTCCAACGTCAAGGCTGCCGTCACCTCCTCGGCCGGCCAGACCCTCACGTTCTAAGTCTGTCCGCATCAGCGGGACGAATGCCAGTGCCGTGAAGAGTGCGCTGCTGTCTGCAGCGCATCGCCTTCCCGACGGGATGGTACCGGGGGAAAAGAAAAGTGCGGATTTCATGTATATACTTCCAAGGAACCAGGCATGGCTCGAGGCGCGCCGTCTGCTTCCGTAGATAACACGTCGATTACATGCATGTCCTTTGACAGTTATGACGTATCTGGTGCAAGCGGGATTGCTCCCGCATTACGACAATGTGCAGAAGAAAAAGTATAATGTGCCTGTGGAGGACGTGAAAGACGCGGATATAGGAACATATGAGGTATATATCTTTCCAGCCATTTGAGGTTGCAAGGCGTCGCAAGTTTACGTACATCGGCCTGAGGCTGCTAAGTGACCCCACGTCCCACGTTGCCCCACTGTATCTGGCGGGGATCGCCGTTGTCTTCCGGGCCGCCGCAGATCGCGCAAGTACCGGAGACAAGCTCAAGCTCCCGCCGGTTCCGCCATGTGCCCACTGTCCAAGCCCAAGCTCACCTGCTTAGGTGCATGCCAGTGCATCGTATCATAGAAATTGTTATTCATATACATTCAATATAGCTAGCTATTCGACACATCCAGACCTGGCCGACTTGGGGGTGACGTGGAAGAAATGAGGTCGACTTGCCGGTACCTACCTAGGCGGATTGATTAGCTGCTCACCTACCTACTTATCATTCAAGCTACCAAGTAATGATGAAACGAGGAGTTACACCAGATGCCATTCCGCGCCAACATATCCGATCGGATCGGTTCCGCTGTTACGCTTTTCCGTTTAAGCTAGAACTGGAGGAAGGAACCTCATCCATGGAGCTCCTGCCGTACTATCAAACACGAGTTGGCGAGGAAGCAGCGGGAACCCGCCTTCATCATCGGAACGGTAGGAGGAAGGAACAGTCCAGGCAATAACCTTCTGGTATCGTGCAAAGAACTGTGCCTCGACAGCCAACCGCTTACACATCGTCATTTCCTACCCGCCTCTTTTGTTTTTCTAATCAACACCTTGCTCGTCAAGTCGCTGTCTTCCACCATTACTCTCTTGTGCTTTGACCATCACTCTCTCGTGCTGAGAGCCTGACATCAGCAGTCACAATGCCTGCGCTTCCAATACACAACCCAATACCCTCTGGGCCCTCATCCTCCCAGACTCGTCCCAAGAGCACCATATCCTCAAACCCACCTCCCATCAAGTCGGCCGCCACCACCACCACCACCACCAGAGCTCCTTCTGCGCGCCTCCCCCCCGAACACCACGCAATCATGCTCCGCTACTCCCTCTCCCCTCGCACCATCCACGCCCTCGCTGCCCTACCCCACGCCGCCCCGCCTGATGAGATCCTCCGCTGCGCCGCCTCCGCCACCGAGTTCTTCTCCTTCACCTTCTCGCCCCCGGAGAAGGTCGCCTTCGCCGGCATCAATAACGACCCCTCGACCCGTTGGCCCGTCCGCGAGGCCCTCGCCCTCCCCTGGCACAAGGTCTTCCTCGTCGCCCAGTGCGAGGCCGCCGGCGGCGACTACGGCGACAAGCTCTCCCTGCAGGCCCGCAACGCCCTCTACGCCGCGCGCGGCCGCATCGTCGACATCCTCGGCCAGGTCATGCGCGCCTGCGCCGACATCATGGGCTCCCGCCTGGACGCCGCCGGCCTCCGGCGCGCCCTCGAAACCTGGCGCGGCATCGTCTCCGGAAGCTAGGAGGGGCTGGCCACGGAGCTGCTCCAGGTCCCCAGCATTGGGCCCAAAAAGGTCGCCTCGCTGGTCGCGCACGGCGTCCGTTCCGTACGTCAGCTCGCCGACCTGGAATTTTACCACATCGAGAGGATTCTGAGCCGCAACCCGCCTTTCGGTCAGAAGGTCCTGCGCAGCCTCGCGCACTTTCCGCGTCTCGCCCTCGTTGTCGACGTTGCCAAGCGGAAGGAGGGCACGCGTGACGTCGTCATCAGAGCCGCGCTGGGTTGTTCGAACCGGGAGATCCCCGTCTGGAAGGACAAGGAGCCTTATGCCACCCTGGGAGCCGAGACCCCAGACGGCAGGCTGGTTTTCTTTTGGAGAGGCAAAGTGAAAAGCCTCATGTCGGGAAAAGTGTTTGCGTTCCCTGTTGAGGCGGTCCTCGGTCAGACAGTGTTTGTGTGGGCGAGCTGCGAGGAGATTGCCGGCACTTGTGTAACGGACGAGGTGGAGGTCTGAGGTATGAATAATACCATGTCTGTTATACGAAGCAGGAGCTTGTTTCATTCGGGGATGAATCTTTGGCAGTCAATCTTGGGGGGGCAGTGGCTAGGACGCATCTAGGTAAATAAGGCGTGGACGGTTGATTCATTAAGCGACCAACGCAGTATTGCCACACATCATCAGCCGTTGGCCGCTACGTTTTCCAGCTACCAGCGCTCGCCGCCGCCACTTCTGCTGTCTTCGCTTGCCCCATATCAGGAGCCCAAAAGAATATACAATATACCCCTTGCTTCTTTACCTTGCGGTCAAGCCGGGCATCGCTGTTTGATGATACTGTGGTGTGGTGTCGGGCGTGCAAGCCGGACTCTATTTCAGGACCCAATGTCCAACTAATCCGGAGCACACCACCCATGAATTTGCAAAACAAAACCCCTCCTTTTTCCTTTTATTATCCAACCATTTTGTCGCTCGTCATCGTCGCCTCATCACTCCCGCCCAACGTCTCGACCGATCCCCGTCCGCAGCACTGTCGTAAACAAAATAAATTGATAACTGACGTTACTCGAGCGACGATGGCGTCCAAATTAGTCATCACGGTTCTTGCCCCTAGCCGAGGGAACGCGGTGGTGGTGCAACATGGGCGACGCGGGCCTAGACGACGACAATCCCATGCCGCGAACCGCATCGAGTGGGTCCAGGTTGAGCTTGGCCTCATCCGTGACCGCGGGCGTGTAAGCAGGGTCGATCGTAGCCTTCTCGTAGCTCGCAATGGTGATTGGTGGCGGGCGGCCCTTGCGCTCAGGAATGCTGTAGAGGTAGGTTGAGGCTAGGACCAGCGCAGTGCCGATAATAAACTGATGTACGTTAGGAAGGTGCGGTGAAGGAAAGGGAATAGAAGTGAACTTACGGCGAAATTGACTTGGAAATTGAAGAACCAAACACTAAACATGAAGCTGAGAACGATACTGATGCTAGCTGCAAAATTCTTTGCAATATTGTCGGCATAATTGATGCATAGAGAGGCCAGGACGCCGCCGACGGCCTGGAAAACAATGGCGGTCCAGACAACCGAGTTGTAGCCCTCAAAGAAGCCATGCTTGGTAATGTCTTCGCCATCAAGGAAGATGATGCCGGCGAGAGCGGGAAACAGCGAGTAGAATGACAGCTGGATGTTGCGCGTCCAGACGGAGGCGGGGGTCGGCGAGTCCTTGAGCATCTTCTCGAAATAAACACCCGCAAGGCCCGAGGCGACGGCAGCGACGAGCACGGCCGACAATCCAATAGAGTAGTTCATGAGCGGCGACGGATCCTGGTCCTCCTGGATGCCCTGGTACGAGGCCGACCGCTTCACGATTTCTCCGCCAACGCTAGCAAGCCCGTTTGCGGCGCGCTTGGTGAGCTCGCGGGCCACCTCAGAAGCGCCCTCCGCGGCTTGACCTAGCTCGTGCACGGAACGGGGGAAGAAATGGTCCGTGGTATCGTGCAGAAGGATGCCGGCAGAAGAGGATTCGGCATGGGTTCCGGAAGAAGGTTGGGGAAGCGACACAATGGAGACTCCCAGGGTTAGTATGAAGAGTGAGATCCAACGCTTCATGCCGAGCGCGCGTCGGAGCATCGTGACGGAGAAGACAGCTGTTGCGAGGATCTGCGGCGCATACAAAATTAGTATCCAAGGTTCAAGCCGAGGGGTGGCAAAGGCGGCTTTCCAACACACCTTGAGCTGGTAAAGCACTTGGAAGTGCACCGCGTCCAGATTACCAACGGCAACGTACTGCAGGGTGTTCTGCAGAGTGTATAGTGTGGCAGGGATAGCAAGCTTCCAGCCGTCGCCCGAGAAGACAGAATTGAAGATTTGCTCGAAAATGACGGTGGCAGGCGTCGAAGGGGCCAAGGTCCGCGAGACTTCAGCGATGGAACAGGTCAAGCAAATGGACAGCTTGATGACCTCGTTGAGGAACACGGCGGTGGATGTGAAGTATCGGTGGTCGCCCACGGGAGGCATGATGCGGGAGTAATGCATGATCTGCCATGGTCTAGTCAGCGCCGTGTCGCGAGAGGCAAGGCAAGGCAAGGTAACGAAGGGGGAGATGCGTACCAGAATCAACGCTGAGTTTTGGAAGGTCAGCTACGGACGAACGAGCCCATTGTCAGCATTCTCGGCCTTGTCGACGAGGCGCAATCGCGCGAGACTCTGCGCGGGCAGTTGTTGTGCATACCGTGATCAAAGAAACCTGCTTCATGGACATGCCAAAAAGAGTCGGGCCCCCCGCCGGCGGCGCGGCAGCGTCGAGGAGAGCCATTGTGGCTGACGGAGATGGAATTGAGGATGCCAAACCGGAAGGATTGGCCGTTGACGATGTAAATTCCGGAGGTCAAGTGGTGGTTTCGTGAAGTTCGTTTTCGTCCTCTCCGAATTGATATTCTGCTTGGTCGGGGGATTTGTGTTGTCGACAGTGGCTTGCGGTAAGGGGGGACAGAGTGGGTGTGGAAAGAAGCTTGGCTGAAAGCTCGTCCTTTTGGCACCCTATTTTTATTTGATTTTTATTTTTATCCTCGATTTCCTTGGTCGGAACAGCGAGCGAATCGGGGGGGGAGGTGACAATACGGAGGGGTCTAGAACAATGTCAGAGCGAGGGGCCGCCTGCCGTGGGAATAGTGGATGCTTGGCCAAGGGCAACAACAGGTGAGCGAGCAACAAGGGCAATATGAAGCAGACGACAGGTAGGTAGAATAGAATAAAATTCTCAAAGGGGTAGGGAAAATCAGAAAGGGGAAAGAAGAAGGGGAGGAAAGGTTGCATTGATGGCATCGAAGAGGGTTCGGAAGTGTGTCGCTTTTCTCAATGCCCCCCCTTCCAAAAGCATGGGACGGGTGTCCAGCCCCAACCCAGACAAGGCAAGAAAGAGAGAGAGTGTCTGTTTCCTCTCCTAGAGGTTCTGGGTGTGCCGCGTCCGTGATGCAGGTCCCTTCCTTCCCTGACTGGGTGAGTCGACCCCTGACGTAAGGGAAGAACAAGGGCAGGAAGGAGCCGGGGGGGGGGGGGGGGAGGCGGCAGCAGTAGCATGAGCACACAGAAGAATACCTACCTAGGATGGCACGATGGGAGAATGATTGTGAGGGAAGGAAGGCGAGTAGGTACGTACTTTTTGGGGGATGGGAGAGAAACAGAAACAGGGGCCTGTTGGCTACTACGGCAAGTTACAGATACACCTAGGTACCTGGATATCTAAACTTACCCACAGTGTCCGTACCTAGGTAATGTAACTAGTCAGGTGGTTGCTGCAGCCTGCAATTGCGCCGTCTTTTCTGCTTTGCTTTCTTTTGCCTTGTTGTCTGTTGCCTGTTGGCTGGCGGTCGAAGCGGTTCACCGGCTTTCTGGCTGTCACTCTGCGGTATGTTGTTTGCTGATGATTACACTCTTAGACTACCGCTGTCGGGTATCCGGTGTCAGATGCCACGGCCACTGTCGGTCTCCTCCTGCCTGGGATTCCAGGGTCTCGCGATGGGGGGGTGTTTGGAGACAAGTACTTGGAACCTCGGTACGCCAAAGCCGCACCTCCAAGTACTCTGGACTTGGTTGAAACTTCAGACTCGCCTATCTCTGAGGTTAGTAATGGGGGAAGATTTGGCTACAGCTCAGGCTCCCTCGGCCTCATTCGTCCGTTTCCCATCTCCTTGCCTCACCTTTTCGCGCTTCTCAAACTCTGCTCAACGTGAGCTTTACAAGATCCCAAGGAGAAACAGAGGAAGACAGAGACACAAGAGAATCAGAAACACGTACCGTGACCACGTCTCTGCCGTGATATCCGCTTTATGCGAATGGGAGCGTCGATGCGACAAGAAACAATCACCGTACTTCAAGCGCAATGCATACGCAGAGCCGCCCAACGGCCCACCCTTCAAATCCAATGATTTCAGTCCGGACCAAACCCGCTCAGCCGTCCGAGCGTGCCGTCGTGCCGTCCAAGCCCGCCGTCGGCCTCTCGGCCTATTTGCCACGAGCCTCTTGCTTGCTTGCTTGCTTGCGTGCTTGCTTAGGTAGGTAGTGTAGTGTATGCTCAGCTGCCCAGGCCACCCAAGGGACGATCGCTGCAGTCTTTTGCCCAGCCTGCACGGAGTACGGTAGACCAAGCAGTTGTTGATGCCAAGGGCTGCCAATACAGAGTGCCTGGCGCCCGACAGCTCAGGTCCCGACGCAAACAGACAACAGACGCGCAAGAATGCAGACCCGACGGGTCTCGACCAAGCTGGACATGTCAGCAATTGCATCATCAGCGAGGGCGAAGCACAGGCACCACCACACACACCAATGATCAGTGATACCTCGACAGGGATAACCTTTTTCGTTTCCGCCCCCTATCTTCCTGTTCTTGTCCTTTGCCCCCCCAGCCGTCAGCGAAGATCCGGGGAAGCTGCTGATAAAGCTTTCTTGGTTGACAGCAAGACGAACACGACGACCGAGGCAGACTGCAAGACACGCTTCGTCGCTCCAATACAACAACCAAGCCGGCTGCGAGACTCAGCCGTTATTTATGCCGTTTATAATTCTCCCGCCTCACCCTCACCGACGATTCCATCCAGCTCTCATCGTGGACGTGATCATGGGTTCCAGCAAACAAGCCACAAGCCTATCCATCTAGGGTATAGGGGGGCGGGGAAACTACCAGTGGTCTCTGAGCCCCATGCACAGTGAGCTGTCCCGACTGGCTCTAGCTCTAGCATGGCGTCACCTGGCATTTGACTGAATCATCACTTCAACCTATGTATGGTAGTAACCAAGTCATCCAGGCCCTAAAGGCGCCACCGGAACAAGCTCACTGGAGCAAGGACATTCCCACCTTTTCTACCATATCCCAATCGGCACTTCAACCACTCCCTCCCCCGCGCGACTCTCCCGCCGCCACATCCAACGAGCCTAGCCCCATGACCCGCCTACACGGACCGCTGGTGTCACCTAAATGTCCTGTAACGGTCGGGAGAGACGCATCGGGGTCCTATTTCGTGGTTTTCGGACGGCGCGTTTCCGCGTCTGAGATCGCTACGCATTTGACAGCTGCCATTTCGTTTGGACTCGGGACGGCCCAAAGTCGACGCTCGCCCTAATCCCACAGGATGAAAGCCACGAGGGCCGGTGTCCCCCAGTTCCTACGCCTCCCTAAGGTTTCTGTCCTGCCATTGGATCGCTCGGGGAGCCAGTTCACCGCTCATGTCTCAGGTTGGATTGCCCGATCTGGTGCTGTCCGTTCGGCCACTCAAAGGGATGGCAAGCGGCATCTCCGCGTCAAGCTGCGATAACCCTGGTGAAAGCTGGTCTTGAATTGACGTTCCCCACTCTATTCTGAAAGATTCTCAACAGAAACAGGTGCATTTGCATGAGACCTCTGACACACCTGGTAATACCATTCACCTTCCGCCGTACCGATTGATCGTTAGAGCTCAGCAAACGCTTACATAATCATCACGCGGTCATCATTAAGAGTCTTCTACAAGTCTCAGCCCAGAGTAAAGAGTATTGATCAATGCTCCTGAGCTCTTCTACATACACAAACTGCATCCTGACACTGTGCATAACATAAGCACCAGCCTTACTATAGGGGTGGGGGTGTCCTTTTTATCGTGACATTCTTGTTGGCCCCACGTGATGTCAATGTTCGAAACTTTACTTTAACCACTTGCCTAGTTCCCTAACATGTATCTTTGAATACCGGCAGTTGGTCGTTCCGGGCCTTGTCTTGTGCCAGGGTTCCTGTGTTATCATGTTCAACTGTAAATAAAAAGCGGGAAGTCTCTACAGTTCAGGAGAAATCAAAGATGGTTGTGGAAACTATCTGTGCGATTGTGCTTGTCTTCTGGCCAGGACGAGAAATTCTTCTTTTCCCTTACATCGCGCCCTCCTTATCAGAAACTTATCTAACCTGCTTAACAAAACAAAATCACCTCAACCACGCGCCCTCATCAACTCCAATACTACTCGTGGCTTCGTAGCTATTCAGTCCGGCCTTGCCGGAGAGGATGCTTATCCCGGCTCCTCTAAGCTCATCTACTTGGTATATCTAAATCCGTCCACGGTTGTCGGAAGGATGCTCATTTGATACCCTAACCCGGTCTATTTCCTCTCACCAAGCCTTCAGACTTATGTTTCTTTTATACCTTCAAGTCTCGAGTTCAAGCTAATTTAGCCAATACAATTTAGCCGAGCATACGTTGTGCAGTGAGGCCAGGTACGTGACAGCCTGTTGAGACTGCATGATATGGCATAAATGATGATTCTATAAGCCACAAATTCCACCCTCCAGAAATAAGAGAGACATTTGCTTCTTTTCGGGCGTACGCCCTAAGTCGGGATTCGAAAAGTTGGCTCAAACGCCATCAAGCTTCCTTGCTCATACCTAGTTCGGCCTTGCACGCTGAGCATATTTCCTTCATATATACACTGTGCAATGTTGATCATATGTAGCCTTCCGAATTGGGATCTTTCTGCCGCCACTTTAGGTGGTCTTCAGGAGGTTGTGAAGTGTGTGATAAGGTCCCTCTGCAGGGGTAATCGGCCTACTGTGATCTGGGAACGAGTGGCTTGCGCGCTCCGAGGTTACACGGCAACGAAAGTGGGACAAATTCCGAGCAGAGCTTCTCAGCAAACACTTGTCCATGCATGGCGGCATAGCTCTAGAAATGCATAAATAGAGCTACTTCGCGGTAACTGTAGTGGTATTTCTTTGATGTAGTTTGCCATCTCCACGTTCTCAACCACCTCGTTCTCCCTGTCATAGCCCACCGTCGAAGCGATGCAGTTATCAAGTCTATTTCTCTTGGCTGCTTCGACGGCCACTTGCGTGCTTCCCGTCGCCGCACACGACTTGGGCGACCTCGAATCGGTACTAGAGCCAGAAGGTTTCAATGTTTCCGAAGCAGTCTTGAAGTTGGGTGTCGCTGTAGCCGAAATCCCTCCTCTGGAAGATGCTGGCAAGCGGCTCGGGACCGGGTCCCCCTCAACCGGGTGCTCTACAGCTGTGAGCGATTAGTTGGCCTGAAGACACCCGAAGTGCGCTGACTTTTGTCTCTTCCGTGCAGTGCGCTTCATTGAAACTTATATATGGCGACACCGCTGTCCTTGTGGCGGGAAATGACACAGCTTGCATTGATTTCATTGGCTCATACTGGTCAGCAATCCAAGCCGAGGTTAGGCCCCGCTGTATCTTCCAGCCGTCTAAACCAGAAGAGGTATCAGTTGCCGTTCTCCTAGCGCGGCTAACGCAGTGCCCCTTCGCGGTCAAGAGCGGCGGACATGCTGCCATGGCGGGGGCGTCCAACGCTGAGGGCGGGATCACCGTCTCTTTCACGAATATGAAGTCTATTTCGCTGTCGGCAGATAGAACAGTTGCATCAATACAACCTGGGAACGTTTGGGGCGATGTCTATGCAGAATTGACCAAGTCGGATGTCACCGTTATAGGTGGACGACTGTACAATATTGGTGTAGGAGGACTGATCACTGGAGGTGAGTTGTCGATTGTCAGGCTCAGATGATAGTCATCTTGAGCAGTTTCCCTTCTATCTTTTATCATGATCCAGATTTCGGGGTTTCCGAGTGCTGACTTGTGTACTAGGCGGCATCGCATACTCTTCTGGCGTCTACGGATGGGCTTGTGATAACGTTGAGAGCTTCGATGTACGTCTTCCTTCTCACTTTCACGAAGATGAGCTTACGCGCAACAGGTAGTAATCTCGAGCGGAGCCATCATCCGAGCGACGGCGACCCAGTTCCCGGACTTTTACTGGGCCCTCCGCGGCGGCGGTAACAACTTTGGAATTGTCGTTGGCTTCAACCTCTTCACCCACCCGCTACCCGGTGGCAGAATGTGGGGTGGCACCAGGGCATACACCGAAAACAGCTTCCCCCAGGTCGCCGAGGCCTTCGCTAACATGGTCGCCAACGCGGAGCAGGATCCCAGGGCCGGACTCTGGCACGTGTATACTCTCTACAACGGCAGCAAGATTTCCTCGACGGAACTGTATTACGCGGAGCCAGACGGCAATGACGCCCCGATCCTATCCGACTGGAACGCTATCCCCGCCGTCTCGGACACGACGCAGAACCGCGTCATCGCCGAGTATGCCAGAGTGGGCATGGACTCCACACCGCCAGGGTTGCGGGAGGTCTACGCCGTCATCAGCACCAAAGCCAGTATCGAGATTGTCGAGCTCGCCCGTGACATCTACTTCGAGGAGGTCACCGCCGTTGTGGATTTGCCGGGCATTGTGCCCGTCCTCGTGTTCCAGGGTATCAGCGTCCCGACATTGAAGCATATGCAGAGAGACGGCGGCAACGCCCTGGGTTTAGAAGTGGAAGACGGTCCGTTTTACATAATACAGGTTCCAGTCATGTGGAGCAACCAAGAGGACGATGACGCGGTGTACGCCTTTGCGTCTCGGGTACTGGAGAGAATCAACGGCGAAGCCGAGGCGCGGGGGCTGAGCAACGACTACGTGTACATGAACTACGGCAGCCAGTACCAAGATGTCATTAGCGGGTACGGGGCGGAAAACAAGGACCGGTTGAAGAGGATAGCCAAGAAGTATGATCCAAGGGAGGTCTTCCAGAAGCTGCAGCCGGGGTACTTTAAGCTTGACCGCGCGCCACTTCAGGATCCACGATATTTCAACTGGTAGTCATTCATTAATTGTATGATGCTAGAAATCTGAGACCACACTCTCAGATTCATTCATCTACAACCTTTAAATTGTACTTCATCCAGCCTATTGCCATGTGATTACTCCCGGAGAGTAGCGACTGGTTTGTTGAACGCGTGAGCAACGGGACCGTCAATAATTTCAATTATTCAAAAGTCATTTCTTTTGGGTATTCAAAATTAACAGTAATCACGCAGATCTGAATCAGAGAGTGCGTGTGTTTTCCTGAATTGACAGGAGGAAACTGTAAGACGTACGCCCACATGATCCGGTTCCAGCCGTGACAAGTCCCTGTCACGAACCCCTTTTTGCCATGACTATTCGTAGTCAACGCAAAGAAGACATGATATCACATCAGTGATTTGGTTTCAAAAGCTCACTTGCGTGACAGGTGCTTGTCATTCCACGCGCCTTATTCTTGTTGGCGCTAAGCGTTCTCTGCTTCAGAAGACTTTGAGTCTGTATGATTACAGCGCGTCCTTAAGCACCATGAGCAGGAAGACGCATCTATCCTGAGACTATCCCTAGAAACACCTTAGCTAAAGTAGTATAATAATGTTGATTTCCACTATCTGCAGGGCATTGCATATTTTGATCCAGCAACGGATGGAGTAAATGTAATTACATGTGGCCAACAGAAGAGGCACAAGAAATGAGAGATCTACGATGGTGTCATGGTTACGTTTTTAGAACTACCAAAGAAATATAAAACGCACTGCTGATGGTTTCTAAGAAGTCGAACATTCAGGTTGATCAAAACAATTGGGTTTGCGGTTTCTAGTGGAAGCTCTCTCTGTCGAGTATATCATATTGCAATGATGTTTGAAGGAATTAGCTGCAACTCTTGGTGAACCAAGGTAAATCATCGGGCCTCACCCGTTGAACCCCCAAGCTGAACGAGTACCTGGAAACGTTCGGGGCCATTAGACCGCGTTGGTTAGACACATATCCGAAAGACATGGTCTGTGACGGTGACTGAATCGTGTAGGGGGGGACCTGCGCTCGTCCACGGAGGCCGAATCCGAAGTGGTGGGGAAAGACTATTGTCGCAGATCTTTCGGGCTGTATAGATCATTGTTGGTCTAGACTTCCCCCATTGAAACGAGCAAAATCACACGGCGCATAACCTCCCTATTTACGCACAGGACATTGCTGGCGCAAATGGATTTCATTGAGCGCATCGCTAGGCTGGTTTAATACGACATGATGCCGGTCTTGCCAGTGCGCATTGGACCGTCTATTGGAAACTCAGGTCCGAGTCCGCGCGCTTCCTTAAAAACTTAAGCATCCAAGGTGGTGCCCTGTCCCTGAAACTTCCACCTTTGATGCGCCGTTCGAGCAGCCACTGCACCGTCATGGTCGCCATCGCGCAGTTCCACACGAAGGACACGATCATTCCAAGGGAAAAGACGAGTGACGAGGAAATGGTGGTGGTGCCGCAAATGGTCATGATTCCAAAATCGTCAATGCCGTCGGGGAGCGCGAAGCCCGAAATGAGGAGGATTGCCTGGCAGACGAGGAAGTCCAAGGCGTTGATGAACTTGAGACGGCGGTACATATAGAATGTTATATCCGGTCGTGTGCTGAGTCTTTTCTGGTACAAGTAAAGAGGGACAGAGATGGCCGCCAGGCCGACCGTTACATATCCGGTTACCTAAGAAAACTCCTAGTGAGCTTTGGAAAGCGAAATGTCCACAAGGAGTGGTTTGGCTTACCCCGTGTTCTGTTCTGGCGTGGTCAGAGTTCCCCATTGCTATGATTCCCGTGACAAGGCCTACAATCGATAATGGCGCGAAGAAAACGATGGTGAAGATGGTCTGCCACATCCCAACTTTTCGCTTCGTTGACTCCTGCAACGGGCGGTCGATCATGATGCATAAGCTAGGCGTGGCTGCGAGAACCAGGATAATTGGGTATGAGAGAAAGAACGCAGCAGTCATGGTAACAACTAATCACTCGTTAGCAAACAATGCTACATGTGCTTAGAAACAAAGGCTTTTTGGAGGAAGAACACTCACGGTGGATATAAGTCAAAAGCACGAAGTCGTTCTCTTTAACTCCATTGACTTCGTACGAGTCATCCGAGAAATCGATGGAGAAGGAATTGCCAGAGCTGGTAACGTTGAGGGTAACACATGTTGGTATTGTGACATTGAGAATAGGATTAGCGGAGATGTTCCTGTGAAGCAGCTCCCTCAGCCCTCGAACGCCTTTTATGATCCAGCAGTGGTCCGACGTGGAGAGATCTTGGAACTTTTCTTGTAGAAAGTCGGTGATGTAATATTCGTCGAACGCGCTAAATGGGCAGTCTTGTTGAACGGTGATGTCGGTATCGTTGGTCTGCTGACGCGGTGCGATGCCGGCGGGCTGTGGAGATCTCGGTTGGGTTCCTGCCCCTGATCGATCTCTCATCGCCCCCTCTATATGACCACCGCCGAAGATGCCATCCTGAACTGGACCCGCATCTGAGACTCTGATGCTCAAGAGTCCCAGAGCAAGCAATAAGATTCGTGGATACATGGTACGATGGGTGGTTAGAGGGACGGTAAGAATCCAACCAGGTAACCAACCACGAAAAGCATGATAGATCGCGAGTAGATGTGGGCAATGGAGCGGCCGGGAACATATATAGCACCAACTTCGTAAGGCCTTCTATACTTGGGTAGATGATCAATCTGAGGCTGTGTTTTCCAAATACAAAGCATGGAAAACCAGCCCTAGACACTAGAACTTGGATCAGGGGGCATTAAGGTTCGTCACGTGTGCCCACAAATACAGCTTGTCCCGGGTCTGGGTGGAGATTCGGTGTTCCGCGGAGCCGTCGACGGCGTAGGGCACCCTTGCTAGCGGCATCAATGACTCTGATCGATCCTCAGCCACTATAGTAACGCGTAAGACGTACAGGGTGGTAGGGGTAACTAAAAGCTCCCAGCCATGTTACCCCCCATAGCTGACATCATTATAAAAGGGGAATATTCACCAACAGAGAAATTTTGTAGTAGGGGGGTGCCTATTAGTTACCTGACAGGGAGCTTTTACTTTGGCCGGATACCATCGTATTTGTTTGATAACCATCTAGTCTGCACCTATACGGCAGCCTGCAGGGCGCACTGGTCTAAAAGTCAGAAATTGCCTCTTTAGAACAGAAAGATAATATAGATATAGTATAGTGTATAAAAAAACTATTATTAATAAGATCTAATTAGTTTAAGTAGAGTAATTATATAATTTTCTTACACCCTATAGGCCTATAATAGATTTAGCCTTAATCCTAGCTAATTTCAGCTACTAGCTTGTTTCTACAGGCCAGCGCCAGCCTACTGTTGCTAGTGCCTGCCTATTACTACTAGCGCCTGCCTACTATTACTAGCATATACTACTATTACTAGCGCCTACCTATTCTAAATACTTATCTTAATAGAATTAATAGCTCTAAATTTTGATACTTATTAGTATTTAATTCTTTTTAATTAAATATTTATATCTAGGGTCATGTTTTCTCTAGGAAATTTCTCTAAAGTTCAACGCTAGCCTATGCGCTCTAAGCAAGCTAATTAGATCAAGATTTCACCAGCCCAAGTTGACTTTTGGACCAGTGCGTCCTGCAGGCTGCCGTACCCCCCACACCTAGAAAATACGGTGACAGGATTGCAAAACTTCCTCGACTCTATGATTGTTTTGGATTCGGTGCGCTGTCCCTCTGGTCCGTCTTCGGACCAACAACCACCACAGTCAACGTCATTTCCATCCCCGCCCGTATCCTTGGGCTGCGGCTCGATGGAAATCTGTACAAAGCTGATGGACATGGTTGTCCCGGAAAGTTCGGAATATCGCAGAATAGCTCGAAAAATTAGCCAAAGAAGTCTGGCTCCATCGTTCAGGACCGGGGGTTCAAAACGCTCTCTTTGAAGAGCGGTAAGGGACTGTACGTGCCAAACTGGACGTTTTAAAGGTAGAAGTTGCGAAATAATAGACCCAGGCTATCTAAATATGTTTCTTGAAGATTTAACAGAAGTCGTTACCACAATTATTGTTGATGGGGAGAAATATGTCGAATCGATATCAAAGAGCGGATTTACATGGTCTAGACATTGATGCCCAACAATAAAAAAAGGCATATACCATTCGGAAAGATCGGCCGAAAGATCGCATGTATTTCACTGTAATGGTTTTCGGGCGATTGATTTGATCCCGTCGGTTCATGGAAATAAGGGCCCGTCACTTATAAGTTACGATTATGCACAAGATTGTAGTTTCACGAGATCAGAGTCTGCGTTGTATCGCTTTGGAAAAGGAAATTGAAAGCAAAGCTATGTGTTTACCAAATACCTCATTACTCGAGATAAAATTGTGAAGCGAGAACGCGCCCTCATACGTAGTCACTGACACTGAACGGATATGCAACCATGGTTGGGTTCCCGTTTATGCAGTATGAGTTTCATGTATGAGGTATCACACTGACTGTAACACCTCGACTGCTTCCAGACCCTAATACCATCACTAGAGTAACAGCAAACGGGCCCATTTATTTGGGTTCAGTGGAGTCAATATATACGTCGCTCCGCGGGTGGCGCATGTTTGGATATGCCACGCGATTCCAGCTATCTCGAGCGTCCTGTGTCAAGCATCGTTTAATCAGGTTCTCTTTTCGCTGTGGGTGGATATTTTCGTAAAGGGGTGTGCATCTAGGATGCAATACTCGAGGTGTTATTGATGGTGTGCTTAGATAATCACGATAATGATAAGATGAGTGGATAAGATTAGATAAGGCTCAAAGAAAGTGACAGTCGCGAAGCTGCGACAGAGCTTCCACGACTTACAACCATTGCAATGTGAGGGCGTACCAGGATGCCGTCCCAGTTCATACCCGCCCGCAGCTCCCGTCACCGCGTCGCCTGCATAGCCCTCTACCGCGCACTCATCCGCGAGGCGCGCGCGATCCCCCTCCCCGACGATGTCCTCCGCAAAGGCACGCAGAACCCGATCCCGCGGCTCGTGCAGAAGGCCTTCGCGCGCAACCGCACAGAGGCGAGCTACCGGATCGTCTTCTCGGCGCTGGGGACGGGGTACAACGTATGCCGCATGTCCCTTCTCCTTTTCTCTTCACCTTTCCGGGCTGTATCCCAGGCCACAGGCTAACGACTGCTCTCCCGCTCTCTCCAGTTCCTCAACCTCTTCAAGGCCGCGCAAACCCCCGACTCGAAGGAGCACTCCCAGATCATAGCCCACCTCCGCGACAAGAAGCTCCGCGACGCTAAATCTGAGGCCGGAAAGCCCCCGCCCCGGCCCCCACGACCCGCTAAGCCCAAGTGGCCGCCCCTCCTCCAGAAGGTCTCTGAGGAAGACGAGCCCCCGGCTTACGTCTCCCCGCGCTTCCCCGTGCCGCGTGAGCACCTTACCGGCACGCGGCACGTGCCGTACGTTGCCGTAACATCCGAGGGCATCTCCTTCCTGCGGCAGAAGAAGCCGCAGGACCCCTCGGTCGGGCTCTACGTCCGGCGCAAGACCCGGATCAAGCGGCGCGCGATGGACCTGATGCTCGGCTCGTCACGTGAGGATATGCCGTGGGCCGCGCAGGAGGACAGGTGGGAGGAGATTGTCAAACAAGAGATGCTCGAGGCGCGGCGGCGGGAGACCTGGGAGGCCGGGAGGGCCTCGTGGGGGAAGCAGAGGGAGGCGCCGGACCGGCTGCTGCAGCCCGAGAGCTATGGGCAGTCGGTGACGGAGACCTGGAAGTTCGCGAGGCAGACGCTGCAAGACCTGATGGCGAACGAGGCCGCGCGTGTGAGGGCGTTTGTGGACATCCGCAAGGCGGAGGCGGCGATGCTCGAGGAGGAGGACCGCGACCACCTGGCGAGGGGTCACCGCTGGATGGTGGACACCCCTGAGAAGAAGATGCAGAGGCATAAGCGGTATCGCGCGACCTTGAATGCGGCCAAGGTCGACCTCAGGGCCAAGAGGAGGCAGGAGAAAAGGCACTCGCGGGTGAGAGGCTTGGAGCCGGCCCCCGTCGAGGTTTGACAGGCTTGTCTAGCGGGCGAGCCTCCTTAACCTATATTATACGCATCTGTATTTCGGCAATGATACCGCTTTGCGCCCCGTTTTGCATGTTGCAGTGATGTCGAAAATGAAGAAAAAATAAGTGCTTTTTTTGTCATGACTTCGTAAAAGCTATGATTGTTCTTGTAAAACGTATGTATTTACCGATCCTTTCGTTTTTTCGGCCGTAAATCATGCCATGAAACATCTTCTGCAGTGCCATCTTCTTCACCTGACGCGCTCTCTGCTCCTCTCGGGGCTGCCAGAAATAGAGTTGATCTGCGGTGGTGGGCCAACCATCTTCGCCAGCGTGTGAGACTCGCCAGCGACGGCTGCCCAGCTCTTTCCTGACTGCAACGATGGAATCTTTACCTGGCCTAGGCCTTCCCGCGACACTTCACTTCCAGCGACAGATGCGAGCTCAGCCTTGGTCGTGTGGGGAGAAGATAACACGGAAGAAGACATGGACGGTGGAACAGAATGAGTAGGACCCAAAGGCCCGTAGGACGGCTCCGGGTCAGCAACCTCCCGGACAACAACATCGAAGCCGGATTGTTTCAGAGAGGGGCTCATTGCCGGGGGAGTGAACATCTCCGTGCTCGTCTCGAAACTACGGCGCGAGAATATGGATGAAGACATGCTGGCCTGCGTGCTGTCCGCCGAGCTGCTATCTCTGTTGAGCCTGGGTGCGCTCGACCGTGGAGTGGTCGGAAGCTTTGCGAGGATTGGAAGACGGGAATTAGAGCCCCGTGAGGGCAACGTGCCACTTGCTTGAGGATTTGGTGAGGGTGTCTCCGATGGCCGTGATGCAGGATCAGGTCTGGAGGCGCCTGACATGACAGCAGCATTGGGAGTGACCCATGCCTTGTGAGGGCCACTTGGAATCCGCGCTGGCGGCGTCGGACGCGGGGCTGCCGAGGATGAAGCATTTGTCGAGGGAGAGGGACGTATCGCGGCTTGACGCAAAGGGTGGGTGTGTGGCCTGGTGTTGATGCCCAGACCCTGGCGTAATTTGGTGATGGCGGCGTTGGACGTGAAGCAGGCGTTGAGGTTGGTGTTAGGCAGGGGTAAGCCTGTCCGTCTGTGTGTCAACTCCTTCTCCAGCTCGTTGACCCGTTCTTCTAACTTTCTGCGTTTTTGCCTTTCATCGTCGCGCTGCTTCGTCAGAAGCTCGGTGTCCCTGGCGTGCTTCTTCTCCTGGTTTTCTAGGCGCAGACGGTAAGTTTCGTCCATGGCTCTCAGTGACTTGACTTCTTTCTGCAGCCGCTCGTTTTCGGGCCTCAATTGGGCGTTCTCGGTAGCCGCATCCGCAAGCCTCTTGTCGATTCGGTTGCCGACAAACCGGGCACTCTTCCGACAACAGCTGTTATGATAGACCTGTTCGATGCCACCAAGGTCAACGAGTTCCTGGTCCACTTGGTCCGCTCGGGGTCTAGCCTTCGGGTCAGAGGAGACCATTCTCCCAGTGAGACCGAGAATGTGGCGCGGCGCGACAGTCGGCCGTTTCACGTCGTGGAAACGCTGGGTTGCCAGAGCGTGAAGAGCCAGTTTCTCTTGGTGAGCCGCGAGTTTCTCGGCCCGGGAATGGGGCAACAAATCTCCGACCACCGAGTGGAAGTTGTTCAAGTCACCATGAAACACAAGCGTAGCAATGTTTAGGTATATGAGGCCCAGACAGTATATGTCGGCACACTGCGTGGAGTACTCCTCGGGGATATAGGCCTCGGGTGGGCGCCACTTGGGGGTTCCGTGAAGACCCATGGTGGCGGTGTTTTCCTGGCCATGGAAATCTCGAGCAATGCCAAAGTCGGCGAGATAGACCTTGTTGGGGTTCAATAAGATATTACTCGGCTTCAGGTCAAGGTGGCGAACTTTGGAGGCGTGGCAGTGTGTGACGGCTTGGGCAATGCAGCCCATGATACGCTGAAGGAAATTGAGAGGACACTTGGCTTTGCCAGCGTCTGCTGGACCTTTACGACCGCCAGACTCGACGAGGGTCAGGTCAGATATGTCTAGCTCATCGAGCCTCTTCAAAATATCCTCACGATCACCCTGGCCGCTTCTCAAGTCGGCGAGATCGGTGAGTAGTTCGTCAAGGTTGCAAACGGCAACGGGCCATATCAGAAGGTAAAGCTCTCGCTGTTTAAAGGTGTAAGTCCCGATCAGCTTGACGATGTGGTCATGGTCCAGACGCTCCATGGCCAGTGCCTCCCTCCGCAAGGTGTGAAAGGTCTGGTTGCGTTGGGGCTTGATCCATTTGCGTGCCAGGCGAACAGTGCGGTGGGTGACTCTCTCGACGCGGCCAAAGGTGCCCATTCCCAGGTCGTTGTCCTTGGGGGCGATGATCTTGGCGTGTATCTTCTTGGCCTCGGCGAAGTCGTCTGGGTGTTTTCCACTGCGGCGCGGTGCGTTGTGGTCAACTTAAGCGCAATGGACGTGCGATTGTCGGGAAACAGAAGAGCGGGAGGGAGATTTGCACTCACATGCCAGACCAATGGCCGCTGGACGCCTCCCATTCCCGGATCTTGGACTTCTCGTATAGTTCGCGGTGAGCAGGCGGGAGGCGATCGGGGTGCGGCTGGGATTTCAGGTGGACAGTAGTCCAGCCTGCATCGGAACCCTCGTCGGCCATGACGTCCAACATCGGATGGGATGGCAACGTTGCCGCGAGTTTCATCAACGGCTAGGGGACGGGCAAGCAGCTTGGCCTTCGGTAGAATGCCGTCTAGGATGGCGAGATAACGGTCATGATGTCAACCGGAGGACGTGGCGCACATCAGCCGCTGGAACGACGAGGGAAGAGAGGCAGAGAGAAAGAGGCGATTGCGGGGTGTCAGCCCGGTAGGTAGTGGGCAAAATTGACGACCGTTGGAGTCTGTGGTTTGTCGATCTTTGTGGAGGGAAGCAGAAGGCAGGGAAGGCCGGAACACGGAGCCTGCCCAGGTAACAAGGGTCTGGGTAGGTACCTAGGTACCTCTAGGTATCTAGGTAATTAGGTAGGTACGGTACTTGAAATAGGCGCACAGCCCAGAGGTTGACCCCCTTTCAGGGCCTCGAGGGCCGTGTGACTAGGTACAGGCTTTTTAGCTTGTGGAGCTGAGATCCAGGCAGCCTTGTAGGGACGCAGCGCTGGGGCCATTTGTTGGGGCATGTTCCAAGGTACCTACGTGTACGGAGTACTCCGTAGATACTTTAGTATGTCAGGTACGTACCGTTCTGTAGGTAGGTATCCGTACCTATGCAGGAATACTCGGAGTACACGATGCAGAGTAGCGATGCTTCTTCCACCATCATTCATCCTCATCACCAAAGCACTACTGTCGGCCTTGCCCCAATGCCACCCCCTGGGGCAGTTACATATCCATGAAACAGTCCTCAAATCAACATACGATGCAATCAATGCAATGGCACATCTTACTTTCCAGACATGAACGCATTTTACGTCTTCAGGCCCCGATCATGCAGCTAACTGCACATTGAACCATGATTGAAGGTTTCCCACGATGCACAATCCCGCGGGGCTCCCCACTGACTGACCGTCCTTCTTCCATTGGCACCACAGAAGAGGCTCTTTCTTGGCATATCGTCCTCGACAGTCCTCACGGGGCTGAATAAAGAGAACCGTTGCTGACCGTTCTGCAGTGCTCCCATCTCTCGACTCAAGACGCATGAGATGGAAACCCCATCATAACTGGTAGCGACGCAACAATTGGTAACATATCACCCTGTCCAAGACCCAGGACTGTTGACATCACATCCGGCGGGCCGCCCAAATTCGTACAAGTTTGTCTCGACACCTTGTGGGCCTTGACGACGATATCAAAAGCAGGCCAACGGCCCCACGCAAATGATGCACCGAATGCCACCGTCGTGTTAGCCAAGTGCTCTGCGGATTTCGAAGCCGCGCCCGATGCGAATGCTGACATTGTGTGTCTGCAATCGTGGCCGCTGCCGAGATACCACCTGCATATATCGATACAGCTGGGATCGTCGCCGTCTCGACCGAGGTGAGGCAGATGGCTGGCGTGGCTGGGTTCCTCTCAAGCCACCTGAAATACCACTGTGGCACGATCTCGCCGGCATTTCATAAAACCCCAGATCGGACACGCCAAACACACAGCACAAACACAACGCACGGCACACATCACACATCACGCAACACACACAAGGACGGGGGAGGTTGCCACCACCGACCTTGTCATCATTATGATAAGCATGCCGGGCCCTTCCTACCCTGCGCTGTGTAGGATTCCAACCTGGGCTGCTCAAAAACAAGAAAAAGGAGTCCATCAGATGTCGGGGTGTCGGGCGCGCCGAATACCCGCATAGATTTTCTACTGGCAATCGATACTGCGACGACCGGGGAAGCAGTTTTACCGTGCCTCCATCTCTGTCCAACACTTCGTCGACTCATTAATAAGAAGATGCTTACCGTCAAGTCTCACATTTCGAGGAGCTGGTCTGCACTGCAATTGACATGGGCGTTTGGGCCTCATTATGATAGCCAGACTAGATGATGATCTGGGCCAGCTGGACCCACTTCCAGCGGCCGAACTCCTGGGTCCGGAACTGCCCCGCTTGGATGATGCCGAGACGTCCTGACTTTGGTCGAGATCGCGAGGCTGCGCTGCTCATCCAACATAGCCCCCTCACCCAGCCAATCCCGAATGCTGCATCCATCACTGCGTACACGCTATGCATGCGGCCGGTTTGCCGGCCACGTTTTCTGTCGTTTTTGACTTACTTATATCATTTCCACCGCTAGGGGAAGCAAGCCGGGGCAGGTTTCGTTGGTGTCGAAACACCATGCTAGCCTCCCTAGGCCGTTTTCTCGCTACCGACCGATATTCGTACCTACTCCTGTAGAATATGACTCTTTTGCCCCCCCCCCCCCCCCTCCCCTTCCCCACCCCTTCTGGACGGGTTCTAGGATGTTTGGGAATCGCTGGTTGGGAATCCCGCCCACCCTGCTGCGTCGATCACAGCCCCTCGGCGACCAGACCGGCTCCCAAAGTAAGGCTGTTGTGTGCTGTTACCTGAGATCGCTACGTCTTCATGGACGAGGCCCGTTGCAATGGATCTAGGCGATGCCTGCATGGGGTCGAGATCGGTGAGCAGAGAACCCTGAGCTCAGTATCCTCCTGGGCAAACATTGCCAAAGATATGCATGTGCTGCCCGCGGCATCTGAGGTAGTAACCCTTACGTTAACCCGGACCATTGGATATTTGATCTTAGTCGTGTCCACCATGGCCTTTACACAAGGCCTTGCGGATGGAACGTCCCACGCAGTTGCAGTTCGCGGATCTCATTTTTACTCAACGGTCCCCTATGAGGACCCCCATGTCGTGCTCACTTGCTGAACTCGGTGATTCAACAACCCCTTGTTGCTTGGCTGTATCATGCCCGGCTACACGTGCATCTGTATCTCACCATGACAAGCATTGGTGTTGAAGATCGGGATCAAGAGTAGCCCTGCCTGCCGGGCCCTCGTCAAGAGGATTGGGTTGGCTACCATGGGTTGTGGCCAACAATATCACTCCTAGAATGGAGCACTGGCGCGGTATACAGTGCCGACATGGCTTGTTCGCCCTCCCGACGGGTCGTTGTGTCATTCAAACGCCTCCCCGGCATGCTTTCTTTTCCCCCTTGCTGTCGGATTTCGTCAGTGTTCACGGAAAGTTGCCCCCCGAGAGTCTCTTCCTTTAAATGGTCTGATGGTGTACGGTCCTCCCCGTAGACATATTGAGTTGTCCAAATATTATTTGAACGGCTAATCTGTCTCTTCAGTTATCGAGTTGATCCAGAAGAGAAGCCTGGGATTTCTGGCTGGCATTCTATAAAGACGACGCCGCCGTCTTTTTTTTTGTTCTCTTTTTTTTCTCTCTTTTTGTTTTTTTCTTTCAACAGCTTCAGTCTATCACCACATCTCAGTAAGTTCTATTCTACTGCACTTATGAGCTATTGCATAATCAACTCGTGCCTCAGTTCATTCTAGGATCGCCGCGGATCGGGCGCTTACTGTTGTACTCGGGCCGTCGTCCTGTTGTGCATGACTGATGGGTCGCTAGCTCCGTGGGAGACATCAAACGGTACAGCACAATGGTTCAGCTAGCAAACCCTAACAGAGCCCAGCGTGCAGCCCGCAGTTCCCCAGTAAAACATAGCGACACGCAAGATTAGCTTCGTTAGTCGGCATTTAGGCTCAACCCGGGTTCGGCTGTTGCTGGTCAGCCTACTCTCTTGACGGTGGATATGAGTAATCATTCCCGTCCCAGCGGCTTGGAGACGCCATCCGACACGGCCGACGATCTGGACGATCCGCCGCCCCTTCCTCCTCAACAGACATTTGTTATACACGGATTTCCTGACCAAGACGGCCGACGGCTGCCCTGGATACCTATATCACATCATCGTCGATTCATCGAAAAGCAGGAAGAGCCGGAACATAGCGGCGTCGGTGCATTTTCTTTCCCCGCATCGTCAGCCCCAACGTCGACGTCGTCCCAAGCAGAAGAAGGTGGTCAATCTATTGTCACACAGGCTCAAGCGCACCCGGCCTCCTCTCACCCCCATCTTCTTTTGAATCCTTCATTCTCCCATGCTCAGCCGGGCTACAATCAGCCTTATCAGCAACAGAGCCAGGGTCACTTGTATCACAGCGGGCACGGCCAGGACACGGTAGTCTACCACGACCCCCAACATTACCAACACCCCCGGCCCCAGCTCCAGCAAAGTGAAGGGCACCACCGCCATCAACAATTCATCCCGCCTACCTCTCTCGCGGACCCTCGCCAGCCCGCATCCATCGCATTCCCATTTCCAGACTCGACGCCTTTTCTTCGTCATCCCCACGACCCTAGGTCGTTGCAAACCCAAACCCAAGCTGACACACAGAGCGGCTTCGAGTTTCCCCACCACCGGCATCCTGGGTTCCCCCAAATTAGCTCTGGCGATCTAGTCCCGATTCGATTTCAAGGTCTAGATCACACACACGTCCCTCAAGAGTCTCTAGCTGGTTTCCCTCTGCCCGGTCACCCTGCTGGACAGGCCCAATTGTTCTATCATCACAACAGTGACCACAGCGTCCATAATAGCTACCCTGGGGCTCTTCAGTTTCCCGACGGTTATCCGATAGCATTCATGCCGCCGAACCCCGAGCTCAAGATCCTCAATGCTGAGTCGTACAACGACGGCAAGTCGGCGTTTCGCGCGCCGCGTAGTCTCCCTTCGGGGAGACCCCGCAGAGCGGCGATTGGCGATGAACCACCCAAGTCCAAAAAGCGGACCAAAGCCCAGTCCTCCGAAGCGGGCGAGCTTGAAGACGAGGACAAGAAGAGATCGCGGGGTAGGCCGCGTCTAGATACAAACGATGAGACAGCCAAAGAGGTAAGTTTGCAATCCACCGCCGGCCTCCTGCTGCCTTTCTTTGCAGTAATGTAACTGCTTTTGAATTTTGTTATATGCCCGCAATGCCTCAAAGCGTGCATCAGGTCCATCTAACCAGAGTAGCGTCGTCGCACCCAAATTCGCCTCGCCCAGAGGGCCTACCGCAACCGTAAGGAGACAGCCATCCAGTCGCTTGAGAAGAAGGTCGATGAGCTCAGGAAAATCAACGAGGAAATGAGTAAGGAGTTTATGAGGATTTACGACTTCGCCGTCAGCAAGGGCATGCACGAGAGCACGCCCGAGTTCGGATGTCAGCTGCAGGCCACGACGGAGAAATTTGTCGCCTTGGCACGGAGATCGAGCGAGGAGCTCGAAAAGGACGGTGATTTGCCCACCAGCCAGGACAACGACGTCGATGCGCAAGAGGCCAGCCCAACCACCGGCAACGCTGGGCTCAGCGACACGTCGGGCTCACAAGATGTCGCCGTCAAACCCGCCGAGATGATGTATGGAGGCTTCATCGTCAGCCATGGCGAGGACACGGCACCCTCGACCCCTCGCTTCCAGAAGTTGACGGCGATGCACACGACATCGTGGGCACCCGACAGCCAATCGCAAGCGCCACACTCGACGCCCCCCCAGGCGCCCCTGGGCTACGAAATAGTGACGGAGCCAACGACGGACAATGCTAGCTTCCCATTCGGTATGTCTTTCGATGATAGCCTGGACCAAGCAGGCTCTCTCAACCTATCCGGCCAGCCCTTTTCCGAAACCCTCTTCTCCATCCTGTCTCCGCCGAGCTCCTACGCGTACCAAGAGCGCACGTTCGGGCGGCGACTGCAGCGGTCGACGCTGGAGAAGGCCTACTTCCTGGTGTGTATGCCGGACCCGCCGCCGGCCGTCATGTCCAAAGCCTTCGGCTTCTGCCTGCTGTTTGAGACCAAAGACCGCATCAAGGAGAGACTTGCTAACCGACTCAGAGTAAACGAGCGCGAGTCCATGTTTAATTGGAAGTTCCCCTTTTGGAACCTGGGTGGTGGTGGTACGTGGTTCGACGCGACGGATGATGAGACGGATTACTCGCGCGACGGCAAGCTGAGGGGCCCCGTGGGAAACCAAGGCACGGCTGAGCCGCACCGGCACAATGTCGACTCGATGTTCGGGTTGGGACCATGGGACGCCCGGACGGAAGAGACACGGGATCTGAGGGTCAACCATGGGGCCGCCAAGCTCCACATGAGCGTGCCGGGCTTCGAGGGCGACTTTTACGACGCAGACGAGGTTGAGTGGGTCCTGCGACAGCGAGGCATCTTCATCCCGCCGGCCGCCGACTTCGTTACGGCCGAGATCGACCCCGCCGACTTCTCGACCGACACGACCGCGGGCGGGCAAGTCTTTGGGACGGGCTCGCAAAGCAGCGTGGACGACATACTCAGCGGGTTGCGCCGCGCCGAGAAAAGCCCCCTGGCGCACTTTGCTAGGGGGTACGTCGGTATGAATCTGCAGCCGACGAGGGCGTCCGACATCGACAACGGCTCGCACTCCGTGGCCCGTACGGAGGAGGCGCTGCCTGCCCCGAAAGACATCGACCCCAGCCTCGGAGGCGACGCGTTCGGGCTAGGCGAAAAGCCGGCGAACGGTCCCTCGGACACAGGGTTGAGAAAGCGGCTGGTGACGATCAACGTCGGAGTCTTGGTTCAAGGTACGCTTGCCCACACTTTCGAATGGGGAGGCAGTGTAATGCTGACCCGACACAGAGATTGCGCTGAGGTCGGTTTGTTTGGGACGAACACCGGGTGTGCGGCCAAAGGATGTCAACGTCGCATTCTGGGCGTCGCTGGCCGTATAAAAAAAAACAAAAAAAACCGGGCTTTGGGACGCTTGATTCCGGACGGCTAGACCTTGCCGATTCCAGGATGGCACGATGCCTCGGCGGTGAATGGGGACCGAAAGGCCCAATATGATGGGGGGGTTGTGTTTCGTCGTAGTTTTTTCTTCTTTTCTTTTGCCTCTGGATTACTAGGTATCAGATGAAATGGTTTCTCCGTCCAAGTCTACCCAGTTTGCGTCGCATGTCGCAGGCGCAGGGACGGGGAAAATACAGCATCGACATCTAGTTACGCTACAATGGTTAAACAAAAAACGATCCTTCTTGGCATCTCGTCCGTTTTGACATGAGGCAGTGACGGGGTAAACCCTCATGAATGATTATCTCGGAATTATGTAGTTGCTGCATTTTCTCTTTATTTTCTTCGGACGTAGTGTCCAAGGCCGCAGAAACCCAAACAGAGTTGGGAGTCTCAGCAACGGCTGCTCAAAATGCTCCCTCATTACTCCATTATTATTACCAATTCAAAAGACCCGTTTACGCGTCCCTTCGTCTAGGCCGGGAGGGGGGGCAGGGGGTCATATCAGTTGCGGACATACTCGACGGGCTCCAGCGCCGCGTCCACGCAGCCGGCGCCGGCGTTGACGGGGTTGCAGCGGGCGGCGGCGCCGCCGGCGAAGCGGACGGCGTAGTCAACGTCCCAGCGGGTGCTCATGCCGTAGGCCTGGAAGTCGGTCGAGACGATCTGGGCGCCGCTCGAGAAGGCGGCCTCGCGCATGGCCGTCGTGTCGTTGGACAGGAGCGTGTCGAGGGGCACGTCGGCGCGGGTGCGCACCCAGTAGTCCGCCTGGACCTGGGCCCTGATGTTGGCCTGCTCCGCGCCGGTGGGGTCGTTGAGCTGGTCCGGTTTTGTTAGTCTTTACGAGGGCGAAGGATGAAGTGGGAGGGGACGTCTGCGGGACTCACCTTTTGGAACGCGCAGTCGGGATTTCCGGGCGCCGAGTTGGTGAAGAGGACGCGGCCCTCGAGGTTCGGACGGCCGTCAGTGTAGGCGTCGCGGACGGGATGGACGGGCCCGTTGTCCATGAGGAACAGGACGCGGCCGCGGGCGCTCTCGAGGTCGGGCCAGCCGTGCTGCAGGACGGACTGCTCGAGCGTCAGGTTCCCGCGGCGCAGGTCGTCGGGGACGACGAGCTGGCCGGGGGCGAAGACGCTGCGGATCTCGCTGTCGAGGACTTGGAGAAGCGCGGTGTCGTTCCAGGGGATGGGCGAGGCACCGCCGGCGGCGGCGATCTCGGGTTCGGCGGTCTTGAACTCGATCATGAAGGGGATCGGGACGTGGTCCGGGTGCGCAGCGCTCCACTTCTGGACGGCGCCGAGGCAGCCGACCAGGGTTTTGCAGGTGGTGTGGTAGTCGGCGTCGGCGACGTGGAGGACCTTTGTGCCGGGGCCGAGGAGGTCCGAGTCCGGGGCCGTCGAGAGGTTAGCGAGCTTGCGGATGAGCGGGGTGGCGTAGTGGCCGCCGGCCGGGTCGGCGAAGAGGTCGAGCTCGAAGTTGCGGATGGACTGGTAGGTGGCCTGGACGTCGAGGGCCGGGTGGGAGTAGTAGTAGTTCTGGACGTTGGGGAGGATGCCGGCCTGGGTTGGATGCTCGGCAAGCGGCGCCTCGCGGTGGTACGAGTTGTGGGTGCCGATAACCTGCACGTGATTCATACGGACGGCGCCCGCGGACCAGGTCAGGCCGTCGCGGGCGTAGGGCTGGTCGGCGGGCGAAGCGGCGTCGGCGAAGGGAAGGAGAACTTTGTCCAGGTTAGACTTCGAATCCGGGTGAGGGATCTTCTGTGAAGGAGGAGGAAGACCGGCTTACAGATGGCGGCCTTGAGGCCGAGATTGGACATGGGGGCCATTGCGAGGTACGGTTGGACAGAGCAGACAGTTGAGAGAAGGCGCACAGAAAGGAGAAACAGGCAGCGGTTGGGTCCCTGGGCGAGACCATCTTTATGTGCATGGAGGAGGGGTCGCCTTCATGTTCCTCCATGTACGGATGAACCAGCATATCTGTGCGGGCTGTTCGATGACGGAGGCACCAACATGGGACGATGCCAGCCAGCCGGGCCAAGCCAGGAGGACATGTGGAGTCGGAACTGATGGATGTATCACAGGGCAGGGATTAGTTGGATTAGATAGAGATTTCATGAAGACTCATTTTCAGTCTTTGACCTACCGATCTGTACAGTCAAGAGGTGTTGTTGAACGAGTGAAGGGACGGGACGAGGGAACTCCCCCGGCACCCTCTCCCCCCCCCCCCCCCCCCTCCCTACCCCCGCTTCATGAGCTTCCTGACTTGGCAGGCCTGAGGGGTGATCGGCCAATGGGGGACGTAAGGGCGAGCATGTGCCTGGGAGCTCATTTCGAGGCCGCCCCTGAAAGATGTTTTTCGGGGGAGTCGGCCAACGTGAGCCGGACCACGTGGGTGGCGTACATACAGTAGAAACATGTCGTCTGAAAGACGAAGTATCAAGGATCGCTCACAGTCTTATCCGTGATATCATAGACCTCGGTGCCGAAATCCGACAGGTATCTCTACCCCAGGTACCGATTGACTACGGAAACACTTGGAAAATCGATGGTCAATCCCCCTTTGACCGTAATTATATAGATCTGTGAGTGAGCTAATTGGCTAATACATGCCTCGCGCGAGTCCATCGTCCCAGGGTCCGTACACATATGTTGCACGCATAGTCTACGTCTCATCATAGCGAAATTCTTCAATCTCTGCCCTGCATATGCACGTTGCCCTGCGACTCATCACAAAGTGAACCAAGGTTTACGGCCGGGCGGCCGTGCGACATGATCCATGATAGAGGCAGAGAGAGACATTCAATATGAAGGACACCACGGCACGAAGAGCTCTTCGATTGCGCTCCCAAGCGGCGGAGTCGATACAGCAACGGCCCAATTTCGTGGTGTAGACGCCACATTCATCACATCAATGGTGGGCCCTATGTGATGCTTCACTCCTGAAAGCCAACAGCTCTCTACCTGAAGTGTTATCGAGGTGGTCTGAATCACAGCAATGGAACGAATGAAATACCATGGTAATCTGCTCAGAGGCTTGCAAATAGAAACATCTACCCGGCAGTGCAGTCGCATTCACTCTCAGTCTCACGGCGATTGCTCACCGATTTCGCCTTAACCACAGCCACTCGTTTACACATCGGAGACTTGACTTGACCGATGAGGTGCTTCATTCCCTGCTCGTCGTTCACGCTAACCTTGCTCGCTCATCAACACTGCCCACTCAGCCGCGCTGGGGGATGCTGTAACCCCAAAATCTTTAAAAGATCGACGCCGCAATGCTCCCCGCCGTTGCACATCCTCTACCCCGCGTGCTGGATGTTCATCAAACCACTAAAAGCAGAAGTCCTGTACCGTTACCAGCGCAAGCCCTCATCATCCGAAAATGGACAGTACCAAAGCCGTCGGAACGAACCCCATCGTCGAACCCAAAGTCGAGTACCTAGGCCTCCAGAAGGCGGACAACAGCTGCTCGCATCGCGACCTGGGCTTCACGGGCGCCATCGCGGACAAGTGGTACGCCGTCTGGGGTGACGTGCTGTGGTGTGACGGGGGCGTGACGGAACCCGAGAATGACACGCCCGGCTTCCACGGCATGGTGCGCGACGCCGTGTCGGCGATGACAGATGACCCGCTGCTGGTGCACGATCTCAGCCTCGGTGATAACCAGCGGCAGAGACAGTTTATCCCATTCAATCCTTCCTGGGGAGAAAGGTTCGATACCGGGTTTGGCGGCACCAGCTTGGTTGAGACCAACGCCGCCGCCGGAACCGGAGCCGTCTTCTACTTGGTTGTAAGTCGATTTTGGAATGTCAACCCTCATGTACACTTCTTTCCCCGGCCACATGCAAACAATAACGCACCTAGAACCAAAACGCGGCAGGTCTCATCGGCGCCGGCATCGCCAAGGTGGACGTCATCAACGGCACGCCTGTGGTTACCAAACGCTACGGCGAAAGGGGCTACTGGTGGCCTGCTGCCGGCAACCCACGGTACGGAGATATCGCTGCGTTCCGTGATCCGCTGTCCGACTGGATATACGCCTGGGGCGGCCCGCCGACGACCGTCCTCAGCAGCGACTGGCTCCAGAATAACTACGTCTACCTGGTTCGCGTCAGGGCCTGCGAGGCGTTCGACCTGTCCAAGTACGAGTACTGGTGGGGCCGGCAACGAGGGTGGAGGATGGACCGGTTGACCATCTTCACGCCTGAGACGGCCGCCGTATGGGGCACCGGGCAGGGGCAGGTTGTGTGGAACGAGTTCTACCATCGCTACATCTTTGTTCACTTAGGTACTCTCCTTATAAATTGCTGCCGTATCTCTCTGATTCAGCTGATGTTTATTAGGAATCGGTGGTGGTTCCGTCTTTCTGCGGACGGCCCACAGTCCAGAGGGCCCCTGGACCCCGGACCTGAAGATATTCGAGGCCCAGCCCATTGACGGTGGTCTTGTCTACGCCGGCGTTGCTCACCCGTACCTTGATGAGTCTGGGAAAACATTGGTCATATCCTTCACGAACAACAACAGGATCCAGGTGATCAGAGCCACCTTCTCCAAGTGAGGAACGAAGCGTTGCAACACTGGAATGACGTGGTGATCCAATGATTTCATTTCATTATTTCAAAGTACAAGAATTATGAAATATAGGGCTCAAAGTCATGCTAGCTTGATTCCCGCCGACTATATGGCACCGGAACCAGCCTCGCTTCTAAGTAGGTGAAAGGGCAGAGGTGCGTTGGACTCCTAGCAATCTGCAGTTCGGGCAGGTTCCTTGAGTCATTTCGGCTGGTTCGTGTCGGAACAGAGACGTGAGATTTATTGAAAGTCTCCTCAAACCTTTCTGGCTCCCTAGAGAAGCAGATAGAGTCGCCATGCCCCCAATAGTTCAGTGTGAAGTTGGTCTTCAGCATCTATGGTGAGTAATAAGTTTTCAAGGGTTAGTGGGCGCCAACCAAACCTGATAGCCATGCTTTCGATTTGTTGGGACGGCGAGTGACACATACTCAATCGCCCATTAGATGCAGTCTGACGGTATGAGTCAATGTCCCCAATTGGCCTCAGTTCCCTAGCAGATTATTCATAGCTCATAAGTAAGCGCCTTCGTTCCATCTTCCAACCTCCAACTTCCAGCATCCCTTTGTCTCTATTTTCTCCAGGCAAAGATCTCTTCTATCTTACGCGCCCGTCTTAATTCCGACAGGAAAGTATCATTGCTCTTGCCTGTCTTCTACATATCTGTTGAAAACTCATACGAGCAAGACAGAAGAGCTGAAAATCAGCCACCATGGCTTCCGACGAACTGTATGATCTGCTCTTCCTGACGGACGCCACTGCGTCCATGCGCAGTTACATTCAAGCCCTCAGCCAGTCGCTTCCAGAAATCATCCGCATCTCGTCTCTCACAGGCTCCTTCTCACGCATAGGAGTCATGGCTTACCGAGATTATTCCACTGACCATCTAACGGAATGGTCTGGCTGGCACATAACTTCTGTCGATGGAACTAACGCCGATTCGACCATACAGGACAGCCTGCTTGATATGGTCGGGAAGATTCGACCGGACTCGGGCTGGAGAAGTGTCGACTGGCCCGAGGCAGCAAAAACTGGGCTCGCGCGGGCTTATAGCGTGATGCGCCCGGAGGCCACTACCATCATTGTCCTCTACGCTGACGCCCCTCCTCACCTCCCAGGTACCGAGAGTCTCAATCGGCTGAGAGAAATCGACCATCTGTCCAAGCCGGATACTTTCGGCGGGCATGGGAAGCAATTCGTAGACTGGATCCTAGGCTCCAAGACCCTTCGGGACAGCGAGAGGAGGGCCAAGGTCTTTCCCGTCATTCAGGGGGGCATCGCTGATAGCGTCGCTCCTTTTATCTATCTCGCCCACATAACAAGCGGAGTCTGCTTCAAGTTGGGCAATTCCCACGCCGAAATCTCTACAGCGGACGCCATCTCTCAGCTGACTGTTAGCATCCTTCTCAACTGGATGGGTGCCGGAAAGCAGGGCGCCTCCATCTCCGGTCAGCGTCGTCTCGCCTACGTTTGCCAGTACAGAGATACGGATACAATGGAGAATGTCAAGAATGAGGAAGATAGGGCAGCCGAGATCTACTTCCCAGTTGACCGCCTTATCGAACATCCCACTATCAACAACGTTACGACTGTGCACTCTAGCCTTGATGAACTGGCCAATTTCATAAAAGGTGGGCAGAAGCCCTTAGACTTTTCGAAACGGTATCAGGCCGACGAAAAGTATCATACTTTCGTTATTGAACAGCTTAAATCCCTCATCGAATCGAATGTCACTGCCATCGCGGTTAACCCAGTCTTTGGCAGCCTATGGAGAACAGTCTGCACCGACCGTAACGACCCCGCTCGAGATGAGCTTATCCAGGCTTTTGGTTATCATGTCGATCGTATCTCGGACCCTGAGAAGAAAGCCCGTATGAGGGCCTGGCTTGCAGAATCTTATGATTATGCCGCCGAGATCCTGGAGGTAGTCGAGAGCGTCCCTGAAGCCCAGAGATTCCCCTGTGTATTCATGGACCCCACTGAATCCTTCTGGACTGGGGGCGAAAACGGGATCTCGGAGAGAAAAGAGGAAAATTGTGATTACGACAAGGAAGAGGAAAAGCTCAATGAACCTGTCACAACAGCATTCAGCAGAGAAGATCTTCTAGAGGTTGGCCGCTCTTGCGACTACCGCGTTCTCCGGCGTCTTGGTAAAGTTCTCACACGTCTTACCTATGTAAATTCCGAGTCCGACTTGCCGGCTCACGTAAGAGCCGCCGACCAGGTCCCACGACTTCCAATGGCCCTTGCGACTGCAGAGCACCGGCGCAAGTTCTGGAAAGTCCTTCTTCACCTTGTACTGCCTGGAACAATGTTGGCGGCTCGTCCAGCCGCACTTCTCGCTGCACTAGCCCTTCGGATGGGCATTCGACCACTCAGAGATGCTGCCGACCAGGAGCTTCTCTGCTTCACTGACAAGTGGAATACCATGGATATTCCCGAGACATGGAATGCCAGCTGCTTGTCTCTCCTCCTGGACGCGGACAAAGATTTCGAAAGGCGAGTGGCTGAAGGTGTGACGCAGCGCCCAGCTCCAGATTCTCGAGTTCTGCTTGAAAAGGACAATCGTTTGTTCAAGACTCTGGTCGACTACAAGCTGCTCGAGTTAAACCTGAGCACCACGCTTCAGGCCAAGGTCGGTTGGCGTCCTGAAAAGTCAAAGGTTGCCATTGGCCCTTTAGTTGTCTGTAAGGGCTGTAAGTTCCCGCGTTCTGTCACCATCATGGGTAAGGATGGCAGCTGCGGTCTCTGCCCTCAAGAACACCAGTGTACGTGTCAAATCTGCCAGCCACCAGAAGACATGGAGCGTCGCCTCTCACAAAACGTGAGTCATAGCGACACAGAGCGTACCGAGGCTGTTTGGGTTGAATGCTTCACTCCGACATGTCGTGCTCAGTACGTTGTATACGGCCCAGAGGACCTTAGAGTCCGGGCGAAGTGTTACTACTGCCGGCACGCATTCTCGTCCACGGCTGAAATCCAGAAAGCGCCTTGCGTGGAGTGCTCCCAGTGCCTCAACCGCATCATCTGGCCGGAAGTCTATCGACCAGTGGACCTCGATTTGTCCACCTTCAAGTGTTACGCCTGTAGCGCGAACCGGGTCACTGTGATAGACTACGAGACTTCTGCGAAGATGTTGACCACTGAAAATGGACAAGCTTGGCTTCTGCGCAACGAGGGTTCCGCCATCCAATACCCCTTCAACGGAAGATCTCTTTTCCACACCGTCTCAACTGTTCCCGAGACTGAGCGTGATTCGCTTGCAGACAATGTCGAGATCATTCCATTGCTACAGCAGCATTCCCAGCTCACGATCCGCGGCAAGACAATCCATAACCAGACTGAGATTTGTGACCGGCTCCGTGCATGGGTACATTCCCGCCGAACAGAGACAGACCACTGTAGCCTGTGCTTTTCGAGCTTCAAAAAGAGGAACCTTCGCCGGGCCTGCGGTAGGAAAGGCTGCGATCAGATGGTTTGCGATGGCTGCTTGAAGGAGTGGTATGGTCTCAACGCTCGCGGTAGTCTCATCAATGCTGCTGCTCTCTGCTGCCCTTTCTGTCGTCGTCAGCCTACTGCCAAAACGGTCTCCGCTTTCGGTGTATCTCACATCGGCGATCTGAAGACGGCGTTGGCGGATGCCGAGTGGATGTACGGATGGTGCCGGGATTGTGGATTCGCCCGAAGGTACGCCGAAAGGGTCTGCGCTGCCGGGGCCCCCGAACTCTCCGGGTGGTCATGCGATGTTTGCAGAGAAGCCAATTCCCCGGGGCTTCAGATTCGAGACTGTCCTGGCTGCGGGACGCCGACAGAAAAGCTGGGCGGATGCGGCCACATTACTTGCACGGTCCCAGGATGCTCTGCTCATTGGTGCTTCTTCTGCGGAGAAAATGTTGGCCTAGACAATATTTACCCCCATATGAGCAGTGTACATGGGGGCCTCTGGGATGATAACGGCAACGAGGGCGATGAAGGAGAAGAATACGACGAGTACGACTAATGAGTAGAGGGGGCAAGGTACATCTGGTCTTTTGAAGTTTAAATGACCCTTTCCATATGCCTTTTAATTTAGCCTTTTTTCATCTCATCAAGACCTTGTTGATTATCGAGTCATACTTCTATGAACCCATTCCGCTGCCACGCGTCCCAGATACAGGCTACGGCGGCGTTCGTCTGTCTTTTGAAACAGTGAAACAGTACAAACCTGCCCAAGACGCGGGCTGGAAGCTAAGAACTGATAGGGACCCTGGGTTTGGTGAATTAGCCGTGTAGCCGGAGGGCTTTGCGCGGCATTGATAGGTTGTCATCAACCCTTTCAGATTGCTGGTGGAGATGGTAGCTTGAATTTGGGCTTTTGAATTGAAAGGGTCGCGATGGGTGTGGGTGCAGCCCTCAGAGAGTCTTAGTGTGGTATTGAGAGGGTAGTGATAAGGATTGGGGAGTCCCCATAGGTTCCTTTGCAACTACAGAGAATTAATTGGGCGAGAGGCTAGAGATGACACCTACAAAAATATGAATTGCCGGTTAAGTAACGGCTTATCATGTTTGAGCAGATGTTGTATGCGAGGCTCGCCGTGGCAGAGTATGAGTGAATTGTTATATGGGACAGCAGGAGGCGAGGGCCTTTGCATCAAACATTTAAAGACATTACAGTACAATCTGTACGAACTTGGATGAATGTGCTAAGAGTTCTCACTGACTGTGAGAACAACAGCCTGACGTCTCGATTCGCAATTCTACTTCGGCGGATGCGGGTTGACCTGCTGCCCCATCGATAACGTCGGAAGTGTGCGGAAGAAGTCAGGGGTATGTTTTAAAACAAGCCTTATAAGATACACGCCACACGAGTGGCTTAGAATCGAATTTCAGGGTCCAACGTTCCCTTTGAACTGATGGGGTTGGGAGCGGTTCTGGAGAGCCTTCATAATCGGATACTTACCAAGAGTTCTTGTCTAACTTCCCCGAAACTAGGGTTCTCCTTTTCGGTTTTATCAATAATAGAACCCCAAGGCTGCCTCTAATTTCTTGATTCAAGACACAAACTCGTCATCATGGGCAATCACTGAACCACTCATTTGTTTCGTATATGTGGTCGTCTATATAGGAAACATTTCAAGCAAAACTTATGACCCGGAACATATGGTACTGTCATGTCTTACGTACGTTACAGGATTGCTGCTCCCCCACTTCTCTCTTGAGACGTTTCAACTCTGAAAATCCGAAAATATGGAGTCTTTGAGCCCTAAAAAGCCTGTTGGACAGGCTGGGTGCAGCCTTTCTCCAGGCCCGACCGTTTGTATCGTATATCTAACTCCGTGACTCCCGCTTCCCTCAGATTCGATAATATCCCAATCATAAACCACTACTATTGTAATGATGACGTTCCTGCGAAGAAATGCCTTGTAGCTTCGCAAGTATCTATCCCAAAAACCAAGTTAATCCAACCACAAGCGGCGAGTAAGATTAGAGAGCCAAGGGCATTGTATGAACCATCTGGTCACGTTGCACCTTATGGCTACCGGTTCCAATTACCTCCATGGGCCACATTACCAGCTCTGCCAAGGGCGTCCCAGCCAGCTGTTTTGTAATGACCGACATGAGAGACCTAGCCCAACCGTCTAAAAACCAACAAAAAGGTTCGGCCAGGTAAATGATGACACAGTAATGTGCCAGAACTACCAAGGCCGCTGGCTGTCGTTGTCGAAGTAAATCAAGGTAGTCCGCAGACATCATGATTGGCCACAAGAATACAGCGCGGAACTCCACTGGTGCCGACATGGCATTAACGGGGGAGACCTTCGCGATGCATTTGATCAAGGCTATGATGGCGTTGACAATTGCATACTTCCCTTCGTGTTCAAGCAGGCCGATCTCGGCTAGCTTAGTGCTCAAGCTGGGGAGTCGGTCGAATAGGGGCTGGAGCGTTGCCTCTACTGTCGTGGGTGTAGTGTCGCCGGCGCCGCGTATAAAGATCTCGCGCAGTCGACCCTTGCGTAGATCTTCGTCTGACGCGCGGATGATCACGCTTATGCCGTCCGCCAGGGTAAAGATGTCGAGAATACTATCGATAGGCGAGAAGGATGGGTTGTGTTTCTCGTAGCTGGGGTAGGTGGCAAAGGCACTCAGGGTGAGAAAGATCGAAGAGGCAAAAAGAGCGTGACAGTTCGCAGGCGAGATCGTGCCTAGCAAGGTCCCTCGCATACCGTTTATGGCGTCATTCTGATGTTGGGCGGCTTGCATGAGGTAGGCATGGCGGCATTCAGGCTGGAGGTATGCTAGATGGTAGGCCGAAAAGGCGAGAATTTGGTGAAGTAGAAAAGGATAGGAGAGTGCTTCACGAGGCACGTCATACTGGAGTGCCTTCTGGCCAACGGAGGAGTGCGAAAATGTTTGGTATGATACGGAAGTATAGTGGTGCATTAGCTCGAGATCAGAGATCCAGCCGCTAGCTGTCTCTGTCTTGTTGAGGTCGGTCAGAAACCTCGAGAAGTAGGGGAAAGGGTCCGCCTGTGACGATGGGGAAGTTTGGTCTCCGAGGCTAGATGCGCTTTGTTGTCCGCCGAGTGATTCGGCGACTGACTGCGGCGATGTAGTTATTAAGGAGTGCGCGCTTGTCCGTCGCCTCAGCGCCGATGCTGATCCCTATCAAAACCCGCGGCTTGTCAGTTTCCGAAACCGAGGCCCAGCACGAAGGAAAAGCTAGAAAGGAAAGGAAAGCTTACCCGAGAGCCCGGCCGCTTGGTACGCCGCTCAAGACTCCCTAGCGGCTGTTGGGCCGTCATCTGTGAGGGTCCACTTGTCGGTGGTCCCGTGTTCTCCAGACTGCATGGCAGTCCGTGCCGCACACAAGCGCTGCAGGGCTTGTTCTCATCACACTACGTTGAACACAATATCAGTATCAGTCGCATACATCAATGCGAAGTTAGAAAGGGGTAGACCGTCAAGTACCCAACCACATGATCGCGGTTTTTCATTGAACGTACTTTGACTCTCCTTTCCTTACAACGCAAACAGCCGTTGCGAGATTTTCTGTAGCCCAAGCGCTTCATGATGAACAGTGGTCTTTGTAAAGGTTCGGTGGCTTTACAGGCGTATCCGGAGAATAGCACAATTACCCGAGAACGAGGACGATGACGAGCTTCGGAGAACAAGGTCCAGTATATAAGGACGAGGTGGTGGGGATGAAATCTTGTGGATCGGAAGTGTGGTTCCATGTTTATACCACCAGTCCGGAAACATCACAACATGCAACTTGTGTTCAGGCAGTGTGAGGTTATACTAATGTTGAGCCTTGTCCAAAGTTGCTACTCCCTCTCCGCCGATGTGCCAAGAATGGAAGTGGACGGGTACGCCCAGCCTTCATCCAATCTTGAAGGGACACAATTGGGCATATGCGGTGCAGTACTGACACAAACTCCGACGGAGACCGGGTAACAGGGCATACTGCAGACTGCAACGTAGACACGGGTATAATATCTGCGGGAGCGCCAAGACAAGATTCTGCCATAAAGACACCACAATTTCAACAATCGAACTCTACTCACCAGACCGGGTTCCGAGATTGTGTCAATGATGACAAGGTAGAAGGCAGCTGAAAAATCGAGGGTAAGGCACCTAAGCAAGAAAACCGGGGAAGTGAAGCTAACAAGGTTCCTTGGTATTTCGGCGGTTACGGGGTAACGGTGTCAGTGGTGCGGAACTGAGTCGCGCCAAGACCGTCCCTCTCCTCCGTCATACGGGCGGAGAGCCCTGCCCCTGGCCGAAAGTCGTGACTATCGAGTGATTGAAAGAGCAAATAGTTCACCGGAAGGGCGCGGCAAGGTCTAAGCCTTGTAGGTGTGTCGGCTCGGGGTGGCACCCTGCCTCATTCTGTTATTTTCATAATATCCCCAAGACGTTTTAAGTCTCCTTACATGCTGAAAATGGAACCAGTAAAATGTCCTAGGGGTCGGGGCATACTGTACGCCCGGTGTGTGGGGAAACGAGACGAAGCAAAAGGACGTTCGCTGATTGGCAACCGACTGTGGAAGGGACTAGATGGACAGGAAAGTATGACGGCAACTGCCAAGACATTCCGTTAACGTTAGAGGTTGTGTCTCCAGTGGAAAGTTTCTATCATTTTATCTCCCCTCTCTTGACGCTACCGTTTTCAGATCAAACTTGTCTCGTCAATCCGTTGCCAAGACCATGCTCAGCCTAACGTGTGGTATCTAAGCCACAGTCATGTGTCCCCGGATCCCCGGTCAACTTTCCCTTCTTATCGCCAACTGCATCATTGGTTTTCCTTCTGTGGCCATTGATTCAGGAATCGTCAGAAACAAATACGGATCAACAAATGAAAATGAGTATAGAAGCATCGGCCTACGGTGAAGTCTTGGCAAATCCTCTGGTGGCGCTGTGCCGCCACATGTGGGAGCCGTGGACAGACACGCGCAATGAGCACGGAGCAGTCTATCCTCGCAAGCGAGATCGCCGGGAGAACCTAGATTGACGAGCAAACCATTGACCAACAACCGACGGATCCGAGAACGAGACACATTCACATCTTGAACTTGGATATAACACCGTATCGTGTATGTACGCAGAAGGAAGCAGATTTCTACGTTGCCCGTTTATCGATCAGAAGCAATGGGTACGTACCGACAATAGTGGTAGTTTCCTAAGGAAAGTAACTCTTACCACTTTTGGTCATTAACCTCACTACTAAATGTCAAATTGCTGATATCGGCTCTCTTATGATACATCACAATTGGCTACTCGATGTTGGAGATGCACACATTCTCATCTGGCCGAAAGCCAGCTAGCAATGAAGATGGGGCCAACAAAAGCCCTAGCTCAAGCATGTGTTAAAAATAAATATGCGTGGGGATGGAACGGACCCATCAGCCATTGGAAACGCCAATTGACAGATAGTGGCAGAAGTCCGATGTCGATGGCTGATGCGCTATGTCAACGAGATTTCAGTTGGCGAGAACAGTAAACATGAGCTTGCTTTCAGTTTAAGCACAGTCTTTACCTTATGCCACTAGCTTCTACATTCGTGCTCTGTCTGTCAAGTCTTGGGATATCGAAAGCCGCCTTTGTGGGCCAGACAGGATAGTGGCTTAATCATATGTGTCGAGGCAAGGGAAGAGAGTTGTCGAAGACAGCTAATCATGCTTTTCGACGGACTCGCTATTATAAGTTATCGGCCCCCCTTCCCCAACGATTGCGGGTAACCAGCCCATTACAAGATTGTTTTCACGCTAAAGCTCACCTTTCCGATCAGCCAAGTACTCTCGTGCTTCCTACATCGTGATGTCAAGGGAAAGAAATATTCCAGCCTTGATTCTAATAATAAGATACTATTATTTGTCAGAACTCAAATTTAGTCACCATTCCATAAGCAGATGAATTATTTAATCACGCGAATGTGACGAGTCGACCAATAATGAATAGAGTTTCCTTGTGTAGCAGATGTTGCGGATGGCGGCTTAGACTGTACTTGGTGGGAATCATGGGAAGTTTCACGCAGTGGGGGCTAAATATTCTCGAAAACCTTTTGTTTTGTCCCCCAAGGGCATAAATCTTTGGGGTCGATCAAACCGGAGTGAAAGACGCGTAGGACGCTGGAGGTAGCAATGTATATTGTTGTGACGAAGATCACCTCTTATCACCCAATGTCCTCCCGCGCGCTCTCCCAAAGACTATGATGCGTAGTGAAGTATATTCCGAGATACTGATCTGGAAAGCTGGCATTGAAAGCTGCCTCCTACTAGACCGCCCCGAAGTCTTTGGGTCTGCTTCTACCTCATGATATGGGTGGCTCAGTGTCCCATAGATTATCCAGGCACAGTCAGAAACTGGCATGCATGTGATGTCAGCTGCAACACGCCGTATTATTTCTACGAGCTATCCAAACAGAAATCAGAATCTAGATTGTTTCAATCACTGCATCTTGTATTGATGTGCAGTGCTACAACATAGAATTGTGAACTTTGGCCGGCTGTGTCTGAGTAGCCTCAGCTTAGCAAACATGTCCCCTTGAACATGCAAGGTATGTTCGGTAACAATGGCTGTCGGACTACAACAAGGAGAACAGGCCAGTAACTCTGGGCATGCCAAGAGTTACAGCGAACGCATCTTACCGAAAGTCATGCTGGCATTGCCTCGCAAGAAATGACAGCTAGGTATTTTGAGCCAAGGAGTTACCCGTGAACTTAAACTGGTCTGACAGGACTTAGACAATATTGAGCTGCCAAGTACAGGTTCCAGAGCTGATTCTCTCATTCTTTCGTCAATTTTCTCAGCGAAGTATATGATCCCAAGGATGATCCATGGAACTTCAAAAGACGCTGTCTACAGTTAGTTTTAATGAATGCATTACAAGACGGCAAACATCTTGGATTGGTAGAGGATATAGATCCCCCATCCGGCAATCTTTACCAATTGTCCGGATATCATTCAACAACTGCACAGTGAGGGCATTCGGGACGGGCCGTCAAGCTGCAGGTATGAAACCGCCCGAAGGGGTGGCCACCAGAATCATGTTGCATGCCTGAACCTCCGAGAACTGCAATAACTTAATTGTTACGGAACTTTCCAAATGGCACTATGTGGCTAACTAGCTGTAGCAGCTCCTCTGGCTGGGCACTCATTAATGGAGATGAACTATCCATCATACGGACGAGGCGGGAAGAGACCTTTATGGGCTTCGATTGACACCCGTCCGGAAGTGGCTTCCACGCCACTGGGATCGATTACTACGGAATTTAAAGTTCCAACTCATCGTTGGCATCCAGCAAGTTGAGCTGGGATGCGGCTGTAGAAACGGGCCGCAAGTCTGATATTGATGGCTACGGGGTGGTCCCCTGCTCTATCAGATTCTGCCTGAGTGGCGCAGGCACTTATCCCTTAGGCCGCGAGGTGACCCCATTTCTGCCAAGGGCGGGGTAGAGCCAATGCATTCACAGCATTAAGTCCGACAATCCAATAGTTTTAGAGTACTTCTAGTTATATAGCGTTTTGCCTATGCCATAAGTACCAATAATCCTCATCATTACATAGAGGTACATTAGAATCTGAATAGCCTTCCTTACTAGATATCAAGTATCGTCATGTATCTCCAAAAGTGAGGAGTAAAGGTGGAGGGGGGTCCGTCCACCTTGCTAGAAATGGGGTCACCTCGCGGCCTAAGGGATAGGGGCCCCGTTGTGCCAAGACATCTATTCCACCTATATTTATACTATAGAAAATGTTTGATTTCCCCGCAAGCTGTGGGTGGCTTTGCACAATCGCCACTCTCTGTCGGATTGCGATGTCTTGGCATTCGGTCTTTTTCTAGGCATGGACGCCGATTAGCCGACCAACCCATATGCCGAAGAATGCCCATTTCTCTTGGCATTGTCAATGCGTCCTCATTAGTCTTTTGAGAGGTGTTTCGATCGCGGTGGAGGTTTGCTATTTGACAATCTTGAGCTGGCCATAACCCAGTTCCATTGTATACGTGTGCCCAGCAGCCGTCACTTTTCCTCCACGCCGAGTCCAGGGCATTGGTATCGCTAGCAATTTTGCCATAAAATTCCTTGGCGGCAATGAATATGAAAGTGCCAAGGCAAGGCAAAATGGGGGCTTGGCCGTGATGAGGCCGGGCCTCGGGTCACAAAGCTGTTTTGTAACGAAATATCAATTTACTCACAGCTCATAGACGATGCCAATTTTGTTGCTAGTTAAGAAACAACGATGCAATCGAATTGCCCACGATGCCGAGCATCGCCTGTCGCCGATAGGAGGGTTATCTCCGACAACGGCGGTGATTTTCTTCCTTCCAAGCACGCAGCTCACAATAGCTTTCTTTCCTCGTTATGCATAACAAAAACCATTTTACCCCCATTATTCGTCATCACTTCGATATATACAATCGCTCCTGTGCCTCATAGCATGAGATAAAGATAATCAAATGCCTTTTGTAAATTCAACTGTGGGCTGGTACCTCACTTAACATGAGGTTGATCCTCTCAACATTAGTTAAAGAACGGTATGCACGCCGCTTGGGAGCCGCTTTCAAGACAATGAGTAAAGGGACACTTGATCAATTACCTTTGGACTTTATACATAGATGTACAGCATCATTAACTTACGGCTACATAACACTCCCTCGCCAAGCGTGCCTCAAAGAGGGAAAGGCTCTTGCGTGTGATGGTAACCATAAATTCTTTCTACTGCTTCCTTGTGATGGTGTTCTGACAGTAGGGAATCCTAAGCGGTCTACCTACCGCTCTCTTTCATGTTCACACGGAATATCAAGATCATGGTAGAATACGTGGAAGTCGTGGAATTTGTTCAAAAATGTGTTGTCGCCGCTCCAGAAACATATTTCAGAGTCATTTCACTTGATTCTATCGTACGCTAAACATTATTCATTCTTATGCTAATTAATATGGTATCTATGCTTCACTGTCATCCTCGCTTTCATCCTCGCTTTCACCACCCCTCAGCCAGATTCATTCCCTAGCAAACACCAGCGGGGACGTTGAAGCCGTCACGGCGGTTGGAAGAGCTGTAGACGGCATTTGATCCAAGACCTCGCTTGGCAAAGGCAGTCCAAAGCTCGCACAGGTTGTCACCTCCAGTAAGAGCCTTGTCGGCATCTAGGATAGCATCACGAGCCTGGATAAAGTTGGGAGAGCAGGGCTGCAGAGCCATGCCATCAAGGACGAGCTTGAGAGTCAGGTACTTTCCATCGGTGGGGACTCCGTTGCTGTCAAACTCAGGGCGGGGACCGTCGTTCTTGCCATGCTTGTCGATGAGGTTCCAGAGAACCTCATAGAGGGTAGTAGCCCAGGTTTCACCAATGCGGTGAACGCTGCTGACGCCGTTGATGGTGGAGTAGGTGTTGGGAGTGGTGGTCATGGAGGTAGAGTAGAGAACAGAGCGGATACCAGCAGGGTTGTTGTAAACCCAAGCACCCATAGAGTAGTCAGTTGCGCGAGTGTCTGTCGGCTTGAGACGGATGGCCGTGGCGAAGAAGTCACCCCAGCCCTCACCCATACCGCCAGACTCGAGGGCGTTGAGGCAGTTGGAGTTGGCAGGGCCGCCGGTCAGACGGGTGGACAGACCGTGGGTGTACTCGTGGATGACGACACCGGCCTCGAAGCTGCAGTCGCGGCGAGGTGTCGACATGGTCCAGAGATACATGCGCATACGGCCGTTGGAGCCATCAGGGGGTGTGAGGAAGTTGGCGTTGTTGGTTCCGGAGCCATCCTGGGCAAAGAGAACGACAAAGTCGTTACCAACGCCGCCCTTGCCGTTGTTGTTGATCTGGAAGTTACCGGCCGACTCGGTGAAACCGAGAGTGTACAGAAGGTCGTGGTAGTGGTTGGCGGTGTAGTAGAGCTGGGCGATGGAGGCATCGATGTAAGAAGATGGAGTGGTCAAGCTGGTGGTGTACTGGTAGTCGAAGTTGCGAGCTGCACTGGTAGGGCGATAGTTGTTGAGATACGCAGTGCCGCCGCTGGGGTTAGACTGGGCGATACCGTTGTTGCCGCGGGTGGTGGTGTAGTTGGTGGTACCGTCGCTCTGCCAGGTCAAGGGAGAAGCAGAGATATCCCAGGGGTCGGTAACCAAAACACGGTCGCCCTCGGTGGGGTCGTTAACACCCCAGGGGTAGACACGGTAGTTGGCCAGGTCGGAAACATAGTCGACAACACCGTGGACGTCAGTTCCAGTCTCAGCATCGACGTAAGTCAGCAGCCAGTTCTCGGTGATGTCTGTCTCGACACGCCACGAGAGGGCGAGAGAGCCATCGGCCTTGACGAAGTAGACAAGCCTAGCCTCGGGGTCAGAGACAGTACCAGAAGTCCCCTTGATAGAGTAGACTTCCGTGCCCTCCTTGGGCTCAGCGGAAGCGGAAGCAGCCTCCACGGGGAGCTGGAGGACATCCTTGGCACCCTTGAGGGCGGAAACGGGGTCCTTGAAGTCTCGCTTCTTCAAGGGGCTAGCCTCAGGGGCCTCTCCCTTGAAAAAGTTGTTGCCGTACGAGAAGACCTTTCCATCCTTACCGATCTTTAGATCTCGTTAGTGGAAAGGCCTGCCAAGTCTAGACGAAAATTGGGACGAAACTTACGTTGACGTTGAAGTCGCCGTTGTCGATGTCAAGCCCGTGAACAGTCTGCTTGAAGTTGACATGACCAATGCCGTTGGTGCCGACGTAGTGGTCACCCACAAGACGGAACTCGGAATTGGGGGCGAGCTTCTTGACAAGCTCCGTGGCCGTTTCGACGTAGCTCTCCCGCTTCAGAAGCGCAATGGGCGGGGTGGTCTCTATCTCCGTGGCGTTGGTGTAGGATCCAACCTGAGGGAGACGGAAAGCCTCAATATCGACACCGCGACGGCCAATGTTGTGGGCGTGGCCAGTGGCAGGGTGGGCAAAGACCTGGGAGGTCGGGCCTAGGAGACCCAAGAGGGCCAGGCTCTTCATGCTGCGATACATGGCGTGGCGACTGCGGTGCGGGATGGAAGGCGAGGATGAGGAACGGGGGACTGGTAAGTGCCTGCTGAACTCCTAAGACACAGAAAGTCGAAGGGAGGTCATCGTGCCATTAAGTATGAGATGCCATTGCATCTAGAGAGACTGTACTCATCAATGAATACGCTCAAGAAGAAGAGGGTTGGCTCCAAAGCTAGGGAGCTTCCTGTTTGGACCTGCATCTGGGCTTAGTGGCGTACAGAGGTTGCAACCGAGCATGATGACTGGAGGTGTTGCGGTGGGCTCCATTTCCGAGCATCTTCGGCAGCTAGAGCTCTATCAGGGAGGAGGACGTTGCCAATATCGGGCCACGGTGGATGGCGAGCATCAATCCATGCGCTCGCGTAATGCTACAGGGTCACACATCAGCACAGAAGATGGTCATTATCGGCTCGATGCGTGACAGAAGAAGGAAGGTTGTTTTTGTGAATGTTGGCACTAGGCGGTGGGCCGGTTACATTGAGACTTCGCCTGCAGCATTGGCGTCTTGGCGACGGCCTGATTGCGAGTCGTTCTTGATATTTGAGAGTCACCCGGCAGTTGCAGTGATATCTCCTGGGTTGCTTCAGGCTTTCTTAGACCAGAGGGGAAATCATGACATATGTTGGTAAATGATAGGTAGGCGACAGCGGGGGCGGGTGTGCGATGTGTGGTGAACAACGCCACCAAAAGTAAGCTTATTTTATGCCCACTAAATGGCAGCTTTGTTGAAATAGAGATAGAGCGCAACGGGAGCTAATGATCGGTAGACAACAGAATCATGTCCCCCGACCGATGGAACTTTGAACCTCTTCGCATGTCTCAAGCGAGCGCAGTGAGCGTGATAAGTCTATCACTTTCACGCAAAAACATGCCCCCCCAAATCATTCCGGGCAATGAATGGCCCCATAGAAGCCGGCTGGGGGAACCCTACTTTGGACTTCTGGATGTAGGTCATTTGGTTGGTCAAGTCAGCGTCGCTAGGGAGCCGCCTTCAGTGAGGCAATTGGCTGGGTAATAACAATGAGACTAGAGTAACCGGCCGGACTTTTGAAATTGTTTACGACGGGGAAAGGGGGGCATCCGAAAAAGTTCTTCGAGTCGGCTGCATTTTCGACCAAACCCCCTCGTCATTACGAGATTTCAACTGCCAAGTCTGGTTATCTCATCGTCAGACAGAGACAACCCAATACGAGGGGGAAAAGGCGTCCACTCGCCTCAAGGTACCGATTGAGGAGGTGGTAATCTGGAAGCTGGTTCGCCATACTCACTTTCTAGATGGAGACGACGCCTGTGGTCAAAGCGCGCGGCTGTATGTGGGCGTATTATATGGAATCTGAGGTACTTATCAAGGCGGTCCGATGGTCGCACAGGAACACAATAATACTCTGATATGTCGGGGGGGAAACAGTACAGTATCATGCCTAATCCTCAACACAATAGAAGGTTCATAGCAACAGGCGGATATGGCTCGGATGCCAACAAGAAACCAGCACTTGACGGAAGAACCCAAAACGACGGGCGTCTAGTCACCGTCCACAAGAATCCGGATTTGCAAAAGGAGATGCAAAAGAAATGAAGGGTCTGAACACGGTGGGGTGGCCCCGGTCCTCGTGGCGGTCTCGGCAGATCATGCCTGTATACAGGCAGCCGCAGACCTGCCTGATTTGGCTTCGCCCGCCGACGCAATGAAACCACGTTATCGATCCAGGATACGTAATATATCTCGGTGCCTTGCACCAAGCTCTAGGCTATCTGTCAGTGAAAGCCAAGCCTACCTCGGTTATCGGTCAAAAAGCTGTTAACAGCCCTCAGTGATTCGTCGGGCTATTGAATGGTTAGTTTGACTTTCCGCTTCGGGCACATGTTTTTCAGACTCGTGGTTCAAACTGAGTTCAGCCAAGTCTTGGACCGAGACTCCAAAGCCTGTCAAGAGGGAATGATATTGGTTCTTGTACAAACTGGGCCCCTTCTGGAGGGCGGATGAACATGGTCATAATAGAATTTGGCCAATCATGCGGGGAAGCTCGGTACGTGCCGAGCCACACTGTGCCGCCCATTGTCAATATTTACGCGGCAAAAGCGGTGGATCCAGAGCAGCATGACGATTGAGGCCCCTTTTCAGCTTGCCGTTCTCGTGAATACCTAGATGATCACCAAGTGTACTGTGTAAAATGTACAGGCTTGCACCATTGACCGCGAGTGACTCGAAATCAGCAAAGGTTAAATACAAGATTCTGATGATAATATAGCACTGAAGTGCTGGCTCCATTGTCTTTCTCACTTTCCTTGCCCTTCATTGACCCATATTATTCGATGTCTAAAAAGAGAAGGCTCCGTTCTGTGTTCTTGGTTACTCACAGAGACCGAGAGATGCTTACACAAATCATGAACAAAGTATCGTGAAAAAAAGCCAAACATTTCATTTGTCTGTCAGATAGAAAGTCGAGATGCGGCATGACAAGAAAATGGTAGCAATAATTGACCTCACAAGATGAAACAAATAAAATGGAAATGAAAGCCCCGAACTTCTTCACGATATAATAGATCTCCAGTCCTATCCGTTACAATTGCCCCAGATAACTTCTGAGAAGCATAATCATGTCGTGGGCAGCCGTCTTGGAAATCTTGGCAGAGGTTCCAAACACACCAATGTCCATGTCCCCTGCGATGATTGATGCTTCGATATCCAGTGCATTCTGTCAATATGTTAGTCGTTGCTTGGTTCCATCAAAAGAAGTAGATCTCGTACCGGGAACGCATCTCGAGCTACGTTGTCCTTTAGCCAGCGTGTTGAACATTTTGTTGAATGATCATTGCTCCCGAAGCGTTGTCCGAGTTCTTCAACGACACGAGCTTCGGAAATAGGCTCAAATGCGATATCTCCATGTTGCAAGGTTTCGGTGCTCTCGTTGTCAAAGTGGAGAAAGTTAACGAAGCAATCAATCTCGACTCCAGTCCAGTCCTTGACCTCCCAGAGCCCAACGGTTGAGTGCGATGAGATGAGGTGCAAGTCTTCTTGGATCTTCTTGGCGACCTGCAAGATGTCGGAATTGTGCTGCAGTATGACCTTGAGTGGGACCAAATTGAGCGTTGGGTATGTGCCTTCTAGGTTCTCCGCTAGTGATCTGTTGGCATAGTAAATGCCAAACACGACCCCCTTTGATTGTGATCCAGATGATTCGCCGTGGAGTTTCTCGAGCGTCTTCGCTATTGCAGCAAAGAAAAGTGCTGGAAGGCCAACGCCAGCTCGTGCACAAGACGATTGCAACCTGGCGACTTGTTGAACAGCGGAGCGCTCGAGGAGAGATACTCGAGATACATCGCCTATAGAGTTTGCATGTTCCCGGATGTGCGTCGGATGAACTCCTTCCAAGTATTTGGTCCAGAATGCCATGTTTTGCTCTTTTGTGTCTGCGTCCTTCTGCAACATAAGGAAGGACCTCCACACGTCTATATTGGGATCCGTTGGAAGGGATTCCCCTCGAAGTATTGAAAGAAGTTTCCCCAGGAGACCTGGGAGACTGAATCCGTCATACAACGAGTGCTGGAGGCTCAGGCGAAGCAGCCACGTATTGTCATCTTCCAATCGGGCATGAAGCTGAACTTGCGGCCAGCAACGTTCTGCATCCATCGTAGCCACTTCTTCCTCGAACATGATGTGCCGATACGGCCCTTCGGTTCCAGTTTGGATGACAATTTGCATGAATGGAGTTGACCTCTCCCCAGTCGATACGAGACAAGTTCTCAAGATCGGTTCTGAGTCAACCAAAGTAGCCCAAGCCGACTCTAGACGACTCTTTTCAACGGACCCACGGAGCCGGTAGAAGAAATCCGGATAGAAGACATGTCCTTGAGCATTCTGCCATGCCGATATCATATATACTTGCATTGGTAGCGGGGGTAAGATCTGATCTACCTCGGACTCGGCGAGTCCGGCATTGGTCAAGAGTGCGCTGATGTTGACTGCATCCACGAATTGCCTGGTGGTGCTTGATGTCCGCAGGGGCTTGGATACATCCTTTTCGATGCCAGAGCTGACCTGAGTCTGACGAGCCATCTCTTTGATTGAACTCGAAGTCAAAAGAGCGCGAACTCCAATGTTGAGACTTTCTTTTCGGAGAAGCGCAGAGACCTTTATGGCGCTAATGGAGTCCAGGCCCAAGTTGTATAAGGTGTGGCTCTTCTCGATGGACTTGATGTCAATTCCCGCAACTTGAGAGAGCACTCTTCGAAGGGTGATCTCAGAGTTTGTCCATTCGTCATTCTTTGCGTGCAAAACGCCAGCTGGGTCAGTCTTCGAGGCTGGATGAACCGACTTTTGAGTTTGGAACGGCGGCAATCTGCAGATAGAGACATCGTCTCCCTCAAAGTGAAGGAGATTGTCGTCTGGCGTCTCAACGATACACTGAAGCGCCCTGTCAAGTTGATGGAGGAGCTGGTGTGTCGCCTTCTCAGACACAAAGGCGTCTTGTCCTGCGACGCGCCAGATGAGGCTCTTCGCCGTAACTTCCAACTCGGCGCACACCGCGAACTCTGTCGCTGAAGAGCCTTGAACGGATCTCATGATGGCATTCTCAGGCTCAGAACCAGGGTTCTTTTGTAGTATGAACAGGGTGTTGAACAAGCGCCCTCCCGCGAAACTCTGGGCTTTACGAAGAGGGTAGTGCTGGAACTCTGTGATGTCTCCCATGCTCTCTTGCAGGTAATGCAAGAACCCCGTAGTTGATCCATGGAGAAAACAGCGCACAGCCACCGTGTTCATGGTTGGGAACATCAAATTCTGTGCTTGTTCCGAGTCTCGACCGGCCAAGACGACGCCGAATGTGACCTCGAGAATTTGAAGCAGAGTTGCGAGTGTTGAAGCCCAGCAGGCTTGACCCAGAGCTTGTAGGCTCACGGCATGGTGTTTGCAGAACGACGTCGCTTGATCAAGAGTGATACTCGAGATAGCCTCTGTTCTGTGAGTTGTGTTCCTCGATGATTGACCGGAAGAATTTCTCTCAGGTAGAAGGGATGGGTGAGTATTCGCAAGGTATTGGGACCAGAACTTCCTTGACTGGTCGGTCGGCGTCTTGATAAGGCTTTGGAGGAATGGCTCATTCGGGGGACGCGGAGCAAGTTGCTTCTCATAGGCGGAGACAACATCCTGGTGCAATAGAGCCAAAGACCAACCATCGTAGAGAGCGTGCGCGATCGAGAGTACTAGCAGCGACCGGCCGCCGACTGAGACAACTGAAAGTTGAAGCAAATTTGCACTCCCTTGAGCATCTCTGGCCTTTTCTTTATGCGTGTTGACTAAACTTTGAACATCGGCCATGTCTTTTGCTTCTTGTTTGGAGATTTCGAGAGGGTTCGACCGCTGGACGACTTGGCAAAAAGTCTGTTCCAGGCTGGGATCCTCGATTTGGACGAAAACTGTTCGCAAGATGGGGGAGTGCTCAATAACTTGATGCCAAGCCTTTTCAAACTGTACAACATCCAGTCCATCATCTAGTTCCAGAATATCGTGATTGAAGTACTGCTCAAAGTCCGACTGCAGCATGTCAGCTACCATAGACTCTTGAGGAGGGGTTGGCGGCAAGACAGCTTCCACCCCTTGAAGGTCAAAATTTGTCATCTCAACGGCCCTCCAGAGACGAGATTTGAGTTGCTCAAAATCGGGTTGTTTGTCAATCTCCGACGAGGATGGCTTCTTTTCGTTCAGGATCTTTGCCATCTCAGCGATAGTTTGCGACCGCAAGAGCTGAGATAGAGTGAGCTCGTAGCCGATATGCTTGAGCCGGGCGGATAGCTTGACGAGATCTATACTGTCGAGACCCAGTGCAAGAAGTGCCATGTCCTCGTTGATGCTCTCTTCAGAAGAACCTGACAAGGCTGCGACTTCTTTTCTCAAAGCCAAAGCGGCCGGCGTCCAGTCAAATTCCGACGGGTTCAAGTCAAGGCGATGATCTATAATCGCGTCGCCGTCAATGGACTCGGGTCTTGAGGTCAGGGATGTTCGGGGAGACGCCGTCGTCGAGGCTTGTCTCGATGGATTCTCGGTGACAGGCAAAGAATGCGTGCCACTCGACGTGACGTCGGCCATGGCTTCATCAATCTCTTCGAACAAACAATCCAAAGTCACATCATCGGCTAAATCTCCGTGTGCAACAATCTGGACACGAAGCTGGCCGTCAGGGGTAGCCGACGCTTCGAAAGCCAACGGGTAGTCGGACATACTGTAATCATCCATGATGGACCACATCCTGGATTGCTCGGCCGACTGGCGAGATTCGATCTGGAAAACGAAGAGGTTTTCAAAAATGGGGCGACCTCTGGACTTTGTGCACCATTTTTGGATATTCCGCAATGGAACATGCTGGAACTGTAAGACCGAGGTGTTGAACTCGTGACATTTCTGGATCAGAGACAGCCATGTATCCCCTTCCTTGATCCCGGCGTAGAACAGCAGTGTGTTGAATAACGGCCCGATGGTGTTCTCAATCTGATCCATGTCGATGGATCGGCCTGATACGATGACTCCAGTGGCCGCGTTTACCGGGAAATGCTTCTTGAAGACTGATGTCCACAAAGCAAGAACCACGGATTGGAGAGTGACGTTGAGTGATCTTCGCAGAGTCTCTAGGTTACGTGCTGAGTAGGTTTTCGTCTTGGTAACGACAGCCGTAGCACCGCCCACCCGAAGTCTGGGTAGAGTGTCAAATGAACAACTGCTTAGGTGTTCGACCCAGAACAGGCGGCTTGAGTCGTAGTTAGCCAAAGGACCATGTGACAGGGTGTCGAAGAAGGACGGTGCGGTCTCGTGTTCCCTATCAAAAAAGTCTGCTGAGACCCAACGTAGCATGGCCTCGAAACTTATGCCGTCATAGAGCGCGTGGAAAATGTGAACGACTAGAACAGGCTGGTCGTCAACCTGAGCAACGATCAACTCGAAAGGCTTGCACACGTTCTTGCTATTCTTTTGTATCAAGTCAGGCAGCGCATTGGAAAGCTGCGATTCAATATCGGTGGAATCTTGTGCCCTTAGGTCCCTCCAAGAAAGGCCGGTAGATTTGATGGCGACCTGAGCGAAACCTGCTGGTGTCTGGATGAAGCTGGTGCGAAGGATGGCATGTGATTGGACCAACCTCTCACAAGCATCCTTGAGCTTCGCAATCGATACTTCCGGGGCAAGCTTGAGTCGGAAGGCTGTGAAGTAAGCCCCTTCATCCTGATCTGACATAAATCGAGAGAGCATGCCCTCCTGAAGGGGTGTGCATGGAGCGACGTATTCGATGTCGTCGTCATCGGCAACTCCAAGTTCTTTGGTAGCCAGAGACCGGTAGCGGTGGCCAAAAGCTTGAATGAGCTGTCGTGCTTCTTGAACACCATTGCTTTCTTTGGATGACTCATGATGCTGGAGGGCTTCGGCCAGGTCTGCTAAAGCCGGGTTTCTCAGTATGACTTTAGGGGACGCGTCCATCAGGCCATTTCTACGCAACAACCGGGATAGCCTTAGTGCGGAAATGGAGTCAATTCCCAGATCAAAGATGTTGCTAGATAAAGAGATATTGGCGTCTCCGTCTAAAAATTCTCGCATGGTCGATAAAACTCGTCGTTGAGTCTCGTTGACAGGTTCGGAAACTGCTCTTGATGATGGCGAAAGTCGGACCAGCTTTTCGGGCGTAAGACTACGGAAAAGCTGGTTCAGCTGCTTGATATCCGCCTTGTTGTTGGGAGAAAGAGGAATGAAAGGAACCTGGAAGATATAGGATGGCACCATGTACCCGGGTAGTGTGTCTCGGCATGCCTTCTGAACAGACCGGACAAGGCGGGCTGTATTTTCTTCGTTGAGAACTCGGAGCTCCCCCTTCGAAGCAGTTTTTGAATCGCAGCTGACGAAGGTTACGAGCAGGTCCTTGTCCAAGCTTCCATGCTTTGTCACCAAGGTAGCGACGTCGCTGACCTCGGAAACACGTGTGCGGATAGAGTGATTGATCTCTCCAATCTCGAGACGTTGTCCTCTCAGTTTGACCTGATCGTCGGCACGTCCAAGAAAGTCAAAGCATCCGTCATGCAACAGCCTGACAAGATCACCAGTGCGGTAAACACGCTCGCAAAATCCCTCAAGGAACGGAAACCGTTCTTGAGTCAACTCGGGCCGGTTAAGGTATCCTTTACCAACCAGCTTTCCAGACACACAGAGCTCACCAACGGCGCCCTTCATGACGGGAATGTCTGTGCCCGGTAGCAGAACAAATGAACCCACATTGTCAAATTGTTTGCCAATGTTGGAAGCTCGACCGTTCTGTGGAACTCGTTGGTACATGGTGACACCTATAGTGGCTTCGGTTGGGCCATAGGCGTTGTAAATGACGCCAACGGGTCCCCAAACGTCCAGGATCTCTTGTTTTAGAGCCTCGCCACCTGTGATAAATACTCCCTTCGATAGACTTGGCACCTCCGACGGATCAAGGAGGCGTGCCAAGCTGGGTGTAAGATCAAGATGAGTAATGTTGAGGCGGCGAATTGCGCCAGCAAGGTCGTCGAGGATGAGATCCCTCGGGGCGGCAACTAAAGGTATTCCCACTGACCAACTCCAGTATTGTTCCAAGACCGAGACATCGAAATGGAACGAAGCGAACTGCATCCACCTCGAATCCTCATTCCAGTGACCGTCAAATAGTCTTTGGAATGCTTTCATCGCCTGCACGGCGTTCTCGTGGGTGATTTCGCATCCTTTTGGGGTTCCGGTAGTGCCGGAGGTGTAAAGACAGTATGAGTTGTCCTGCACACTCAGAGACTTGGGAGAGGTGAAGATCGGAGATGCACTATTGAGCAAAGCGTCATCCACGTGGATGTGAGGCTGCTCAACAGCGAAGTCTATGTCGGTGTTGGTCAGCAGTGCCAGCGCACCCGAGTCTTTCAGGATGAATTCCTTTCTCGTTTTTGGAGCAGACGGATCAAGAGCCAAGAACGCGCAGCCTGCTTTGAGGATACCGAGAATTGAGAAGATCGCTTCCGCGCACTTGTCAAAATGAATGGCAATAGTGTGTCCAGTCTGAGCATAAGGTCCCAAAACATTTGCGACTTGGTTCCCCCGCTCGTTGAGCTCGCGGAAAGTCCAGTGTTTCGATATCGGGGTTTCACCTTCAAAACCGGTAACGAACTCCAAAGCAAGCTTGTCTGGGCAAGCTTGGGCCTTAGTCTCTACGAAACTGTGCAAAAACTGTTCCTCGGAAGGGATCGTGGGCTCCAGTGGTGGTAGGATGGAAAAGATAGATGAATGACTGGTCCACAGATCGTACGCGCTTTCGTCCGGCCTCTGAGCCAGATGTTGCATTGCAGCGTCAAACTGATCCAACAAATGCAATGCCTGGGGCCTAGGCAGGACGTCGGTTCTGAAAGTGAGTCGCAACTGGATCTTCCCACAGGAAAGCGGCTCAACCTCCATGGACACCGGATAGTCCAAGTTACCCTCATCGGCCAAGACTTGCCATGGAAAATCCAGGTTATTTTCCGGCGCCCGCTGGTACACGAGTAGCGTATCAAACACTCTTGTGTTCGGATGTCCAAGCCATCTCTGAATCTGTGCAAGTGGGGCACCCTGATGCTTGACGAGCTGGTTGTTATAGCCAAAGAGTTGATGGAGAAGTTCTGAATTTGACGTTTTGTTGTGTGCGATTACTGGGACCGTGTTGATGCACGGGAAGACAGCATTCTCGGCTTCCTCGTCCATACGACCAGAAAGAACCACGCCGAACACGACATCCTCTTCTCCGAGGTATGCCGAGAGAACTCTGGTCCAGGCTGCTTCCAAGATTGCCTGGATCGAGATGCCAACTTTCCTCGCATTGTCCGTGAGGCCGGCGAAGGTTGTACCGGAGAATTTGCTCTCCGAAAGAAGATCAGGAGACTTTTCCGTCAAAGGCGTTAATGTTGGGAAGCGGTTGACCACAACTTCAGAAGCCTTCTGCTCCCAGAAGCCTTGGGAATGGCCGGGTTTGACAGAAGCTTGCAGGCTTGGCGAGACTGCTCGCTCTATCGAAGGGTGATCTGACATGAGTCTGCCTGAAAGACACAAAGAAAGATCTTTTAGAATCAGCTGCAGAGAGTATGCATCGTATAGAGCGTGATGCATGATGATGTGCATCGTAATCGAGGTTCCACATTCAAGAGCTAGCGCCCATGGGGGTCGATGCAAAGAATGCAGGACATTGTGAGCGGTGTCCAGTTTCCACTTCGCCACGTTGAAGTGATCGGCTACATCATTGGATACTATGAGAGGCAGCTGAAATTCCATCGCAGAGTATTGTACCATTGCGAATGAGGCGTCCCGATGCTGTGTTGGCATGAAACCAGTCCTCAGTATTTCATGGTGTTGGAGTAGGGGTTTCCATGCGTCTCTGATCTGATTCAGTGATATGGCATCCTTGAGAACAAAAGACATGTAGTTGAGGTAGTCTTTGCCCCCTGACTGAATGAAGTCGCTGAGCATAGCACACTGTAGCGGCGAACACGGCAAGACCTTGTCGCAACCAGGCCAAGCAGGGCCCCCAACGTCTTGCTCAAATTTGGCGAAATCGTACTGCACCATCTCTTGGCTTGACGAGGTTCCGATGCAGCTTGCCATCTTTGCACAGGTTGGAAACTCGATGACGTTCAATGCAGACATCTCCAGGCCTTGTTCTCGCATCATAGCCGCGAGCTGCACTGCGTTGATGCTATCCAGACCCAGCTGAAAAATAGAAGTACTCCTTCTAATCTTCGATACAGGTGTATTCGAGAGCTCAGCCACAATTGAACGGATCTGGCTTTCTCTCTCACTCCAGTCTTCCTCATCCGAAAGTTCCGCTATATCTGGCTGGTCGGCTTGATCAAAAGTGGCGTCGACAACCAGTCTGTCTAGAGCCTGTAGAGACTCCGGTGTCAAGTTTTCTCGGGTCAATACGCTTGATGCCGGATGTGTTATAATCCGAGAAACAACCTGGAAAAACAGGCCCAGAAGCCCGGCAACAGCATCTTCGGTCATAGATTGGCTACGTTGGCAGTCAGTTATTGGATACATTCAAGGTCGTTTGTATGAAAGCGGCTCACCCATTTGAGTGGAGTGTGACATCCATGATGTTCTTGGATGGATGAGGTGTGAGCTCACAAACAAGAGGTACCTGTGGTTTGATCAGCATGAGAAACTCGACTGTTGTAACGTGAAAGTCAACACTTACATCCATCGTCCCGCTGTCTTCGAGCAACTCCCATACAGAGGACAAACGCTCTGCCCTCGGCTGTTGCAGGAGTAGAAGAGAGTCGAAAAGTTTCTTTCCGCTCTTCGATACTTGGGTCTGGATTGAACGCAAGGGCGTGAATTGATATTCCAACAGCTGAGGGTTGAGGGTGTGAAATTGCTTGAGCAAAGCTAGGAGCTGGGTCGATGGAGATATCTCAGTCCTGACTGGTAACGTGTTGAAACAAGGAGCAACCAGGCGATCGATGCCGTCCAATGACAGCGCCCTGCCGCTCATAACGTTACCGAAACAGACGTCTGTCTCTCCATAGACAATGGATAGAAGGACAGCCCAGGCTGTTTGGAATAAAGAAAGTGGAGAAACCCCCAATGTCTTGCAAAAGTCATGGAGTTGATCGAGTGGGATTTCTAGAGGCTTATTCATTGTCTTTGTCGATTCGTCGTGGACAGCATTTGGTACCTTTGCAGAAATCTGGTGTTGCGTAGGCCTGAAGCTCTCGAAATGGCTTTTCCAAAATTCGCTTGCGCCGCCGGGTGCGTTGAGAACCTCCAAAAGAACCGGCATATAGTCGGCTGGAGCATCGAGGCTCTTTCCAGTCGCGAGTTGTTCAACCTCGGCAAGTAGCGCATCCATCGCTACACCATCGTACAGTGCATGATGGCACGAAAAGGAGAGGTATACACCCTTTTCGGTCTTGAGTACAGCGAGTGATACTGGAGGAGTGTTGGAATCCAACGCATCTGGAACCTTTTGCGCGTGTTGGTCAGTCGCTTCCCGCAAGCCTCCTACTTCCACGACATGCCATGGCATTGGTAAATATTCGAGCACCACTTGGGCAACAGCATGTTTGGCATCTCTAGTTGAGATGAAGCACGTTCGTAGGATTCCATGCCGACGATGCATGTGTTCCCAGTATTCTTTCATTTTTGCCTCAGAAACATGGAGTTTAAAAACCATGTGGTTGGAGTAAGAAGAGCTCTTTGTCGAAGAGAGCATAGCTTCTTGGAGCGGAGTGCAGGGCAGAACTGCCGATACTGTCTTCCCCTCCTTCGAAAAGGTTTCCTTGATTTGTTCAATAACAGTTTCGGGATATATCATCGCCGTCCTGAGAGCGCCACTGGAAGCTGCTTCGAGTTCTCGTGGCTGCAATTCTTGGGCCAGCCGAGCCACGCATCCGGCTCGTAGAACTACCGACACAGGCACTCGGTGCTGCAAGACACTCTGAATGCGCCTTGCGAGAGAGATTGCCGAGATGGAGTCTAATCCGACAGCAGCAAACGGCTGCCATCGAGTGATATCCTCCACCGGGACGTTGAGCACCTCAGAAAGAGCTGTGCGGATTGTCTTTTCGTTTTCTGACCATGAATCGTCGTTTGTATTCTCGGGTAAACTGCCTGCCGCACAATCCAAGTATTGCCGATCCAACTCTCGGAAAGATGACTGCAATTTGGCTCTGTCAATCTTACCACTTGAAGTCAGGGGTACAGAGCTGATGGGGACCAAGTAGGTGGGCACCATGTAACCCGGTAGCCGAGATCGAAGGAGTCCAAAAAGGGTATTGTTTGTTTCAGAGAGTTTGTCGTCGATCACCAAAGTCTTGTGATTAGGTTGTGTATAGCCAACAGGCACGTAGAAGACCGCCAACTGCGACGCGGAAGAGTTGGCACGGCTGACGATGACAACAGCGCTTGAAGATGCGAGGCCAGAGGTTGTGAGGACACTGCTTATCTCGCCCGTGTCAATCCGCTGTCCACGCAGTTTCAGCTGGTCGTCCATTCGGCCGAGTACCATCAGGGAGCCATCTGGCAGCATTCGGCCCATATCGCCAGACCTATATATCCTTCCAAAGTGAGGATGGTCAACAAACTTTGCGTTGGTGAGTTCGGGCATGCCCAGATAGCCCGCCGCGACTTGATCACCTCCAAAACAGAGTTCACCAACACAACCGATAGGGACGATATCGGTAGTAGCGGAATCGAGAACAAAGGTGGAAGTATTCTCAAATGAGAAGCCCAGATGGTCGATGAAGTCCCCGGGCTTCATCTTTTTGACGGTACAGATGTTCGTTGTCTCTGCTGGTCCGTAACCTGCAAGGTCGTCAGCGCTCGATAGTTATTATTGTGGTGCCATGAGAACGCACCTTGAAATAGATAGCCTGTCCACTTTTCAGCCACGACTGCGGTCATGGGCTCGCCTGCAGTGACAAGAAACTCGACAGTGGGCACATTGCGAGGGTCAACCAAAGAAGCCACCGTTGGTGTCATGCTTAGATGAGTACACTCCAAGAATCGAATGGCGCGCTCCAAGTCTTCGAACAGGGTATCATTGGTACCGGAACACAAGCATGCACCAACCTTCCAAGTAAAGAAAATTTCAAAAACGGATACGTCAAACGCTTGTGAACATGCTTGCAGAAGACGGGAACGGTTGCTGTGGGGGTATAACTTGGACAAGACGTTGAGGTTGCTCATAACATTCCCTTGGGTGACAACTACGCCCTTCGGGGTGCCTGTTGTTCCGGAAGTGTAAATGACATATGCGGGCCGAGAAGGGTTTGGGGGCAGGCGCAGGTTGGCATTCGCAAAGCCAGACATGTCGATCGATTGGATGTCCATAAACTTGGAATTAGATAGACCCTCCAGGGTTGTTGATACTTTTGCGTCGGCCACACAGAGTTGGACCTCAGCCTGAGCTAGGATGACTCTGATCCTCTCTGCTGGTGTGGTGGGTAGAAGCGGCAAATATGCGCAGCCCGCCTTGAGGATTCCGAGCATCGCCGCGTATAGGTCGATCGACTTCTCCATTACCAAACCAACAATGTCCCCTTCTTTGGCTCCTTGCTCTTGTAGATAGCGAGCAATTCTGTTGGAGAGGGAGTTGAGGGTGCTGAATGAGATTGTTTCGATTGCATCTTGATGCAGAGACTTGGCGAAGCTTATTGCTGTAGAATCGGGCGTGAGGTCTGCCGATTGTTCAAAGCTTGCCGCCAAATCTGGAATTCCCGAAAGAGTCGAAGGGTTGGCATTGAAAATCGACGTCAGCTCCCGAGGCAAAGCCTTCCCAATAGAAGCTATGCCGTTTTCCGGTTGACAAATAAGGTGCATAACCACCGACCCAAGCTGTTCCATCAGCATGTCGATGTGTTGAGCGGAAATTGCACTCGTACGGTAGGTGAGTCGACATGTCGGCCCGTTGGGAGAAGGTTCAATCTCGACAAGGCAATTGGTCTCCAAGAAGTCTCTGTGGGAAACAATTTTGACCTGGCCTTGACGCTGTTGTTGGCTGTAGAGAGACTCCTGATATACAAAAAGCATGTCGAAGAGTGCATCGCCGGGGTTGACTCCTGCGATTTTCTTGATGTCGGAGAGTGGCAAAATACCATGCTGGAGGACTTGGCGATTTTTCGAGTGGATATCGCGAACAAGGTCAGCAATGGTCGTGAGGTTAGCAAGGTTGACTCTCAGTGGTGTTGTCGTGATACAAGGACCGATCACACGCTCGACGCTCGCCACTGGGATCGTCCTACCAGACGAGACCGATCCAATAACAACATCATTTTGCCCTTGCAGTCCAGCCCAAAGCCAGAGAAGACCAGCTTGGAAAAAGACCTGTGGATGACAACTGAATCGCGAGGTTGCCCCGTCAAGAGCCCTTTGCGGGATATTCAGTCTCCTGGACACCATCTGAGCTTGGGGGGTTTCGACGGGGCGTTCCATCAAGCGTGGCAGATTGTGGCGTTGCCAGCCAAGCATATGGTCAGCCCAGAAGCTACGAGCCTCATCCATCTGGATGTTGGTGGTGGGATCGGCGTAGAATCTAGCGACATCCCGAAATTGCGGTCGTGTTTCTGGCAATCGAGAGGCCAGCAAGAAGGAATAGTCTTCAACCAATATGTCGGCCGACCACCCGTCGTATTGCGAGTGGTGTACTTGTAGGAGGAGCGTTGGCCCACTTTCTGCATTGCCCTCGCGAATCTGGGCTCTGAACGGATGTAAATAGTCCTCGTCAGACGCCAAGCAGAAGTCGTGATTGAAGTTCTCTACCAACTGAACCGCAGTATGCGGCAGCCTCTGATACACAACCTGTGCGAAGCCAGCGTTGAGAGATACGAATCCTGACCGCAGAACCTCGTTATTTTCTGCCATATGGTGTGTCCATTTTTCAATATCCTGAGTCGTATTATTGGCTGGGAACTCAAGCTTGATCCAGTTGCAGTAGGCTTGAGGGTTGATAGAAGTCTCGGCAAGCATGGAGCTCTGCAGTGGGGTACACCACTGCACACGTTCGGTCTCAGCAAGCACTGGCGAGAGGTCTGGATGCCACTCGAGCAAACGGGTAAGATTTATCTCGGATGGGTCCATAGCGTTGTTCTGGGAGCCTGCTTCGTCACATCTTGCCTTTGAAGCTGGTCTTAGTATCGTGCACAAGGCCGATAGAGTCTTAGATCCGAGAATATCCGCTGCCGACGCTTGGAATCCGCCATCTCGCAACGCTGAAGCAAGCCTGATGGCCCTCAGAGAATCGACACCCGAAGATGCAAGTTGCGTTGACGCTGAAACCGGAACACCTAGTGACTTGAACACAATCGCTGCCACTTCTTGCTCCATTGGGTCCGCCGGTTCTGTGTGAGACGTAGTCTGTGACATAAGTCTAGTCTCATACTCGCTCCTGAGATGTTTTCGGTCGACTTTTCCCGATGGTAATCTTGGGAAGCTGGTCCTGACAACCACATCTCCCGGTACCATGAAGGATGGCAGCCATGTTCGACAAGTGTTGATGACCTCTTCCGCTTGGTCCCTTGAAGTTGCTGAAGTGTCGTCGACGGCACAGAATGCAACAAGGATGCCTCCAAGAACCATGGCGACAGCGCTGTGGCATCCTCTGGTTCGCATAGCTGCTTGCTCAATCTCGCCTAGTTCGATTCTTTGACCGCGCAGCTTAACCTGACCGTCGGATATCCTCCCAAGACATTCCAGGGTTCCGTCGCTCTTCATGATGGCCTTGTCTCCTGTGCGATAGACGCGGCCATATGGGGTGTCGAGAAATGCGGATTGCGTTTGTTCCAGCCTATTCAAATAACAGTTGGCTAGTTGGTGTCCTCCGACAACAAGTTCACCCGGCTCGCCTCGTGGGAGTATCCTGAACTCATACGCATTACCCTCTTGAGGTATCGAGGCGACAAAACAAGACACAGAGTCCAAAGGAAATCCAATAATCGAAGGAGAAGAATCTCTGGGGTATTCTGGTCGAACAGTACTACCTGAGGTCAGTATAAACATAGCTATCGATCATAATGTAGACTTACCAATGAATTGCAGCTTCTGTAGGTCCGTACATGCCCCACAGTATGCCCTCTGAGTCCTCGGTACCGCCAAACTCGCGAATCACAGACTCGGTCAACATCTCGCCGATTGTCAGGAGCAAATTTAGGCAAGGAACATTTTTCCGTGATCGGAGAAGGCTGCCGGCAACAGTTGGTGTCAATTCGCATGCGTCAACTTGCAACGTCCTTATGACAGCTGGCAAGTCATTGAGCATACGACCGCGATCGCAAGCGACTAGCGTGGATCCACGGAACAGAGGAAAGAATATTTCGAACACTGATACATCGAATGTCGGTGAGGCGAACTGGAGGAAGCGCTTGAATGGCGGAATATGTCGGTCGTGGGCGAGGAGGCTCTGAGCTGCAGCATCATGTGAGACACCAACGCCTTTTGGTGTGCCGGTGGACCCAGATGTATACATAACATAGGCCAGGCTGCGCGGCTCAGGATCGCGGAATGAACCATGTGTTGATGAAGCCGACTTCTCTACTTCATCTTCGTCCACTATTAAGACGACTCTGTCTGGCTCATCTGCTGGGATCTTCGAAACCATGTCTCGGCTGACAATCACTACCTTTGCCGATACATCTTGAAGGATGAATCTCACTCTCTCGGGAGGGGCGTCTAGATTCAAAGGGCAGAAGGCGCCGCCGGCTTTAAGGATGGCGAGAATGGCAATATAAAGATGAGGAGACTGAGGAACGAGAAGCGGCACCACAAAATCTTCTGATGCCGATGCCTTCTCGACGGAACAAACGACCCGGCTGGCCAGCTTATCAGCCGCGTGGTGCAGCTGCGAATACGATAGTAACGACTCCTTTCCATGGCTATCCAGGTAGTGAATCGCCGGTGGCGTGGTGTATGATGTACACTTCACGAGCTGGTGAAGAAGGCGAGGTCCTGGGACCCTCTCGGGGTGGGGGTTCAATACTGAAAGCTCGAGCTCGGGCTCGAGGTCAATATCGTTCATGTTGGCGATGTCGTCGAACAGTCAAGCTGCAAACAGCCTCCAAGATGATGATGTGATTCAATGAAAACCGTCGAAAAACTTTGGAGATCAGATGCGTAAAGTTCTCTGCTAGCTTCGGGTATTGCAGAAAGGTACTCACGTAGCGTATTAGTCGGGTCCTCTTTTCAACGGGAACTCGCACCACGGTCAATGCACCCGGGTTCCGATCAAGATAGACCTGCAGCAAGAGGTCAAAGACACCACACGCCTGAGGAGATTGTCGTCCAATAATACAAGTGATGATTCACAAATCTGGTCGTGCAATGGCGTATCTCCTCAGCAGGGTGTTATGCGACCAGCCAGGGTTGATGCGAGGGGGGTCCTCACGGGGTCGGCTGCAGTCTACCGAGCCTGTAAGATTGCAGCAATTACTCAGCTGGTGTGATATGTCGAGAAATTCTGCAACGCTATGCACAACGGCGCCAGAGTTTCGGGAGTCGATGATGAAATATGAGATCGTTCATTCGTGGATGAGGATGGCGTGGTGGTGCGAGACGATTAGCTCAAGACGGCTCGGCCCTGTGCGTAGGGCTATCGGCAACCTGTGCGTAAGACTAGAGTGTGACAATGCACAGCTCGATTGACGAAGTGTCGCAGAGGGCGGAGAAAAAGTCCGCCCTGCAGAGAAGAGAGATATGGGCTTCTAGTAATCTAGGTAGTTTACTGTTCGCGCAGGCGCGGGCGTATGCCTGTGTATGTGTATATGTGCATGCGTGTGTGTATGTGTGTGTGCGTGTCTAGCCGCTAAGGGAGAAGTTGTCAGAAGCTCCAACCGAATAGCCGTGCTAACTACGCTTACTTGCAGAGGTGGCCGATGGTGGACGTCAGGTGTCAATTTGAGCAACTAACACGCAAGGACCTGGTGTCTTGTCAATTAGCTTGGTCCGTTGTGAGTTTGGGAGGATTCCCATGTTGTCATTGTGCCATTATACTATGTGACACATACTGACTACATCCTCGACAGACTGGGGCCGGTCTGCCAGGGATCCTTCTTCGAAAAAATAAAAATAAAATAGAAACCACCAAAGGTTCTGGAGGGTAGCTAAGGGGGTGCCCAGAATCTGAGGTGAGGGGCATTTCCGCGCTTATGGCGTCATGACCAAAGAAACCATCGTGCCGCTAGGAATCTCGCCCCGCGTTGAAATTAGCTTCGACGGACCATTCGGGGGGGGGGGGGGGGTGTCCTTCTTCCTCTTCCTTTTTGTCCCTGGTCAATCTTCAGGGACGCATGGCTAGCTCAAGCACAACGAGAAAGTACAGTCAGTCACGCTGATGGTAAGCTTGCGCAGACATTCCCATGCCCGGCGGTGGCCCTACCGCATCAAGAACAGGCCATTCTGCCCTAGACGCCACGCCAGATCGCCATCGATGCTGATATGTGGTCGCGGCGGGTGGCCGATCTCGTATGACTACCGGAGACATGTTTCTAGAAGCGGCAAACCCGCCGAGTACTCGCCTCAGAGGTCGTTAAAAAAGCGGTTTGGAGCGCCACGACGCAGGGCCTTTTGGGAATCAACAGCGGGCAAACAAGCCATGACTACCAGAGGAGGCAGGTGGTCCGTAGGGAAGCGAGTGTGGCCCAAGCAAGATGGAGTTCTATGTGCACGTGTCGGCGACCTGGGCTGTATTAAGATGACAGCGCTCGCTCGATATTAACCTCAGTATGCAATAGGCGACACTATAGTGTGCACGCATCTATGCCTGGCATCCAGAACCTTTAGTCATGTAGTCTTGTTACAAGCGTGGGGTTATGTTACCCCTCTGAGGCGACCGCACAGGTACGTGGAGTGGTAACGTATTGCGTAGGTAGGTAAGTGACGGGACAATCAGGAGCGAAGAGGGTGTCCCAACCAACCCAGATGTGGGGGTTACAATGAGTCGAGGGCAGTACGCGTAAACCGAGCATCTCGGACGTGTCGGGCGCTTCTCTACACCGAGACCAGGGCCGGCCAGCTAGAGAACGTGGTTAGTAAGTGGTGATATGATGGTTGGTATGCTGACCGTCGGATTCCCTGGCTTGGAATCGGCATCACAAGGGTTAACAGGTGAGATGGGAGGGGCGCGTATAATCGTGTGTATAGCACCGGGTGCGGCTAGTATGCCATTGATGCGATGGATGCCTATACTACCACGGATCAAAGAGGGTGATGGAAGGGAAGATCCTGGGCTGTGCCTCTGCGAGGGTGGGTGGGAATGGGCGGCCGAGTGACGAACGGGGAGCAGAGGTGGTGGTGGAGGAATGGTGGATGTGGTTGGTTGTGGACGTGGGTGGATGTGGATGAGTGCCGCTGTGTGTGATCGTGCGGTCGTGCCTGCCTCGCTTGGGTTGTACCTACGTGTATTCTGTTCGGGCAGGCGGGCGGGTGGGAATCCATGTGAAGAGTTTTTCCCTTCCCACCTTCCCTGTTCTGTTTCTTGACTCTTGCCCTGCTCCTCCTCCTCCCTCCTCTCCCCTCCCTGAGCTGACGGAAATGACCCATCTCGGGCAGGACCAGCCGCGCTTTCCCTCTGACTATCGTAATAGGTAGGCTGGTAGGTAGTTAGGTAAGTAGGTAGGTACCCGGCCTCTCGCTCCGTTCCCTTTCTCTTTTCTTTGCCCCCACAAGTCACTCCCTTTTGTTGTCGGGGACAAAGCAAGATTCCCGATTCTCGGCTAGAACACTCGTCAAGGCTAATCAAGGGTCCGACACTTCTTCCGTCTCATCCATCTCACAGCTTGATGCCAACGCAACGAGCCCGTACACGATCGCCAGTGCATGCCTAGCGGACCTCGCCGGCTGCGGCGTACAGGTATACTGCCTTAGGTACACTAGAGCTAGCCATGCCCAGCGACAGGGGAAAGCCTTGACACGAACACGGGCCGTGACATCGTTACTGGACCTCGACACATACGCCTTACCCAACTGGACTCGGATCTTATCAGATTTAGATAATCAGATCATCAGATAACTCGGGCAAAATGTTGCCCCCCCCTCCAAAAAAGAAAAAAAAAAAAAAAAAAAAGAATCTGTGAAACCCGGGCGGGACTACCACTCGTACTAGTGACCTGCCAAAAGCCGCGCTCGAAATTCCCGCAAGATAACCCACCAATGGACAACACAAACTCCGGCGGTCCATCGGCCATCTTTAATGGGCCGAGGGGCTTTGGAGAGGCGACTTCCCCCGCCGGCGTCCATGCTCCTTCTCATCGCAGGTTCCGTTTAGCAATTCAGTGTTGAGGTTTTCCCATTTGGCTGGCACAGGAGAGACCGACATCTTGTGCCGCATCTAGACGAACGCGATGGAACACCTAGCTTGTGGTACCTCGTATGGAAGGACGGCCCAAGTCTCCACAGCTGTGTGTACCCACATCACATCAGATTAGATCCATCACCACAAAAATAATTACGACTACGCATGTCCTGGATGAGGAAAAGTACCTCATTCCGCATGATGACAGGGCTCGAGCTACTGCATATGGTGTAATCACCACTCGCACGCCAAGACAAGGCTCCTCTCCTACTGCTACACTGTATATCGTACAATCAATGGGCCCATGATCGCAGACCATTAGTCTCTGGAACCGTTCAGCCGTAAGCCAACAGTACCCAATACTTCCAAAGGGTTTGAAAGCCACCCCCTCCCCTTGACATCTCCATCCCGAAGTCTTCTCGTGAAACCCTGGCCGCTCGCCTCTTCTGCAGACTGCTGCCCACTCTCGGAACAGAGTTTTGTGCGCCCAGAGTCCTCGACTCATGTTTCTTAGTCATATACCGCCTCTACATCCCGCTCTCGCTCACTTGGCACCGGGACTCGCACACATCCCGGTTCTTCCCACATTCCACCACCACCGTCCGAGTCCAAGGCGAAGCCTCCGATGTCTTGGAGCGCATTAGTAGCGCAACCGTTGCAGTCTACCTATCTCTCGGCCTTGCTTCTATCGATCTTCTAGACGTGTTCGACGGCGCAAAACAAGATGGGGTTCCCCGAGGTGAAGCTTAGTCCGGAATCCCGAGGACGATGCTATTCAAGGTTTGCATGTTGGAAAGGGAAAGAAAACATGGCATTCTAGGTAAGTACACTACACACATGATACCTGCCATCCCTCCCTCCATTTTCGTGCCTGAGGCACTCGATTTAGGTAGGTTGTCTCCATTGGACTCGTTCGACAGGGCAGGGACATGGGACCTGGGACCTGGGATGAAGTCGGAAGGAGCGAGACCGTGAGAGATTTGATCTTATCAGATCCAAAGATAACGCCGAAATCGCATCATGACCCCTCCGTCCCCTCCCCTCTCGGGCCCACCCATCGTGCTAGAAGAAGAAAAAAGTCGGTCCATCATTGAATTTTCTTCACTCTCTTCCTTGTCCTTCGCCGAACCACCCCGCCCCTCCCCCTCTTCACTTTCACACCGTCTCCCTTACTCGTCCTCTTCATCGTCTTGCATAGGTATTGAAACGTCCGATTCCTGCACCGCGACCAATTGGGAGTGGGTCTCGCTAGTCACCATCGATCTGCATCGTCTTGGAAAACCGTCGGCGAGAAGTTCTCGTAAACCGTCGGCTTTGGGCGTTTTCCTACTGTGCGTCCGCCTACAATGACCGAGCACTCTTCCCCCTTCCCCCAAGGCGCCTTCGATGGCATCGGCATATCCTATCATCTGTGGATCAAAACCGTCGGCAGTGAGCCACACGTCACACCCGGACGGCCGAACCGAGGCAACATTGGGATGAACATGCCTAGGCCTCTCGCTATGTGAGGACGGCATTCAGAGAAACTTGACAGCGGCGCGCTAAGACTGCGAACTGCACCCTGCCTCAGATGAGCATTATCTAAAAGCATGCTGCCCCGCGTTGGGAAGCCACCCGTACATCGAGTCGTATTGGCTTGTTTTCCCCTTTGAAGAGTCACTGCCCCTTCATTCAACCTTCTATGCCTCCGGTCCATCCCTCCCGTCCGCTCCACTGCTGTAGCCCGGCAAATGCAAACGACGCTCGCTGCGTCAAGCCCTGCGCACCGCCGCATGCCGCCGCTGATGCCAGACACCATGTTCTGCATGGCTCTGCTTTTCCAATGCTCATATCGCCGTTCTGCAACGGCTGGTCTGTTGACCACATTGCTGTTCTCCCCAATCAAGGAGGACGAGCTTCAGACGCCTGCCAATTATGACTGTGTGTGCGCATAACAACTCCAGCGCTTCCCATCCGGGGCCAGCCATTGGTGATAGATAATATCTCGAACACGGCCTCAGTATGCGATCCCGGTCTGTAAGAACCCGTCCGGTACCTGTACCAGTACCAAGTCCAGACCCGAACCCGAACGTGGACCCAGACCCTCTTCCAAGGGCGTCCCTTACTAGTGTAGCGAGCCCATCTCTGGAGTCAGCCTGTTGCAACTCTGTCCATGGCCCCAACCCCTGGCTGTGGAAAAGCATCCGCTGTGGATGGATGGCTTCCTGCTTTGAGCTCCTCTCCCATACACAACTGGCAAGGGGTCCTGCACAGACAGGCCTTGTCCGAAAGGATCGCAACATCGACCAAGTTGCCCCATTCGAGCAAAGAATCGGGTGTTGCAATTTGAGTACTCCGTAGTGTAGACTCTTTCAAGTACGTATAGTGTCTAGCCGCAGTAGCTCCCGGCCTCGGGGGCGTGCGACGAGTGACGAGACCACATGTACAGAGTACACTCTCTTACCCATCTGCGTCGTTCATGAGCTCCGAGGGGTCCAGTGGCCCAGCTTCGAACTGGTCGGTCGGTCAGTCGGTCGATCACGTCGACTCAATGGGACGCGAGCCACCGCATCCATTGAAGTCTGCCCGTTTTGCATATTAGCCCCCCCGATGCCCCTCCGCTGCCACTTGATTCTTCCTTCTCACGGTGCTTCTCGATTTCCTCCTACTCACACCTTTCTCCATCATCATCTCATCTCAACCGCCAATCCATACCGGTGGCTCATCCTCCTTATACCTCAAGTCCCCCCAAACGAGCGCCACTCCTCGGGAGTCGATGACGAACAGTGTGGCTTGAATCCGCCGTGGAGAGTAAGCTTCTCATAAAGTCACAAGGGTGGGAAAAAAAAGTCTGGGACATTTTGGAGCAAGGAGAAAAAAAAAGTGACAAGCGAAAACCCGCAATACCCCCGCGCTCTTTCGCACCCGCCCCCCCGCATTCACACCCGGCAGCGTCTTTTTGGAACCGTCTCAAAGACTCGCGGAACAAAGGTCGGTTGATGCTCCCACGCCCCCAAGGTCCAGAGCATCTCGAGCGGCCATGAAACTAACAACTTAAAGCGCTCGCTCCGCCCTCTCGGTTACTCTGGTATTGGCATCTCATTTGCTCGATACGCTCGTCAAATACCACTATCCCTGCCGTCCAGATTGCGACTCACATACACGCACGCACGCGCACATACTGTACGACGACCACCCGCCACCACCACCACCACCACTATCATCATAATGTCTCCTCACTGCGAGTCACCGACCGAGGCCGGTAGCGGCTTTTCCCAATTCGACGGAAACGGCTTCACAAATGGTCACGGCAACGGCGCTGTGTACCAGAATGGCAATGGCGTGAACGGTCACCACATCAGCGGCTCCAGCATCCAGAAGTCTCAGTACCTGCAGCCATGCGAACCCAGTGAAATCCACGACCTCATCTGCGTTGGCTTCGGCCCCGCCAGTTTGTCGGTTGCCGTTGCCATGCACGACTTCCAGGAGGCTGGCCGGCAGCTCTCCCCTGGCCGGCCGGCGCCCAGGGTGCTCTTCCTCGAGAAGCAGCCGCAGTTCGCATGGCACCCGGGAATGCTCCTCTCGGGCGCCCGCATGCAAATCTCCTTCATCAAGGACATGGCCTCGCTGCGCAACCCGCGCTCGCAGTTCACCTTCCTCAACTACCTCCACTGCAACAACCGCCTGGTTGAGTTCACCAACCTCGACACATTCCTGCCTGCCCGCGTCGAGTACGAGGACTACCTGCGTTGGTGCGCCCGTCACTTCGATGACGTCGTCGAGTACGGCCGCGAGGTCGTATCCGTGTCCCCGGACCCCCAGACCACCGCCGGCGCCGTCAAGACCTGGACCGTCAAGTCGCACAACATCAAGACCGGCCAGGTCAGCTCCTACCAGACTCGCAACGTCCTGATCGCAACCGGCGGGCAGCCCCGCCTCCCCAGCGTCCTCCCCGCCAAGCACCCGCGCGTCATCCACTCCTCCCAGTACGCCCAGCTGGCCCCCCAGATCCTCAACGACACCTCGAGGCCCTACAGAGTCGCCGTCATCGGCGCCGGCCAGTCCGCCGCCGAGATCTTCCGCGATGTCCAGCGCGCGTACCCCAACGCCAAGACGTGGATGGTGATGCGCTCCGAGTTCCTCAAGCCCGCCGACGACTCGCCCTTTGTCAACTCCATCTTCAACCCCTCGTATGTCGACGAGCTCTACCCCAAGTCGCAGAGCTATCGCCGCGCTCTCATCAAGGAAGCGAAGGCCACCAATTACGGCGTGGTGAGGCTGCAGCTCATCGAGGCTCTGTACGAGATGCTCTACCACCAGAAGCGCACGCTCGGCACCGACGAGCGCAAGTGGCCCCACCGTATGCTCTTCGGCCGCGACATCACCCAGGTCACCGAGAGCAAGGAGACGGACCGCCTGCAGCTCCACGTCCGCCGCCTGGAGAGCGCCTGCGACGGCACCGAAGACGGCTTCGTCGGTCAGCTCCCCGGCGACGAGGTCTTCGACGTCGACCTCGTGGTCGCCGCCACCGGCTACCAGCGCAACGCCCACATCGACATGCTCCGCGACAGCTGGGGCCTGCTGCCCGAGGTGCCGTCCGCCGCCAACGCCGGCGACCGCGGGCTCGTCGACGGCTGGGAGATTTCCGGCCCCGACGCCACCTCAGCGTCGAGGAAGCTCGAGGTCGGCCGCGACTACCGCGTACGTTACGCCCCTGGCGCCGTGGCGCCCGACGCCGGTGTTTATCTGCAGGGATGCTGTGAAGCCACCCACGGAGTGAGTGAAACCCCCCTTGCTCCCTTTTTCCTCCTCATCTTTACATACGAGGCTTTTGTGTTTTTTCCCCCCTCAGAGACATTCTGACTAACGACCCTTCGAAAAAAACAGTTGAGTGATACCCTTTTGTCTATTCTTGCCGTGAGATCGGCCGAGATTATCGACTCCATCTTTCCCGCGACGCCGAGGGCCAAGGCCGTTTCCAACTAGACTTTGACTTTCATTTTTTTACTCTCTTTTTCACGGGATTACTTGTTTCATGATTCCTCGTTGTCTTCTCATTCGAGAGAAAGTCTAAGTTTGACGGCGGTCATAAGTTCATGGTGTTTATGAGGTTGCGAAAGAGATCGGGAAGAGAGAGAAGAGGGGGAGGTCAGGAGTTGTTAGTCAAGGGAATTTTGGGACAATGGACGGCTGATGAACATCCCTCTCTCTATATGTTGGGGCATGTGTCTTTGCGCGAGTACTCTTCGAGGTTCTTTGGAAAGTTGGATTGAAAAAAGACATGGCGCGGAGTTTGCTACCTTGGTTTACTTATGAAATCTTTCACTTTGTCTTCATGGTTCTGGTTGTCGTCTTCACGGGAAAGGACGCATTCGTTTTGCGTTTTCTGTCCCAGAGGCCGTCTCTTCTTTTAGATTCATCATCCTTGTGCTTGCAGCTTGAAGTTTCTGAGTGGTTTCCTCATTTCCTGTTTCATGTTTATATGGAATAGTTAGTACTATACAGTTGCATGTCGCTGTTGTCCATCCACGTCATGAGCTCCTGATACAACGGGCCGCTCTCGTCCATGGAGTGCAGCTGAGTCGGCCCAGGTGAGAACGTTGGTTGCTCAGGCTGCCGAGAAACAGTTCTCGTGGGCGTGTTGCTGTTGCTGGCGATCGTTGCGTCGTCCGGTGGAAGACCTGGCGTTGCAGGTCCACCCGTGCGAGCTGAAGAGGCGCCCTGCCCATCTACGCGGAGGCGCTGAACCAGAGATTTGAGGTCTTGAAGAACCGTGGCACAGTCGTGCCCATAGTGGCTTCCCGTCTTGGCCTCCTCCTCGAACACGCCGATGGCGAACTTGATGTCGTCGGATTCTGTGGACGGCAAGACGAGGTTCGGGGAGAGCAGGTCCTCGAGCATGAGCACAATGGCCGCGTTGAAGACGTAGTGCAGCCCCGCCTGGAGGAGTTTGCTGGAGCCTCCTGTGAGACTCAGCAGCCAGCGCGCAATGTACAGATTCCGGTGAGCGGCCTCGGAGCACGTGCTTATACGATCCGCATGGAGCTCAGTGTCCCAGCGGCGGTCTGACTGGATGTAACGCTCGGCGAAAGCCTTCTTCACGGCGGCGAAGAAGATGGGGCGGACGACGAGGATGAGTAGCTACAGACCCCAGAAGAGGGAACCTTGGTGAGCAAGGAAAGTTATTGTTCTTTCGGGAAATCTGGGCCGAGGTTTGAGAAGGGGTGGGAGCGTGTCTGAAGATGGAGAAGGAGGGGAGGAGACATGTACACCCTAGTCTGCTTACCAAAGAACAGGGAATGGAGCGGGCAACAGAAGGGAAAGGCGATTTTACAGGAAGAAACAAGCTTACCTGGTTGTATGCCATGTGCAGGAGACAACATGCGGGATCGGTACTTGGACAGGTGGCGGACATCTGCAGGGTGGGAGGTAGCGATGAGTACCAGTTGTCGAGCAGCTGCAGTGCTCGATCGACATGTCGCGCCGCTTCCCCAGGACGGCGGTCCCAGGGGGCGACTTTGTACGTGTTGCATACAATGTGGCCCGAAATGCGGGCCAGTAGGACGTGGGCTCGAAGGCCGGCTGCAGGGGGTAGGGAACTGCAAAAGAGTTGGGCAGTCAACGTTAGATGAGCGTGTTCGTGGGCTTTTGGTCTCGCATGCGATCGTTTGGAGGTGCCTCCGTGAGGGCCGACGTAAACGGAGGGAGGATGAACTTACGGGGCATCGCATGGCAAGGGTAGGCGAATCGCATCGTCCATAATAGTAGGCGGACGGCCCATTAGACAGCTCAACCAACGGTCAAGGATGTACAGGGTCCAGAAGACGCGCTTGCCTCGCTCGTCAACCCAGCCGCGGTGGGCACCGTGCATGATGGAGATGTGCATGGCGTTGCTAACGTACATGTAGGCGGCGTCGCGGCGGTTCATCTCGATAAGGTAGAAGCCCATAAGAGCGAGCACGGCGACATCGCTGATGGTATACTGGGTGATGTCGAGGGGATTGCCTAGGAGCATCCGAGCACGGGCAAAGTAGTCCTGGCCCAAGTCCCTCGGAATTGGCACCGAGGTCGCGGTAGTACTGGCCTGGCATGCGACGGCAAAGGCTACATGGTAAAAGGCCAAGTGACGGAACCTATGGCAAATGGCCTGGTGAGGGGTCTCGGGCGGCAACGAGACAGATTTCGGGTCGACGGGCACGCAATTGAGATCACCCCACCAGTAGATGCCGCCGCACGGGAAAAGGCCGCTGCCGTCCTGGATAAAGTATCGGAGTTCGGAGAGCATGGCCGACATGTCGGCTCGGGACGGAAGGACAAGGGGGTCCGCATTTGACTCGACCTCGATTGGGCGAGAGTCGTATGTCTGATAACGTCCGAGGGAGGCTAGGAAGGCCGAGCCATTGTTCGGTGTGGGAGACAGCCACGGCTTGTTAAAGGCCAGCGGTGATATGGTTGTCATGAACTCTTTCAGGTGGTCGAGGAAGGTGGCGCCAGACGTCTCGCCGAGAAAGCGGGCCCTTCCATCTTGGTCCTCTAGCTGACGACCTTCGGCCGCCTCGGCCTCGGTGTCGTAGAAAGGATTTTCGTTGAAGTCGTCTTTGCGAAAAGGCGTTGCATGCTGCTGTTGCTGCTGCTGCTGAGGCGGAGTGAATGACGAGTTGGAGCCAGCGCGAGAACCGCCAAGATCAGCATCATGCTGCAGCAGCTGCCGTCTGGCCGCGTCGTCAGGCACGGCAGCCTGCAGGGCGCGTTCAGTGGACTCGAGCTTCCTCCGCAGGTCATCCAGCTCATTTCGGGAGATGGAGATCTTCTCGATGACGGTAGGGTACTGGCAGTCTCGTGAAGAGCTGCGACACTGGCGGCAGGGTCTCTCCCCAGAACACTTGATTCGGCGAACGTTGCAGCTGTTGCATCTATGGAAAAGGTTCGTAAATGAGTTTCGATGAGCCAGAGAGAAGTCATAGGTGCTATATATGTTTCTTGATGGTGGGGGGGGAATGAGAGGACCTGAGGTGGGAAACAAAGCCAAAGAAACGGGCGCACGCAAAAAGATCGTTGAGAATGGATCTGTGAGCGGGGCTATGGAAGTATGGTGGTGCGACGGGAGAGCAAAGGGAGGTCCGAAGCAACTTACGCTGTGGCGACGCGCTTTCTCTGGTCGGGCGCTACCTTGTGTCGTCGCGGGTTGACAGGCAGACGTGATGCACGGTTTGTATTTTCCGTCTGGTCTGGCTGCTGCTGCTGCATCCTGGTGCTGCGGGATAGTGAGACTGCATGTCACCGCTTCGCCGAGCCGTCGTGCACGGGGTCGAGTACGGAGACGGACGTGAGGATGCTTGAGGCTCTGTCTTCGGGATTGACGTGAAGTGAACGGAGGGCGTATTCGTAGGTTTGTGTCTACCTCTTTTCTACCGTCGTCGTCGCCGTTGTCGCGGTCGATGGCGAGCGGATACTGGGTGGCCTTGCCCTGCTGCTGGGTCGACTGCAACGGCTATGTTGGCGGTTGGTGTCAGTTTGTTTGCCGCACCCCGGTGACCGGTAGCTGTTGGATAGCCGTGTCCGGTTTTTGGGGGGGGATTGGGGTAAGGCGACTGACGAGTCAGTTAGTCAGGAGGAGGCGGGAAGTCGAAGCTACAACAAAGGTGTGCGTGTGTGAGTGGCTTTTGAGGTGAGACTTGGTCAAGCTAGTGTTTAATGAGACGAAGTATTCGTAGGTATCGCCGTCGGCCTGCTCGAGTCTCGCGTCGTGCGCCGGCGGGCGGTGGGGTCTGGATCTGAATACAAATCCGAATCCGAGAGAACGTGGATGTGTTGTCGAACGTTAGATTAACCAGCTTGTGGAAAAGAATCCCGGGGACAGAAGGCGTTGACACGGGCAAGACGTGGAGAACGGGGAATTTGGGGACGATAGAGAAACAAAAAACAAAAAAAAAACCGTTGATTGACGCAAAGAAAGGGTCCAAGAAGGGAAGGAAGTGAGAAACGCCCTCCTTCCATGGCTAGCGGGATGGGAGGGGTGTGATTTTTGCTGCTGACCGGAAGCAGCTCCGTGTTAGTTGTTTGAGTGCGTCGCAACGCAGTTTCCCTAACGCAGAGCTCTCCCCTCCCCTGTCCACCACTGGGCCCGGGTGGGGGGGGGGCAGGGGGGCAAGAAGGCAGGCACCCCCAAGGTACCTAATTTACCTAGGTAGTAAAGTGGTAAGGTATCGGTACCTACCCTACACTTACCTGCCTTAGGTTCAATTCGGGGGAGGGGAAGAAGGTATGACTTACCTGCACTGCTGGTAGATACAGACTACTCCGCCTGTCAGAATATGTAGTCATAAACTACCTACTTCTTAGGTAGATAGCGTAGAACCATTACAAGGTACTCCGTAGTAGGTAGGTAAAGGGGGAAAGGATAGCCAGACATCATTGTAATCACGTGACTTTCGACGCAAGCCACACTTTAGTTGGTGCAGCAAGCGTTGGTACAATGTTTTCGGCTCCCCCCAGCGCGGCTTCGGGGTCAGCCGATCATTGATTCGGGCCCTTGGCGGGCCCCTGTTAGCCCGTGTGTGCCCAACCTAAACCACGCAACTAACAGCCAAGATGTGTGCGCAAAGGCAACGTACCCTGCCTGCTTCGAAGGCGAAGGGCCGGAATAACTGTACAATACTAGCTAGTGCGCATCAGTAACATGCACGGAGAACTAGGGTCCTGGGGAGGCTCCTCCTCACCGAGCTCACCCGAACCATTCACGTTGTCGAGAATAGGAGGGGTACGGTGCAAACAGAGACCCTATTCCCGGCCCCCAGGGAAACGGAACGAAATCTCCTCTACACAGCATGGAAGAACTCCACCGACACCCCGTCTTAAGTTGCCTTTTGGGTTGATTCTTCGCTTTATTTCTCGGCTCACAGCTGGCATTGTGGTGGGTGGTAATAGTAATGTAGCCTGCCTGCTTGGCTATCACGTTCTTCTCTCTCACCTCCCTGAGGCTCCCTCCCTAAGCCTCTCTCCCTCAATTGAACATGCTCAATTGAATGTGCTCATTTCTCATCATCTCGCCTCTCACTAGCTGAGCCCCATCCATCCCTTGCAGGATCACCGCCGTTACACTCTTCAATCACGAATCGTCGATCGCGCCCTACCAGCCGTCTTGTCGGTTTCCCGCCGTTTCTGTTCCCAGAACTCATCGACTAAGCAATGCACATGGAAGAACTGAGACACGTTCCGTCTCTGGCTCGCCTTTGCTTCCTCATCCCTACATTCCCGCCACCTCTTGTGCCAACCACGGTGGCATTCCGTGCCTTCTTGGCACCGTGACAAACATAATCTGGATCATGGCTAGATGCGGCTTAAAGATATTCGCTACATCGTCTATCCTACCCTACCTTACCCATGGATTGCAAACAGTCGTCCATCACTTACTACCTATGAGCATCCATCACTTAAACCACTCACAGGCTGACGAAGCGAAAGAGCGTGTCCCTGCCGCTCTGCGCCGTCAAGGGGCAGCCAAATGCCTGTCCCTGCTCCTCCGTTTTCCCAGCCGTGCGGCTGCCGAACGGCCATCCTGTGGCCCCTTCTGAACGCCACCCCGGAGAGGGGTTGACCCTGTGATTCGTGCATCGCCCTCCCGAGGCCCGTATCGGACGCGATCTTCTTGCACTCTGTCTGTCTCCAGTATGGCGTGCGTCGTACAAACCTGGTTGTTTCATCGTCTAACCATTTCCGTCTGTTGGCATACGAGAGATATGCTCCAGGGAGGCGGGTCACGTGATTTTCACGTGACACACCGCCACCCCGGCAGTATCCACCCTTTCCCTACAACAAGGGTATGCCACCAGTGGGTGCCAGAAGTCTAGATACAACAAGCAACAACTACACCACGATCCTACCACATATGTATGTGTGACCTCGGGATATCCCTTTGAGTGATAACCAACACCGTCAATGCCGCACATGCACCTTTTCTGACAGGTTCATGCCAGGCGCGAACAGTCCAGAAAGCCATTCGAGAGGTGCTCTGCCACCTGATCAACGACATCATCCGGGGTTTCCATACCGCACCTTGGATCGAACGGACTTGGCAAGTTTAGCCATCTGTGGATTTAATGGTCTACAACGAGGCCCAGAAACCGGTTTGCTGCTTGATGGCGAGTCTTGGGACGAACATCCCTGACTCGCAACGTTGTGAAATGGCCGGGCTGCAAAAGAGCATAAGCTGTTTGATTCACTGAAGCTACCGCAAGATGTCATTCCTACTTCTCCTGGTCCTCATTGTCATCTTCCTCTTCGCTCTCCACCTTCTGACCATAGATAATGCAGTACTTCATATGAGTGTGGAAAGTCCCGCAAAATAGCTGCAAGGTGCAAGCCTCAAGGCCATCCAGCAGTTACATGAGATTTATCATCCCAATCTCCTATAATAAGGTCCTTAGCCCAGTGTCTGATAGGATTTTCATAGTGCTTGTGGGTAATGCTTTGACAGCCGGCTCCTTTACCCTAGTTGCATAACTTAGGTTGAACTCACGGCCAACCTCGTCAGAAACCCCGGTTGCCACTTTAATCCATCTCATCATCTCTGGTCATCTTTCAATGTCCCGTCGTCTCTGTCAAACAAGACTTAATAATCTTGAAACACAGCCCAGCCATCCATTGTTGTTCAAGTTTGTGGAGAATTTACGCATAAACTCAAGCCAGTTGATAATCAAGCAAGCATATACCTTGTGAAAATTAAGTTGACAACTCTTACTTCTAAGTTTTCGGCGCTATTGATCTCAAGCTTGACGTTTATTGGAACGAAATTGGGCTGGATAGCGCTTAAGCCGATGCCAAAAACTCCAGCATTATGGAACTTATCACTTGTTTCAGTTACCTAAATGCCTGTACCAGTGCCAACATTCACAATACGATGGATTTTGCCTTTTTCAGCAGGAGCCAGAAAGATCTTGTGGATGGCCTTGGCTATCAAAGAATAGTAGAAGTCAAGCCTGTCCATTTCTCTCTCGTCATCGGGAAACTGGTATGAACCGTTTCGGCAGGCATGGCGTCGGCGACCATACTCATCTGGGTACTCGATAACGATCGATATCAAAGACGCCGAGTAAGATAAGATTCTGTAATCTATCATGGAAGCATCAGTTGGCAGCTGCTTGTCGCCAACCCTGGTCGTAGTGGTGGAGGTAGGGCCTCCAGTGAGAGCACTCGATGTATCGATCGTGTTTGACGGCAGCGTGGGGAGGTTGGTCGCGGGACTTGTAATGGTTTCAGACATGATGATGGATGTGAGCTGGAGAACAACGGGAGTTGGATCTTAACGAGATGGTTTCTGAGCAAAAAGCTTTCAAGAGGATGCGTCCAGAGACTAGGTCGTAGTGCTACAGCCTACAGCTTGTTTTTGACGATCAGGCAGCTTCCGATTTGCATCAACCCCCCATCTTGGCGACCCATTCATTTTCGGCATCGTTGGTGCTGTGCTAGGTAACGGGAGCTCCGAGTAACGACTCATAGGACATACTGCCTGGTGACCGGTTTGAATAAGCCGTTCGTTAGAACGGAGCCCTGTTGTATCGCCGGGGCTAACCAGAGAGGCTGGTTTAAGAGAACATAGATGAAATATCGTCTTTACGATGCCGATTCCAAGTGCGAGAATCCGATGGCTGCACGAGCAGCCAAGCATAATAATTAAACCTCGTCACGCAACTCGTCGCGGGGAAGCGTAATGGCAAGAATGTCTGTATCCGTTGCAGACCATGTACTCGTCGGTATCAGATGTTATCTTGCTGCCACTCTATTCAAGCCAGGGCATGGCTAGATCTGTCGAGTGCTAATCAGCAAGCCACCCTCGGACTGGCCTCGATATTAACGAGCGGGATATTGGTTAAGAAGTTAAGCTGGATTGATGGTCAATAATGTAAGCAGTATCAACCCATTCAAGCTGTTATAAAAAAGTTGATGAGGTCAATCGTAACCGCTAGGACATCTCAGCTACGAGGTAGCTTGAGATGTGCATTTGTTTCATACCCCCTCTCCATGAGATCGCGGAGCTCTCAGTGGACCGGGTATAGTACTGCCCGGTCTTTACTTTCGCGCACTCTATTTAAGCACTGATAGATGTGTGTCAGAATGAGATGGCAGTTTTGGAGGAATCAAGTCGCAGAGTCCGACCGCACTGCCAGCTGCTGTCAGCTGTGAGACATCTTTCCATCCACCTCGGGTCTCTACTCATCATGATCTCATTCTCGGCCGAATCCACTTTCCAGGGAAACACGCGACGACCAGGTGTCATCCTCGCGAGACCATTTGCATTGAAGATACTTAATATCGAAGCCTAGTCCAGGCCTAATGGATTCAACTGCCAAGACAATGACCCATCGCGCAGTTGTTTCGTCCTTTATCTTCAAGTTCCCGCCCAACCGAGGGCCGCAAGTCGCCCTGTTCCGACGAAGCGGCAATTTGCGGACTTATCCGTGAGCCCAGACCCCGACCTCAAGACGATCTGACATCGAACGATTCGCATGGGCTCTGTTGGTGGCTAACTTATGTCTTTAAGGAATCGCCTTGCGCCGGTGTCAGGCAGCATAGAGAAGGATGACCCGTCACCCCTCGATGCTGCCTGGCGGGAGATCCGTGAAGAGACGACGCTTACGCCAGAAACTCTGACGCTGCTCCGCCAAGGAAAGGATTACCACTTTGCTGACGAGAAGATCGGCCGCGAATGGACTATCCACCCCTTTGCTTTCCGTCTCAAGTCCCATGAGGACGAGTCGCGCATCAAGATTGACTGGGAGCATCAGGGATTTCAGTGGTTTGACCCCCACGAGGTCCGCGATGTTGATGAATTTGGTGGCGTGCCGCGGCTGGCTGAGAGCCTAAGACGTATTTGGTTCGAGATCGAGCTTGGTGAGAACAGAGCAAAGGTCTTGAGCGAGGGATTGCTCGCGTTGCAGAAAGATCACGAGAGCGGGGCACGGCAGCTGGCGGGAAAGGCGCTTGATGTTCTCCTGTCGGTGATCTCCGAGAAGTCTAGCATCGAGACCGATGGCTCTCTGGAAAAGTGGTGGCGGAACACTCGACTTGCGGCCTGGCATCTTTGGAAGAACGGACGGGAGAGCATGGGCGCTGCGATCTTCAACAACATCGTACGATCCCTGACCATCGTCGAAAAGGAAGTACAGCAAGTCAAGGACGACAGGGTGACACCTGAGTTTCTGGACAAAGTCATGCACAAATTACGTGACTTTACGGCATTGAGAGACACCTCGGTGGAAGGAATTTGGAAGTCTTTTGAGGCTTTCCTCAGAGAGAAGCACGGTTCCGGTCGGCCGGTCCGGGTCCTCACCCTGTCATCAAGCTCGACCATTCTTGAGTGTCTTCAGAGAGCGATCGCAGGGTTCGACTCTGAATTTGACATTAGAGTACTAGAGTCGCGGCCCCTTTTTGAGGGTGTGTCAATGGCATCTCGCCTTGTCAACTCTCTGCGTGAGTCAGGGCAGAGAGAGAAGAAAGTAGAGATCGCCATTTACACTGATGCCGCCGCAGCGCTCGCGAGCAAGGACGTGGATCTGGTCCTGGTTGGCGCCGACATCATCCAAGAGGATGGATCAACGAGTAACAAGACGGGCTCGCTGCCAGCAGTCCTCTCGGCCAAGCACTGTTCTCCTCATGTCAAGGTCTTGGTCCTAGCCGAGAACGAGAAGATCCTGCCATACGGGCCGCCTGGGTTTGAAGAGAACGATATTGAGGAGGTAACGGTGTCCTGGAAGCACAACAGCGCCCTGAAAGAAGCCGCCATGAATTTCTCGAGCAGCGCACAAAGTACGAACCCAGACGCAATGGGGATGAAGATGAGTGTCAGGAACGTCTACTTCGAATGGGTGCCTACGAATCTTATCGATGGATATATGCTTGAGGACGGCCAGAAGAGCGCGAAGGATATATCAAACCTTGCAGGCCGAATTCGGCGTGAGGCGGATGCCTTCTTCTCCGATGTCTAACCCCAACACCTTTTTGTTTTGTTCCATAGATCATGTCCATTAAAGGCCGTATATGAACGTCCATTTTTTGTCAGCGTACCGTGTCCCGTCCGTACGCTCCTTTTCGATTTCTTCTTGTGAATTGTGCCGCATTATCTCCAACTTCCTCTGGTTGACGGCGGCAAGTGTGAGCCTGTAAGAAAGGTATCCCATGAGCGCCACAGCCACGAAACCCAGTGTTATATAGAATGGGACCTTGTAGTCAGGCTTATACTTTGAACGGTATAGTTGCGCACCGATAACGCCAGCGATGTTACCGAAGCCATTGAGGCCGAGGACGAGTGATCGTTTACCGGGCTCTGGTGGTAGAAACGAATTAGTGAGTTTTTCCTCATAAGGTCCTCGCGCCTGTTGTATTATTCGCATACCTGGCGTATTGCCACTAAGCCACGCAACCGTCAAAGGCGCAGCAACATAGCTTCCAAGGAGAAGCACGCAAAGCGCTGCATATTTTCTGCCGCTTGATTCGACTGTTACAGTTGCGATCAAGCCAATGAGGGCAACCAAGATTCCTACCAGAATATGGTAACCGCGTTCCTTGCTATGTAGATATCAGTTTGCAATTCCCAATCCGACGGTATTTTAGACTACATACTGATAGTCAGAACTAAGAGTGAAACAGTATAGGCCAACGGCGCCGCAAACATAAGGTGGAACAGACATCTGAGGCACATTTTCTTTATCAGTTCCAAGACCCTTTCGAGTATTCAGAGATTGCAAATACTAACCAAGTTGGCTTCAATCGACGAATAACCCAGCCCTTGCACAACGAGCGGCAGAAACACGGAAAATGCCTGGCCGGGCACGCTGGCACAGATGTTGAACGCCAAAACGTACCAGAACTTCCAGTCCTTGGCAGTTTCGACGAAATCGCGCTTCGTCAGGCGATCCTGCTCCACGCCATCAGAGTCGTATGTGTGCTCGACAAAGAGAGCATTGTCCGCCTTCATCCGGTCTGCAGCGAAGCGACGTTCCTGCGCGGTCAAGAACCAAGCGGAGCCAGGGCTGGCGGGAAGGAGAATCCATGCGAGCAAACCGAAGAACACCGTCAACGCGCCTTCGATTATGAATAGATACTGCCAATTCTTCAATCGACCGTTATTCAAATGGAAAACACCGTATGCTGTTGCCGCATTAGAGAAATAGCCCAGGGATGACGAGTATAGCTTGGTTAACATACAGATTGCCCCTGAAAAGGCACCTGCAACCGCATATTGTCCGTAAAAGAGGCCGACTCTTACGGCGAGATCGTATCTGCAATAAAAAAACGAAAGGTATGCGACGGCGGTCGGGTAGAAACCGGCTTCGAAGGCGCCGATCAGAAGGCGGGTTATGATAAGGGATTCTGTTTGACAAACAAAGGTTAGAGATTTGCCAGCATAACAGGCTGGGGATGACTTACCTCGGCCCTTGATAAATGCCTGACACAAAGTGACAAGCCCCCAGCCAACCTGCGCACAACTTGGTCAGCTTCCAAATATATCTCATTTTGTTTCCTTTCCGGGGAGCATTCCTTACCATCATGATCGGGATCCAATGCTTAGCTCCAAGCCACCTCCCAATGGCTGCAGAGGGCGGTTGCAATAGGACAAAGGTGAGGAAGAAAAGTGAGACGGCAAGGTTCAAATCGTCCGGCACAGCGCCAATGTCGTTAGTGAATCCTGATTTCTATTGTAAGTAACGCAGTTACTCAATGATTCGAGGCCAGCCGCCGGGTAGCGTGTGATGTACCTTGGGTTTGGGCATTTCCCACGTTTCCCCTGTCCAAACCATTGAACAAGTAGAGAAGAGAGAGTAGCGGAAGAAGGGCAATGTCCATCTTCCTGTTGACCCTTCGGTCCATCGCAGACTCGTCGATGGCCTGAGTGCCTTCTCCTGCCTGATCTCGGAGGGCTTTGACCGCCGAGATCGAGGACCTGGAAGCTGTCCCTTCGGCGTCGGTGCTCTGTGACGGGCGACTCATTGCTTTATTTTTTTTTTGCTACGGCTCTGTCGGCTGTTGGTGCTAGTTATTCCTTTCCAGTCTCAGTCTAATAACTGATCGTCAAGGATACCTTGACTTGGTTCCTTTGCTTCAGTGTCCTTTATACTGCGAAACGTTCATCGACGGACCTGGCGAAGACTTTCAGGACAGTGTGGTTGCACCAGTTTGGTGGATCTTCAACCTCATCTGCCTATCACGCTTGGACATGCGATGACTCGGGGTCACACTTTCTAGTATAAGGCAGCAGCTGCAGTCATTCGCCCCTCGATCAGCCCTAAAAGGCTGACAGCCTGGGGTCAATGAGTTGATACCGAGCTGTGAATGGTTAACGGTACGATGAAGGTGGAAAAGACGGTAAGCAATGCAGCAACATCCCACATTAGCAGTGCTGTAGTTTTCTATCTGCCTCGAGTGGAGAAAATCGTCTTTGGTGAGCTGGATGGAGATTTTTGCTCGACATCTTGCCTGCCTGCCGAGAGAACCCAAAGGCCCTGTTCTTCTCTTCATATCACGTCAGTTTACGCGTGCTTTCTGATGGGCCGGACCCTCTTCCGACCTGTAGAGTACTTGTAGTCCTACATCCCTCATGACCCTGATACAGCGCGCGTTGAGCCATGGCGTCTGTGTTGAATGGAGTCTTGGTCTGGTTAGTCCCTGGCGACGCACTTGGCGCAGCCACTAGGAATCTCGGCTCCAAAGGGGGCCATTAGCTTTCTAGCACCGTGGATTGTTTAGTCTTTTTGGCCACCTGGGCCAGACCGGTCTAAGGCTACCTAGTGAAACGGGGGCCGAGGGGAACCTAGAAAAGCAAGCAGCAGGCGAGGGAGACTTTTGACACTCATGGATCAAGGTACCATTGAACCATTGTGAGCAAAAGGGGGGCGTGATCTGATGATGTAAAGTTTGAGTGGCTGATATCGCATGTAAGGGAGGGGAGGGGGCAGCGGGCTTGGTCAACATTGATAGAACAAAAGCCAAACACCTCCGCTTCAAGCCGTTGAGCCGAGTTGGTATTTTTTGTCGGCGACTCATTGGCGGGCCGGCAGATGGAAGAGTGGGCAGATAACATGGGTTTCAACTGACTGCATGAGCACGAGGCGTCAGGTGGTATTGTGGCATGTACATATTCCGGGCGTCATTTCGGCTCACTTCCCACAGCTGGTCCAATCCAGATCGCAGAATGGTAAGTACCGTGCAGCGTAAGATCGATGACGGCGCCGGGGGCCTGGGTCACGGAGCAAATGTAGTACCTAAGTGGTGCACACACTATCAGCCCTGTTTCCTGTCCCGGATTCTGGGTCTTCGATTGGCGTTTCTTAGGTGCATAACACATGTGTTACTTCCGTACTAGTGCTCGCTGGATGACCCCCTGCGCGAGAGGCTCCCGTAGGTTCCAAGAACGCTGTCCCCAAGAGGTGTCTCTATTTGGATCAAGTTCGCCTCACGATGGTCTCAAGGATTGTAACAACACAGGATGGCTTACGAGTCCAGTAAACTGTCCATGAGCCGATGGCCTGAGCTCTCCCTTTATGGCTCCCTGAACGCTTCGTTGTAGGATTGGCCTCGGACTCAAACGTGGACGGTGCGTAGGATTAGTGAACTTTCCCAAGACCTCGAGGCTCCAGCCCCGATTTGAATGTAGCCACGATGACCGACCACCCTTCCCCCGCCAGATTTGTGATGACCAGCAAAATGGGGTATCCAATAGTCGCATGTCTCATTTTGCTGCACTAAAACCATTATACATTATCACATTATGTAGCAGGGAAGTTGTCCTCATAACTTGACATTCTTCCTTTGCTTTTCCTGCCTTCAAGGGGGCTTCTGCCTTCTATTCAAGCGAAATGGTGCGATTCATTCCAGAGTGCTGGCTGAAAGTCTTACCCTCTTCAACACTTTAGCAATACTCTCTAATTCTGGCGGGCTTGTGTAACCTCGGATGTAGGGGTCACTCCCACACTCCTGATTTGGCCCGTAATCCCCCAGCTACCCGTGATAGCGTTGACAAACATGACAATTGCCCTGACTTGCTTTCAAACGGTGATGGCTGAACCTTGGAACTCACTTCTTTCAACAGAATGCAATAGCTAGTCTCTCATCTTCGAATACAATCCTTCCATCCGTGAGTCTGGATCTCTCGCCCTTGAGCCCGGCTTGTCACAAATTTCTGGCATGACAGCGGTTCGGTCATCGCAATGTATTATAGGTGACGTATCTTATCCCACTCCAGCCCCGAAGGCGAGTTATTTCCTTGTGCAGTAGGCCTCTAGGACCCCGCATGTCAAGATGAAATCAAAGAGCCATTCATATCCGTCACTGCCCTTTCGTGTCTATATCAAGACACCGGCCCCTTCTCCGTTCTTGTTGCAGATCGCCGGATCAACGTATTCATTCCTCAGCCTTTGACCACCCTCGATTTCGTGTTTCCAATACCGAGACACAATTATCGTCTTTAAGACAATAGAACCTGAAGATAATGCCTCAGCACTTGGGATTTCTTTGAAATGGTATAAAAGGCCAGTTATGGTCTATTGATTGTGATGATATGCCCTCCAGATGAGCTCGGATCTCCTGTTTTGCCGGCGTGCTGTCGATTGAAACGCGCAATCTTTGCAATGCTTATCTTGTATTCCTTCTACTGTTGCCCTACTCCAGTTTCCGGGCCCCCTCTTTGGTGTCTTGGAAGTGTCCTCGGGGGTTCTACCGCTCTCCAAGAGTTTGGGGGGGTTTCAGTTACCGGCTACACCTATGGAGCCAATGGTGGCTAGCATAATACTTCAAGACCGGTGCCCAACTCTAGCTTGGAACATGTGGCACATCTCTCTTTTATCTGTTGTGCCACAGATCCACATAAGGGTTTGAACAAGGCATTTTTGGGACAACTGAAAACGTAGTTTTGAGCACATCACTTGCCACCTCAGCGAGAATACTTACAACGTCCGGTACAAATGACAGCTATCAAGGGGTATAATATAATATCCTACCAAATGCAGTAGCTTACTATCAAAGTTGGAGCGTTGCATCGAAATAGAAGCCTCTTTCAGACGGTTATGGTGAGCAATCCACTTACCACAAAAGCCTAGAGACCCAGGCTATTCGCTTTGAAAGGAGTTGACTGCCAGAGTCCCCAGAAAGTGGAAATTTTGAGTCTCAAGAGATATTTGATGCCCTAACCAGGGCCCAATTTTTGTGTCAATGCTTTATCTGCTATCGCAAACAAAATTTAAGATGCTTCAATGCTTGTTGATAAACAACCCGTCTGTTGGGAAGAATACCCACTCAAAAATATATGCTCTCTTACTAGACAAGGAAAGGCTGACTGAGTCGGCCACACCGCTGCGTACGACACCACATTCCCTTCGACATCGGAATGCGGAGATAACCTCCGGGTCGTGGACATGGTATCCTTGGCTAACCACCGTATCCAAGAAAACCGAAATCAAGTCGGTGGTTGAAAGCTGCGCCTAAGTGCCGGTGGTTTACTGATATACTTTTCGCCACATCAATTCCAGCGGGCTGTGTGGCTCTTACATTCCGAATGATGCAGAGACTATCTGCAAAGACTCCAAGCTCGGCAAGCTCTCTCACAAGGATATGACGTCGATAATGTCTTTCAGTATTACAAGAACCGCTATCAAGCTACCAGCTATCTCAGGTATGGCATTGTTGCTGATTTCTAATTTATGTCTTCGAAACTTCCCCCATCCCCTACCACTGCCCAAGACGCCTCAGAGGAAACCGTATCTAGGAGCAAAGGGGTGACCAGCTGGGAATAAGTTCGTGGCAAGTACTAGTTGTGGCCGCCACGTGTATGGCTTATCACGCGCACAGACCATCACACATGGCTATTTCTACCCATGCCATGCGTAGATATGATAATTACTTGACACTATCTTAGCAGACGTTGCGGTTCATCTCAAAAGGTTTATTGTACTTTCTCTTCCGAAACCTAATGCTAAATCATTCTAGCGTCTAATATCTAAACCGTGCCTTCTTAGCCGTAGTAAACTCTAAGCCTCAGTCAGCTGTGAGCAATTCCAAGATGTGATGGATGTGGATTTTGTAAACGTAAATGTCTTTGCGGAATAGTTCGTCGAGCTTTTCTTAAGTTAAGGAAGTTGTTCTCAAGATATGGAAAGAAATTATATAGCGCAGCGGCAATCGTCAACCTGCATAAATGAATCCGACGCGGCCTCGGCTGGCACGCCTTGACAAGGGCGAAGAGGGGCACAATACGAGACAGAAGCAGATACGAGAGCTGTTGATTCAAATGTTGGGTCCGTGGAAACGCGTCATATATTAGCAACATCGCTCAAAGGCTACAACGTAGAAAATCTAACAAACGTCTCATGCTGTGCTAGTCTGCCGTGTCGAGGCCAGGGTCATGGCAGAATCAGTGCCGTGGACTTAGCTTCGCGATGAGGCACCCTTAGCCTCCCGCAAGGTTCTTGCTTGGTTCCTGTGACTTATTGCAGTTCACAGGTGCGTTACTGCCTGTCACTGTGTTCTGTTAAAGTGACATGGATTCAATTAATACGAGGAAACATACCATTTGCAGATATATACATGTCTGCTATACTTGAAGCCTGATCGGCAACTCCAATATCATCTTCTTATCGGAGTACTGCTGTTATCGGTCTGCTATCGGAATTGCCGATCAGGCTCTTAGCCTCAGTTATTAGAAAAGTCTTGATTCCCACTGATCTTGAAACTTGGGCTTCGGCTTTTATCAGGGGTAGAAACGTATGCTTATTCTATGTCTTTGGCCCGTTGTAATTCTCGGAGGGTCTCACACAAACAATGGTACGTCTTTACGGGTTGGAACCTGCATCCCAACGCATCATGAAGCTGGAGATAGTTGATGGAAAATCTCAAATTGAGTTCTATATGCTATGATAGGATTTTCAGGCTGGGCTTTTTTGATTCCTTCCCAATGCCAACAGTTTGTGTGTGGGTTCAATTCGAGCCCGGGTCACGGTTCGAATTTTCACCCATGATGAGGATCTGTCGTTTTAAGTTTAACTAAGTCAAATAATTCATTTCTTTACTCATAACCCAAAATTTTCTTCATGTAAACATAACTACGAAACGAAATCGTACCTGGTAGAGAGCTATTATCTCAATCCCGCAAAGTAAGCCTGCAACTATCGTCTGCAACATCATCAATCATAATAAGAACACGCATCGTTGACTCAATGCTTTGGCCCCGACATGGAAGATCCAGGGCTAAGATTCTGGCGTCCATGAGACTGTCCCATGAGCTTGTGCTCTTCCACAACCACGACAGCCGGCTGGCGACTGCGACGGCTCTCGCTAATTACAGCGACAAAGATCCAAGCGATGCCGAAAACGGCAGCGAGAATGGCGTACACGATCTTGAATTCCTTGGGCGAGTTAGAGATGTAAAGCCCCAGACCGCCGTTGATGATGCCCAGAGGGATGAGGAGGCGGCCAATGGCGAGATGAATGTGCGACCAGGTCTGGCGGACGCCATACTTCTTAAATTGTATGTGGTGGATGTAGCCAAAGATGGGCTGGAAAAAGAAAACGGCGAGGATGACAAGCCCGATGATGGGGTGAAAGTTAATGGTGCTGATCTCAAACTAATTGCTGTCAACAGGCACGTCACAAAGTTTTCCTTTGGGGGCAGTAGGAAGCTCACCAGACTTGTGCCGCCAAATCTGACATCTTGAGTCAACTTGATACCCAATGCAGCAGCAGCGATGTATAGAACAAAGCCGGCCATCTGGATGAGAGCGTGTAGAAGCCAGCAGAAACGACCCGGGATGATTCTCATGGCAATCGAGCCTATGGGAAAGACGATGACGAAGGCGATGGTAGCCAGAATACCGTGGACTCTCCGCGTGTGCATCGCCTCTTGAATGTTGAAGCCCACAAAGTTGTTGAAGTTGCCACCTCCGAATCCGTTGCCGCCGTTCCCATTGCCGAACCCGTTGCCATTTCCGTTTCCATTACCCGGGGCACCTGGGAACTGTTGGGCCACACCGAAAGACACTGGTTAGGATTAGTCGAGAATAGACAGGCGATGGTGAGGATGAGAGATCGTACCGAAAGCCGCAAGACTAATTAGGGTTAGTATTGTCGCGCTCATAATGCTGATATCCTATTTCTTTTTGTTGGAAAATAGACGTTCTGAATTTCGTCGATTATTCTGCCAATACTGACAGAAAAAAAGCTCAGACTAGAAGGCGAGCAACGTGGAGGAACGGGGGCTGACAGCGGCTGTCATATAAGACACTAATAAACGACATGGCATTGGCGCCGGTCTCTACTACGTCGACGGAGTTACGCTTGGGGATGTGCGACATGGTCAGCGCCCCAAGACCGAAGCCTCCGACGTGGCCGACGAGCCAATGGACGGCCGGCCGATTTTCAGGCGATCTTTGACGCACGAACACGAACGTGGGGTGGATGGTCTCATTTGGTGCGCTGTGGCAGGGACCTGAGTATTCAATCCGAACTATTTCTTAAGGAAATGTTCTGCTCAGTCAGTATCAAACATGGGGGGCAAGGGCGTGGCTGAGGGAGCCTCATGATATTACTGACGTATCTTTCGAAGCCAACCATGGCAGCTGTCGTAGGATGCGCTGCCACGAATCAGATGGTGGGATAAATGTTTCAGTTCTTGAGCACACCAAGTCTTTCGCAAGAATAGTTGGTCTGCAGTCCCGTGAGTGGTTCTGGCTTGCATGGCAGACAAGCTTGATGACGCTTGAGTTGAGTTGGCTTAATGAAGGGGCTTAGTTGGCACGTATGTAAGACATACACTCTTGTGTTCTTGCATGAAACCCGGTTCCTGCATGAGTCGGTGAAGCGAGACGTCGACGGACTAGGCTGTGCTATTAGTGCCAAGGCAGGCTTATGGCGGGACGGCGCTATCGTAAGAGGCGGACACGTTGACGTTGATTTAGGAAACACGCCGCCTGGTGGTTGGTTGTGTGTAAGACTCCGGCCGCTTTCTTTATTTTTCTTCCTTTTTCTATTCAGATATTAGGTTGATCGTTGCTCCGGGCACTCGCAAGTTGGCTTTGCAGACCACGCTTGCCGACCTGCATCGCTTGCTCGATCTCGCGCTCTCCCTCCCGAAGCCTGGCCCGTCCCATCTCAAGACTTCGTTGCTGTCTTCTCTTTTGTTCCGCAACCTTATCCTCATGTTCCCGCAGCGCCTTTTCTCTCCGTTCCCTGGCTTCCCTAGCCTTGAGTGTTGCCTCATCCTCTTCATCGGTGCCTTCAGCCTCAGGCGGCGGTCCCAGGGTTTGTATATACGCCTCGATCATGGGATCTCTCACTTGTGGTGGCAGTGAAATGTATCTGATGTCAACCAGAAGCTGCGGCGGCAGACGTGATAGGTTCGTCTTATTGTTCAGTGCTGAGAGTGGCAGTGACCTCAGAAGCGTGGCGAGATCGGACTTGAGCGTTGCTTGGGGCATCTTGAGACGGTTAATGTGCTCCCGGTACCACTTCTCACGGTCCTTGTCCTTGACGTAGGGATCCGCCATGGCCGGTTCTTTCCTGAATTTCCTCTTGAACTCTTGCCAAAAAAGCTTGGGCGAGGCCTTTTCCTGCAGTAACATCATGTATGGTATCCGGGGGTCCTTCTTCTCTTCTTTGGCCCGAAGTTCCTTCAGCTCTCTGATCTTGTCCTTGGACCATTCTTGCCAAGTATCCTTTCGTGCTTTCATGGTGTTGAGCAGCGTGTACCTGGGGTCTTCAATGATGTGGCCGTCCTCAATCAGCTTCTCCCACGAGCTGTACGGGTTGATATTGAAGTCGTCGAGTAGGTCCCTGAAGAGTGCGGCGGCATCTTCCTGTGAAAATTCCACTCCCTCTGCCCCTTCTGGCCACTCGTCCATGTTTCCGTCATCGTATTCTCCGGGGTCAAGCCCGTATGCTTCGCCCATTGCTTGGAGCTGGAATGCAATGTCCGCCTCGCTGAACTCCACTGGCGCATCATCTGCTGCATCTTCCGTGCGCTGGCGCTTGGAGGTGTGTCCGTCCTCTCCGTCCTGATCATCCCCTCCTTCAGCCTCGTCATCCGTGACTTCGACCTCTTCGTACTCTGAACTGTCGTCATTGTCGTCATAACTCGGCGCCGCTAGTGCCTCCTGCTGCGGCCTCGGCCGAGCCGTGGGTGCTGTGTCCTTTCCTCCTTCTTCCTCTGTCGGGGTATCCTTGATGCCGGCCTTTTCGCGAATTCGGGCTTGGTCCAACTCCAAGATACCAGCTTTTAGCTTGTCAGGAATGCGCCAGTAACTGGCATTCTTCTCGGGATTATAGACGAAGCGGCGTCCATATTTGGTGTCGACAAGGATCCATGGCTCGCATCCGGGGATCGCGGCCTTTGCCTTGGGCTTGTCAATAGGCTCAGGACGCGGGCGTCCGTCTCTGCCTCCCCTGCCTCCATGGCCGAAACCTCCACGCTGCGCAGGTGGTTGATTTTGTGCGTTGAGCTGTGCCAGGTATGCGTTCGCAACGTTTGGGTCAGAAAGCTGGGGAATGGTCTGGTATTGAAAGAAGCTTGCCGAGACCGATCCCGGTGCAGGCCCTTGGGCAGCATTGACGTCGGGCGCACTCGGTCTCGTATATGTTGACTCCTTGGTCTCGGCGTTGTAGTAATATTTGTGACCACTCGGCGCATCGTGCTCCGTCCATCCAGGAAGCAGGGGTGGAGGAGCCGCAGTATTTGCGGAAGGCTTGTAGGTCGACCTCAACATGCTGGGTAAGTGGGCGCGATCGGGATATTCGCAACTCGGTTTGCCCGGGTTGTGTAGGAAAACGAAAGGGAATATTGATAACAATTAGAGGCGATCAGCATCGATTGGATTGACGCAGACCGGGGAAACTTCGGGTATCCGATAAGATAACAGAGTAGCTTCCCCGGAGCAGCCAGCACCTTTGCACTTCAGCAGCGGCAGCTATTCAATTCGAACCTCCCAATCAAAACGCCACATACATCAATAATAGCAACCCCCTCGGAAGCTGTACCAACTCCAGCTAGTACTCCTTACCTACCTGGGTACCTAGCGACAGTTGGTCAGGAGATCTGCATTTTGATCAAGTGACACTCAATTGTTTTTGGCGCTTGTCTCTCGAGCCCATAACTCTCATTATCGATTCTTGCGCGCTTTGACGGTGCCTAGGACATCCGCTGCAGCTCTTCCAGCTTCAATTGCCGCAGCAATAAGTTGTCCTATGTTTGAGAGCGTCTTTCGCGCGGCTCGTAGACGGTGACTTCTCATCATGGCTCCAAGTCGCCTGGACAGCAGTTCGAGTGGAAATGCTGCTGCGTCCGCATTCTCCAGGTTCTGGAAGGTAACGTAGCTTTTTCGGTCATCATACCTATCTACGTGAACGGGGGGCATGAGGCCGCCATCTGACGAGGCACATCTACAGAGGACCCATGCACCAGACTATTTGGGGTTCATCATTCTCCTTGCGGGATGGATGACGGTAAGTTTCTATCAATCGAAAGGTAGCTAGGGTCGCCGTATTGACTTGGTTTTCTAGATGCTGGCTTTCATTGAACCCTTCCACCGCATGTTCTTCATCAATGATCTCCACATCTCGTACCCCCATGCGGAAGTTGAGCGTGTGCCTGTGTGTAAGTTGAACTCGCCAGCTTTAGAGACGGCGAGATCGGACTGACAGAGCCCTCTAGATATGAACATCGTCTATGCTCTCTTCTTGCCACTTGGGGTACTTGTTGCTTATAACGTTGTTACTAAAGCTTCGCCTCACAAGCATGAAGTCACATATCTGTCTTTCGCCATCGCAATCGTCATGTCCTCCTTCATCACAGACCTGGTCAAGAACGCAGTCGGGCGCCCGCGACCCGACTTGTTGGCTCGATGCAAGCCAGTCGCTGGCACGAAGCCTAATGTTCTCGTCACTATCGATGTTTGCACCGAGACGGGCCATCACCTTCTCCACGATGGGTGGCGGTCTTTTCCTTCTGGCCACTCGTCCTTCTCCTTTGCCGGCCTTGGCTTCCTGAGCCTTTTCTTCGCTGGACAGTTGCACATTTTTCGACACAACAGTGGAGGTCGTGACCTGAGCAAAGCGCTGATTTGTCTCCTGCCACTACTTGGGGCTGCATTGATTGCCATCAGTCGCTGCGAGGACTATAGGCACGACGTGTACGACGTTAGTATAGGGTCGCTGTTGGGCTACCTTGTCGCGTACTGGAGCTACCGAAGACATTGGCCCAAATTGACCGCTAGAGAGTGCCACGAGCCTCACCCTCACCCGGGATCGGACCCCAAGGCTGGATGGAATCGACTGCGAGACGAGGAGGCCGGAGACTCGCGGACCGACGTAGGCTATGAGATGACCCAGCTAAGTAGCCAGAGACACTAATCACCAAAGAGTAGGGTACTTTATAGGGTCCGAATCAACAGAATCAGCCATCGTCACCGCCGTTCGCTTCTGTAAGGCTAACCCACCGCCGCCCTGTTTCTATGCTTTTTGTGTACTTTCTTATTTTACTACTATTAATTTCCGTGTCTGTTATCGTATCTCTCATTACTTGTCACATTAGTGTCCAGAATACCAGGGCTTCGCATATGCATCTTGGCAAGAGGGTTTGGGGCATCAATTCTATTGGTACATCAAGGTTGGGGGCAATCATCACGCCCTATTCATGTTTTAAGTTCCATCCATGCCATTATTTGTCTTCCGTGGACTCGTCCTTCGCCAAGTCGTGCTCCTTGAGAAGCTCCTTGATCTCCTCTGCAGTCCAGAGTCTGTGGTAGATCTTGCCGTCACTCGTTTGGCCAACCGTGGCGAACTCGACTGTGGTATTCAGTTAGCGGGATCCTGAACATTAGTCAGTGGATCTATATGCGAGACGACGTACGCTTCTCTGCGCTCAGCTTCGTTGAGTCCATGGTCTTGCTGAGAACCTTGACCGCCATGCCGCAAGCCTCCTTCAGAGTACAGTCCTCCTTGTAGTCCTGCTTCAACAAGCTCTCCGCGCTGGCTCTGTTCGCACCAACAGCCGTCGCTTTCCATCCACCGTAGTTGCCCGAGGGGTTGCTCTGGTAGAGCTGGAACTGCCTGCGGGGATCCCAGCCAGCGTAGATGAAGGAGACACCAAAGGGTCTCAGACCTCCGTGTTGTGTGTAGCCCTGCTTCAGATCGCACAGTCGCCGGACGAGTTGCTCGCATGGGATGTCTTCGTTGTAGGTGAGGAGATATCTTTGAGCAGCCTGGCGTGCGTAGTTAATGAGAATGTTGGCATCGGCCGTCATACCTGCGACAGCAGCAAGCATGTTGCTAGAAACATGTCAGCGTCTTTAACCATTTCCAACCTCACTAAACCACGGGGGCCTACTCGTTGACGATGTAAAGCTTCTCGGCTGAGGTGTCTTGCTCCAAGAGCTTCGATGTCACCTTTCGCTCGGCGGCCAGGACGATGCCGTCCTTGGCAAGGATGCCGATCGCAGTTCCGGCGTGAGAGATGGCCTCGAGTGCATATTCCACTTGATAGAGACGGCCCTCGGGCGAGAAGATTGTTGTCTGGCGTGGAGTGTGAGCTTGGTGCCCTGGCTTGGCGGGAGCAGGATGCAGTGCAAGGGAAGAGCGGGGAGGGACCTTACGCGGGAATCGTATCTGCGAGACATGGCGGGCGAGCAATCGGCAATCGAAAGTCAGTTACCTTGATCTAATGAATCGATTGCGGTGGTGATGTCGGATTTGCAAAGCGACAACAGAGAGATGTGTGCGGTGCAGCAGGATGGTCTGTTTGGCGGCGATTGCAGGGAAGACTGTAACTTTAGGGTGCAGCTTGTTGAAGCTCCAGGCAATGATGCACGCGTTAGCTCGTTGCGCCTGCTCCTCCAGCCAGCCTGGTACCTAGAGCAGGAGCGAGCAGCCGGGTCTGAGGTAGAGAGAGAGGGAGATTCTGGCCCGAGCTTTTGCCGGAAGCGTCTTAGCGCCAATGATGCTTACCTCATCTCCCTGTCCAGCTTGTCTGCTGTGGCTTGCCGATTAGTGCCTCACCGATCTCTTCCAGGCACCAAGGCCAAAACATGCACTCCCCCACCTCCCACCGTGCACGGTGCACCATTCACCGAGCGCGAGGCCCAAGACAGCGGTTTCCCAAGCTTACATAACGGCGGCTGAGAGTGGAGGCGGTTCGGCATTCTCCCACCAACCTCGCGCCGTTTTATCGCACAGCATCGCACCGCAACCCACTCGCATCACCTCCACCTTTGCGCAAGCTTCCTCCCGCTCTCTCTCCCACACACAACCAAAAAGCGGCACGCGAGGACCGCTCCAAATTCATTCGACCTTGTTCCCGTTGTCGCAAACCACACGACGCGACGGCTTTCATTTCTAACTGGAGCTGGATTTTGCTAGGACGGACAATTTGGGAGGAAACCCGCGTAGACTCCACTCTTCCTATTGAGTTTGTGTCGCGCGCGTACTGGATGGGTCACATATTTTAGTCCTTTTTTTTCTGCTCTGCCGTAAAAAAACCAATGCATGTCTGAGAGAAGGAGAAAGAAGACATCAGTTCCTGTATCGACGCCTAGAATCCATACCTCCTCCAAGGTCCACGCCCTCGCGCTCCTGCCCACCAAAGGGAGGCGTTTGATATCTTCTCGCCCGCTCGCCAACCCAGCAAAGCAACGAAGCAAGCATGTCTGGTAAGTGTCGCAACCACAGTTGCGCTGCCCCGCAGCTAGCCAAGTGCTGCTGCTCTCTTCCCTACCAAAGCATCATAGGCGCAGCTAGGGTGTCACATGGCAAGATTGAATTAACATGCTTCGCGCAGGAGAGCCGGAACCTCGCCGCTCGGTACGCGCGACCAAGGGCCAACACACCAAAGCCTTCGACGACCAACCGATCGAACCGCCCAAAAAGCGAGGGAGGAAGAAGAAGCAAGAGGAAGAGCCTGAAGAAGAGATTATACGCTGTGTTTGCGGTGCCACGGAACAGGACGGCGACTCGGAAGAGCCTTGGATCGCCTGCGATAAGTGCACAGCATGGCAACACAACGTTTGTATGGGCATGAGCGTCTTTACGGAAGACCTCCCTAAGAACTACTATTGCGAGCAATGTGCTCCTCAGGATCACAAGGAGCTCCTTTCTGCCATGGCGCAAGGTGAACGTCCATGGGAAACGCGCCGCAAGGTCTACGAGGAGGAACAAAATGAGAAGAAGAAGAAGAAGAAGAAGGGTGGCAGAGGTGGGAAGCGTGCGAGCGACCCCAAGGAAGACTTGTCGCAAGACACGCGAAGCAACAAAGCCGAAGACTCTCCAGCTCCCTCGGAAAACAAGGAGAAAAAGGACAAGAAGGACGGCGGCGCCTCCAAGGCAGCGACGGGCAAGCGCAAGGTACGAGAGGACACTCTCGAGAAGGATGCCAAGGCAAGATATTATCCCTCAACGTCTGACTAGCCATCGCTGACATAACTATTCCAGACACCAGCGCCCAAACAGCGCAAAGTATCGGAGCCTGAACCGTCCCCCATCGTCGGCTACACTGCGCCGGCCGACCTAGATGCCAAGGTCACGGATCTGCAAGAAGATCGCAAGGGCCCTGCACAACTTCTACAAAAGGCCATCACTGGCATTCTCACTGTCGCCGTCAAGGATAAGAGCGTTACTCTTCCGAAGGACACAACTGCGGCGGCGAAAGCGGAGCGCTTAGCTCTCGAAATTGAACGCGCAGTTCACGATGCACACCCAGATCGAAGCCAGTATGCTGCGCAAGCAAGGATCTTGTATGCAAACATGAGGATGAACGGCGATTTGACCAAGCGACTGTTGAAGCGCACTCTTTCACCGCTGATGCTTGCTACCATGACCGCCGACGAGCTGGCTACCAAGGAGAGACAAGAGGCCAATGCTCATCTGAAGGCCATCTCGGAGAAACAGTCCATCCTAATTACCGACGACGCCCCGCGTGTCCGCAGAACGCACAAGGGCGAGGAAATTGTCGAGAGCGATTCTTTCCAACAAAATGATGATGGAAGAACCTTTGCTCGACGACCTAGTGGGCGAGAGGGGGGCGAACCAAATTCCGAAAATTCAGGTGAGCTTTCAGCCCATCTGGGACTACATATCGATACCCACGGAGCTCGACATTCGCCCAAGCATCCCGATTTTGATATCAACAAAGTGTACGCAACTGTCAAGTCGCCTACGAGCGCCCACAACCGCCGGCCATCGGCTCCAGTCCATGGACCCGGCGTCGACCTTGATGTGGACCGGCTTCTTCAAGAAGAAACGGATTCCCCGCCTTACTCGCCCACAGACGAGACGGATCCGGACGTGGTTTGGCGTGGCCATCTGGTTATGAGCTCGATTGCTGATTTCCCAGCGTCAGCCAAGTTCGTTGGCGGGGCCAACTTGTCAAACACCATTGGCTTGCCTTGGACCAGTCTGATTCCGAAGAGGCTCGCTGTAGCAGGACGCATAGATGAACAGAAAGCTATAGAATATCTCTGCGGCTTGCGATATGCTGACCAGACTGATATTGTCGTCGTGGCAGTATCGCCGACATCTGAAGGCTCTCGGCGCGAGTTTCAATCCCTATTCGATTACTTCGTCTCCAAGAAGCGGTATGCCGTCGTTGGGGACAAGGGCGTTGGCAACGTAAGGGACACATACCTTGTACCCGTCCCCCCTGGGGAGGGCAACGTGCCCGAGTTCATGCTCAATTTTTCCGACAACCTCGTACCCCAGAAGAGAACAGAGCCCATGCTCCTGGCCGTTTTTGTGTATCGAAACACTCTCAGGCAACCTCAGCTTGGCGGAGCCGCCTCTCAATCTCCCATCGCTAACACGCCAACTCCTACGCAAGCGGGTTTCCCTTCCAGACATCCCTCAGTCTCCGGGCCAGCATTCTCGCCCACTGTTGGCCAGGGTTCATTTCAGCAACCGGGCCAGGCTCCTTTCGGCAACAACGGCTACGTACCGCCGGAGCACCCAACACAGGGGGCACACCAGGTCGTGCCGCCAAACCAGCCTCCTTCGGGCTATGTAGCTAATCGCGGCCCTGAGACTGAGAAACAACAACGTCAGGAACAAGGCCAAGTCCTTGCACAGGAGGTGCTAGGTCCGTTGATCAACAGTCCCACGGTAAAATTCCTCTTACCACAAGCCTATCAAATGTCACGGACGGAATGGGACGTTATTCGGGGCATTCTGGAGAGGGATCCTCGCGCAAGGGACGATCTGACGTACCTCAGCCAACTGTTGGAGAAGCAGCCATCAGTTGATGGTAAGTCTGGTGATGGCCCTCCGACAACGGCTCCTCAGAGTTCCCAAGGCGTGGCGCCGTCAGCATGATAGTCTTGGGATGCAAGAGGGATGAAAGTCAGGTTGGTGAAGCACATAGGCTCTGATTCGTGGTATATAACAGTTCGTGGGATTCTTTTACTTCTTTCCCACAGATGTTCTCGGGTTGAAAGATGAAGATACCGTTCCCAGATAGGAGGGGTTTAGCCATTGCGCGTTGGGATCTACTATGGAGTTTGTTATCTAGCTTGAATCGGATCAGGCACTATCGACTAGTGTCCTTTGAGCATACACACACTTGCTTTGTGAGACGTTGTTACTTGAAGGCCAAGTTGGCAACTCTAATCGTGCGTAAAAGGAAGATATGCCAATGTTGCGACTGGAATCGGTCAAAGTCGGCCTCAAATCTCTTAGAACATTGCATTTTGATCGATCTCGGCATTATGATGGACCAGGATCTCTCACAGACGGGTAGAGTAAGTTGGGTCATAAGTGGTTATAATTGTGACTGCAGAATACCGTACAGTGCTGTACATCTCACCATGGCTCAAAATCTACCTAATGCGGAGGTACATCTAGCTTTGAAGATGTTGTGACATCCTATTCGACCCGCATGAATGCTGAAACGGAGAGTGGCAATGACCAGCAACTGTAAACTGCTTAATAGTATCTACCTAGGTTGGTATTTTGAGATGCCCGTACACGTGTAGAAGACTGACCTGCTCGTGCTGGGTGCGCCACAGCCAGGCCCGGTGCTGCCAAGTGCGACCTCCTACCTCCCGTTTGCTGAGTTCTGCCCAGCCCCCCATTCGACGAATCCCATCCGGCCACAACAACCGGGGGTTGTTGAGTGTGCAGTTGCCCCACCTCGCCATGACGACAACTCTCCTGGAATTAGAAACACGGGACCTTGGAGAAAGTTCAAGCATTGAATGGGGGGTGGCGCTTCATTTAAAGCCGGGCTGAGACAGGGTCCGGACCGCTTTTTCTTTGGGGGACAGAGATTGGAATGATTGTTCGAATACCTACGATTTGGAAACTACTTCTTCATCAGAGCTTCGCCCACTACTTCACCAGCCCAGAAGACAGACAAACACGTTAACAATATTTGGTTCCTCAATTGTGAGAAATCCATCTCCGATTAACACCGACCGTAGGTCTAGCCTCTGGCGTGACGTCACTTGACCTCGTCCATGGAGACAAGAACTGACAGTAGCGTCGCAGACTCCCCCGAAAGACACCGACAACAAGAATCGCAATGGCTTGCGGCCCAGCTTCTTCCGGTCTCGTCAACCGCAACGGTCCCGGCAGCGCCGCCACTTCCATCGTCGACAGCATCGTCAAGCCCGCCGAGGCCACGGGCGGCAAGACAAAGTGCATCGAGTGCGATGGGTATGAGTGCTGCTGCATCCCCATCCCTTGCACCGTCATGTAAGACGGTAATTCAGGAACAATGCAAGACACGGCGAAGTAAACAGTCTGGAAGGAAGCTAGTGTCGTCGGAGGTGTAGTGAGAGGATTTTACTGCCGTATACAACTTTTGGACAACACGCAGGCATCAGCCAGCCGAGCATGAACTCATGATTTGCTTTTTTGGCCGTTCTATATCATATATCTCGTTAAGTCAACTCGGGATTTTTAACCACTGTCCTCCGATGTCGCCTGATCCTTGTTCTTTTTGTTGAAACTGGGTATCTATGCTTGCAACTCTCACTGGTTCTCTTCCCAACGCCGGAACATCTCTTCTACATCGTCGTCAAGTGGGAAAGGGCACCGAATCATGGCCTCTAGCAGCGTAGTAACGGGCAACTCGTCACCATCTCCCCGCTAGAGAAACAACACGTCCGCATCCGCCCACACCTCCTGCTCTCTCGCCCTGCTGAAGGCCTCCACATCTTTGGCGGTCAGTTCGCCATCAACGGCTGACGTGATGTTTTCTGGTGCCTTGGGCGTCTCGATGCTGCCAAGGCCCTCCAGGACCCGCTTCGCCTTGTCCACCTGGGCTCGGATGGCTGCTGTTTCTGCCCTTGTGCGGTCGAGGTTCGATTGCATCAGAGCGATGGCCGATTCGCGAGCTTGATGAGGTCGGTATTCGTTGAGAAGATGATGGAAGTTAATTAGGAGAATGCGCAGGTCTTGGATTTTGGCAGCGCCCTATTAAGAGTCAGCGTGAAGATACGGGGTTGGGAACGGAAGAGTGCGCTCACGTCGTCCGGCACCGTTGCCATGACGCTGACAAGCTCCAGGAAGTTCAAGAGAAGAGACTTGGCCATCTTCTTGAGCTCGAATGCCCGGTCGATGGGTTTACCGTCCTTTTCGTCCGAGTGCGCCGGCGCCAGTCGTTGGATTTCGCCCTCCTCTAAAGAGGGAAGCTTGTCGTCGAGCTGCGCAGACTGTCAGTCTACCCATGATTTGAGATTACCGCCGTTGTAAGCAACGTACAGTGTAGTTTCCTCCGAGGACTCTCCAAGTGCCTGTTGCTGGTTCGGCTGGCGGTTGAAGGTGCATGAGATCTTCGGGAATATCTGGTAGGCGGACGGTCAGGTCCTTGACTGCGATACCATCTTTGTCGGCCTGGGCTTTGCGAAGCTCTTCGATGCGGGATAGGTTTTCGGGCGTGAACTGCCTCCAAAACGGAGGCGGGTTGGGAAAGGTTGAAGACAGCGCGTTATGCGATGGCTCCTCTGGGTTGTCAGCCATGTTGGCGATTTCGGTGGCAGAAGATAGTTGTGTCGAGTTTCTCAGTAAGGCAAAGTAGCCATCATCCAGCGTGTGTTCGCGTAATTCTGTGGGAGAGAAATTTCGTGTCTTTGCAGAGGTAAAGGTTATGGGGATTGCCGGTGCAATGTTGGACGTAGCAATTCGTACAGGTGCAGACGACCTTGAAGGCCGCCAACTTGACTTCAGCGCGTTCGGTGGTGAGCAACCGTCTACCAATACTGGAAGCCACTCCCGGGGTACCTTGCGGGGGCAGTAATTCCTTCACAGCCCCGCTGTTCCGAATCCGGACTGGCGTCAGTGCCCTACCTCCACTCTCCAGCTGACAGCTGCGCTGGGTCGGTCGCGTCGGTTGCTTGCCGCAATCTTGAGCAAACGAATGACTTCATCCCCTTTGAATTCTTCAACACCGACAAGCCATTGACTGTAACCACGATATCCAAGAGCCTTGGAGACGAAGTCGCATACAAGCTGGTGTCGCGAAGACGCATCAACACCCACCATGGCCGACGTCCGATCACTCCTCCGTCAGCAGCGCGCTGCCAGACGAATCGAGCACCCTCATGCTGCCTACTCGGATGCGGGCAAGCTTCTTTGCACCCTCTGCCACGAGCCAATCAAGACCGAATCACTTTGGGACTGCCATGTCCGCAGTTCGGGACACGCGACAAAACTCAAAGCTGTACAGAAAGCATTCGCCGACACGGACGGTTTGGCAGCCGCAGATAGTGCGCCGTCGAACAAGCGGAAGCATGACTCGGATGAGGATATGGAAGAAGAGGATACGGCAGATTCTGTACGGAAGAAGCGAAGCAAGACCAATATGAGCAGGCCTGCACGATTGTCCCTCGGCGAGTCGGATCGAGACTCCAAGGAACTGACTCTCACACCGCCGCCGCTGAATCGTCGGACGTCGACAACACCTGTTCAAGGCGTCGAGATCCAGATTCCCTCGCGGCCTCATACGCCAGCGTACAAGGACGGGGCATCTTCGAACTCAACACCCTTGGTGCAGCCAGTCGGTCCCTCGCCGCTGATTCCGCAGGAGCCGACGTTGGGAAGCGCGATTGCAGCAGCACCACCTGCACAAGAGAATGGCGCAAGGTCGAAAGCTGGGTCGAATGGAGTTCAGGTGGATGAAGACGAGTGGGCGGCCTTTGAAGCAGATATTGCAGCAGCCACGGCGCCATACTCGGAAGATGCCGTGATTGCTGCCCCGGCCATGACGGCGGAGGAGACCGCGGCGGCGGCGAAGACCGAAGAAGAAGAACAAGAGAAGAGGCGTCTTGCTGCCGAGAAGGACCTCATGGATGAGAAGGAGGAAGCTACAAGGGCTTTAGAGACGGAGTTTGAGGATATGGAGGAGCTCGAAGCCCGAGTTCGAAAGTTGAAGGAGAAACGTGAGGCATTGAGGAGACAGAGCGATGCGGGCGCCGCCGCGCCTGCTGATAAACTCATCAGCAAGGCTGCTGAAGCTACTGGAAAGGAGAACATAGAAGCGGTCCGTGAGGAGGACGAGGATGAGGATGAGGACGAAGATGAAGATGACTTTATGGGCTTCCGCTATCGGTCATGACGGCGCGTCTCGCATGCTGCCGTCCCTCTACTGAAGTATGCATACTGGTCATCAGTGGCAAATAGACGTCTTTGTGGTGTATAACTATTGTAACTTACAACTTTCACTTCGAGTTCATAATACGACGTCCAAAGACGTGCTTCTGTTTTAGCCACCTCCTTTCATAACAGCTTTTCGACGAATGGTTGTCAATTATTGAAATCCTCTCTAACTCTAGTAAACATTACTTTTCATCATGACCCTCCATATTAGGGGAGAGATATGTGCTCCCTCTGAGATAACCGTCCCTATGTCACATATATTCGAGACTCCACTGGAACGAACGTATTATTGTGCCGCGGCCGCCGTTGGCGCGCGAGGTGAATGAACCAAACTTGTCGCGGGCAAGGCACCGCTTTGGTAGACGGTCGCTGTGATAGTATTGTAGACGGTGACAAGAGCCACCGAGACGGAGCAATCTAAATAGGTGGGCAGGGCGCTTTCGATTGTCGTGCCCTTGACTGTGGTCGTTGCCACCGCGGTGGAAGTAATGGCGGTGGGATCGGGTGCAACCGTCGGCTTGACACACTTGGTCCCGTCCCAGTGTTTGCAGTGATGGGCTGAAGTCGGCTTGGATTCGGTGCCGTGGTCGCCGCTGTCTCCGCCGGACGAGTGGGTAGGCTTGCCGTCACCGGAATCAGTACGAGTACCTGTGGCGGATCCGCTATTTGCCTGGGTAGCCTCGCTATCGTCGCTGTGGTGAGGCGACTGAGTCTCGGAGCCGCCCATGGAGGTACTCGTCTTCGTTTCCGAGGACCAGTCACCTCCAGGAGGCTTGGTCAAGGTGGTCACGGAGCCATCGGGACCTTCGGTGATGACCTCGGTGCAAGTAACAGTCACTTGTTCGCCATAAGACTCTGTAGCGCGGACTGTCTCAGTCACGACCACTGGTGCCTGAGTCATCGTAACAGTTGCAGTGATGATCTGCCTAGTCACGGAGACACTCTGATGGACAGTCTCATAAATGGTCTCAGTCTTGGTGGAAACGCTTGGTGTGCCGTCCGGTACAGGCAAACAGGCGCATGTGTTTGAGACGGGAGGCGTACGGCCTTTCAGGCTGTCAGGGCGAGCTTGAGAGAGTGATGTCCAGGAGAGGACGGCCAGAACCTGCCATTTGACATGGAGAACCATTGTGAATTGTGGTAGAGGACAAGTGAGTGATATAGATAGGCGGAGTGATAGTTATTGAAGAGTTGGGGGTGGAAGCTGCTGACTGCTGGATATCTCTTCAAATCCAAGCTTGAGTGATGCGTGATGATCCTACGAATGGAGATTTTGGTAAACAAAAAACACGGCTTTATATAGATTTCCAACCCGACTGATCTTGCAAGTGTAGGGAGTCAAAGAAGGCTTCGCGATGCTGCCTGTGCCATCACTGAAGGAATGCTATTTCCCTGTATTGCGACCTATTGCTCCACGGGGCACAATATACTCCAGAAAGGGCATGGAACACCGGAGACTTCCCACGTTGCGAAGGTCCATAGGGAGTTAGGTTACATTATCTCGCCCAGTCCAAGGCCCTTGATCCGCTTGGATGTTCAGCAACTAAAAAAAAAAAAAAGAAAAAAAGAAAAAAAAAAACAAGAGGGGAACGGAAGGAATAATGGCAGTGGACTGTTGACATTAGTGATTCTAAGGGGGTCTCTGGGTCAATAGTCTGCAGCATCGACCGTTTCTAGGGATCAGGGAGAAAAGAAGAGGAAAAGGAGCAACACAGGGTCTAATATTGAAGCCCGTGTCCAAAGGGAGACACAGCTTCAACTCTCCCACTAGTAAGATGATTCGGCTGACAAGTGAGAGAACTCGACGCAACAAAGCCAGGACTGCATGATGCGATCATCAGCTGCAGTACTACAGAGATGCCATGAGCGGTGTGCATCGCATCTATGAGCCAACAGGATCGGATGCGTGAACCGATCAAGGGTTGGCGGTGCAAGGTCCAGGTTTCGAACAGAATACCGGGAGAAACTCGACGTGGAGCTCGGCGCTGCCCGTCCCGTCCCGCTATGGAGTGCTATCGGCTTTCAGTATCTTCCGTGCCGATGATGCGACCGCCTTCCGAATTTAGAACGTCACTCCATCGTCGCAAACCTGCTGTTTCTGCCAACGGCATCATAACCACAACACGCGCCATCAACCCAGCCATCCTCGGCATCGACTTATTGCACGAAGCCGGTTTGCTGCGCTTCTTCCACTCTTTTGAGATTTCATTTTCAATATTCTACCATCGCATCAGTGCAGGGGTCACATCACCACCGACGACAGGGCATCGCTTGACCAGGGACCGGCCGACGGATCGATCACAATGGGCATTTGTGCGTCATGCCTCGGGCGGGGGAACAAGGACGTCTATGACGAGGTGGGCGGGCTACTCTTCACCTCGCGCACTGGCAGCATAGCATGCGGTGGCTGACGGAAACTAGGACGAAGAATCACGGCTGCTTTACGACGACCCAAACAACGTGCATTATGGAAGCTTTGGGGAGCAAAGTGTAAATGGACAGGAAGACCCGATGGAGGTGCAACGAGAGACGGAGGCTCTGCAGCGCGTTGTTGCAAAGACGTCCGAGTACGTACCCTGACACTTCTGACCCAAAATCCGGGACCTTGGGCTTGCTCTCATGTGAGAACTAGGAATGCTAACATCGGTCTTCCTAGCAACATGGTCGATATTTTCGAGATTGCCCCGCAGGATCACGCACATCGGCCTGCGCCGACAACCTTTGCGTATGCAGGGCAAGAAGCCCGCATCGTGCGGTACCAACACCTTCTGTCGAAGCTGGCGTCGAAGGACGAAGCCCCAGCTGGTGTCCAAGTGGACTGGCTTCCCCAGGAAGACGACACGATCGAAATGCAACGCGGCGTCCCAGTACTCAAGGTCGAGTCGGACAAACCCCTTGTCGGTACATTTGCAGATGCAGCAGCGGCTATGGTATGACACGCCTTGGTCATGAATCATTTGCCCCTTGGTTTTTCTTGGGTGGGTGGGCTTTTTCTCCCCTCCCCCAAGAATACAACAGCAGCGGCTAAGCCGCTCTCCATTCTTTTGCGACGTGCATTCCTACAAAGATTCGTATTGGTCGACACAAGGTCCGGGTCCCGTCGCATACGGCAACATGGGACAAGTTGGCTTAGAGTGACGACACATTTTCCACTTGCCTCGATACCCCCGCCCAAAACTCAGCACGCAGGAGCAGACTTTCAACCCCCTCCTCCCCCCACATACATACAACACATAATAGTACCTGTACGCACCCATATTCACTTGCCTGTCAGTTTCTCCTTTTCCTTTGTCGAACCCCCCTGTTTGTGGTTGTAAACCCTTGTATGGGCCACCTGGGCAACAATGAGGTTTATGAGAAGAAAGGTGGACACGATGGATCCAAAAGACCACGAAGTAATCAATGAAAAATTACATCCATTCCACTTTGAAGTACCCGCCCATACCGGCACCGCAGCGAGCCAATGAAATGCGCCTCAACTATTCTTCAGCGGCATGCCATGGGTTGTCTAGCCCATTGAAAGATGGCCACGTGCACGTCCGGGTGATGTTTACCTTTCCTAGTGTGGACCCTTTGGCAAGGGATGTCGCATCTTGGCATGGTCATAGCCCAGAAGCGACCACTTTTTAGCTTGGATCTCGGCCGACGCTTGGGGCCTGAGGGCAACGTCGACACCTGGAAAGGAGATAAGAAGCATTTGGAGGCTCATGTTGAAGACACCTGATGCCCGCCATTCAGGGTTGTGCGGGAGTCTGTGCGGTTCCCGTGGCTCATTGGCGGAGACAAGACCAGGAAATGGTACCTTGAAAGTGAGGTGGGATGGACGACATGAAGAGGAGGGGTGGTTGCTGCGGCAAAATGGGGCCGCCTCCGAGTCACCATCCCATGAAGCCCGACACAACCCACCAGCTTCTCGCCGGTCCTTTCTCTACCCGGTCTGGGTCTGAGGTCTCCTCTACGCTAGGCCCTAGTCTCTGCTCCTCCCACGCCTTCCTCCACTTTGCCATTGACACGCTTCTCACTCACTGCCTGCCGGAGTTACAAAGCTGAGGACCGAAGTCGGGGGAGCGACACAAGGGAAGGCTTGGAGCTCATCCAATGCTCATGTCACCCACTACACGGTGGTACACGAGGGCTGATGACGTCCCTTTTGTACAAACTTTACAAGCTTGCCATTGCAGCTCGGGAAGATGAATACAACGCGCGGGGCGAGGACCAGACGACGCGCCGAAGGACTGCCCGTAATTTTGACGTACTTTGCCTGTACAATGAACAGATCGGTCCAATGTCCACCTACTGTAATTCGTCTTTAGCAATCGTATTCTGTCCTCATCTGCCAGGGGAGTCCGCTTTCTGCGACCTGGGTACCTGACAGGCACGTCAAAACCTGCTGGAAGGGCAGCTGTGCAGGGGGGGGGGGAGTGGGAGGACATCTTTTCCGGTTGCCTCAGCCCATGCTCCGAGGCAAGACCGCCTCATCATTTGTTTTGTTCTCTTTTGTCCTTAGTAGTCTTTCCGGTTCTCAATGTTTGAACCGTTCGACTTGCAACTCGATATCTTCGGTGTCGTCCCCTGAATTGGCGACAATGTATACATCAGCGCCAATTCAGGGTAGGGGAGCATGGCAAAGGGTCCAAGAATTACATGGGAGGGCATAAGCTATGCGATAATAATGAGGGGCCCGGCTTTCATGTCCCTGTCGTCGTCTAAGTGGCGGACCTGCCTACCGCGGCCAAAACATCTGAGCGGTCTTTGGTACACGCACACACACACACACACACACAATGTCCGCATACGCACGCAAATTAATCGTACAGCAGAAATGCTTCTTCCGTTGAGTCGAGTGTACAGTAGTTGTGTCCCAACATTTTACCTCTGGAAATTTCAAAAGAGCCGTCCCAAGCCTAATCACGAAAGAAGGCCAAAAGAATAGAATGCTAAGGAGCAACGAATGAACGGCCGTTACGTGGCTCAACTTGGGAAAACCCTCGAGTCCCGCCCAAACTGGTCGTCCGCCTGATTTCTTGTCCCTCCCACCACCCCATAAACGCTCCCGCGCTATTGTTCCTCTTCCTATAGTCGTCTCCTGCATTCCAGGATTCGAGGACCACTGATATAACCAAGTTAGTAAAGGTCTTGCGGGCCCCAAACCATTTTACCCCTTGAGCAGTATTGCCGCCACTCCCACCTCGTCTCTCTCTCTCTCTCTCTCTTACGCACACACGCACAAAAGGAAAAAAGAATACAGCAAACGAGGGGAGCTCAAGTACGGGGAAAATATCGGAAGAAATTGGGGAGTTAAGGAAATATGGCCAGAAAAGAGTTTCGACATACCTATTCAGAACCCCCTCATCCTCGCCACCCTCGAAACAACCACGGACAATCGACGATCGTCAGTTTGCCAGCGTAACCCTGTTCCAATGCGATGTGCTCATTTCGTGGATCTGACGCTCGACTTCCCGCGCTTCGACCGTCGTCCGCTCAATGGTCGCCCTGCGGTTCCCCTCGCGACGCCAGCGCTCAATGTCCCTATTCATCTTGTCGAGCCGGCGATGCTTCTTGTCCATATCGTAGCACAGCTTGCACCTGTCCGGTTCCATGATGGTCTCGAACACAAGCTTTAGACCGCACGTCTCGCCCGTCCGGTATTCCTTGTTGCACTGCTGTTTGAACTGGCCCCATCTCCAATATCCGCAGGCCCAGCGTGTTTGATAGAAGTAACACATGATTATCCTCTTGTTTTTCGTCCTTTTTCTTCCGGTTCGTTGGGTTTTTTTTGGTTTTTCGTTCGGTCCCCCCCCCTTTTTCTACCCTCTCTTGTTCTCTCTCTCTCTTTCTCTCTCTTTCCCTCTCTCGGTGTCGCTCTCTTGGTTGTATGGTTTCTTTTTCGCGGCAACTTTCGTTTTCCTCCCCTTTGCGGGCCGGTCCGTCTGGCTTGGCCTGGAAAATAGGCCGCTCACCAATGCGCAGAGACGTGGTGGGGAACAAATAGAGGAGACTAGGAGAAAGAGAGGAGTAGAAAGCAGCGAAGAAGCGAGAGGAGTAGAAGTGGTTCGTTCGAGGGTATCGGGTATGATATGAAGTCACTGATGCTCAAGTACTGAAACCCCAGATCAGAGGTTTGTTAGCCATCTTTTATTTACGTTTTATCTCCTCTGGTTTTCCCTTTCGTTCAGCTTTACCATGTTGCCTCCCCCTCCCTCCTACTGCCCCCCTACAATATGCAACACCCTGCTGTACACAGTGATGTTTCCTGTCACTCTGTCCAATGATGGCCCCTCCTCTTCAAGGGTAGCTTTTCTGGCTTGGAGGGGGTTTGTTGTTGTCATGGGGGTGAAGATGTGTGGGATGAACAATGTGAGAAGGAGGGGCGTGTGAGGAAAGGAGAACGAACAATGGTTGAAACCGGAAAACTGACCAGCGCAAGAAGAGACCTGCCGTACTAATCCAGGAAAAAATGGCCCGCCGAGCAGCAAGTGGCAGTGGTGCAGACTGACAGTCCGCTCCGGTCGACAGAACAAGTGTTGTTCGCAACTGCGATCGAGAAGTCTCTTTGTTCCTTTTTTTTCCCCTTCCTTTTTTTCCCCCTCCACCGGCGCAAAAGCGGTTGGGCAGCAGTGGTGGTCTCTTCTTGCTGGCCCAGATCGGGGGTGTGGATAACGGGGGTGCGCTTTTCGATGTCGATTCACCGGCCCGGCTCTCAAGGTAAGATGGTATGATTGATTTCCTCGTCTGAGCGGTGGATCGTTCATCTGACGATCGTTGTTTGCCGGTCTTGTGTTGATATCACTGATAATTGTTTCCAGCTCGGCCCTGGCTTTGCGTCTTCGTTCCTTTTCGTCTTCATGTAGCCTCTGAACCATTTTTGCACACGTTCTCCCCTAATTCGTGGGAAACCAACGATGACTTATACTTTGCCGAAACATCAGACTCATTGATTCGGACCCGCACGATGTTGTTGTCACGATATCTCTAAACACGTGCAGACAACACTACATCACACTACACTTTCCAATGCACACACACGCATGAATATGCACTTGCATCAAATCGTATGGTGCAAGCTCGTATGGCTGACTTTTTGGGAATCCGAGACATGGCGGCAAACTTAAGTTGACCGCTAACCTCCGCCAAGAAGCCCCCCACCCCCAACATTGAACAACATGATTTGAGTAATTCAGAAATAATGTGGAAGAGATGTACATTGTTTCTAGGAGCTCTGAGTGGGGGCTCTTGTGATAGATATCATGCAGTGCTTCCTCGGATCTCTACCGTATGATCCATCGATACCTCATCGACGAGTTCGTAATCTTCTCGATGCGGGCATGACAATCTCGGGCCGCATATTTGACATGTTTGACGCTATCCTGTAGTTTGAGGCCAAGGCTGCCAGACATCTGAGGATGACTGCTTGCCACGTTCATTCTGACGTAGAAAACTTCCTTCCAGGGAGCCTTGCTGAGCAATATAATTCTCCACTTCCGAGCGTTGTGGCTTGCTTAAAAATAATATAATAGAAATCGTAAGAGTACTAGGGGCAATACGTTAGATGGTAGCTTTTGGTCTATTCTTATTCAGGAAAGGGAAGAACCATGAAAGTGATCAAGGGTGAGGGGTGTGGGTGGACATAATGAGACGTTGGCAAGAGACACATCCTGTGCCTGTCCAGACCCATGTTGATGGGTGACATGCTCTCCTCTATCCTGGTTATGTGATCGGCTGGCTATCCGTTTTGATATTCTAAGACCGTAAATCCCTGGACTTAACAATGTGTTATGCAGCTTTCATCAGGAACCCGTCTTTGTTCTTTGACTCGACCCTGCTTCCCCTTTCCCAGTTCGTAGCACCTCTATACCTCACTACATCTGTTCCGAATACAGTGACACATGAATGCAAGGCGGACGACATATCTCCGCTTTCCATGAAAATCTCATGTGGGCCGTGAGGCGCAAGCTGCAGAAGACTTGCAGATTCCGCCTCGCAGGGACAACCCTGGAGTTGGCCCTGGGTATATGCAAATGGCGACGGGGCAGCATTTTTAGCCTCCCGCTGGGAAGACAAGGCAGCCTCTCCTTGCCCACGTTGCATGCGGCCGTTGTGGAGCTTCGACGGATTTCACCCCCCCCTCTCCCGTCCGGTGTTGTTTGGTCTGTTAATCGGGCACGCTCGGCAATAATTTCATGCTCAACCTGTGAGAGACAACTGTCATCCATGAGGTTGGAATGTCAGCACTATTTGCCTGCTGCCCCTGAACGGAATTGTCTTGGCGAGGATGGAAGCCGGCACGAACCATGGAGTCCAGGCTGTGTTTGTGCGGCGTTGTTAGTGAGGCCCTTGGTTTCCCCACAATGCTGCATACGAAAGGAGAACACGAAAGATTTATGTCCATGAGAGTCAGAATGACAAGCCATCAGAGCTGACCGAGGGTTCCCCCATAAGTTCACCCCCAGGTCACTGTCTGCAGCTCAGAATGGGACGTCATCGAAGTGGCATGGTTGCAAAGTCGGTATACTTGTTTGACACCTTCCCAATCGTCTCTCCCCCATATTCAGTCTACTTGAGCCTAATCTGGCGTGGGGGGCTGGAGATGGCCCTCCACAAGCGTAGGTTAGGCTTATCACAAGTGTCAAGGAAGAATAGCTGTCTCGCAAGCCGAGGTCCCCTGCAGCCCCTTGAGCAGGAAGATATAGAGGTGAGGCAGGCAATGCCTTTACGTTCTAAAGAGCTACGAGAGCCAGAAGCCCGTTTTCCAAATCGATCGACTTCATCGTTGACGAATAAATGGATGTCTCTGGCATCTATGCTATGCATGGGCCGCTTCCATGGAGGGAGGGGTGTTCCTTTTTTTGTCTTTGCCTTACGAGAGAGGTTTCCGTGCATCTTTAATCCATAGGCTGTAGCGAGCTATGTAGCCTAGTGCACCCCAATTCAACCGTTCAGGGACATGCCAGTTTCGTAGGCCTATCCCCTCACATGTATTCCTCCGCTTACCCTAATACGGATAGTCCGCTGGCTTTGTGACCGAGTCGACACGGGCTACAGTAGACAAAGAAGCCAAGAGAGTCGAGAACGATACTAGTGAAGGCTTTGGGCGTTGGTTCGAGCCCTGGGCATCAAGACGTGGCGACCAGCCGCTGGCCATGGCCAACATCCCGCCTTGCATTGCGTATGGATTACTTTAGAACCCTGAAGGAGGCGCATGTAGCCAAGGCGTAGGCCTGTTCCGATCATTTTCTCAGGAAGGAAGATGGAGGCCCTTTTACATCCACTCCCTGCAGTCCTGAGCTGACTGGCAACGCTTCCGGTTTGTTGTTCAAGGATGTAAGAGTGCAATTAACCTCCGCGTTTTACCCTAAACCTCTTAGTGAACTAAATGTGACTTGTCAAAAGCACCGGGAAATACTCCGTACTGCCTAGCGATAAGCGATTGACCAGATTGTGTTCTCGTCACTTCATTGATTGATAAAGCAAGCTCCCACTGAGATGTCCCGCCGTAACTTCTTCTGGGTGGTACAATGGGTGAAGTCACCAAATGATAGAGCTGGAATCGCTGATCGCGATTGAGCTGGGAACTCAATGATCTGGCATGGCAATTCCAGTCTGACCATGTGGCTTTATCCAGCAGAAACCATATCCTCTCACCGAGATTTCTTGGATAGCTGCTCGGCATCTAAAAGGACACGAACCGTATGTGGGTCAAATAGACTCGCGAACACCTCCCTCGCTGTCCACAGTGCCTATCTAAGGTTGCTCAGGGGTCGTGAGTAGGGAATCCCTTGTTTGGACCGTCGATGCGCTGTCAACTTGGGGGACCGTTTCCGGATAGGCTTGCAGCTGTAGACATCAATGGGCCCAGATTTACCACCCTGCAGGTACTTTGAACGGAAAGTAGCAATTGGAACTGACTGGAAGCGCCACCTTGGTGACTTGGACAACACATTTCCCGGCGGGGTACCTGGACACTTTCCTCGAGAACCATGGCAGGGTGTGAATCAGACCATTGTCGCGGCCCAGCATCATCGTTAGGCAGAGTGATCCGCCGTCGGCTCCAAGGCGGCCGCTGATGAGGTCGCTTCTCAGTCGGCCATGTTCTTCCTCGCGACCTTGAATTGGAGCCGATGAGCAAAGGGGAAGGCACTTTGGTCGTTAGCAATTTGTTAAGCAAGGCTTCATCTAGGAAATGGCAATGACGGAAAACACCAATAGGCCTGAGATGAGGTAGCTCCAGAATCACAATGGCACCACTCGAAAGAATACATGATGCTCTTTAGCAGGCTGGATCGAAGAAGCCTGTAGAATCAAGACCAATGAGCACCCCTGGCTTCCAGAAGGCGTTCGAAAGCCACCCAAATCCTCGGAAACTTTGCAAATCATGGGTTGAAGAAATGATGCGCCTTTCTCTGGAACATGATTGGACCCATTCGGCGAAAATGGCGGAATAAAGACCAATGACGGACAGCAAGACGCACGTCAGCACGCCGTTTTGAGAAGCACAAGATGCTAGGGCCTGAAGATACATACATGCAAGTAGGATGTGTATTTCAGGTGGTGCCGCCAGACTAAGAGGTGCCAGGTACCTTGTCTGACAAAACCATATCGGTGAAGAAACCCGCAGATGGTTTACGGCTTTAGCCACGCTGCCGGCCTTAGTAAAGGTGACCAGGCCTAACGAGATTGGTGCAAGATCGGCTGTCTAGAACGAAAGCGAGGACAGAATAGGCGATTCAGTTACAGAGCGGATTCGATATTGTGAAGGAGTAAAGGTTGGACGTTGGCCAACAAAAGCGGACGTGTTTTGGTTGCAGCCGCAAAGAGGACCAGGAGAGGATTTGATTGGCCAGGCCAGCTTTCGAGGTGTTGGGCGGGAGGAAGGGCCGCATCCACAGCAGAAGTCAAGGCAGATTTGACAACACGCGGTATGCCCTCACCGGGAAGGTGGATGGCCGAGTGCAAAGATGATGACAAGGGCGACAGGGTCAGACGGCTGGTGACAGGATCTGATATCTGTAGCACGTGATAGTTTTCAGGCATGTGTTCTCTACCCGATACCAATGTTGAAATGGCTCGTCATGCCGTGTAACAATGTAGCTGATGTTTTCCCGTGCACTCAAAGCCCCGATTAAGGTAGCGGAAGTTGAACGGGGTGCCGGTCAAGGTGTAGCCTTGACTCTGCAGGGAGCTGCATCGTTTGTGTTGTTTGCTTCACCCATTATTGCGTTCGCATGCCAAGTAGCCTCTCGTAATCGTTGACGATGTGTTACTGTACCCGGCGGATTACACCAATGCTTAGAGTATGTGTAGGGGCGAGGTAATTGGGCAAAAGAGAGGAGTGAATCCATTCCCAGGATGAATCACGGTTCAAGCAGGTGTCAAGCCGGCCAAGCGGTTGACGGCCCATTGGGAGGCCATGCCCACGTCACGGGCGAGGGGTGGAAACTAGGGGTGGTGGAGGCCTACAGTTACTTCGTCGACAGGTGAGATGTCTTGGGAACACTGTATCTTGAGCCGAGTATGAAAGCAGAGTTCTGCTGTTCTTTCTTTCTTTTCTCACTTCTTTTTTTCCCCGTCCATCTCAAATCATGTCGCGTCTGGCATTTCTGACTTGAACGTGGAGACATCGGGACGTTGGAAGGTGCAGAACCACCTGAAAAGCGGGTCGGTCCCCTTTGGGTTCACGTCCATACCACTTCGGGCCCGACCCACTAGGGGCACCCCCATCGAGATCAGGCGTGGAAAGAGGTTGCCAAAAAGGTATAGGTAAGCGCCTCCCTCTGGGAGGAAATGGCACGGCCGAGCGAAGAGCGAAGGCTGATCAGGTTCATCCTGTCATGTAATCGTGGCACCGGCTGGGAGAAGCAAAGCAAGAAGGCGCAGACGAGGCGAACACCTGCCCAACTCCCGTGTGTCCCGTTGTGTGGCAGATATCATATGCCTCAGGCTGCATGCGTTTCGTTTCGTTCCGTTCTGCGGCGATATCGTTTGAACGATGCAGGCCAGCGAGCAAGACTGACGTCCAGTACCCAGACAGACAGACTATCGATTGACAAACACGGGGTGTTAGTGGTAACCCCGGCCTAATGCGCCATTTTCTGGTCTCGATGCCATGTACAAAGTACAACCAGCCAGGCCTCTATTTCCGTGTCGATGAGCTTACGGCCTTATATCGGATGTTGTCGTCTCGTCTCGGGCAAACGGCTCGACGGGCGAGATGGTAATCGCTGTGCAGGGAAACTCTCCCCCCTCCTCCCCTCCTCTCCCCCACTTGACAACCTGGCTTGGGGAAAGGATACGTACCCCTGCCGCTTCTCTTCACAGTGTCGCCCGTGACCGTTGAACTAACTACCTTGGCCAAAACAGCACGACATTCTACCTGATGCTGATTGGTGCGCACTGTGATTCGCCTTCTTCTTTCTCCCCTTGTTCCTGGTCCTTCATGGGCTGTGTGACGCAGCCTGGAACGATGGAGGCGCAAGCTGCTCCTCAGTCCTTACCTCACATCGTCACACCTCTCAGCTCGGATGTCCGGAGCCTGCGATCTTGATCTTGGGAAACAACATCCATCCTCTCAGCCTTTGTTCGACTTGACTCCATCAGACGGCGTTGACAACGTTAACACCACGATACCGAGGCCTTTCCACCTCGAGGTCACCTTATTCCCTCAGTGCTCGGCATCCCTGTCGCCGTCAGTCTCCCTTACGCCCCGCCTAGACTCCAACCTCAACTTAGGCTTCTCGCCGGACTAGCATAAGACGCCTCTTTGTAGCCCCCCTCGTCGTTGTTCAACCACAAGCGCCCTCACATTCTCTGCCGCCCTTCTACAATCGCGATTGGTGTCCGCCATAACCGAACCCACTTCCCCGCCCGTCCCGCCTATACAAAGCGTCTCTCCTGCCGGTCGCCGGTCGGGCCTCAAACGACCTGTCACCACCACCACCTTTACGGCACGCGCCCGCGGACACGTTTACACCTGCAGCACTCTGACCGACTGCTCTATCGTCTTCAGCGCATCTCATCCCCTCTACGCGACGTCTGTTGTCGCCTGGCCTTTGCCGCTTCTCGCGCCTTGTCCTCCCCCCTCCCCCCTCTCTCGCCCGCGTCTCTCATTCTCTCACGCAACCTTGTATTTGGCACCAGGCGGGCAACGGATTAGATCTCGAAGCAACCACCAAAGTTGCGAATAGCGGCTGTGACCCGCTGGGACGACTCCGTGGCCCACGTTCAACCATTCCGGAGGACACTGTCGTGTCGTCGCTGTAGCTGAGCTCCTCGGAGCGGTAGCTCGCTCGCTCGAATTTACACCGTTTTGTCGCTTGTAGGCTACCAAGTCGGCCATAGACGCAACGCGCGACGAGATGGGTCCAGGCAACCGCCTCCCCCCTACCCGCCAACTTACCACAGCCCGCTCGTCATCTCCCGTACCCGCCGGCGATCACAGCCCTGGCCATGCCAATTGCGCGCAGCTCGACTTCACGTACGCCGCGGCCGCTGATGCCCGACCACGTATCCAAGCAGACATAGGAGCCCATGCCGAGCAGCAATTGGGAGGTTCCGAGGTAGCCTCTCCATCCTCGTGCCTGACGCTGGTTCGACCCCAGTATCACACCACGGGAGCCATCTCTGAACTTCCCAACGAGATCATGCTGCACATCCTCGGCTATCTGGATGTCAATGACCTCTTGTCCGCTTCGAGGGTAGGCAATCCAACATCCCAGTGACTTGACAATTCGTCTTTTTCCTGCCTTGGCGCTCCTTTTCAACTTCTCGTGTACCCGATCCCGCCCATGTTTGCTGTCCCATTGAAACCCATTGACCCACCCCGTCGTTCTCGAACTCTGCTGATGGCACAGACCAACCATCGCCTGCGTCACCTGTCTCTCTCACCGATTCTCCATCACTACCGCCTCCGTCACACACGCGCCATCTTGCCGCCATTGCTATCCTCCCCTTCGCGTCCTTCTCTGGCGGAACTCATCGCCCGCTCCATCTTTCTGACCCACACCTCGGTTGTCTCCCGCCGGCTGGCGCGCTCGCTGGTCTCCATCCGACTCTCCCGCCGCCTTGCCACACGGCCATCGGCCGAAGCCCTCGTTGAGCGGGCTGTTCTCCCACCCGAGTGCGTCCCCGGCATGAGCATGGTGCAAGTCGCACCTGCCCTTGTCGCCAAGCGACGGGCCATAGAGAAGGAGAAGGTCAAGGACGGGCTAAGGAAGTGGGTGGAGGGCGTATGGAAGGGTGAGGTGCGTCAGCGAGAGGAGGGCATCAAGAAGTGGGAGGAGACCAAAGGTGTTGGAAGGGTGTGGCGGCTTCGGCGTTTCTGGGAACGAGTCTCGAGGGGAGATGGCATTGGCCTTCGGTAGACTGGGATGCATGTTGAAGTAAAGATACATGTGTGACTATTCTGTGATTTTCGGGGGGCGTTGGGTTAGGACACTGCTACGGGAGCGGCAGTGCCGCAGCGACGTCTTGGGTCAACTGTACATGAAATGTGTAAACGATGACGTGTACCACGATGACAATGATGGCTCGATGATTGGAAGAAAGTTATATCAAGCAGTTAACATCGTATCAATCACGTTTCCCTGTCACTATGTACCTTTGGGTGTCATTCTGGGCCCTTCCATGGTTGACAGGGTAAAGGCAGCACAATCAATTACATGGAATATACCTAATTAAGGAATGAAAGACATATTTATTAATCTTAGGGTATTCTGAAGCTGCTGCGATAACAACCACCGTCCAAGTCTCAGTCTGCGCAATCCTCACGTCGTTGACTGCAAAGCCCTTCGGACTACGCCTTTTCTGCTAGTCTACGGGAGTTTGGCGGAAGATAGGCGACCGGCTGCGCAGGCAAGTTCGATACTCGCAAAGATCATGATAATCCCAAGAACCATGATCATGAGGAGCATAACTAACGAAACCCAGGATATTCGACGGGTTCTCTTGAGATATAACTCTCCAGACTCGTGGTTGGGCTCGTGCTCGAACTTTGGCTCCTAGAGAGAAGAGAGAGAGGGGTTAGCCATTGTCATACGAGTGATGTTCACGAAAGGGCGGCAGGATCAGTCGCTTACAGGAGTCAAGGGCTTTGGAGGCGTCACTTTTCTGCGATCGCACTCAGGGCAGCCCGTACTGCCAGGCGCGAGGCTGTGTGGAGAACCGAGGCACTAGGCGGGGTCAATTCATGGCACATGTCTCGCAAATACCTGCTTGGGGTAAGGGGGGGCTTTAGTTTAAGACATACCTCATTGCAGTACACATGGCCACAGCCGAGAGGTTGGCAGAACGATGCTCGGCAGTTTCTGCATTGGTGGGCAGGTGTCGGTGTGCCGGGGGACTGCGGAGTCGACGTCGGCGTCCTTGGCCCAGCGGCAGCGGGGGTGTCGCTGGCTTCGTCTGGGGCAGTCATTTTCTGGACGAATAGTGGCCGGTTCGGTGTTAAAACCCAAGAGGCGAGGCTTTCTCGTGTCTTTGAAAGACGTCGAATCCGGTTCGTCCAAGAAGAGTCCGGGTTATGCAAGGAAGGAGAGGTGATGCAGTATATTTGCGGAGACGATGCCGACGGGAAGATACCGTTCAGTGACAGTTGCCAATGGCTGTTTGGGGAACGAGGAAGATGAAGATGATGTGTCGTTGAGGTTTGGGCTGACGACGGGGGGGGGAGCTGTGTTGACTGTTGGCGTGCCAAAGCTAGAAGCGGGAAAGCAGGACGCCATGATGTATCGTGACTTCCGTATCTGTGTAGCGTGATAATGATCGGACCAAATGGCAAGTACAAACGTCTGTCCTGAAATGGTTGTGACGGGCAGAAGTTGGAAAGAGCTGTCTCCAGAAGGGAGCCACTAAGCAACTGCCGGGAGGATACTTCTGAAATCCTAAGCGGGCCACTACCTACAAAACAAGAGTTTACTCATTCTAAAAAGACGAGAAGGACTTTGGAGGCAGTGATTGGCGCGTAAAAAAATCATCATGGTGAAGTATACTGACGGTGTGTATCGAGGCGACCGTTTTGAAGTCGTACTACCGACACTCGACGGCCACATTTGCATTGCCCCCCTCAGAACTCTTTGGAGTGGCTTCGCATACCATTTTCAATTGTATGAGTGCTCTGAAACGAGCGAGTACTGGCGGGTCATTTGGGTATGTTGCGAAATGACTTGATGTGCAAAAGGTGTCGCTCTCACCGTGTTGTCACGGCATCAGATATTCTTTTAGGTGAGCAGAGAAACTGCATGTGATTAGGATTGAAGTCTGTTCGAATGGTAAGAGGCCTCCTTGATTGAGATGCAAAACTCAGCATCGTATGCCTGTAGGGGGCAAGGTGGGCGCAATTTGTCGGGAGAACAGGCAATAGATGAAGATGAATGGCCCTCCGAAAGGCTAGCTAGTGAACTTATGCCTCCATTGAAACTGACTGTAGTGAAGTTGAGGAGCCGGGTATGGAAGTTATGGTTGTAGATGCCAGCCGTATCGACGAGTAAGCAGATGAGGTCTTGACCGAAAGAGTTAGGTATTTAACGACGACAGTACACTGGATGCAGTCCTTGTTATATTGGCAGATAAGGAGGTATTCCCAGTAGACTGATAGCAGGGAAACGCTAGATTGGTTCTAATTTCGCCGTTACTAATGGAATGGGAGATAAAGACGACGTGGATAATGAGGACTACGAAGTCGATAAACGCAACGGCGACAGTGAAGATCAAGTGCCGACGATGAGGATGAGGGAGAGGATCAAGGTACGGCTGTAGCTGTAGTCAGGGGATAAGGCAATCGGTGTATGCCGCCCCACGAGAGGTGGTCTGTATTAACAGTACACTACACGTAGCGAGAGCTTTCGGCATCAGGGGCTACGTAGGTGGGGTCTATCAAGAGAGTTGGGCAGAGGCGCCCGTCCTTCATTATATGCTATTACAGAAACCCTAACAAGCTGCCAAGCCTATGTTGCCTGAATGATATCCCATGGATATCGCTTTGCTCTCAAAGGCCAGACACTAAACGTGCAGCAGCCAAGATCTAGGTAGAACGATTGGGGAGCCGTATTGACGGTCATCACCTACGAGAATAAGACTTTGGGTCGTAAGAGAGGCAGTCATCAAGTAACGAAGGACTCCAGAGGGGAGGGGCTTAGGGAGGCGTAGCTGATACCCTGCACGGATTCAAGTCAACGGCCGAGGGAACAGGCTCCAAACTCTTCGATAGCATGGTTCGATCACACATATCAAAAACCGTCCAAGCTAGACCTTCTGAGTACAAAGCAGGATCACATCCCCTCAGAGTCCCTATGAACTTCGGCTCATTCTTGGAGTGAAATTTCGGAACCAATTTTAGGGTTTCCTGGAAGAATCTAGTCCACAAGCCAGCTCGCCACAAGCCAAACCCACTTGGCTCGTGATCATTTTCTGGTGGAGGCTCACACGTGCTCAGAAGCTACCTAGTATGCATATAGTCAGACCATTTGAAGAAGAAGAAGGAGTAGAAGAAGAAAAATGACGCTGGGAGTTGTTGTCAGGTGTTGAAGGTCATGAACTGATGGCTTTCGGTTTGGAAACGGGGGGGGGTTGCACCACGTAGACTGGACCTCCGGACAACTTGAACAGGCGGGCCAATTTCAAGGGGAGCCACCCTCCCCTGCTTCCATTGTATCGTTAATTACAGATCTTGAAGCCAAGTGCCGAGGGATCCAGGGCCGGACCGCTTGGCCCAGGACCAGTGTACGGATATAGGTACGGATATGTTGCGGTCGGACGCGCATAAAGCTTCCACTGCTCACTTAACTAGGGCATGGCGGAGAATAATCTCCGTCATAGGACTATAATATTATGAAGTCTAAACCCCAAATACGTTGAAACCAATATTCACACAGTCTATAGAGCATTCGAGAAGCCTAGCAGGTCCGATGTCGCGCGGTCAACGCAAATACCAAGGTACACTATATTAACCATGTACATCCATAGATACACAATAATAGTACCATGCTCTACTCAACACAATATAGAGTTTCTTAAAGAATAAAAGGCCAGAAACATGGACTCTCGTGACTAAAACCCTCTATTTAAGGCAGCGATTTCTTAGATGACTCTTCTAGTTGCTATATCTCGTGCTGGTGTGACTGTTGTGCCATCTGTTCTACACCTCAACACATCACAAACACTAAGGTATACTATAAGCCAGCCCCTCTCGAGGTCGCACAGGTCGAGAAGGACAACGCAGACATAGCCTTCCCAGACATAACAACTGTCGACCTGTATTCACCTCTGCTTGAATTTACGCCAGGTTACCAAATGCCTCTTCGCAGGCTACGTAAAGAGAGTTCTCTTACCCCTTACCATTTCGACGCTATCCATAAGGTTCTCACCTTCGCAGGATCTCGCTATGAAGTAGGCGGGGGGTGGTGATATACGACTGGGATATAACCCGGCTGGTAGCCCGCTAGTTGAAGCTGAGTCTCTGTTGAGGACGAGGTCATACCTATGGTAGGCATTGACCGCGCAGCATTCTGTACCCAGCCGTACGGTATCGGTGGTATCTCGAGATCACGTACGAGAATCCCATTGCCGTAGGCGACTGTGTTGGCACCTGTCGTTGAGGTGCGCATCTCGTCTTCTCGGGTCATGGCCTCGGCGAGTCGACCCCGCGAAGAAGCCGTGGAGGGAAGGGACACATCCTGAGCTAACAGCTTCTCATCCTGGGCCCTCCGCTGTGACCACTTGCGAAGACGCACCAATTGATTTTCTGCCTGGTACACACATAGTGTCAGCTCGACCCACACACCTGGCAGATCCCATATTGTCTGTTCATCAAGCACGTACTGCAATAGCAACAGGAACAATGAGAAGGCCGTTTCTGCTCACGTCAAGGCTAATCTCGACCCGACAAGTCGGGCATTGAGCGTAGATCTTGCCGCACATGGCGTTCAGCACTCCCATCTCTCTAAACTGCGTGCGGATGCACTGCACACTCATCAGTCAACCGTGCGCTCTCCATCTTCCTCCTGAGAACGCTTACCTGTGTACAATGACTGTGCCCGCAGTGCGTAACGTGCATGCTACACAACGGTTCGTAGCAGATATTACATGTGCTCTCCTGCACCATGTCGTCCAATATCTTCCGGGCGTGGTAGAGTTCCTGGGCCTGGGCCTGGGCCCTGCTCTCATCGTCGGTAAGAGCCTTTGATCTACCACTGGCCCTGTTGAGCAGTTCATAATCTGCCACTGGCGACATAGTCTTGGATTTGACACGTTGTCGCGGTTGGTTTAGGGGATAGAGGGTTGGTTGGTCTGGTTAAGGGGCGCACGGAAGTGCAGATATCTCAGTGGGTGTTGAAAGCGGCGGATGTTAAGAAAGACTTGTGAAAGGAAAACGTGGATGATTTTTGTTTGCGTTATCATGGAAGAAAGCAGGCCTTGGCAAGTTGATGGAAGAAATATATAAGAATCGTTCAACTGTCGGAGATTGGTTGACGGTGATGCGCGAATTGTATGAACAATGACCATGGCGGTAGTTAGAGTTCGTGACTCTCAAGGTCAGGACACAAATGGTGTTAGACAAAAAAAGGGCAGCTGGTGGACACATAAAGTTGCATGTCTGTAATTGTCAATGGAAGAAGAAAAACAAAAAACAAGAAAGCCAAGGCTACCCGAGAGGCCTTGCGATGCCATGCTATGCGACTAATGCTGAACCCCGGAACGCCATCACCAAATCCTTTTTGCAATCATTTCGTACCGCTGAACTCCGTGGTAGTCCCCGTCTTGCGGCTTTTCCCCCTTCGGGGCCCGTCCCTTGCCGCCCTTTAAGCCCTCCTTTTCATCTGCGTGAATCCACCTGCGCCGGTCGTCGGTGACCTCGATCTGGCCATAGCCGCCGACTCTCTTGCCCGTGGCATCGTAAATATCGCGTTCCTCTTGGCCGGTCGCAACCATGTGCTCCTTACGCTTCATCCTGGCGTACCTATTTCGCGAATACCGCAGCAGAACCATGCCGAGTAGCAGCTTGATGATGAGCAGGACCAGAAAGGCGATGAAGAAGACAACGATCATGGTCACCGCCGCAATTACATCGTCGCTGGTCCAGGTCCACCACGCTCTGCTCTGGACGCTAGGCTCGCCATACGGGTAGCCATACACGGCCCGGCCCAAGGCGTCCCGCAACAAAGTATCCAGGCGATCGAGCGCTGCAACCATCACCGGTGATGATGGGGTTGCGGACTCGACAGACAGGGATGTCTGGGTAGACTCCGGGATCGGAGTGGGAATCCGCGTCGACAAAAACATGTGGTAGGTTTGGACCGAAGCTCGGATGAACAAGCAGGACAACGGGATGACGGCCAGACCAAGCCTGCGCGTTAATGAGGGCGAAACAAAGGCCTGCATCCATTAGCCTAAAGGAAAAGTTTCTCACTAGGCAGGGACTTACGTTGGTATAGTAGTCCTTGCACAAGATATCTAGAATACGGCTGTAGAAAGTCGGTTTGATGTTGTTGAATTTGTTCACGTAAGCATGCTTGATCGTATCAACCAGCATCTCACTGCCGATCACGATGAGAAATGGGGAGAGGACCTCGCCTGACCAGACCCATGATGGGAGGATCGTGAAGCTGAACGGCAGGATTGATGGACTGTGAAGAGGCATGGCCCCTGAGCCTCCCAGATCACTGTTCTCAGACCCGGCCCCAGGTACAGAAAGTCCGCCCACCTCCACAATGTTGCGCATGCCAATGATGAAAAGCATGATCCAAAGTTGGAAGCGCTCGACAATGTCCGCACACGTTAGCTGGAACAGGTTGTCCTTCTCAAATCGCTTGAAGACTGTGCTCTTGATCTCAACAAATTGGTTGGAGATCATGAGAGTCAGAAGGGCATTGGAATAGGAGTTGACAGCGACGTTGAGGGTGATGACTTGGTAATACAACGCGACGGAATGGATAACGTTGTAAATGAGGGCAAGAATAAACATGCCCAGAGGTAGCAGTACCTTGGAACGGCCAGAGCTGTTCCTAGATAGAGTCTCGGAGCTGAAGAGGCACTCGAAGATGTCTTGCCCAAGAGCCGACAAGAGACGGTCACCAACCTGGGGCACTGAGTCAGCGGTATATCCTCACCAAGCCCGGCAATGGTTCGCCTACCTCGAGGACGTTATAGATGACATAAAGTTTGATGCCATCCTGAGCGCGGATGAAGTGGTACATGCGGCTGGCGTCAAGTTTCATCAGGAACAAGGAGCTGAAGAGGATAACAGCACCCTGCAGCAGGTCCGCCTTGTGGAAAGAAGACAGGTTGGACGGTATCGACTTGGTCCTACGGTGCCGATGCATCCTGTAACTATAGCCATGCGAGGGATGGTGGCCAGCGACTCCATTCATCTTATGAGTGATGTGCCCATTACCGTTTAGCCTGACCTCCTGTTCGACAACCCTACTGCCGCTCACCTTGGAATCGGAGTCGGGACGAATGGTCGGGGTGCCGCCGGGCGGCGATCTGATGTCCGGTGTGGGAATGGACAGTTTCCGCTCGGCCGGTCTGCTTTGACTCCTGTCGCGACTGGCATGGGAATCGGTGTCTTCCTGCTGTACAGAAGAGGCAGTCTTCGCTCTCGGTCGGCGAGCCCTGGCCCAGAGCCTGCCTATCCCGTACCAAACAAAGCCAATCATCCACTGCGCCTCCTTCACCGCCATGTACCCCCACCATTTGAACAGGACTCCAAGGGCGATGCAGAATCGCATTGGTAGAATGGTGAAGTTGTATAGCCAGGCATCGAGACAGGCCAGCGCGCCGAAGTAGAGGGTCCTCTCAAGGAAGGACGGGAGCAAGAGAACATTCTTCAGCCTCTCCCACTTGACAACGTAAGACTCGTATGGAATATCGTTCGTATGCGAATGATGTATGTACAGGGGACTCGGTCGTTGGGCGGCCAGTTCTAGCTGGAGATGGGTTGGTATAGACATGGGCGGGAGGGGTATCGACGGAGGGAGAGGTGAGGGTGGGATGGGTTCATTTCTGTGCGACTTGGCCGGCGGCGGTACGTGGACCTGGGGCGGTATGGTCTGGATCGGCGGCTGGAGGTTGACGGCGTTGATATGGCTCGTTCCATCGAGATTGAGTGGCGGTGGCCGAGCAACGGTGTAGAAGGAATTCCGGCGGGGCGAGGTAGTCTGCGACTGCGACTGCCGGCGGGTTGTTGGGGGTGTCGAGAGGGTTCTGCCGGAAACAGGTCTCCGAGGCTCATCCCTATACCGGGCTCTGTTCCCACCGTCCGTCACGGAACCGTTGGGTCGCAGGGAGGCCGGTTGGCTGAGGATCGACTGCCGAATCTCTTGGAGCTGGTCTGTGATGGGCGGACGCGGTCGCTGTTCTTGTTCGCCAGAGGCCTGTTCGGGAACAATGGCCACAGGGAGAGCCTCGGGAGCGGTGAGCTGCTGCATCCCTGCGACAGATAGCCTCCTAATGTTATCATGGCTCTGGTTTTTCTTCACGGATGCGGAATTCGATCCGGACCGAACCCTCATCTTTGATGTCACGTCCTCCTTGTGCGCGGCCTCGTGCTTCTCGGGGTCGGTGACAGCCCCGGAAGTGAATGACGAATTGGAGGAATCCTGTTTTTCGGGCTTGCTGTGAGTTGAGGAGGCATCGGAAGACTGGTCTTCGTCGGAGTGACCGCCGGGTATGGTAGGGAGAGTGGAAGTAGGGGGCGCGCTCGCGGAGACACTGGGTCGCGGAGGGAGAGGAATGTGCGACAGTTTGATGTCGGGTTTGGAGACATCTAGACCAGCATCGCCGCACGTCGTGCCGCCGTCGAGAATGAATGTCGTCGGTAAGGGTGGGAATGCCTCGACCGGCTCGTGAGGCATGGCAGCCGGATTTTCAGAAGCTCCATGATTGTCGTCGGCCCCTCGGTCTTTGCGGTGTTCGCTCTCCGCCATTCGCAAGCCCTTTCACTGTCTTTGCTGGAGAAGATATATCGGCGCCATCCGCAACGTAGGTTCGATCGATGTAGGCGCAGAGGGGGCCGTCGGGGCACACACGCACACACACACACGAACAGAACGAAAGAGAAATAGAACGGGCGGCGGATGCTTCGGTCGAGTTGGACTGCGATGTTTCTTGTCGCGCGGTCCAATTAATCAAGCTTGCATTGCAGTCTGCAGTTCTTCAGGTACAGAGGTCGCTTGGCGAGCGACTGATCATCAGGAACAATTTGGATTGGTGGCTGGATAGGGAAACCTGGCAGCTGTACGGATACAGCGTGGCAAAAGGGCCAAATGGGAACGACGGTAGGGACGCTATCTTGGGCGTGGCTGGGGGGGTCGAACAGCGTGGGAAAGTGACGTATTGGACCGGGCCGTGCGCTGACTGCCGACTCGTGACTGGAAATGCCCGCCGCGGTCGTCAGAGTGAGTGCCTGCTTCTCCAAGCCCGGAAGGAACCCCTGAACCTGTACCTACCTACTTACCTACTAGGTGAGAGCAACCGAGACATTCATTGTTGGACAGCCGAACAATAGAAATGCACAGAAGCTACCTAGGTACACACTTGCCTCAAGTAGTTCCCTATCTACCTAGGTGGGCAGGTAAGGTATAGCGGTTAGGGTCCTGAGGAGTTGAGGGACTAAGCAGCAACACTCGGCTAGAAAGGCAACATTCATTCAGTCTGGTCGAGGGAGGAAACCACGCTTGCCGGACGGGAGCCTGTCACCTGTGTCCATGTATTTGTGTATTTAGTTGTCCTTGGTGTTGCAGGAGCATAGCATACCCGTCTTTTCACACACGTCTCTGGGCCACATGCCCCTGTCGATGATTTGTTGCAGTCCACGGGATTGCGGGATTGCGGAATTGCAATTCTTAGCATGGTTGCCTGGGTTGATCTGCCGGATGAAACGCGGCATCGTAATCCTATCCTCGTCATGGTTTTCCACTTTACAGACCATCACAAAGGTCAGGTTGCTCACAAGCCCTAGCACTTGTACGCGTGCGTGCTAGCCGGTCCGCCCTATCTCCGTTATCGCAACGCCGGATCGGAACCGAGTCGCTCGCTGAAGGATGCGGTAATTCCGACGAGGGACGGAAGCGAGCTCGGGGAAGTGGGGGTCTGTGAGCCTCCACACTAGGTACGCGTTTTGCCTTACCTTGCCCGAGCACCTTTCTAGAAACCTAGGGAGGTAGATACCTACATACCTAACCCCCCGAGAGTCTGCGCTTTCGCCGGGGGGTGCCATCTTGTTTCATCAGGTGGGGACATACCTAACAGAGCGTTCGGGTTAGTTACTTTCCAGTCTACCTAGTTGCTATCATCCAAGCTCATCGGACCGAGAGGATTTGGCAACCGATACTACCGCATATGTCTGTCCTCACACTCACCATTACCTACCTACCTACCTACCTACCTACCCGCCTAACCTTGGGTCGGCGGGTAGCTAGCTATCTACTGGCAGTGATCGAGTCCCGTTGCTGAAAAGGGGGATGCAGTTCGCCATTGGGGAATCCCCATCCGCTTGGTAATGCCTCACGTCAACGACGCAATGACCCCGCCACTCTTGGTCTGCGGGCCCCTCCACCATCCATGACGCCCCTCCCAAACCATTTCTTCAAGCTTCAGTCATGAGCCGGGCTCTCTAGTGTATAAGCTTGCTCGGCCCCCCGCTGCTTCCCTCCCTTCCTTGCACCAAATCTCCCCAATTCTCCCATACAGCTTTCTCTTGATTCTTGTTGATTCCCATATACACCAATTCCAACACAATAAACCGCCTGCACAAGCATTCACGATGGCCTCCAACCCTCCTGGACAATGCTGCCTCGTTGGCGTCAAGCACGAGTAAGAAGAACCCAGACTACCCCCCGCTGACCGACCCCTCCCCCCACTTTCCAGAAAGCTTGGTTCCTGCGGAAGCGTGAACCGTCCAAACCACCATCATAACTCGCACCTCTTCAAGCCCATCAGCCATATTGACCATGTTTCCAACACAGGGGCACCCCTCAGGGCAAGAAGATCACAGTCGCGGGCAAGTATGAGGGCTACCTCGCTGAGGCTCCCGCCGACAAGGCCCACAAGAGCACCGGCATCCTCTATATCGCCGACGTCTTTGGAATCTGGACCAACTCTCAGCTCCAGGCCGACCAGTTCGCCGCCAACGGTTACACCACCCTGATCGTCGACCTCTTCAACAAGGACCAGCTCAGCATGCCGCTCCTCGAGGGCTTGGACATCGGCAAGTGGATCGCCGAGGGTAGCGATGGCAAGAACCCGCACACCAAGGAGGCCGTCGACCCCATAATTGTCGACTCCATCAAGTACATGCATAACGAGCTCGGCCTGACCAACATCGGCGCCGTCGGTTACTGCTTCGGCGCCAAGTTCGTCGTTCGCCATTTCAAGGACGGCATTAAGGTCGGCTACCTCGCTCACCCCAGCTTCGTCGAGGAGGAGGAGCTCGCCGCCATCACCGGTCCCCTCTCGATCGCTGCTGCCGAGACCGACTCCATCTTCCCCACCGAGAAGCGCCACAAGTCCGAAGAGATCCTGCAGAAGACGGGCCTTCCCTACCAGATCAACCTCTACTCTGGCGTCGAGCACGGCTTCGCCGTCCGCTGCGACCTGAGCAAGAAGGTGCAGAAGTACGCCAAGGAGAACGCTTTTCTCCAGGCCGTCACTTGGTTTAACGAGCACCTCTTGTGAGTGGATGACGGACGCGGGGGAGACTCAAACTTGTCAATGGACGATGCGTATATAAGGCGCCCCTGAGGACGGCGCTTCGAGATATTTTCCTTTTGAAACAAGCCAACTGATGAAGATTAATGCGAGATGCTTCCTCTGTCAATTCTACGATGCCGCCAGTCCCTATACGTGTCGTTAGCCTCAAAAGCTATGTTTACGAACGCTCTTGATGGAGTCTGGAGACCTTTCCGCCAGTATGAACCCTAGCATCACGACGCGGGCGATGCTGAAGGCAACGTAGCCTCGAAGACCAGCGCCGAAGTCCGGCATGTCTCGCACGAGGGGTATTCCGTGCTTTGTAGGGCGTTCCTTCGGACCGACGCAGCCGTGAAAGGTAGCTTGTGAGCATTCGTCAATCTCAATGCTAGCTCGACGTGATCAACACCTCAAGACAAGAAATTGAGACGCGAATTGCGTTCGGGAGTGCGGCTTGCACTCGCCTTAGCTCCACTCAAAATTGGGCAGGGCCGCCCAGTCGTTCAAGTTATCCGGCGCGCCGCCGGCGTGCATCAGACCGTTGGTATTCGTGACACGGCCGAGTGCCTGGTTCTTGCAGCTGCTTCTTGCATTCTGGTTGATCAAGAGGGAGATAAGCGGTATCCTGCCATCATACAGAACCAACTCCAAATGGCTGCCGGGCTAGCATGATAATGGTTACTCTTGGACAACAAGTATATGCGATGGAAGTCGCAATTAAATGGACGGTTGGCTGGTGTTTTGATTCTAGTGTTGCTGAGCTAGTAAGAAGGGTCTTTGTCTGTAACTGACGTCGAGCAAAATGCCAAATCAAAAGGGTGCCATTTTTTAAAGGCAAGTAATTGTGCCTGATGGGCAGTTCTCGCTTTCCCTCCAATGCCAAGCCAACAGCGGCGTCTGATGTGTTTACTTGTGGGGGAGCGGTATTGAATGAGGTGGTTATTTGGCCTTGGGTCCAGTCGCTAGAGGGGAGAGAGAGGCTTAGGTGGGAAGTGTGGGGAGCGGAGCGGGTTCGGATGGAAGCTTGTCATCTGGCTGCTGCTGAGCTTGCCATTTGACAGGTGGGAAACGTGGGAAAACAAGCTCTGGCGTTGGCTTGTCGACAAACCATGCCGTGTCTTCCGCGCTATTTGCACCGCCCAACTGCATCCCATCGCATCTCGTCGGCCGACCTATAGTTCGAGTGACGGCCCGCTCCTAGGTCGTGCCTTCTTCCTTCCCGAAGAACGCAGCACAGCACAGCACAGCACAGCACAGCCGCCTGGGAGAAGAGGAAAAGAAAAACCAAAAAACCGGGGTGATTTGGACGTCAATTGGTTCCCATATCCTTCTCTCAATCACGACACGTCAACATGCCTCGCGTTGCACATACATATACTCCCTACAGCATGCATGGCGACTGCATCGCCATCATCGCCATCATCGCCATCATCGTCCACCGCGCCCCCTCTAGCAATACATCTCCGTTCAACCAGCAATGGCGGAGCCACCCCCTGCCCTCAAAATCCCGCTGCCTGTTGTACCTAGGTACGGAGTACGTTACACCAGAATAGCCCCGTATGGTCGATGAACTAGCGACCGATAGGGCTACTGAGCAAGACAAGGGGCCATGCAGACGCAGGGGTTGACGATGGGGTAGGCTTAGTTAGTAGTAGGTAGACCACCAAAGAATACCTCACCTAGCTGGAGGAAAAATGGGAGGATGGCTGGGTGCCCAAGACGCCTGGAAAGTCACTGACAGGGTAACCGGAGTCTCACATCATCCCCTTCTCGCGTACGATTCTCAGGCTGTGCCGTCGTTGTACGCTAGCCTAACATGCAGAGCCTCGTCCATCTATGCCCCTCTCTCTCTCTTCCTGTCTTTTTTCTTTTTCCCCTTTTCTCTTCCATCCTTGTCTCTTCGCTTTTCGGCACACGTCAGGCCTGCTTGTGTGTCTCTGGGGCCTTTCCAGCTGGGCCTCCTGATCTTCCAGGAAGCTGGAGTGCTGGAGTACATCATATTCCTCATGGCTACTTCTCCGACCTTGGCCGTATCCGCCCGCCATTCTCGACCTGTACTCTCTTGATCTGGTTTCCGTCGACTCTGTCTACCCACCACCTTTGAAAGCTGCCTGCAAGCAACCCGACAAAAGACGGAGGTGCCAGAACACCTAGTCGCCCACCAGCTTCATATACCAAGGACGAGACGCGGCACAACAACGTGAGAGCAGTACTTTGAGCACAATTCCTGACCGCGGAGCGCGGCTATGGACGGCATGGACGAAGGCCAATTCAACCGTACGCTCCAGGTCATCAACAGCAACATCAACGACGATGACAAGGAATTGTTCGTTGCCGTTGCTGCTCTGGTCATATCCATTGTTGCCCTCGTCGCAGCTCTTCTCCAGGTCGCCCAGCAATACTATGCATCCGCCGCCGGCTACTCTAGCTGCGGGAGCAAAGTCATAGGGAAATGGTCCGAGTCCAAGAAGCGACGCCTCAAGTTCACCGAGTTCCGATTCGAGGTGCAGTTCGAGACCCCCGTCATCTTCCTGTGCCCCCCGACAAACACGAAAGGCCCTGTCAAGGGCCAGGAAATCATCTTTATTGATGGGTCAGATCATAGTCTGCGGGAAAGTCGGTCTGAAATCCCGGAGAAAAGTTCAAGGGAAAAGAATGAATACGATGAGAAATTGGTCAAGCAGTCTGTGCACACGGCCGACAATGAGCGGGCTTCATGGGTAACGCTTCTCTCTGCTCTACAAAAGATGGAACGTGACTCCAGAGAATGGCAGAAGGGGCAGTACAAGAACAAGATCTTCAAGAGTCCGCCCAAAGGGTTTGCCCCGGCCGAGAAACCAGAGGATATTGATGCCACGCTCAGGGACGTCAGTAACAACTATACTCTGACAATCGCCATCCAGAGGAAACTCAGAAGCTGGGATACGATGCCAGCAAATGTCAAGAAGCCCTATGCCACCACCACATGGTGCCATATTATCGAGATGCTGGCTATGCTTGGCGTATACTGGGTTGAATTCAACAGGGCCAATGACAGGTACCGCGCTGAAGGCAACGGCTACACAGTAACGGGAGAGAAGGTCAGCGACCTCGGCATCATGTTCACCTTTCAGGTACACGGGCGCAGCCGCTTTGAGGGCAACCGTGTCATACCCGTCGACGAGACTAAGGAACTCTGCTTCGGCTTCGTTCCGACCATTTACCGGTCAGCCTTGGACGGTCGGCGGCTGCAGTTCCCCAACGACGAACCTAGAGACCTGTCTGTTCTGAACTTCTCCAGCAACCGCGAGATTGCGGAAACGTTGGTCCTTATCGGCTGTAACACAAATACAGTGAACTATTTTGCTGATAATTCAACTGCGCGAACCGGGCATCTGTTTCCTGGTAAGCACAGATCCTCCGACACCTGACAGTTCTTTCATCTAACAGTGTCCCTCCACAGTTGCTTTCGAAATAATAGGAATGCTGGCTCGCACGCTTCACATCGAGAAGAGCGCGTTTCGTCTGCTACCAAACCCCACCCACTATCGATGGGATACGAAGAACTTCTCTCTGACCCGCCTCCTTGAGGCGTACGCCATGCAGATGAACAAACTGAAGACAGACCCTCAATATGCCGCCAGCAACGTCGGCATGCTTATTCGGAGAAATATTCGGAAAATACAAGAGCACATGACGACCTCGGAACAGAGTGGCTGGCCTACCTTGCCTCTCATGGACGCGTTGCATTCGGCGCTCGATGACATGGACGTGATCCTGACGGCGACGCCTAGGGAATCTCGGCCAGCCGCAATCACCCGTAATTATACCACGACATCTGGCTTGCAGAATCCCCAAAGCAAATCGGCCCAGCCGTCTGAGGCCTCCGACGTCATGCCACAAGAAAACACTCGTCAAGAAATGGTCAAGGATGTGCTGCGAAGTCACATCCAGGAGGTTCTTGCTGGTTTTAACGAAAAGACGGAAAAGGCGACGGCGCTGAACCCCCCCAGCGGCAACCAGCCCCTGGAGGACAAGGCGAAACCTCTCCGCTTTGAGGACATCGACGCTGCGGCCCCTGAGCTCAAGCAATACAAGCTCATGGAGGTGTACTTTCGTGTGGTCCGGAGCAAGGTCATTGCAGAGTCCAAAGAGTCGAAGGACATGCGAGCATCAATCTCCCCCACGGCGCCGACTGTGGAGTTTGGTGGGTTGAAGCAGAGGGACCAGACGAACCTCAGCACGTGGACGGCGGACACGGTCGACGACGAGGAACAGACCGTCTTGCCAGATTTGAAAGACGAGGAGATCAAGTACGGGGATATCTGGTGCACCCTAGTTTTTCGGATGATCTGTTGGCTCATGCTGCATGACTTTCATAAGAAGGACGTTCAGGTTTCCAAGAGCGAGCTTTTGGGCAGCCGTTTACCGGTCTACATCGCATAAGTTAAGCGAAGAGCAGGTGGGCGGTCACCAACCATCTGCCGTCATTTCTACGCATTTACAGGCTTGTCGGATAGAAAACTGCATCTGTTGGCGGACATCGGCTTGCGGATATTCATTTTTTCTTCTCTCTTTTCTTTTTCATCTTGGAGTTTACAAGTGAGCGAGCGGGTTACTACGACCATATATAGAGGTTTACTATGACGACGGACTTCCAGATACTTATGAATGACGATTTTTGGCATTTTCACGATGACGCTTGATGGAATGGCTTCACCTAGACATCTCAAATGGCCAAAATGGTTATTTGAACGTTCGACGACGGGAGCCATGCCCGCTGGCCAGACAAGTCCCGGAGACGCAAGCCGGTGAGGTTCAGGAACGGGTTCGGAGCCCATTATGGCCAACCGGCGGGGCCGTCAATGTTAGCTAGGTCCGACTCCCAGTAGTTAAGGTAGTTGGGTAGGTAGACGGACATGCAGGCGGCGGGTGCTGAGCTGCAAAGTGGTTGCAGCCTTTCACATTCCTTTGGCTCGGCGTGCTCCGGCGAAGCGGGGGGTGGGGGATAATAGAAAAGGCGCTACGCCGTATCGGTGCGGGCAGCGGCAAACGGACCCATGGGAAGGAAGAAGAAAGGGAGCGGCGGAGGAGGGAGGTTAGGGTGATTGGGCTGGTCATGTGCCGACGCAGAGAGAGGGTGAACTCCCCTATACCTATGCCGAATTTGTCAGCCGAGGTCAAAACGTATCGTGTTGCTCCGCGGCTGGGCAAGAGCTCCCGGCCGGGCAGAGCTTCGGGTCTGGCGTGCGATGGAAAAGCGTATGTGTAACGCGTATCAAAGTCAAAGACTGACACAAGCGCTGACGGTAAAGTTCCCAGCGCGGCGTGGCGCAGAAGGGGTCCTCTGTGTACCTATGTCACGTAATGCCACTCGCAACCCAACAGAAGCCCATCATGTAAGCCGCAACCTACCTACGCGCTGCTATGCATCCTGGACAAACAATGCATTTGACGCCGCCAGGCGCCGGCGCCAGCGCCGGAGCAATATGATGTCGTCCAATGCATTGCAGAACGCATCAATGCGCGGCGGACTAGTTGCGAACCGGCGAAGCTGGCTTGTATCTGTTGACGTCTAAGTATTACCGTCTTGACTCTGCAAGGCCCGATGGCAATACCTAGAAAAAATGTATTGGGCAGTCGCCGGCGTCGTCGGTCCCTTGGTGACGAGACGCGGAAAGGGGAATGCTTGGAAGAGAAATTGGATGACACGAGGTGCAGGGGACCGATGCATTCCTCTCGAGACGGCGCGCGGCGCTTTGGGCGAGACGAGACACGGGCAGGCAACGCGTTCGTGTGGAAGACATCTCTAGGTAGACGAGATCCCTACTCAGTTTCTCAAGTGGTGTGAGATCAGCGGTGGATCAGTGGGCTGAGGGTTACACTAGGTACAAGGCACTGGGCCGGCACGCCAAGGTCAGCCAGCCCAGCCATGGCGGGTGGGCCAGGCGGGCTCCAGTGTGCTAGTGAGTGTGGCGTTGACGTGATAGGATGATGAGAATATCGGAATGGTGGGTGGGCAGCGGACCGAGGGGCTGGGTTTGACGAGACCTCGAACATTTATCTGGCCGGGCCCGACAAGGGAACAATTCATGGTGTGGGCATCTGGAATGGCGACGGGGCGGCTCTACCGGTTTCTCTTTGGAATAGTGTAATGTAGACCAGACAGACAGGCGTAGTCCAAGGGGAGAGAATTCCACGCTTGCTCTGGGCGTAAAAACAAGGTCAGAGACAGACAGACAGGCATGAAACGGATAGGAGCCCACGCGAACAGCACTGCTGAGGTACCCGATTTGTCTGTTCCGGAGACAAGTACCTTTTCCCGCTTGAAACAGGGGTCTTGGTACCCGCGATGCTATCGCAGACAGCGACCCCGCTTTTGGACAGTAGATGGTAGGCCGGTACCAATGACAGCGGCTGGTTGGCAAAGAATCCATCTTGGTGTACACAGATAGATCAGGTAGGCACCTAGCCGGTAGATAAGATACCTCCTATAGACGGTTTAAGATAGAATAAAAATAAAAAATACAAAAAACAAACAACCGCCGCCGGTTTCTCACAGGCCCCGTACCCAGGCTTGCAGTCTGTACCGGCGGTGTATTTCTTAACTTGCATGCCTGTCTATCCGTCTAGGTACCTACCTAGACTGGCTGGTGAAGCTGATGAGGTACTGTGGGTAGGTACGTAGTGCGCGCACAGATCATGTAATGGGCATCCACTTCCCCCCTCCACTCTCCGCTCGAGAAGACCAGTACGCGCACCTGGCACGATAGAGAAAGGAGAGACAAGTCGGGGAGATGAGACGTAGGGGAACGGTCAGCACGAGGAGGAATCCAGCGCGGGATATCTTCGGGACCCGCGTCGGAGAATTGTATTGCTTCTCACAAGAGAATGATCGACTTTGCCCGACAACGATCGGAACCCCCCCCCCCCCCCGTGTTTCCTTCCCGCAACAGGCACCAAGGTCGTGGTCGAGATGATGTAGCTGCTACTACCTACTTGTATGTGTGTTCTGTGCCCGCCCTGCAACCAACACACAACCAACCCAGTTTTAAGAGGTGCCCACTCACTGCCCAGTGACGCTCTCCGTTGTCGAGTGAGAGAAGTGGAGGCCGCTACCCATCGTAGGCAGGCCTCGAGAGAGGAAGGGGCCATGTATCCCAGCACCTGGTTTTGCAGGAAGAGGTACCTGCAAGCCACGAATGCGGTGGAGTTTATTTTTATTTCGTTATTGCATCTCCCATTTTCCCTCTCGATCTTGGTTTCGGTCGCTCCACCGCCTACCCCCGTTGTCTACGTGTAGTATCCGTAGTGTACCTGGCCAACCCAGGATTGAGCTGCTGATGGTCCACTTACCATGTGTGCGCTGTGATACATGCTGTAATACCCCGTACACTACAATACATACAGTCCCGGTCCAGTCAGGCCAGCACGCGTCTTTCAGACAAGGCAGGGCCCCTGAAGCTCAAGCCCAGCCTCTTCTTTCTCAATTCTGTCTCTCTCTCTCTCTCTCTCTCTCTCTCCCTCTCTCTCTCATCGTGTGTGGGTAAGGTTAGGTAGTGTACGGAGTATGTGTTTCTCATGTGTATCGATTGCACGCATGCTGCAAACCTGCCTACCTGCACTGCCACCGTTGTGCCCTCTCAAAGAAGGGGAACCCTCAAGACTACCGGCACTAAACCTCCCTGAACCGAGAGAAGAAAAAAAAAGACACCGAGCCGAGCCCAGGCCCAAACAAGAAAGGATAAAGGGGGAAAGGTGACCAACAGCCTTCGGCATCGCTTTCACTTTTCGGTCTCAAGTCTCGGGTTCCACATTCTCGCTTTCACACGCCTCTCGACTCGGACTCGACTCGACTCTGAAAACCTTCGGGCTTCCATTCTTCAGCCTTGGAACTTTGACATTCCAACCCTCCCCCTCCGTCTCCGGCACTTGTCCCGTCATCCGACTTGTCCATTGTCGTTCCCCCCTCCTCCCCACGCGCCGGTCGCCGACCGTCTTCGTCTCACCGCGTTCTTGACCGACACCTGCCTTGCCTTGCATTGCCTCGCCTCCTCTACTTTTTTTTCTTCTTGTCCCTCTCCGCCCCACGCTCTCCTGTCTCGGGCGCTCTCTCTGTTTCTCTCTCTTGCCCCTTACTGCTTTACGCAAGGCTCTCCTCGACAGGGTTGCGGTGTGTGTGCTGTGAGTTGTTGCTGTGCCGTGCACATACACACACTCCACCCACCTTGCCTCACTCTGGTACCCCAGGGGCCATTCGGGCAGGAAAAGCACTAACGCGACATCTGCACAGCGTTCACACGAGTCGCACCTCCTCCATCCTAATTACCTAGGCACCTAAGCAGTCTTCGTTTCCTATTGCCGTCGCTACGTACCGCCGCGCTCGCTCGCTCTCTTCTTCTTCTTCTCCTTCTTCTTCGCTTCTAAAAATTCTCCACCTCCACAAGTACCTACCATACTACCTACCTACCAACCCACCTACCTAGTAGGAAGTACGGATACACGCCCACTGTTCGCCCCGTACCTGCGACCGTACCGTACCTAATCCCGCCCGCCACCTTTGAAATTCCCAACCCTCGATTCTCAAACCTGGTCCACCGTCGCCTTTTACCACCACCGTCGCACCTCCTCCTCTCTGACCCTGATCCCGCCCTGCACCCGATCTTGGTCCGAAATCTCTCCTCTCGACATTCCCCTCTCCCCCCGACTGCGACCATACTTCCCCGCCACCAACACTCCCGCCTCTCCTCTGCCACACCATCTTTACTTGCTACCTCTCAATAACCTCCGCCGCGTACTTCGAGAAGACGCACCATGACGCCCTCGCCTGGACCCCAGGTCAACACCACCGAGGTGCGTCGTCCTCGCTCCAGCCAGACCGTCTCCTTCTCCGTCGACGAGGGCAACAAATCAAGCCATGGAACCGACTCGACAAGTCTGCAGTTGGCCGTCTCCGAGTGCATAGAGACCACAACAACAACCACCACCACGACAACCAAACGCACTTTCCCCCCCGTCTACCTGCGCGAGGTTCGTCCCCTCCACGAGCTCGACTCTAAGGAATATCCTCTCGCCTCCAAGCCTTTGCCTCCCGAACTCGCAAACTTTTCTTTTAGTGTCACCGGCTCCTCCTCCGATGCCATGGTCGATAACCCCTTCGTCTACAAAAAGGTACGTGACCCCCTCGCCCGTTGTGCCTCCTCCCTCTCTGCTGCTCAACTTGCTGACAAGGCCACCTTCCTAGCGCAAGGCACCGCTTGCTGCCGAGAGGCAACCCGCAGGCATCCTCAAAGAAGACGAGTCGAGTCAAGAATCCCCCCGACGCACAGCCAGGTCTACTTCAGATGCCCATCACCGGAGATCGCGTCGGTCGAATCATCGTGAGGCTTCGCCGTCCTACAACCCGTCCCCCGTCCTGCCCTCGCGGCCGTCGAGAAACCCCAGGCCCACTGGACTCGCCTTCCCTGAAGACCATTCCCAGAGGCTTCGACGTCAGCTCACCCTGGGCAAGCAAAGCGGCTACTTGGCCACCCCAGACACTTCTGAGGTCGTCGGTTCCACTTCCGAACGCACTACCAGACCCCGATCTCTTCTTCTTGACCGCGCGAGCCACACGCCCCCCGAGTCGGGTCCGAGCGAAACAACCTTGCAGGAGGCCGCCAGTCCCATCGGCAGCGATGCCCTTACTGTCTTCAGCAGTAATGTTGCTACTCCGCCCATCACTGATGCCGACCCCGAGCCCTTTGTCGACGATGAGTCGTTGCAGCAGTCCCTCAGAGCCGTTGGCCACCGGCCCTCCATCGATGCCGTGGCTGCGCAGGATGCGAGCCTCCCTAGTCCGAGACTTTCGCCGACGCTCGCCGCCGCCCAGCTGAACTCGAGAGACTCGGATGATGAGGACGCAGGGTCGCCGCAGAGTAGCATTGTGGCCAGACGAAATGTTAGCTTCCGGAACCAATCGTGGTTGAATGAATCACAGACCACCGAAGAGGGTGACTACGTCTCCGACATGTCCATCGTTGCCGATGACAGCACATATCCACTCGACAACCTCGATGCCCACACCGCCATGATGAATGCGCGCACCATGATGGAGGGCTTTGACTCGATGCCCAACGAGATGAAGAGCTTCATCATGTACAACCTACTCCGTCGTTGCCCTCGAAAGACCCTGCGTCTCGTCGCCGATGTCGTCACCCCCGCCTTGAAGTGCGATTTCCTTAAGCAACTCCCCCTCGAGCTGAGCTTCCATGTACTGTCATTCCTCGACCATCGTGACCTGTGCAGAGCTGCGCAAGTTTCGAAGCACTGGCGGAACATCGTTGATACGAACGAAACCGGGTGGAAGGAGCTGTTCGACCGTGATGGTTTCACACTCCCCCCCGGCGAACTTGATAAAGCCATCGTCCAGGGCTGGGGTTGGCAAGATCCTGTTGGTGTCACTGGTGCAGAGGTCGACTTGAGACCGTTGGGCCGGCTCGAGTCGGCCGATAACGAGCTCACAAAATCGGTCAAGAACGATTCAACAATCAAGCTCCGGAGCTCCAAGCGCAAGCGGGCTCTCAACATGTCGAGTGCCGACCGGTCGAAGCGCAGGGCTAGCGGCCAGGACGCCGCTCGCTTGGAGGCCATGCAGTCAGAGGTGAAGCAACACAAGTCTGAGGGGCCGCTTTCGGCTGCTAATGCCGCTGCGGCTGCTGTGCCCAACCCGAAGACGAGCATTCCAGGACTTCAGAAACTGCACCTTTTCAAGTCTCTCTACCGGCGCCACTACATGATTCGGCAAAGTTGGACAAGTGGAAAGGTGAAGCCCGGTCATGTTGCCTTCGCCGCTCACCCCCGCCATGTCATAACATGTCTGCAATTCGACGAGGATAAGATCATTACCGGAAGTGATGACACTTTGATCCACGTCTATGACACCAAGACCGGCAAGCTTCGCAAGAAGCTCGAGGGCCACGAGGGTGGTGTCTGGGCACTGCAATACGAAGGCAATATGCTTGTGTCCGGATCGACCGACCGTTCTGTTCGGGTATGGGATATCGAAAAGGGCCTTTGTACCCAGGTCTTCTACGGCCATACCAGCACTGTTCGCTGCCTGCAGATTCTGATGCCGACCGAGACCGGCAAAGGGCATGATGGCAAGTCTATCATGATGCCGCCGAAGCCCCTGATCATCACGGGATCTCGCGACAGCCAGCTCCGCGTCTGGCGCCTGCCCGAGGTTGGGTCTCGTCGCTACATCCAGACCGGTCCCCCAGCGAATGATGCCGACTGCCCATACTTTATTCGGACACTTTCCGGGCACACCCACTCCGTCCGCGCTATTTCCGCCCACGGCGATACTCTTGTCAGTGGCAGTTACGACAGCACAGTCAGGGTCTGGCGTATCAGCACTGGCGAATCCCTCCACGTTCTTCACGGCCACTCGCAGAAGGTCTACAGCGTTGTACTTGACCATCAGCGTAACCGCTGCATCTCAGGTTCCATGGATTCTCTCGTCAAGATTTGGGACCTTAATACCGGAGCGTGCCTGCATACCCTTGAAGGACATAGCTTGCTTGTTGGTCTGTTGGACTTGCGTGACGAACGACTGGTGTCGGCAGCCGCCGACAGCACTCTGCGCATCTGGGACCCGGAGAATGGAAAGTGTAAGAATGTCCTGACAGCCCATACTGGTGCCATTACATGCTTCCAGCACGACGGCCGAAAGGTTATCTCGGGAAGTGAGAAGACGGTCAAGATGTGGGACATTCGCACCGGCGAGTGTGCGCAGGATCTCTTGACCGATCTTAGCGGAGTTTGGCAGGTCAAGTTTGATGAGCGGCGCTGTGTTGCTGCTGTTCAGCGTGACAGCTTGACTTATGTTGAGGTATGTTTTTTTCTTCTTCTTCGCCACGAAGACAGTGGGGTGGTTATGCTAACATGTTTGTCAGATCCTTGACTTTGGCGCTGTCCGTGATGGCAAGCCTCTTTCAGAGCTTGGCGAACGCAAGCTTCTCAATGAGCCAGAGGTTAGAGCGCTTTTGGCTGAAGACTTATAATGTGGTACACGACAAGACGGAGTTTTCAAGATGGGACAACAGGGGTTTTCGCAAGCCAGTATATTACGACGGGGAAGGGGAAACAGCATCAATCAATGACCAACTGCATCGGGGCATAATGAAATTTGGTAGGGGGGTGGTTTGGATGGGGTTCCATCTTTCATGTTCTGGGCGTTTTTGATGACCTCGGGTGGGACACAAAAAGGGTGGGCGTTTGCATGAAATTCCAAGCTGCGCAGAGCACATATACCAACTCGCTGTACGGCTTAATGTAGATATCAGGCGAAACAGCCACACAAAACAAATGGTTCATGGCACGCATCCCTGGCTGTTGGCGCACCCTTTGGTGAAGCATGCCTTTGATGTGAAAGGGGCATGAGATGAACAGGCACAGCTTGGTTCCTGTTCCAGGAAAAGGATTACGGTGGCGTTACATAAGCGTGATTCAGGCAGCGACATGCACCAAGAGGGAGAGTAGTTATTTTGCTCCACATGATAACCTACTACAGGTGCTGAGAAAACAGGAATATTTTAGAAGCTACAAGCGACTATAAATTTGAGCTATGGTAATCATATTTGCCGAACAAGATCTTTTACATCTATGACTCGGTATTTAATCTCGACCACCTCCTGTTGAACGTGTGCCTCTGGAACGGGCTGCTCAGCCGTGATGGCGCCCTTCCGGCTTCCTCCCTCTGTGGCTGCTTGACGTCGCCCTCCAAGCCGAAGCCGTACGTCTCGGGGCCGCCTTGGGTCGGGTCCTTTGGTACGAGGCCGTAGCCGACCTTGGCGCCCGCCACGGGCCGGTGGTCGCTGTTGGGCGCCGTGGCCCAGGGGATCTTCTCAAGCCCCGGCCCGCGGGTGGCGGCGACGATGCTGCTGAAGCGCGTGTTGCGGACGAGACCCTCCTCGCGGACGGCGATGACACCAAAGGCCACACCGACGATGGCGAGGAGAATGGCGACCGAGTAGACGGCCCAGAGGTCTTTGGCGTGGTACTTGTAACGGATGTCGGTGCGCTCCCGGGTGCAGCGGTACAGCATGTCGTCGCCCTTGTTGTTGCCCGTCTTGACGCTCGTGTCATTGGCCCAGACGACGGCCAGGAGGCGTGGCTGGGCGAACAAGGAGAGGAGGACGTCCTCGTAGAGGCCCTGGACCTCTTGCATCAAGTCGTTGACGGCGAGGTAGTTGTGCTGGTCAATGATGCGCGTCTGGAGGACCTCGGTGTTGGCGATGGCGTTGGGCTGGAAGATGGTGCCGTTAATGACCTTGCGGAACTGCAGGCCGATGGAATGGTACGCCATGGCGCGGCGGTAACGGGCAACGTCTTTCGGCAGGATGTAGTTGGACTCGGGGGTGGCGGTCGTGTTGTCCGCCGTTCCGTCCACGGCGTCGACCCCGGGGAGGTAGCGGGTGTCGACGACGCGGTCGAAAAAGGTTCGCTTCGTGACGTCGGTCTTTTGCAGGGCACCGTAGTAGGCGAAGTCGACCTCGTACTCGGTCTCCCGGTGCTCGCAGCCAAACACCTTGGGGGTGTACGCCGTCTGCCATCGGGGGTCGGAGTTGTTGGACGGCTGATCCAGGGAGGGCTCGTCGACATGGGCGTACCCGAAGAAGAGGACCGGCTCCGTGCGGAGCGCGCCAAGGTGAGGCGGGTACGGCGGGGGCATTATCGGGATGCCCCCGGCCACCGTCTCTTCCATCTGTGGGTTCTGGTACTCCCCTAGTGTGGCGTGGGCGATGTACGTATGGTTGCCGACAGGCGCGAGCATGCTCATGTTGAACGGCACGTCGGCGCCGTTCAGCTTCTTGGGCGTCGCCCCCACGCCGCTGGCCAGTTCCTCGCACTTGTATCCGGGACCCTGAAACTTGATGGAGAAGGTGCAGTTGTAGCCCGAGCCGCAGATGTCGATGGAGGCGTTGGTCCTTACGACGGGCTTCTTGCCCAGGAAAGCAGACGCGGCGATCTCTCGAAACTGGCGGCTCGAATCGATCCAGTAGTCGAAGAAATGCTCGGCGGACTGGTCATCGCTTGTCTTGTTCCACAAGGACACGGAGAGTTCGAAGAAATTGTTGATCTTCGGGGTGGTCCGAAAGTCGTTGGTCTCCTCCTGCGTAAAATTGAGCGTGCGAATCGACGGACACATGGCCTCCTCGTGCATCGTCGCAGGATGGACTGTGAGCGTGTCGGAGGTAAGTACCACCACGAGGGGCGTACACCAGACGTAAATGGCCAAGATCATGGCAATCCGGGCTTGACGGAAGACCTCGATATTGAAAATGGCAGTCATGTCCTCCGCAGCCGCGAAGAGGGAGTCGACAGCGCCCAAGGTGAGCATCTTCCTCCGGACCGTCATCCACACCCTCTGCCGGAAGGCCTGGATGACGGCCGACGCGAGCGAGGCCTTGCTGAGGAACGACAGCGCCGCACCGTAGCGGAGCATGCGGATCTGGCCGTCAGCCACAGTGCCGTTGAGTCTCGCGTAGAAGAAGTGGTGGCCGAGGGCGAAGGCGATGCCGGCAAACAGGAAGAAGTACATATTCCACGACGGGTGCCAGTACTTGTTATAGAGTAGCACGCTTTCCGGTGGGTAGTACATCGACTGCTGCCGCTTAGTCGAGGGTCCCTGCCATGGGGGCGACAGGAGGCCGGCCGTCGAAGACTGTGACCCGACGCGGGCGTGACTCGGCCTTTTAGGCGGAAGACCTCCCGTCGAAAGGCCCCCTGTGTACGGCGTGCTGAGGTTCGAATAGGCGCTCGAGTAATAGTTTGAGTCCTCGACCGGATGCATCTGCAATGGCGCCGGCCGTGGTCGCTGGTGCGCCGAGGGCTTGTTGTTGCTAGATGGAGCCGGGGAGTAGCCTGCGGCGCCGACGGCTCGCTCTGCAAATGACGGTTGTGGCGATTTAGTGGACGCCGTCGGCTCGCTTCCTCCGTAGGGCGCGAACGGGCTGCCGATGGGTGCCGGCGTTGTCGGCGCGGACCCGGCCGCGGTGGATGGTTTTCGTATGAACTGACGGGCAGGGCGCCATTCTGCCGACGAGGTCATCTGGATGTGAGTTGAGTCTTGAGGGGTATTCTCCCGCACACCAAGTCCTTGACCGTCAATGTCTGGGTGAGGGTAGGCCATCGGGACGTGTCTGGGACAGGATTATCTGTTGGCGGTTGCTCTTGGAGGTGGCGATCGGACAGGAACATCAATAGGCGTGCGTTGGACAAAGCCAGTAGTTTGCCCCGGCGATGCAGGCACAGCTGATGAATAAGATCAGATTGTGACCGGCGATGACTAGATCACGGGAGGCTTCACCTCTTCGTGCGGAAGCTTGCTGTGATGTAATGCCGGTAAGGTGCAGGTAGGTATTAGATAGCCCGAAGAGACAACTTGGAACAAGCAAGCGGCGTTGAAGAAAACAAGAATGAAAGCCACTGGATAACCTCCGCTGAAAGGGGCAATGATCAGGAGGATAGGTGGAGAGGAGAACGGGTAAGAAGGAAGAAGAGGGAAAAGAAGTAATAAGACAGCTTGACTGTTATCTCACGGAGGTCCAGGGTAAACAGCTACTACTGCCATTTCAGTACTACCCATTGAAAGGTGGCTGTGACAAGTGCACTTGTCCACCAACATCTATTGTCCGAATGTAAGTATTCGGTAACGGATGGGCAGTGGAGGAGGACATGACTGAAGTTTTACTCCGAGCCTCTGCCCACTTGACCTCCTTGGTACCATGCGAAAAAAAGACATATCCTTTTCGGGGTTGGTCACTACAGCCAAGCTGGCTCAGCTCGAGGTGATGGCGCAGGACTAGGGGCGCGGCCAGCGACTGTTTGATGGTCATGGGCATGTGTGATTCGCGATGACTGCATGTGGCGGCCGGGTTATGCCATAAGAGGGAAGGCAGAGGGAGTAAGGGAAGAAAAAGCGCCCCCGAAAGTCATAAGCCTTGCCAGTTTCCAGACGGGTAAAGCCGTGTGTCGGCCAGGGGAGTGGCTGTTTTACTACTGACTTCGACCAGAGTTGCAATTTTTTGAATGGTTTCGTTGGAAGAGGTGGTCCGCAAACCTGCTAAGAGACTGGAACAACCACGACTGCGTAGGGTACGAGGGTTACCTCCTTCGTACAATGTACAAATGCTCTCTCCCCCTTTACCCTTGTTATGGCGGCCTCGCCTTACGGGGCCGGATTGAATGAGAAGTAAGAGGGGATCGCACGTAAGCCATTGGTACCTCGAATGCAATGCAGGGTTGATGATGAGGTGAGATGACGGAAAAGAGATTTTTAGGCGGAGGACGAGAAGCTAGTCGAAGGCTGGGGTCTCGGGAGTTGGGGGCTGTGAGCCCATCCCGTACGTTCGCACAAACAGCACCGAGCCTCATTCGAAGAATGGCTCGTCTGGCCATGATGAGATGGATGCCCGCATATACTAAGGCTGAGATGGAGAAATGAAAATGTCCGGGCCTACCTAGCAAGAGTTAGTAGGTCCAAGGATGTTAGAACAACGGATAAAGCAAGGCCGTGTTCTTTAGCCCTTGCACCTAGCCAAGTCCCGGCCCTACGGTTCTTGGGACCGCCTAGCGGGTTGGCTAGGCGCTAGATGCCGGAAGGGAGGACTACTCTCTCTGCTCGTGCTTAGCTAGGGAAATGGGGTGTTGGTTCAATACGACTCTGAGACCCGGCGTCGATTCTCAAGCAAGCAAAGAAGCTGTGCAATGCCAAAAACGTGTGAGATTATGCGTCGTGGCTACAGGATAGAAGACGATGTTATTGGCCAAAATTCGAGGGTTATGTCAGAAACAGCTGTAGAGAAAGCTGGCATGCGCCTCATTCGCACCGGAAACGAAAAGAAGGCGTGGAGGCTTCCCCCCCACAACAATCCCTCCCCTCCAATATTTTGTCCTTGGCCGTCGGTAGGTTTGCGCCGTGTTGTTCAGCTGGCACCTAGATAGCGCCGATCGCATGTTATTGACTCTCGAATCTTGCCCATTTTCGATTCAGCCCTACGCCGCTTAGTCGGCGATGGCGATGACTTGGCTAGCCCCAGGGGGCACTGTCCCCTCCATAGAGCCATTGATAGATAGATAGTATGGCCGAGCACACACATCCTGTTATGTATGGCCAAGTCTCCAATTGTCACCGCTGTCACTTGATCGACCAGTCTTGGTTGCCGTATCTAGTGTAAATTGAAATAATATCTATCATCAAAATTGAACCTTTCTCATCTTCTTCTCTTTGACCAAAACTCATGTAACAATAGCTTCTTAGTATGCTTCCTTCTCTGGTAATATAACCTTCCTGACGATAATGCAAGTGTGAGTGCATACCCATACGTCATGATATCCTTCGTCCATGGTACCCATTACAATCCCAACTCCGTCTAGGCCGGGGACACCGCCCGAGCCGTATGCATTGTTTCCGTTTTTCGTTGTCTTCATCTATTCGTCTCTCTCATCGACATGGTTCATCAAAACACCAACGCAGACACCCGCTCATCTCTTTCTCTGTGCTCCCTCTCCTTCTTCTTGAACAGAGACTTGAGCATGTTGTTCTTCTTCGGCCGCAAGACCGCCTCGATAGCCTCGTCACCCTTCTGGCGGCTGCCATCTTCGATGGCCAGCGTCGACGCACGCTCACTGCGCTTCGACTTGGAGCTTCGGTGGCTGCGGTGGCTGCTGGCGACGCTCTCAGCATCCTTCTCGGACCTCGCAATGCTGCTCTTGCGCTCGGGGATCTCCGACTCGCGCATGCTACGGTGCGACCGGGACGACTTCTCAGTCCTTTCGGTCCTGTCCGTTCTCTCCGTTCTGGAGCTACGGTGCGTCTTGGAGCTGCGTTGCGTACGGAAACTCCGCTCCGTGCGGGTATCTGGGTCTCCGCGGATGGAACGCGCGGCTTCAGGGCTGATGAGCTCCATGTCGGCGCTCTCGTCCTCGCCAAAAGGCGCGATGCCGCGCCGCCAGCTCTCGATGGAGCTTAGCTCCTCATCAAGACGGGGGTCGAGGACGTATGCCTCCTCATAGGCGACACTGCCTTCCCGAGGCTGGGCGTACGGATCGTACTGTTCTGGGGGGTAGTCGTACTCGATGGGCTGCGGTGCCGGTTGAGCCTCGAATGCGATGGCGTTGGCGATAGCCGCCTGTCTCTGGGCTTGCGCATCCTTGATCTGCTTCACAATCTTCCATCCGCCGAACATAACCACGGTGAGACCGATGCTCGCACCCGCTGCAATGAGAAACTGCGGTGAAGCGAGGAGTGCGAAAACGGCGGGCGAGCCTCCCTTGATGACGGATAAGAATGCAGGCGACATTTGCTTCAAGAGCGTGGACAGCTCGGCAAGAGTCAGAGCGACAGCCGCGGCAGCATCGGGGTTTCCCTGGAGATGGGCGATGGTAGCAGTAGCTGAGTGGTGCACGCACTTGGCTTCATCGAGAAGCTCCTCGACCCTGGCGACAAGAGTCTTGGCCTCCTTTTCCTTGTTCGAGGGGTCCAGGTCGGTGCGATCTTGCAGGTCGGGGGGAATGTTGCCATAGGCGAGGTCCATGTCAATATCTTTCTCCTTGTGGGCTTTGGCCATCACTGGCGCTGACATGGTACGGGGAACCATGGAGCCGCGGATGGTTGCCGAGTCTGCGAGGCTCTCGCTACACGTCGGTGCAGTCGTATAGTGATGCATGGCCGGGCGGCTCATAGCCATATCACGAGGAGCGGTCTCTGCATAGGGGACTCGGTATGCGGTAGGGGGCGGTGCCCTCGATGGCGTGACACTCGAGACTTCAGAGTGTGTCTTGAGGTTGTTTTCGGTCAGGGCCCGTCGTGGGGAGTATTCCACATCGTGGTCGTGGTAGCGTGAGGAGCGATGGCTCCTCCTGGAGCTGGCTACAGAGCGGCCATCATCGTGCGAGTAGCGGCGATCGAAGGCCTCGGGAGGAGGATCGCGTGCTGTGTCGAAGGTTTGGGCGCGCTTGAGGAACTCGCGGTCGGCCTTGATGGCAGCCTTCTTCTCCTGGTAAGACGCCTTGGCTTCCTTGAAGATACCAGCCAGGTGTTTTCCCTACAGCATCGAAAAGGTGACACGTCAGCTATTGGTCTAATATCGTTCGCCTGATAGTGATAGCGCGTCTGCATTGCTTGCATGTTGAGCGTTGCACGCAGGCCCGACAGCCGAAATCTAGGGCCAGATCGCAGTAGACATGGCGTCTGAAAGAGGGGCGGTGGAGAATGCAACGTGTGCCAGAGAAAAAAGACCTACGGTACTTATGATTTTGCCCGAGTTGTTGATGATGGTGACCGTCTGCGTGAGGGCCATGATGATTTTCAATCACTTGGCCAGCTTCTTTCACCAAGAAAGTCAAGTATGCGCGCGAGGGTGGTGAAGGGGATGCTGGACCAAAAAAAGGTGTGAGAGTGACTCCCACACAGGCGGCAACCTGGTGTGGTAGTGTCGTTGCGGGCGATACTAGTCGGTTTTTGAAGCCTCCCGTCTTGTTAAGTGACGACAAGGTCCAGGGTGCCGAAGGGGATCCCCGGCGGTATTAGTGTAAGGAAGGAGGGGGGGGGAGGCTGGTTCCCGAGGAAGCCCAGTCCACCGCCAAAATGAGACCTTCTTCGCTGTTCGGAAGGCACACGGGGCGCTTCTGGGCACCTTCTTCGGGCGGTAAGGTCCCGCGCGCTGTCAACGATGCGGTGAGGGAAAAGGAGGCGGCCCTTAAAACACAAACAACCCCACCATTACCGTCCTAAACGGAACCGAATACCGGCTTGGGTGACAGGGCACAGGGCCGCCAGCGGAGGAGGCCGAGCACGGGATTGTGAATCGGTCCCACAAAGTCTCGAAAAAACGGATCAAGATGTCTTTTGTGACAGCGATGGAGCCAAATCCAATATGACGGTGTGTGTGTGAATGTCGGTGGGAGTGTTGTATGCAAACAAGCTGGCTGACCTTGTAGGTACCCGGTACAGAGGATGATGATGGGGTAACAGTCAGTGTGTGTTGGTTAAGATGAGCGAAGAAATAGCGGGGAGAAGAGGGAAAGGGAGACTTGGATGAAGGGGACAAGAGGGGCATATCGACATGAAATACTTCAATTACACCTACGGATACTCTTGGGAAATACGAAATTGAACCAGTGAGAGAGGCACGTTAGACACCAAAACTGACTCGACGGGCCAACGGGCAAGCAACGCCCAGCAATCAGATTGAAACTCTGCTCATCCATCGTGCGTGGTGTTGGTCCTCCCATCTATCACTGACTCCTATCACAATCACATCTGCTGCCGCCGCAGCAGTCACAGTGACGGCTTGGAGGCCCGCCTCTTCTTGCGCGCGCGCCCTCACTTCCTGAAGGCCGAGGGGAAAGCCACCCCTCCTCCTACGAGGGGCGACAAGACCAGCCCAGACCGTTTTCAAGACAAGGCGACATCCCGGCGATTGGTCCCGGGGAAGCCTCTGAGCGCCCCTTTACATTCTTGGGCCTCGTCGCAGCTGACCACTTCCGAAAGGGACAAGACGAAAGGGGACCAAACTGGCCAAACGGAACGGCAGATTCTTTTACCTTGACAGGTCCAGCTTGACGCGACTGGTTGGGCCAAGAACCACCACTTTCCATTTCCTGGCGGGTCTGGCCCACTTCATACTCATCACTCGATTCACCACCTCTGTCACTGACCATCCATGGTCCCTGCTCCAATCTGGCCTCCGGCTTCTTCCCGCCATCCCGCCACTTCATACCCCTTCCTTTCACCTTCCTTCCATCCCCTCCTCCGTTTCCAGCCCTCTTCACCGCATCAAACCACGCATCAGCTTGTCAGGGATTACTCATGAGGAGGCCATATGAGGAAAAAGGGAAGGGAAAGATAAAAAAAGAAAAAGAAAAAAGGGGGGAGAGGGGGAGGGACCGAGCAGAGAGAGAGGGAGTCGGCCGGCTGTTTAGCTCGGCCTGTTGGCCGCCACGGCTTTTCTGCCGTTGATTGTGAGTCGGTGACCAAATTTCCCTTACCTCTCGAATCCCTCAGTCCCGCCTCCCTGTGAGTCTCTGCCAATGCACGATGCACGCACGATGAGGTCGTACAGCTTCACTTTCCAAATCGGGGACAGCTTGCCCACTTGTCATTGCTGTATTGCTACCCAGCCTCCGATACCTTGCTGGTTCCTGACGTCGTGTGTTCCAGCACCGACCGCTTGGCTGAGAGCCGTTAACCGTTCATCCTCCGTCATGGTGGATTGACGGATATGAACAAAACGTGGGCGGCGGGTGACCGCGGGGCAGAAGGCCACACGAATTCTCTCACATCTTGGGCTCTTATTGCCGTTCTCACTCAGGTCTCACTGCTACAAGCGTCATAATCATTCGTCTTTTGTGTGACGAACACAAGAGAAGCATCCGACCGCTCGTTCATCAAAACACCAAGGCCAACGTGCTCTCCCGTATCTCTCCCCCCCCCCCCCGCCATTGGGCTCAAGATGTCCGTGCCATTCCTCACTCTAGTCAGCGCCGTCAACTGCAGCCGCCAATCCTGCCACACGATCATCGGGTACTCTCACCACCTCCATTAGGCTGCCATGCACCCACAACACCATCAAGTATTGCAGGATAGCTCCGCCCGTAGTCTAAAACATGGTCTAACAGCTGATTGTCTGTCCGTCGCCAAATGCTCCTGTCGATCTGACTGCTGAGAGCGCGACACGACAGCAGGTGGCAAGTGTCAGCTCCAGCCCCCTTGCGCATTGTTGAACTCAAAACGCTGTTTGGATCTAGACCCCAATGCCATCATCTGATCTCTTACTGGGATAGATGGCTGGTGTTCAGGAGAGAACCGAGCATAACTGGAATATTCGTCGGTTGTCTCGGTACTACTGTAGCTTGACAACCTTGGCCTCCGCGAATATTGATTAGCCGCCGGCCCCAAGCTTTAGCGCCAAATTATGTATTCGTTAGTCTCAGGATCCGTACGCGTATGTCGTTTCCCATTTCCTGGGCGGCTTTGACTCTCACCAAGACGCGTTATGTCAGCGTGTCGATCAGCGCTTTGCTTCCATCACTAAGGTTGCGTTGGGAAAGGAAACCACTGATTAACTGATGACGCTTCCCCTGCCGCTCTACTTTGTCCATATTCATCACCCTTCGGCGATGCCTGGCCATTAAGTACTAATCAGTTTCTATCGCTACCATTGTTTGGCACTCGGACATTGGCCTTAACTCCGCGCTGTCATGGATTGCCGTCTAGTGTCGCTGACAAATTCGATTCGTTGATGTTATCGGAGCACGTTTTTGGCGAGGGAGGGCCTGAAGCTTGTCGGGACAATAAACTTGTTGATCAATCTTCATAAGGAACTTATAGTGAAGTCGCCAAAAATATCTCATGTCTCTAAACCAGTAATACACTTCACATCCTCTTAGTGAGGAAATCCTGTCCAGATGAGTCTAGACTTCGGCCTTGCTTGGACTCAGAGCAACGGAGCTCCAGAGGTTTCTTTCTGCGAACTTTGCAGTAAGCCCTTCACAGAAGGTACGTTTTCAGCATGCTATAAGAACATGCGTCCATATATCATCACCTATGATCTGACAAGACGTCGACTCTCAAGAAGCTGCATTGAAAAGACACCTGACATACTGCCGCCGTACAAGAACTCGGCCTCAAGTCCGCCCGAAGCCATGCCGAGAATGCAGCGCCGCCAAGTGCAAGTGTAGCCTTCAGCCCTGCTGTGCACGTTGCAAAGAGAGAGGCCTGAGCTGCGTCTACCCCGAGAAGAAAGCTCAAAGAAGACTCGCCACTGCACCTTCGCTTCAATATTCACCAGTACTACAAGCTTCACCATCCCAGTCGTTTATCCACAGCCACACTTCGTCATTAGTTCACCATAATGGGATGCCTTGGGACCATTCGACACAATCTATCCACTCAGGTGAAGCTCCGTTTTTAGGAAACATCACCGACCTAGGGTTTGATTTTGCTCCTGGTCTCGAGGTTTTGGGAGATGACCTCAGTGTCACGCACATGGCACTAACTCCAGATGCATATGGGCATATCATTTCTGGTACTTCCACCATCATTTCTGTTGTATCGGAAGCACCATTCCCGCTCAATAACCTATGCGCCATAAATGGCATGGCCGACAATACCAGAAATCTCATCAAAAGGTCGCTGCGCTCCTACCCTCATATGATGACCCGAAGATCATCGTTTCCGCCTTTTATACACTCATATCAAGACAAGAGCCACATTCCTGAACCGCTTGCCAACTGCATGAGCATTGCTATGCTATATGTCACGCGGAATAGAGACACAAGATCTTTCTTATGGAAGACAATTCGAGAAGAGCAAGACCGGAATATAAAACATGTGAGTCCTTGTAGAAGTTGTGCTCTTCCGCCAGAGACTAACAGAAGCAGATGCAAAATTACACCAAACATGAGGTGTTCGCAGCTTTACAGGCAGAGCTCATCTATATCATTATGCGCGCCGTGGACGGCGAGGTTATCTCGACTGAGCATCGGGAATACAATATGGAAATGCTATTGGCATACTCGGTTCGTGATTAAGGTTCCAGTATATGTATTGGGCTAAAAGACATCTAGGCATTTTGGAAGCAATTCATGACAGTGACAGGTACCCCCTGCATTGTCGACTCAGGTGCTTCTGCCTCGTGGGAAGACTGGATCTTGAATGAGTCCTGCACAAGGTAAATGATCTTTCAAGACACGGTATCACAGTGGGCCAACTAACCCTGACCCAACAGAGCTGCTTGCGTTTGGTTTCTCATCGCACAGGTAGCTTGCGTAAATGTAGGCACAGGCTGTGACATACTTGAAAACTGGAAAGACTTACCTCTTCCATGCCACAAAGTACAGTGGGCTGCTTCTACGCAAGAGTCGTGGAAAGAAGAGATGATCGCTCTCTCGTATACACGTAATTCACCACACCAAATATCTTCTTTTGGAGAGCTTTTGGAATGCAATCGAGCTGCCAATTCTGAGCGCAACCCAGAAAAGCTGGACATCTGGAACTCTGGAGCAGACAACATCGGAAACTTCTTGAATTTAGCTATGACTGTAATGTAGTGTTGATACATGTGGACAGGTACATAGCCAATTCCGAGTATCAAGGCTGAATTAAGAAAAGAAACTATCATCATGGATATGCGGCCTTGTTTACTGCCTGTAGTCAATGGCGTCGTTTCGTGTGACAGAAATCTCCAATCAGGCTCATGATAGTTTGAAATTAGTATCTCTTTTACCATGGTATGGGGCCTTGGCGGTTGGAGAAAGTTCCCGTGGGCCCTCCCGGGCTAGTGGTGGCCAAACTGACGATTCTTTCGGCACCGATCTCAACAGACGTACCATAATCGTGGTAGCCAGCCAACTTCGTTTTGACCAGTCCCGGGCAGACTGCATTGGAAGCTCCACCGGTATCTTTGAGCAAGCGTGCATAGTTAACCGCGAGCATGTTTACAGCCGCCTTGCTGGCATCGTACGCCTTGTAGTCGGTATGGTAGAAAGGAGTAGTCTCGTCCAGGGACACCTCCAAGGAGCCCATCGTGGATGAGACAAAGATGATGCGTGGGTACTCGGCCCTGAGTAAAAGCGGGAGGGCCGCTTCAGACAGCACAGCCGTACCAAATACATTGGTCTCGAAAGTTTTGCGGAAGAGATCGCGAGTGGTGGTGAACGCGTCAGGACGGCGGTCGATAAGAATACCGGCGTTATTGACAAGGACATCGAGCCTGCCGTAAATATCTTCTATGTGCTTGACAGCATTGAAGATAGACTCATCAGAGACGAGATCGAGTTGTACAGAGGAGACAGAATGACCTCCCTCCTGGCTGAGGGAGTCAGCCAGCTTCAAGCCCGACTCTGCATTGCGAGATCCAATAATAACGCGGAAATCAGGCGTCTTGGCTAATTGTCGGACAACAGCCTCACCAATGCCGGAGTTCCCTCCAGTAACGAGTGCAATGATCATCGTGACTATTTGACGTCTTGTGAATTCGTGATGAGACCCGAAAGTTGATGTTAGCTTGCAATTAAGTTGTTGAAGTTGTTGTAGGATACTGAGTCTCTGACAGAAGGGAACGTGAGAGTATGGCACATATATATATTTGTTACCGGATCACCTAATTCCACGTTCCACCAGGTATAGAGCTTCACAATCGCTTTATGACATGTACGGCCAATCTTTGTGAAGCACCGGCCAAATTAAGCGGCGAGAGGTGGGTCCCCACCGGCCACTTTCGCCGGAGGGTTGTCGGGCCCAACCTGACATAAAATATTTAGGAGGAAAACCCATCAGCGATACATCACCAGGCTTGTAACCTATGACCGGGTTACCTGATCAAGTTTTGTATGTCGTCATCGCTCTCATAAGATACGACTGAAAAGCTCAAATGTCTAGATTACTGCCTAGAGGTTGCAATAGAAAATGTGATGAACCGGAGAGTTTTATCATTTGAGAGTAAAGTAGTTGTCCTATTCAGAATCTCTGTATAGACCGGAGAAGTACGGATAGTAGAAATACCTATTCCGAGCAGTCCGTGCGGGTGCTACGCCACATCTGTGGTGGCTTGCACTGATACTAGCCACACGGAGCTATTGCAGCTTCACGACAGAAAATGAATAACTAGCACTTCTTGTCAGGCGAATTGGTAATCACCAGGACTTCTGCAGTTATTGTTTTCAGGCATGCGTGAAGCTGTTCATCTTGTTTGCGTCAGTTAATACACCGCGGTTCGCCTCGCCTTCTCATGGCTTGGTCTACGAAATGCTGGTTTGTTGTGCCAAGAAGGCTAATGACAGCTAAGCCAGCCAAGCCAGCCATATTGTGTATATTCAGAAGTAATTGTTGCTCACCAGTCACCACGCACACCTTCTTGTAACGCTGCATCGAAGACCTATACAAATGGACGAGAATTTTTGAATTTGAAATGCTTATCTGGGAGAAAAATGATCCTATCAGGGCATCGCCATGTAGTACGGAGCGCATAGGGGACGACGGGCTGCGGCGAAAGAAAAGTCACATCACCTGCTAGGGTAGAGAAATCAAATGAAAACAAGAAGCTCGGAAACTGCAGCTAGAATGTTTATCTTAGAGAATTATAAATACGATAACGTACATAATAAGCGAGCGCGCCAGACAAGCGAGTGCGCCACTAAACCACAACCATCTGACCATCTAACCTTTCCCTTTTATTCCTCTACTAATAACAATGAAATTAACTTATAATAAAGCTTAGGTACAGCTAGCTGTCTAAGCGTATAAAAAAGATCTAAAACTTAGTATTTAAGCTATAGTAAAGATATATAATATTAGTTATAATTTAGTAATATATTAATTAAAAGGTATACTATTATAACATAATATTATACTTAACTTATAGAATTTAATAGAACTTAAAAAAAAGAAGCTAGTTAAGTTTATTCTTAACCTAAATTTCTAATTATTTCCTCCCTACCTTAGTAGTATTAAAGAAATAGCTAATTAACTACTTACTAACTATAATATGCCTTTAGTTAGTAAGTGTTAGGCTTTAAACTTTATTAAATAAACACTAAAGCTTTAAATATATTTTTTTTATAAGTATAACTATAAAAAGGCTTAATATAAAGATCTAAATATAATAAATATATAGTTTTACTTTATAGTAAATATAATTATAAAATATAATATTATAAAGTCTAATATTTATAACTTTAATAAAACTAGCTTTATAATAAGCTAGATTATATTTAAAATAGTTATTATAAGCTCTAAAAGATACTTAAATATAAAAATAGTATAGCTTAGAAATTAAGAATAAGTTATAGTTATTTAGGCTATTAGTTTATTTAGTTATAGCGTCCTACTATATATTATTATTAAAAGTAAAAATCTTTTTTTTACTTAGTATATAGAATTTAGTTTTTTACCTAACTAAGTTATTATAATATCTAAAAATAAATAAATAATAAATAAAAAAAGTCTAATTTAGCTTTAGTACTTTAATTAATATTTAAAGTTATATATAAAAAAATATTATTTTTTTATTATTAATAAGTATAAAAGTTACTATATTATAGACTTTAAGCTATATTATAAAAAAAATAATATTATTACTTTTTATATACTACTTTATTTATTTTATTTACTTTAGCCTTTAGATATTAAGTATTTTAAGCCTTTAAAGCTAGTATATAGTTAAGAAATTAAAAGTAAAATATAATAAAGTAATACCTATATTATAAAAAATAACTTCTTTTTAGTATTTTATAATACCTTTAAGTAAGCTTTTATAAAAGTAAATATTTAAAGAGGCTTTAGAGAGGTAAGGCTTATCTCTCTAAGTCTAGAAAGTATACTATTAAAGCTAGATATTAAGTTATACACTTTAACACCTTTAGGATCCTTTTTAATAATACTACTAGCTTAGACTTTTTAAATATTATATAATATAATAAAGATATCTTCTTAAGGAACTTTTATTAAGGATTACTTTATTAATTATCTAAATAGCTCCTTAATATATAGATTAATAGCTACTAAGTATATTCTTAAAAAAGTATTAAGAATTATATATAAAAGTACTTTATTAAAGGCTAAAGTTAAAACCTTTTATAAAAAAAATAACTTACCTAACTAATATAAAAAAGTAAAAAAAACTTATTTAAAGTAAAAAAGAAGTCTTACTATAGCTAATATATAAGATATTTAGTTATAAAGAGAGGTAATAACCTAAATTAAAGAGGAAATATATTAAAGTAGTAGTTATAAATTAAGAATAAAAATAGGTAAATAGTAGTATAGTACCTATAGGAACACTAGATATAATACGTAAACGTACTAGTTTAATAAAGAAATATCTAAAGAATAGGATTCTAAGTAGTTTAAATTAATTTTATTATTTTATAGTTACTTCTTAGTTATATTTATAAGGTAGCTGTGATTAGGTGGCGCGCTTGCTTGTCTGGCGCGCTTGCTTATTATGTACGTTATATTAATAGATAGCGTTAATAGACAAATAATTAGGTGCTTAGATAAAAAGAAAAGGTTAGTCGCTCCTATCGTCAAACGTGGCCCTTTACATATTATACAAACAATAGACAAATTCCTTATCAGTAGTTACAATACTCGGTCGCCCACTCCTTTACGAGTTTGATAGGATCGATATAGTTCTAGAACGGCCGTCCTAAATCTCGAACGCAACAGGGTTATAATGGCCTTCTAAAAATAAGTACGTTCAGTGTTTGGATTATGTAGATGAAATCGATTATTCTCTTTTCACTCGAGTGCCAGGATAGGGAGTATGGAGAGGCCTATTTACCTTCAAGGTAAGGACACCACAAAACATCCCGGATTGCACAATACACCACAATCGATACAAACATACACTCCAAGAATAAGGATTACTCATTTTGACAGATTTTTTCAGTTTGGGAAAGAGGGCATATAGCAGACAGGATAGGTGCCTATTTGTCAAATTTAGGGGACGCACTGACAACAAAATAATCAATGTTTAATATTGTGGCATGTTTTATTTTTGGAAGCTGAAACAATGCGTGATATGAGGTCAGGGCTTGATGAAAAGAGCAGGCGGCCAGCATTCCACTGAGCTGACGACTCCACGGTTGCTGGGTCTCTCCGTGCGTTCGCATCCGCAACTTGAACGAGAGCCGATTAAGCAAATAACTAATCAATTGTTGCATCTGTCATTGACTACCGGTAGACCTGCAACAGACCTTGCCCACTGTTCTTAAACACAAGACTTCCATGGCGGAGTACCTTCTACCTAAAACCTAGTTTGCTATAATACGTCTTAAAAAACAAGAAAGAAATATGAAGAAAAAAAAATAGTTTACACAGCTGTTCCTAGTCCGATATTCAGTGCCTGTGAAAACAGGTGCTATGAGTACGAATGAAGTTGGGTAGTGGTCGACACTGAAAATACATCTGCGAAACGATGAGACAGCTAGACATGATTTATTAGACGTCTCGACCTATGCTGAATCAGCTGATCCATGAACGCCACACTAGATCAGTTATTGTTCAAGATGTATCAATAGACATGTTCATTGCGTTGTGATTGGAGTGAGTGATAACCCTGAAGAGGGAGGCTACTATCTTGTTCTGTGCAAAAAGGTTAAAAAGGTGGAAGCCTGTTGACGAGAATCTCAATGAGGAAACTTGTTTTTACATTTTCACCAATATCGACTTTGCCACAGATGGTGTCCCAAGCACCGACGTCCCCGGCGAGGTAATGCTCCGACGCAGGGGTCGTCTCAGCTCCATATCGTGGTCAAAGAGGTGCACACTTGTACCAGGATAAGTCCAGTGCAAACTAGTATTTGTCAAATTGTTCAGACGAACTGCTACCCCTTCACAATTGTCAGACGTTCGATACTCTCCCCGGTAATTAACGAAACTGCAACATCTGGCTTGTGCTCTTTGACTTGCTTAGGCTTGTTATGATGAGAAGCCAAGCCACTTGGTACTTTGCACAGACAGGATTTACACAAGAGAGCTGGCGTGTTTTACGGTCAAACCAATGTCGAGACGTCTGAAAAGTGTCGTTAAATGACATTCGTGGCTGTTGCCACAAATCTGCACGCCGAAGGCTACCTCGGCTACAAGATGAAATTAAGGTTCTGCCTCTGATCGGCTGGTCGTCAAATTGACATGCAGGAGCTGGACTAAAGGCAGGACTTTGTGAATATAAATTACAAGATAGATCTTCAGTGCGACATGGTCTATTCCCACAACGAAAGTGTAGTAGTCTACTCAAGAACTTGCCCGAAGATTATTTACACGCTTTTCTCTATTTTGACAGGTTCCTACAAATACCAGCAACAGAATCATACTAGGAGATCGAAATGCGTGGCTTTGCTATCGTCGCTTCCGCGTTGTGCGCTACCTACGTTTCCGCGCAAGGAGCTACTTGCTTCGATGACCTCGACTGCGCTCTCTCGGTATGGCTTCGGCACTAACATAATACCCACTATGGTACTAGATACTGCAGTGAGAATCAGTAACGCTAACCGTCTTACCATAGGGCCAGGCAAATGCCAAGTGTGTGAGAGCACAGGCTGGTGGGATCCTAGGGTAAGCTCGGAAATACAACCACCGTCCACCCTTTGGGCACCGAGAACTAATGCAATCTCAGAAGCTGTGCAAACAATGCTGCCACAGTAGCAGGAAAGACAACTGGCGCCGCGGCACCGGGGAAAGCCAATGCGGCTAGCGAGAGGAAAGGTTCGATACTGGAAGCTAGGCAAGCTGCCGCTGCGTCGGCTGCATCACCCGCGGCGAACCCTATCGCCGCTGTCCTTGGCACAGCTGCTGGAGTTCTTAAGGGCAAGGGCGCTCAACCTGCCGGTGCCGCGGCTCCTGCTGGCTCTCAAGCCGCAGATCCCATCGGCGCTGTCCTTGGCACTGCTGCTGGAGTTCTCAAAGGCAAAGGGGCACAGCCAGCTGCTGGAGCTGCCGCTGGACAGCAGGCCAACCCGCTGAATACTGTTCTGGGCGCCGCCGCTGGTGTTCTCAAAGGAAAGGGAGGTGCTCAACCTGCTGCCGCTGCTCCAGCTGCTGGAAAGCCCGCCGCTCCTCCTGCCGCCGCTCCTCCTGCCGCCGCTCCTCCTGCCGCCCCAGCGGCTGGAAAGCCCGCCGCTCCTCCTGCCGCTGCTCCGCCTCCTCCTGCTGCTGCTCCTCCTGTTGCCGCTGCTCCAGCTGCTGGAAAGCCCGCTGCTCCTCCTGCCGCTGCTCCTCCTGCTGCCCCAGCGGCTGGAAAGCCCGCTCCTCCTCCTCCTGCCGCCGCCCCTACAGCAGCTGGCAAGCCCGCTTCACCCCCAGCTGCAGGCCCGGTAGGTGGACGGCCAGTGCCTGCTTCACCCAGTAAGCGGGCTCGTCGCGTTCGTTTTTAAGGACACTTTTGGCGCATCTGACCTATCGAAGAAAGGGTTCACAATCTGCTTGAGATCATGTATTGGCTTATTCACACTGGTGTGACAAAGCAAGCATCGAGGTACATGTAATTTTTAGTGTTAGAAATCAATAGCATTTATTCCGATTACTCGGGGTGGTAATCTTCCCTCCTAAAACCCACGTTTCTCTTTTCTTTTTCTTAATAGATGGAGAAAGAGGAATAGTAACTTGTATGGTAGAACCTGAATGTCTGTTGTAGATAGAAATGTAACTTTGTGAAGGCTGGAGTGCGATCTCAAGTGTTTGGCCTACTCAGTCCTAGTATGAAGCTCTTTTGTTGACCTGTTCGCCATCTTCATTAAGGAAACATGTTGATGGAAAGCATTGGGAGATTTACCTTTCCCAGCAATCATGCCATGAGCAACATTGACTTCGTAATTCGGTCATCAAAAACCGCTTCGTTCACTCATATTTAAGTTATAGGCCGCAAACTCCTATGCAAGGAGCCTTTAATCATTACGTAGGTAAGATCTTCATGGGCTCAAAATACACTGGATACAGCAATACAAGTTAGTTACGATGGCCTATAATGAAGATCAGGGCAGGGAAGACTTAAAGTCATAGGCATCATTAGTTAAGCTATGTTAAGCCAGTGCTACATATTATAGTTTCCATGATAATCAATACAATCAACAGTAACATTTACAGACAGGGGATGATGAACAATTCGTATGACGTTTTAGAGTGCACAATATGTTAGATATAGTTGAAGGCACCGCCCTGCTGAAGTTATCTGGTGGTTAAATCGTGTGCAGTTTCTTAGATTAGGGCCAGATGCTCTGCAAGCGTTAGACTTACTACAGCTACAAGAATAACAGGTATCACAATACTAACGATAAAAGATTCAGGTTACTTCGCATACAGCTCTTCTGGATTTGACAGTTTAGAGTCTCGCCAATCTAGGGCTGGAGAAGCTCTCACAATACTTAAGGTAAATGTTCGAGGCGTTCTTTCTGGTCCAGCTAGTCGTGGGCCTCAACCTTTCTTTCAGTTGCCTCGACCCACATGTCTGAGATGACGAACAATCCCATGCAATTTCGTGCTTTCCATGGTCGGGCCGGGTCAATAGGCGCTAATTGGAAGTGACGAAATATCTAGCGTGATATTTCAGTCTAAGAATGCTTCGCACAATGTGAGTTTCGGCACGTACCTCGAAGATGGTCTTAGAGAGTTCCATCTGTGCTACTGGCTTTCCTAAACACATAAAGTTCCCGTGCCCAAAAACGAGGTCGTTCGTCCGAATCATGTTGGCGAGCTTATCAGCATCCCGCTCGAACCACCTCTCAGGTCGGAAAAGCTTTGAATCATTGCCGTATACCTTTTCACTTCGATGTATCGCGTAGGCCGAATACCCTATGCAGATACCGCCAGGGAGGTAGACATCCTCACCGTCGACCTTGACGATGTCACCTCCAGGTGGCGTGTCTCGCGAGAAGATGTTGACTACAGGGGGGCGAAATCTCAGGGATTCGCGAATGACAGCTTGCAAATACGGCAACTTCCTTGCTTGTGCTAGGGTAATGAGGCCTTCCCCCGTTCTTGGAGCGATCCCATCACGCACAGCACCATCAATTTCGCGCTGTAATTTCGAGTAGACACGGCTATTGGCCATGATTTGAAGAATGGCACCACGGATAGCAGCTGCGGTGGTATCAGATCCTGCAATAACTTGCTCGAGTGCCTCCGATCGCAGCTCGTCACCCCTCAAACCATGCTGGACGAATGAGGCTAGCATATCGGACCGCTCGTCGGTATCGCTTTTCGTCCGTTCGTCAACGTAGCGGAAGCATGCGGCAATCATCCTGCCAAAGCCGTTGTTGTCGGTAGGCGAGGGAGCAATGAACTTGCCGATGAGAGGGGCTTGAGCTATCCAGCTGATACCTAGAGCAACTACCAAAGTGGCATAAGACAAGCCCTCCTCGGTCGACTTTAGATAGTCGTCTACGTCACTATCAGACTGCAGCATACCGAATGCTTTGCCAAGACCAACAGAACTGATCACATCAAGTGTGAAATACTGTATCTTTTTTGCCATGTCCATTGGCACAGTCTTGGTAGTAGATGAAAGATATTTTGTCCTGATTAGATGCAATAGCTCTCCTAGACGTTGGTCGATCGTCGGCTCGAGGTCAAAGTTCTCTTTGCCTGAGTACTGCGATCGTATACAAGTTAGCTGAGATAGTACTTGAAACATGTGATATCATATGAAAGGTAAAAGGGAACTCGCCCCAGGAGCCATTTGTTTCCGCCGAATTTCATGTTTCTTATTGTCTGTCTGGGTGAAAACATTGTCCCTCCGGTACTCTACTCGACAAGCGTGGTAGTACCAGTCAGATCTCTTGTAGCCCCGGTGTTTATTCAAATGTGCCCAAACTTCCGGCGAAGATGTGACCAGCATTCCTGGTGCTATGCGTGCAAATGTGCCTGAGCCAGTGTCAGTCACAGCTCCAGACGAATTTATATGAAGCAGTCGAAAGCGAAGAACCGAAGTTGGGAATCATTTGGAAAAACATACCATACTTATCATTCATTTCCGCGTACCATTCGTGGCAATTGGGGGCGACAATTGCTCTGCTATGAGGGAGGTGGGTGATTCCAGTCCACCATGGCCCACCAAATTGCCTCAGTTTGATATACAGAGTGATTCGCCTGATGATGTATACACATGCCACAGCGAAGACAATCGGGGTGACTGCCCATGTTAAAACCGCGACGAGAACACTCATCGTGTATTTCACTTAGAGGAAAGCCATAAGAAAGATTGTTTAGCTCACACGGCATGCTGAATGTCATGCTCTTTGGACCTTTATACCAGCACCCGGTTCCCCGCAACGCATGCTTTGTTGGCTTCCTGGATCTCGGCATGTATTATGTCTGGGCTCACATCAACAAAAGCGGGTTGAAGCCAATCAGACACCGTCGGCTGCAGACCCAGGGGAGCTAGCGGATATGTTTATCCAGCCTACTTCCAACCGAATTTGTCACCGCCAAATCCCTTTTATTGGAGAAGAACAGAACCAAGCAGCATAGGATGCTTTTTGAGAATGAGACAATGGTCTGGAGTAGTTAAATATATTGGAATCTGTTTGATATAAAGATCTTAGTAAATTACGATAGTGATCCCTTTACTTTGTGGGCGGGGATGGTCAGAACCAGAGAAAGTTGAGCATCTGGCTTAGTTTCCTCGTTGTGAATAAGGGGAAATGCCCGGATGGGTAGTACAGCGCTGTTACCAAACAGGCGACCAGAAGTAAAGCCTGGAGCATCGAATTTTTTTTTTAGAAAAGATGGAGTAGAATTAGTGTCTAACGCTGAAATATATCATGAATAGCATTATATTTCTCAAGCTACGCAATCTATATAACCTACTCAAATTGTTATCGGTATTGAACCCCCTTGTACGGTGATGAACAACGATAAGACGATCCTTTTTCATACATAAAGGTGCAGAACTGACACACAGAAACTGCCGTACAAGCATTTGGCACTTTGGATTGCGGGCACCACCGTTATTCTAAATAGAAAACATGAGGTTCTGAGAGGTATCATGTCAATTATAGAACTCGGATGTATATTTATATCACTAGATCTAACTGTTGCGATGTTGATCATCGCCTGGATATCGGCGGTATGGATTAACGCCGAAATGCCCGGAATAACTACGGCCGATTCACCGTGGATCCACCGGACCCACGGGGATATTACGCGATGAATTCACCGCGTAATCCCACGACAGTTTCCCTTCTTTACGCATAATTCAGAACCGGTATTTCCCCCTATTATTCGTCAATTGCCTATTGATACGTACGGTTAACCGTATCAGCACCCTGGTGATAACCAACACTAACTTTCAACAGCACATTAGAATCTAGAAGTCGGCCATCCTCTGTTGTGAGGGGGCCCGTGTGCTGGGAGGTCACGTGACTTCCTGGGCCCCTCACCTTCATCCAGCCTCTGCCCATAGCCTCGAGAGGAGGATTTTCCTCCTCACCACCACACACCACTACAGATCGACAATACCATCGATTGCCTCACTTTCGTTGCTCTTGTGCTCCCACATCCTCAGTATTTTCCTACTATAAACAAAAATAAATGAAAGTCGTAGCGTCCCGAAAAGAAATAATTGTACGTGAGGTACTTCATTCTTGGAATATGTAAATATTGGTTGCTGTAAAACCATAACATAAACTTTTCAGGCAACGTTCAGTCGTTTGTATCATTGAAGTCAGTTGTTCCATAGCCTTGCATCGCTAAGTTCTGAGTTGTATTAGACGAACTTTTTTATTAGGTACATATTAATTATGTGCAAGCGACTAGATTCTTGACTTGAAGGCATTAAAATTATCCTCCTTGAGCCTTGAATGTGAAGCTAGCTGAATTATATCGCAGGGAGTTGGAAAGGGCCTCCAATTTGACATCGGCAAGCGAACCACACTTCCTACAACGTTCTCACTGGTAACTAGCGCGGTAGGCGGTCCAGTAGCTGTGCATGCGCGTCTCTTGGCCAGTGGTGAAGTGGGTGAAGCAAGGGCTTGAATTTACATTAGTTAACACTCCGCATTGAAGAAAGACGAACGTGATGCTTACTCGTCAGAGTAGTCCATGTAGTTGGTGACAGGGTCGTCACCAGCCTGGCTAGGGCAGGTGTCACGACCGATCTCGCAGCCGTAAGCCTCCTCGGACTCAAAAGGAGTGTCAGATACGTAATCACCGTTTCCGCCACACTGGTAGCCCTCAAAAGTGTGATAAACTATGCGAGCTAAGGATCAGAATCTTTGGTTTATATCAAGCCATGCAAGTGACTTACGTCCGAGCCAATGGCCGACCTCATGGGTTGCGGTGTGGCCAAGGTTGTACTGAGATAAGCTACCTCCAGGAACGGAGTCAGAAAGAATAACCACACCGTCGTAGTAGAAAGCCGACGATCCGGTAGTGACAGTTGTTGGGAAGTAGGCGTAGCCCAAGTATGGGGTGCCGGGTACGAAGTAGACATTAAGATCGGCGTAGGTGCCCTTACGGAGCGCACGCTTCATGGCCAACTCAGCCCTATCAGAAGCCCAGTTGGAGTTGATAGTCCAATCGGCACCGGCCTGGGCGAACTGAATGTCATGGGGGGCGTAAGCCTCATTCAAGACATCCAGCTGCTTATCCAGAGTGGCCTGGCTAAGGTAACCGCCGCTAACGGAGTTGGATGTGGCAATGACGTGCCAGTAGACGTTGACCGTAACAGGCGCAAGGCGTGTAGCATTGCCAGCAACTCGAGCGTTTTCCTCATTGAACTGAAGGCGTTGGGCAACCTCAGTCTGCTCTTCAGTGGGAGAAGGGGTACCGCAGGATCGCTGGGCAAGGGCGGTAGAGGCTGCCGCAAGGGCGGAAACGAGGAGAGATTTGAATTGCATATTGGGAACGATATTGGTCACCTGGTTCGACTTGTCTTGACTGGGCGAGATGAAGAAAGAAGGAGACCTTGATGGCCGGTACTTTGGCAGTTTAAATACAAACTCCCTTCGTTGATTTCACACGTAAAGTCATATCGCAGGACTGAATGCTTTCGAATCTGAACCTTCCTCAAAAGGATAAGGTCCGATGGGTAACAATATCACCTTGACAGGCCTACTATGGTTGCGGATACCAGGGACAGAGATAGCGGGACTGTCGATCGATTAGCAAAGTACCAGCCTACCTACTCCTACGTCATTCTTCCTCTCAAACTTCAAAAAATTCCCTCCAAATCCAAATTCCCTCCCTATTAACTACTCTAAACTAGATAAGTTAGATATACACACGACACTTCTCTTACCTATTTTTTTCTCAAGTCTCTCTGGGTTTGAACTTTTCTAAATTGACGACAGTGGGCAAACCGTTTGGATGATAAGCCGGCGGGTAACCTGTGTTGGGTTGCCAAGATAAATAGCGGCTTTTGCAATCTATCAGGTAGCGCTAAGGCGGCGAACATGGCCATGAATGGCACATGGACCTTTCTTCGTGCAACAGTACGATAAAGCTTGGAAAAGCGTCCGCATCCAGCTGCCTCTTGCGCTAAGCATGAGCTCGTCATTGGCGCGCATTGTTTTCTGCCGAGTTCGATCGCACACTATCAAGTCTTGGCTTGCTTGGCGGTCTTGGCGTATGGCTTTGACTGTCGTTTTCTTAGATGTAGATTGGTCGAATGAAGCTTATTTTGCCGGGCATCTCTCGTTGTGGACCAACGAGGATGTTACCTTCCTTAATATGGTGACTGGTCCACTATTTGTTCAAGGAAGTTGACTGGTAGCCCCCGCGCTACTTCGGCCATATCCCGGGATTTGACTACTGTATCATTGCTTTTCCCAATTTATCAGGGTTACCTAGAGTAATTGATATCAATCTCTGTTCCCCTCTTGGCTGTCGGATAATGTACATGTTCGCGTTGCAGTATTGAATAGCTCATCTATTATTATAGGTACGGTAACCCAGGCTGATGTATGCTAGGGAAGGGACAGAGTTAGTAATGATACTAGTATACTTACGTATATGTAGTATACTACTGTGACTGTGCAATGGACGTGAAGTTGTCGTGTTATGAGGAAACTAACTACAACCTATTAACACAGCAACACTTATCCTCGCTTATAGAAACTTGACTTTGCTATTTGGCATGGCATCCTAAACCACATTCAGAAGCTGGACAATTGTTAGCACTGCCGCTGCTTGTTCTGATGCTATAAGTGCTCGTGCTACTGCTAATTTTCTAATGTAGTTTATTATACTGAGTAATTCCATCATCACTCTCATAGAAATATTGATGTTGGACGGAAAATGTGGCTTCTGAGTACGGATGACTATTATTTCTTACACTTTGACTCGTTCCTAGTTGATCTATAGAGCCAAGGCTACTATTTGTAGATGCCATCTAGCATGTAGTTAATCTGCAATATCTACTTCAATCTCTAACACATGTCACACAGTCATGCCGAGTGCAGATAATATTAGATACTGGCTAGCTAGACTGAGCCATTGCTTCGCAGGCCATGATCGTCCATTCTTACCTGCATTGCAATGTCTCATCGCGCCGCACCAAAAATGGAATTGCGTTTCTAATTGTACTAGATACAACATTTAATTCTAGCAGATACATCTAACGATCTGATGGTCCATATCTCTAGTAGCTTGGGAATGCTGGCTTGATAAGACACATAGGTTGTACAGACATGCCACAAGAAGGCCTTAAATATCTAAAATTGTTGAATAACCCCTGTTTTCCTTAATCGACTTGAAGCTGGTTTGATTGCTTTAAATGTACTCAGGGTATTCCCCTCAGCAAGACATAATGAACAGCTTTCGACCTTTATAGTCTGGTGCGTACCGGAGAAGCAGCCAAGGATCGCGATCTACGAGCGGCTCCTTGGCATACGGATTTGAACCACGGAGTGCCCGGCTTAAAAAGTAGAGTTTAGACGAACAATGCACATCGATAAGACAAAAGCCATGAGATGCGAGGTTTAATTGTTATGATACTGACGGTTACCCCTAAAATCAACAGAAACTATGCACCACAACAACGATGCAACGACGATGACGACATTGACAACAACGTCGTTTCACCAAGAAAAATTTAGTGGGGAGCACTCTGGATGCTAAACCATCTGCGTCATAGGTGTCTGAACTCTTCTCATTGTTGGTGCCGTTGTTTTTTTAGGGTCCTTCAGTAGACCTCAATGCATACCGCAAACGGAGGGGTTGTAATCCCCAGCTCTAGAATGCCGAAACTTTGGTTTTCAGACTGGACATCAAGGGTGATCACTATTACTGCCAGTTTGCTACGCAAATGCTTATTTATTTAGTTAGGCGTTTCTATTGCTAAGATGCGATTCCTAATGATCGAAAGAGCCAGTGTTTATCACACTGTAGCCCTGCTTATTAATATTAATATACGGAGGTGCGTTTCAAATCACTATGCCAGAAATGCTAAGACCACCCCATGTCAGTTAACAAGGATAATTGCAGGGGTTGCCACCCAAATAAATTGCCACTAACATTTCAACGATGCCTGCCTAGAACTTCTGATTAATATCTACTAGCATAACGCCCCTCCTTATATTTGTTACCACTATCAAGAGCAATAATGGCCTTAATATGGGCCGGCAGCCTCTCTATCCAGGCCTGGATTTGCTCTTAAGGCAAGGCCTGCTAGTACTTGTAAGGGGTTGGCCTGGTTACCCTTTATAAGGCCATGTGTGGTGCATTTCAGGCACTTAGTGCCTGAACTAGTTGATCTTTTAGTAATACTAGAATGGTCTATTAACAGGCGTGGTACACTACCTATACCTTTATAATTATTTAGGCACTAAGTAGGTCTTCTAGCTGTTAACAGGGGCTAGGTTTGAATCCTGCCTGTTAAGACTCTCTTTAGTGTAGGCCTTAAGGGGCTAGAAGGTTATTAATTAGTGGATTAGTTGGCTAGGCATAAATAAGGGGCAGCTTACGTTAGGCTTAGAGGGACTAGGTGTAGGGAGGCAATGTCTGGCAGCTGCTGCTAGACGCCAGGCTGCCTAGGGCCTTCAGGGTTAACATGACCTTATGCTCTAGCGCACAGTTACTAGCGCTAGTGCACGTGGGCCTGAAGCGACTTAGGACGCGTCATATTAGAAGGGGGGTAATTATAAGGGGTTAGCCTAGTTACCTTTTATAAGGCCATATGTAGTGTATTTTAGGCACTTAGTGCCTAAACTAGTTAATCTTTTAGTAATACTAAAATAGTTTATTAACAGGCATAGTATACTACCTATACCTTTATAGTACTATTACTATGCTTTTTTAGCTATAGCCTAGTTAACTAAGGCACCCTTCCTTATTATAAATTACTTTATCTAAGGCTAGTAAGGCTTAATAAGGTTAAGATTAAGGCTATTACTATACTAGTAGAGCTTTTTAACGTAATAAGTAGCATATATCTAGTAGATAAAGTAGTAATTATAAGAAAGTGCTTTATCTTCTTAAATAATAGTGCCTAGTAAGCACTTTTTAAGTATAAATAAGAAAAGCTTTAGTAGAAAAATCTCCTTTTAGTACTAGTACTAGTTAATTCCTCTCTTACTCTTATAAACTAACTTATTAGTATACTTATTTTAGTAAAAAGTTAGTTTATAGCTAGGGAGCTACTAAAGCTAAAGCCTGCTTATCCCTCTCTCTAACTCTTATTTAAGACGCTTAACTAGCTTTAGTATAGTATTTATCTTTATAACCTTAGTATTATATACCTATTACTATAGATAGTAGCTACTATAGTAATAGCCTAAGACTACTAAGGTCTTATTAGACTAAATAACCTTCTTTTAATCTTTAAGTAACTAGTAGTAATATATAAGGCACTAAGAAAGCCTCTCTTACTTTATCTAAGCTATTAAGCTAGGCTTCTTTATTAGTTTAGATTTTCTAAAGCTAGCTTACTAAAGGATATAGTAAACTATTATAGCTAAGATATCTATATCTAGCTTACTTTAGAGCTTACTAGTAATATTAGTATATATTTTTTCCTTACTATATTAGTTATAGTAGACCTTCTTAATAATAAGCTTAGCTACTATAGGTATAGCCTTCTTTAGTTAGCTAGTCTAGGGGGTATTATTAATATATTTAGGTTATAAAGAGAAAGTAGGAGCAGTTAGATTAAAGCCTTACTTTTTTACTTATTAGAGTATATTATTAACTATACGCTTTAATAACCCTAGGCCTTAGGCTACTTTATTAGCTAATTTACCTCTAAGACGGCTCTAAAAAGTAAGAATAACTGCCTATAAAGAAGGGTTAACACGCGCTATAGTTATAATAGTTAAAGGGGAAAAAGTAGTGTTATTGTTATTGTTATTGTTGTTATTGTTGTTGTTAAGGATTGCCTTGCTTTGGCCCCTTTTGGCCCCTATAGAGAGGAAAGTGGGTAGATTAATCTAGCCTTTCTGATTGGTTGGATATATATTAAGTGGGTCCTACTGGCCGGGGTTGCTCTGGGCAGTTGGGCATGGTTTTTTGAAATGCACCTCCGTAGATACTCTGAGTTGTCTGTGTTTCACTAAATAAGCTCCTCACGTGGGCTACTTTCACCCTGACCTGGCTGGATCAAACTGATCTATAGTTTAACTATCGCGGTTTTGGTTTTTATATTACTCGGGTTCTAGTTCTCCTCAGTAGCGCTATTCTTCAACCTCGGAACAGAAAATAGCATTGGGGGTAGATTTATGACCTAGGAATGTAAACTGGTTAGGCTTAATATGTTTGTAGCTAGAAGCAGGGTACCCTTGCCTAGAAAGTCGGTAAAAATACTCTCTCCTTGTCACCGATGGCCAATAGCTCATCAGTTCGTCCCATATAGCTTGAGGCTCGTCACTGGAGTTGATGAGAATTTCCTGCAGCTTGGAAGAATGGTATAACATCGAAGGTGAGCGTCCGGAGTGGTGACAAATCTCAATGCTCTTCAAAGCCTACGACAGACATAAGTAGACATTTATAATCAGTGAGGGCGGAGATGGGCCCAGTGAGAATTATTTACACTCAGTATCTGACCCGGCTCTTTCTCTTCCTTTAGAAACCAGTTCCCTTTCTCTTCTATTGCTAGATACTTCACACCCTTGTTCTTTCACAATGGACGCCAAGTACCTGAGCACCTACCCTCTCATTGCTCCTGAGAAATTTCTCAATGAGCTCAAAACCAAGACTGGGGTCATCACTGGTGGGGGATATGGCATAGCTGTCATTGCCGAATCATTTGCCAAAGCCGGTGTGGCCGAAGTCATAATGGTTAGGAGGACAGCAATCAAGTTGAGAAACGCTGTAACCGCATTGAGCTCAACAGTCAAGGCCCCCACCAAGACCACCTATTACTACGTCAATATCACCTCTAAGGCTGAAGTTGAGAATCTTTTTGCTTCGATCGCAACTAGCCCAGACATCTTGATCAATAATGCCGGGTTCTTGGCAGTAACATCAAACTTCTTCGATGCCGATCTGAACGAGTACTGGAAGTCCCTTTCAACCTGTTCTCGGTACTGCTTTGGTCACTCAGTCTTTCCTCCGTCGCTACCAACAAGATGGATCACCAAGCAGTGCAGCTGTTGTTGTCACCCTGAATACCATTGGGGGCCTGGGGCCCATCCGGTTCGGGTGCCTCTCCTCTCGTGCTACGGAGCAAGCAAAGCCGCGTTGGCTCGTAGGTCGGAACTGATATCGGTGGATGTATCTGAACACGTGGCTCGCTTTATTTCTGTTCATCTTGGTGCGGTAAAGACAAATACGGGTATCAAATCTGGTCTCGATGGTGTGTTTCCAAGTACCGATTCAGCGATCGCCAGAGACTTCGTTATCTGGACGGTGACCCAGGAGGAAAAGTTACTTTATGGTCGGTTCGCCTGGGTCACAGTCTTGAAAGGATCTCCGAGCGGAAGTATTGTCCAGGCCACGGGCCATTGTGATCCGGATCCTACCCAGGTCATTGTCAAGATCTCGCACTGCGAAGTCTACTTTACAGATGAGCATTACCGCCACGCCGTTAAAGACCTTGACCATGAGGGCATTGGCACAATCATCGAGGTTGGCGCCGCTGTCCATGAAATCTCGGACTTCCGCGTTGGTAACCGGGTGGGGATGAGCTGATATTAGTACAACTTCAGCGGCCACTGCCGAGCTTGCTTGACTGGTAACATTCCAAATACTTCCTCCTGCTCACCGCAAACGACGTCCTGGATATCTCCATGTAAGTATAACTTCCAGGTCTAGACTTCGCGCGATTGATCATTCGCTTCCCAGTTACCTTCCCATCTTAGCAACGGGGGCACAGCTGTTCCCACTCACCGCCAGCGGCAAGGACTCTGCCGCTTTCTCCCTTTTCGTTTATCTCAGGCGAGCTAAGACTCAATAGATCTAACGTTTCTCAACCTGCTAGCCTACAATCTATGATGTCATTTGCTGCAAAGCATGATATCAAGCCTCAGATAGAGAAGTTGCCATTGACGCAGGCCGGCATTACCTCGGCTATGCTGAAGCTGAGGGAGAGCAGGACGAGATACTGCGGTGTTCTGATTACATAGTGTCGACATTGATGCTCCTGGTAACTTGACAGTTCTGTAGAATCTAGTTAAGTACTTGGCTAGAGAGTGTTTGTCTAACCGGGCCTGAGGATTTTCCACAACAGATTCCAAGCAGCCGGGGGATAAACGCAGGGTTGTACATAAAGTAGAAAGGTATCAAGTTTTAAAAATAGGCCGCTTGAACAGGAAGATGAAACACACGTTTTCTTTGTGTTTCTTTTTCCTGTTACAACCCTCCCCCCCTTAGCAGAAATAAAATGCGAGTCCAACTGACACTTCTGATTTAACGACGTGCGATACACGGCAATCATGATGCCTCCCCCCCCCCCCCCCAAAAAAAAAAGAAACAAAAGAAAAGAGAAAAGAAAACAAAAGAAAAAGAGAAAAGAGAAAAGAAAAAAGAAAAAGAAAAAGAAAAAAGAAAGCGTGGCCATCAGCTATGATATACAAACGCTGGATTTCAGAGCAGTCATCAAAGATCAATACTCACAGATATAGGTTATCGCCCTCAATCGCATGTGCCTAAAAGTAACTCCGTGATGCAGGACTGATATTGAAATTTTTACTGCTTTGTTTCTGGCAGCAGTGACTTCTCCCTTGATGCTGGCGTGACATAATGGTTGCAAGAGATCATGGGCAATCACTCTACTGTAAACAGTGAGTGAGTGGCTCTCATAAACGAAATGGTTGAAACACTACACAGAATACCACATGCTTCAGTGAAATAAAAAGGACGGATTTCTTGCTTAGAACATGCCTGCATGTTGATACATCTTAGACAAGCTTGTTTTGTTTATGGTCTGTTGCCTTCAAACCTCCCAAGCGCCGGTCACAATAGACCTTGCAGAGTAAACTGCCAGTACTCCTAGTATATTAGCCCCGCCGTTGAATTGTGCCTTGGACTTTGCCAAAACCGTAGTTACATTTGTATCGAGCCCACGTCAGTAGACTCTATCATCATCGTTCATATGGCATAGGCGTGCCGGTCTCCACAACAACCCCCTGAAGCCCGAAAACGCATTGCATGCATGCCGATACAGGTCAAGTTGTGAACTTCCATGATGCTAGCATACCAGCATACCGGTATACCAGCATAAGGACCAAGGCCAACAAATGTCAAGCTTCAATGCCTTGTATACTAGCTGTTCTAGCAGCAGTCTGGGTTTTGATAACTGTGTGTGGTCAATACTGTGTACCTATGCGACCTTAAGAGGGATCGCCTTGGAAAATACCTTATTTGCATGCTTTGGGAACATCTGGCGACGGCACGTTGGTGCCGATAGCCTTAGCGGCCGCAGCCTGTACGGCGCCCTCGTTGCCAATTGCGTCTTGTCCAACAGGGGATGGGCAGCGAGCTCCATTGATCTTGGCCAGATTAGCCTTTAGATTCTGCGGGTTGGCAATGGTATCGTTGATTGCAGGGCCAATGATGTTGAATTGGTCAACAAGGGCCTTAGCAGCTGCCAGACCCTTGGAGTCAAGCTGAACATCCGCCTGCACAGCGTTGTTCGAGTCTCCCTCGTTCTGCGCGGCTACGAAAGCAGTTGCAGCAGCATTACTGATTTCTGCGTTACTCTTCAGCTTGCCGGCGGTGTCGACAAAGTTATTGACTGTCTGTATGTCGCCGAGCCATTGGTTGACGGTACCGAGAACCTTTGTTTGGAGTGCCGCGTTGGCTGCGTTGTTGGCGTTGTCCCCAGCCTGCTCTTTCTTGGGAGTGGGACTAGCCATGGCCAAAGCTGCCACGACTACAGAAAATAGAGCGAAATGCATCTTGATAAGGGCACAAGAGACAGATTGAAGTTAGTAGTGAACGACAAACTAGGACTAGCCACAGTAAGATATAAACAAGAATTAACAGAAAATAAACTTGATGGTAAAAGAGAGAAAGAGTGAATGATAGGAGGAATGAAATTCAGTTGGAATGAAGTGTAATGTCAGTCTGTGACAGGATACTCTACGTTATATCTTTTATAGGTGCTCGAGGTGGTAGCACCTAAAGGTACATTCGGAATGCCGGAACGACCGAAGATTGTGTGTCCCGGAATTACAGTTTAGAGTCCCCTCATATAGGACCCCATCTTGAAGTTTACCCGTTGCCAGAATAGAGTTTCAGGAGACTGAAACGGTAAATCATATTCTTGTCGCTAAGCGCTGTCTCCAGGGACGACAACTGAAACTGGACCATGACTAGTGGACAGCGCAATCCTACTTAGGCAGGCGCCATCCTAAATAGGCTGAGTATTACCCACCATGGGAAATGTGGTGATGGTGCACGAGGTCTTTCCGTCGGGTGTATCGGCAAATCTGCAGTCACCATCACACCATGCATCTGTCAGCTTCAATGAAAATGTACATAGAACAGCAAGAAGAGTTTACTAGATGCTTACGGCCTTGATGTGGTTCAGCGAGTCGTTGAGCTATTCCTATCGTCCGCCCTCGGAATCAACGGCCCTATAAAACGCGCATCATACCATCACAGAGTTTGTATCAGCTTCAAGCAAGCTGTCGCTCCCTGTCCAAGTTACTCCATCCCGCAAAGGAAATGAAACTTAGCGTAGGTTTTTGGAAAGCATCTTAAGCGAGTGAAACTCGGGGGTAAATCAATTTAAGATACTTTAAACTAGTATAACACTTTAATTACTCTTATTAAGTGGACCAACCTGGATACTTATCTAATGTGCATGCATAGCGAGTCACCTACTGACACAGCCCTCCTGCCAGCCGTTCAGGATTTAACAGAAATTACAGAGTTGCAATAGACTTAATATATCGCACTAGCGTAATGTAAAGCGACGTAGTGCAAAGGTGGACCGTAGCAGTAAGGCAGTAAGTAAGGCAAGCAATAAAAAGGAACAGAACAATGTCAAAAGGACAGTACTGTATTAGGTCAAAGACGTATTCATAGTTGGCCCTCCCCTGGAGGAAAGGCCAAGCGTGTCAGTTACGTACTCTATGGGCACGTGGATACTCACGTTCCTCTGGGTATGGACGTCTACCACGCCAACCTATCTGCCCATCTAGTGACTGTCTTATGACAAATAAAGAATAAGATAATAGGTAGTTTCAACCAATTTTGTATATTAAAGCTCAATTACATTTTTTAAGATAATAGGAAAGTAGTGAAAAGTAGGTAGCTTATTAAAACAGGCGGCCTGCGATACATGTACTTTATTGGGCTATGAGGCCATAAGGACGGGATTCTAAAAGAATAAAGCCATTTGGCTGAGGTTAGAAAAGTGATGACCATAAATTGAAGTTGGAGGGTGGTGGAGGGTATTAATGGAGTTATTAATGAAACATTTTTTGTGGTCAGAATGTAGGGGTGGTCAGGAAGTGGGTATGTTGACTTCGCCCTCAAACGCCCTAGCAAATGTTCAAGTCAGTTGAAAATCTAAAACCTCCTCCGCCTCCTTCGTCGGTCTGAGCCGCCCCCAAACGCCATGTTCACCATCTCCATGATGATAAGCTGCAACAGGTACTCCTTTATCATGGCCCAAGCCTGCTCCTTGCGGTACCAAGGCAGCGCGTTCCATCCGAGGACCCAGACGGTCGAGACGAGGGCGACGATGGTGCAGCGCGTGGCGAAGACGCTCGCGCCGCCGGATGCGACGGCGTAGAGCAGGACTACCTCTGAAACCCCGAAGGCCCAGTAGTAGCTCGGCTGCCACAGGCCCAGCACGACGGTGTTGTTGGCGGCTGCCGCGCCTCCTCCGCCGCGGCGGGCGATGTCTTGCCCCGAAGGAATGGTGAGGGTGAGGGGAAGGGCGATGCGCTGGGAGGCGATGTACCAGTGTAGGATGGCGGCGCCGCCGAGTATCACAGGCGAGAGGACGCGGTCGGCGATGCAGGGGCCGTCGATGTAGGTGACCCAGTCGGACTGGGTGAACCACGAGACCGGGGTGAAGCGGCCCGATGTGGCTGAAAAGAAAACGATGGCCAGGGCGACCGAGGTGACGCGGCGGGCTAGGAGTTCTGTTGACCCTGGCATGGTGCTTATTGTTGTTTTTGAACTGACAGTGTGGATGCTCCCTGTGTGTGATACGCTTGTGAGGGAATGATGAATTGGTGGATGATGAGCTGTTGTGAGGGGGCCCGTGTGCTGGGAGGTCACGTGACCTCCTGGGCCCCTCACCTTCATCCAGCCTCTGCCCATAGCCTCAAGAGGAGGATTTTCCTCCTCACCACTACACACCACTACAGATTGGTAATAACACTATTTACCTCACTTTATTACTCTTATGCTCCTATAGGTTATAAAGCCTAGGCCTATATTAATTTTTCTTATAAATTAATTAGTTACCTCTACTTATCTTTATTAAGTTATAATTATCTACTAATTATTATAGTAGTTACTTAACTTTACTTACTGTTTTTACTATAGCCTAAGTTAAGGATTTTCTACTAATTACTATAGAGATATCTTTACTTATTAACTACCTTAATCTATTACTTTAGGTATTTATTAAATAGTAGTAAATTATATAACGTTTTAAATATACTTCGCACCGGGGTCTCGCGTTGTAAGCGGGGACAATCGTTTAGCTCGGCATTCAGCAGTCACTGGCTCTGCCAAGATGTGGGATATCGGGGCGCGAGAACCATAATACTACGCACCCTTATATCGCAAGTCCATTGTTTCGCATGGCATGAGCCACGAGCGGCCTTTGACAGGCCCGGTAAGCTTTGACATCGGCAGCCCTGAAGGCCCATATCAGCGCACATCTATACGAGTCGAAAGACCTATGACAAATAGGTGATGGGAGACGTTAAAGCTCCAACTCACACTTGAGTCGAACCGGCTAATTCTAGACCTCAGTAGGTGAAGCGTTGCTAGTGGTGAAACACTACTTTTTATACTAATAAAGTTAAAAAGTATATTAACTATAATATCTCTTAACTAGCTAAAGATACTATAGCTTTTACTTTATAAAAAGCTAACTATAACGTTATATATAACCTTTTTATTTTATTATATAATATATTAATTAATAAGATTCTTAATATAAGATAGTAAGATAATAGTAATCCTTATACCTTAATAAAAGCACTTAAGAAATATATTCCTAAGGTATCTAAAGACGTAGTTAAAGCCCTTATTAATAAATTCTCTAAAGGTAGTACCTAAGATTATAAGACTTTTTATAATACCCTTAAACGTATATAGTATCTATACGCCTATATTACTAGCCTTTATAGTAAAAACTCTAACTACTATTAGGCTATCCTCTTACTTAATTATTTTAAGATATATCTACTTAATATATATAAGTACTACACTAATAATAATAAAAAGCCTAAGTAGGCTATAGTTATTAAGACTATTTATATACTTACTTAGGATAAAAAGTAAAAAATAAGCCTTATTACTTACTATAAGGCTGTAATTACTACTACCTCTAGTACTAATAGCTAAAGCGCTACTTTTACTAAGAAGTTAGGCTATAATATTTACCTTTATTATAAAAAAAGTTATATTACTATAAAGTGTTAGACTACTTATCTAGAGCTTATTCTTACTAACTATATATTTTATAAGAATCTACTTACTTATATAGCTAAGTATATCTATAATAAGGATTATAAGAAGGCTACTACCTTTACTATACCTAATTCCTTTATATTAGTTTTTATAAAAAGTGCCTTAGGCGCACTAGGCAGCTTCTTAATTACTAGCCTTAGAATATAACTAAGTAAGGCTATCTTTACTACTATAAGTAATAAAGCTATTACCTTATCTAATATTATACTAAATTTAGGCTGCTTAAGCCTTATTTTTAACTTACTTTAACTTTTTATATTATATACTATTTATAATAACCTTCTTTTTTTTACTACTATAAATAAAAAGTAAGTGTTTTTAAAAAGATTTAGTACTATCTTTTTCTAAACTTAAGATCTAGCTAATCTATCTTAAATAATTAACTAGACTATTAAAGATATTAAGTATAGCCTTTATAGCCTAGCTAACCTTCTTAGCCTTAGTAAACTTTATAAGGTAGGTATTAAGTATAACTATATAACTACTAGTATTATTGTTAGCACAACAGGTAAGCTAGTCTCTTAGATAGAGAATTCTAGCTTAGGAGAATATAAGAGAGTATATCTCTTATATAAAGATATATCCTATAGAAGCAAGAATATAGGATAAAAGGGAGATATAAATACTTATACCTAGGGTAGATAAATAGAGGATATAAGGATATATAGTTAAAAGAGAGTATAGTAGTTAGATTATTAACTATTTGCTTGCTTAGAGAGAGAAGGAAAGGAAACTAGAAACAGAAAGAATTCCAGCCCTTATATAGACCTATACAGCTTACTAGAATATTCCATACTTACGTAAGCTGCTTATAAATCAACCCTTAGTTACGTAACATAATAACCTTAAGTAAATAACCCTAACTTAAAACAATAACCTTATAGGAACAATAGAGGTAGAAGGTAGGATCTGGAGAGATCTTGGACATTCTAGTACCTTCTCTAATCTTTGGTTGATTACGTAATTAGACATGCTTACGTAATTAATATATATATTAATCTACTAAGTAAGTAGATTATAAATATATATATCTTATATATATATAACCTCTATAATAGAGGAAATATAAGATAAAGAAGTATAAGAATACTTAGAGATATTCTTACTTCTAATACTCCCTCTTTTGCTCTATTATAGAGTAAAAGTGGTTAAGTGAAAAGAGTTACCCTGGAGTTGCGTAGTAGCGTGTAGGGTAAATATTAATAAGTATAATAACTTATTAATAAAAAATCCTAATAATAGTAGGAAAAATATACTATATATATAGGTATATTATATAGGCTTATTATTGTTAAATAGGCCTATAAGCTTAATAAATTCTTAAAATTTAACCTTAGGAAGGGGTTTTGTTAAGCTATCTGCAGGCATAGAAGAAGTAGGAATATATTCTACTTCTATATTGCTATTTTCGACTTCTTAACGAGTATAATAATAATATAAGGCAGTATGCTTAGTTCTTTGGTGATATTCTGGATTATAGGCTAAGCTTAAGGCTGCGTTATTATCTGTTTTAATATTTATAGGGGTTATATTATACCCTATTTTAGATAATAAGCCTTTTAGCCAGACTGCCTCCCTAATAGCTTCCTGTAGGCTATTAAATTCAGCCTTAGTAGTAGATAGGGATATAGTTAACTGTTTTTTAGATTTCTAACTAATAGGGCCCCCTAATAAGGTAAAGATATAACTAGAAGTAGATTTTCTAGTTTCTTTACAACTTGCCTAGTTAGAATTAGTATATCCTACTGGATTAAGGGTATTATTAGAGTTATTAATATCTATATTACCTTGATAGGTAATATTGTAATTAATAGTCTCTTTTAAATATTTTAAAATACCCTTTCCTTGCTTAAGTAGGAATTCTGTTGGGTTATGGAGGTAACGAGAGGTAAAGGATACGCTATAGGCTATATCAGGCCTAGTCATAAACATAGCGTATATAAGGGAACCTATAAGGCGTTGATATTCCTTTAATAGGTCCTTAGAAGGAGTATAACCTTCTAATTCGTTACCTAGAGGGCTACTTAATATACCTAGAGATATAGGTATATTATTTCCTTTTGCTTCTAGTAGATTAAATCTTTCTAGAAGTTGTTAAATATAATAGGCTTAAGAGATAGTTATAGATCTTCTAGATCTATCTCTTGTTATATAAAGCCCTAGAAATTTAGAAACTTCACCTAGGTCTTAAATCTCTATATATTTAGAGATTTTACCCTTTATATTTTCTATATACTTAATATCTTTATTAAGTATAAGAAAATCATTAACATAGGTAATAATATAACAAGGATTATTTTTATCCTGGTTATAATAGGTGGCTTCGTTAGATTTTAAAGATATAAAACCTATATCTTTTAATATAGATTTAATCTTTAACTGCTACTGCCTAGGAGCTTGTTTAAGGCCATATAAAGCCTTTAAAAGTAATAATATCTAATTCTTATTATTTTCCTAATTTATAGTATTTAAATTAAGGTATTTATTAAAGAAATCAGATAAAGGGATATTAGAAGGGTCTATATATACCTCTTCTTCTAAATCCCCATATAGAAAGGCTCTAACAATATCAATTTGTTAGATTTCCTAATCTAAGGCTGCTGCTATAGCTAATAGTACCCTATAAGTAGTAGGGTTACTACCTGCAGTAAAGGTTTGAAAGTAATCCAGCCTATATTTTTGCTAGAAACCTCTAACATATAATCAGGCCTTATATTTATTAATATTACCGTTAATATTAAATTTTTTCTTAAAGACCTATTTAGCAGTTAAAGGTACCCTAGAAGACTTATATGCTTTATTAGGTTCTACTGCTTTTAAAGTGCCTCTTTGGATAATAGTAGCTAATTCTTTATATATAGCTTCTAACTAGAGGTCTTTTTTAGGTCCTTCTAGAGCTTGTTTTAAAGTAGTAGGCTCTAGAGGTTTAATACTATAGTTATATTCTATAGTATTATTATAGGCCTTATATTTGTCCTTTTCTTCTTTAGATATAGAAGGTAATCTAACCTCTATATTAGAAGAAGGAATAATTTCCTTATTTATAGAAGTACTAGAAGGAATAGTAGTTTTTTCTCCCTCTCTTATAGTACTTTCTATAAATTTAATATGTGAGGTCCTTACTATAGAGGACCTATAAGGCCTAGAAGGAATATATATAGTATATATATTATTCCCTTCTATAGATAAATAAATACCTTCTTCTGTATAGGTATTTAATTTATCTAATTAGATACGCCTTTCTTTAGGTCTATAGACTAAGACCTTAGAGCCTATTTTCTTTAATTTAGATAAATCTGGTTTATTATCCTTATTAGGATAAAAATAATCTAGAAAAGCCTCTATAGGGGTCTTTTCTAGTCTTCTTATAGCAGTATAATTTAATAACTTAGTAGTTTCTTTAAGAATAATATCCCATAGAAACTTAGGTAAGTTATTTGCTGCTATAA